GCATAGGGAATCTATAGGGCGACTAATTCGTTCAATCCTATTACCTAAACGAGCGTTATCAGCGTATTTGTTACGCTTCGGTTTAACGGCAGTATAGGGGGATATAACGAGGCAATATCGTGAGAACGCATCTAAAGAGGACACCGAGAATTTAAAAGACTTTTCGAGGACGAAAATCTGGAAGAGAGGGAGATGATATTACAAACCAAGCTACCTTACTTACGCTAGTAGGGGTATAAGAGAAAACTAGAGCTAACCAACCCCGCGGTAATAATACAGGATAATAGGGGTATAGATCACGTGATAATATACCGCGATCTATTGCTAAGGAATAGTATATCGGATGGTATATTAATAGGACTACTATACGCCTGTATACAGTATACCACAAACGGGGGCATAGAATATTCGGCGAAGGATATATAAGGATACTCGTTCATCGCGTATCTAGCTCTTCGCGTTTAACTCATATTATCAACCTCAGTTATAAGTTTAACTCAGATTGTCTCGTTTACACTATGATCCTCTCAAGACAACCCCTCTAGTAGTAAAGCACCCTCGGTACTTCTATCACTAAGCACCCCTCACCTTGACCGTTCCTCGATACCTCAACAGACCCAAGCCTATATAAGGCCTAACTGACAAGGCAACAGTACGGTTACAAGGCCAGATATCGTTAATACTAGGAGACCCTTAGCCTTCTAGTATAACTGGAAAGACCCACGTGTCTTGGTATCTTGAGAGAAGTATACCTTCAGGTTCCAGCTAACATCCATAGGTGACCAGTGCGTAACACTCAGAAACCGACCTTTAAGACTTCGCTAGTATTAGGCGCTATAATCCATCTAAGGGTAGTCTTAGTCTTTAGTTTAAAAAAATTTAACCTTATACTAAGGGGCTAAGATAGTGCTAATCGTATAGATATCACCGAGCTCTTTATTATCTATCATAGAGTAATACTTACAGAGTTTACTCTTGGCTGATTTAAGGGCTCGATATATCTATTGCTTCTATCTAACCTTTTTTCTACTAAGCTATCTAATTAACCTCTTAAGATGATTAAATAGCTTATTATAGATAGCAAAGATAGTATAAATAGTAATATCCTTTGTTTTTGAGAGGACTATAGTAAATTAGAAAAATAGCTAGGTGATATTAAGAAGGTAGTCGATCTAGCGTTATTTATCTATATCGATTTTAAGATAAGGATAATCATATTTAGAGCAAAATCGATTAAAGACTAGTTGTAACCGCTTTATACGCTGGAGTATCAAAAAGGTTGAATTCTATCTAGTTCGGATATCTTAAATTGGAACCAATCGAGGGTAGTCGGGCTAGAGACTAAGGAAGGACTCCCGACGTTAAGGGCTTGTATTAATAAAGATCGCAAGGTTTCTAATCTAAAATATAAAGTAGATTAGTATTTTAACTAATAAATAAGGAGTATAAATATATACCTTTATAAGAGTTATCGTAATATCTTATTTTTGTGCTTTTCGACGGGCGTGTTAGGTATGTTCCTCGGACTAAACAGTCTTAGTTACCTCGTTCTAAGGGTTTACTTTTATCTGGCTAAGTAGTTGCTTTAAACTTAACTAAATTATATACGTAATATATAGAACCCGAATAATTATCACCTTAGAGTTAATATCTAATAATTGAATAGAATCTTAGATACTTAAAATAAGGGTAGAGTTATTCGATATATTATTAGTCGTTACTATAAGTACTCGGTCTTCGATCTAATATTTCTAGAGGATATCGAGGAGGGTTATACTAAGATTCTGCCTAGAGTATATACTAGAAATAGGTTTAAAGCTAAGTAAAACCTCTCGATAATTCTAGTCTATATTAATAAAATAGCTAGAGATAGCCATAAATACTTATTAAAATAACGATATCCAATAGTTAAGACTAACAGAGAGCTTAGCCTTAGACGGAAGCTTCTAAAATAAATCTTTCTGTTAATCTTAGGTTATTCCTTAGATTTAATACTATATAGTTCGATAGGAAGAGAAACTAGGAATAAATAATAATAATTAGATTATTTAAAGAAGGACTTAGAATTCGGGATACTTAATAATTTAAAAAGGAAGCCATAGAGTAGTTATTATAGTAATTAACTATTATTTCTATAGCTTTTAGATAACTAGCTAGGCTATTTAAAGGGAGTTCTTAGCCTAAGAAAGATTAGTCTATAAATTAAATAATAGCTATATAATATATTATATATTCTATAAGATATTAGATTATTAAATATTTAGTAGTACTTTAGCCTTTCTAATATATACTCTGATTCTAGTAATATTAGAGATCTATTATCCTATTCTTAGTATAGACTAGATAGTTTATAATCTTATTATATTACTTATATAGGAGCTTTAGCTCTCCTATTACTAAATATATAACTTGATTAAAATATAATTATATATTAGTCTATCGTGGACCCTTTTAATTTATCTTTTTTATAGTATTATAAGAACCACTAATTTAGGTATTAAGCCACTAATTTAAAAACTCTATTTTATTTATACTATTAAAAATTACTTAGGTCTTTTTCTGATTATCGGATTATTTTAGTATTAATAGTATAATAGAAGGGAGGCTTTACTTAATTTACTAGTTTTCTAGTAGTTCTAAGAGGGTATCGAGAAGTTGATTAGAATAGAAAATAGATGATTTAAACCCCTTACTCTTAATAAGAGAGGGAGGGTACGAGATAGATAACTAAGATATAGAAAAGATATAGTAATAATATATTAAAATAAAGGACTTGAGATATAAAAAAATAATCTAAGGTAAATTATTGTAGATTTAAGGGAATATATAGGTCTAATACTTATTTCTTATTAGTAAGTAGGATTCGGTACTATCCTAGTGTTAAATTTTATAACTAATCAGAAGATACTCTACTATAATATATATAAAGCTTATTAGATAGTAAGAAATAGATTAATAGGTTAATCTATAGATTAACCCGTTAATCTAAATAATTAGGTAAGAGTAATACCCTAAGACTTTTATTTTTATCCCCTAAAAATTTCAATCTAACTAGCTAACCTTTTTACGTAGGTATATTAGAACCAGGGCTATAAATAAACGCATAGATAGATTAAAACCCTGGTTCTAATAGAGATAGAAAGACTACTATAAAAAGGTATATATTTTATTATATCTAATAAAAGAGAGACTATATAATCCTTTTATAATAAGAGACTTAAGATATAGAAAAATAATCTAAGGTAAATTATTATAGATTTAGGGGAATATATAAGTCTAATACTTATTTTTTATTAATAGGTAGAATTTAGTACTATTCTAGTACTAAATTTTATAACTAATCAGAATAGGCTCTACTAATATATATAAAGTTTATTAGATAATAAGAAATAGGTTAATAGGTTAATCTATAGGCTAATCTATTAATCTAAATAATTAGGTAAGAGTAATACCCTAAGATTTTTCTTTTTATCCCTAAAAAATTTCAATCTAACCAGCTAATATTATTATTTTATATAAATTCAGAAAAAATATTTAAAATAATTCTTTTATATAAATAAGACTATAATATACTTATATATTAATAAAGAAATATTAGATATTAGATTTATATCTATTTTATTGTTTCTAATATATATAGTTTATTTATATAAAAAGTAGAAGTACTACTATAGACTTTAAATATATATTTTTAGGTTTAGTATAAGAAATAGTTAATTAATATCTTCTTTCGTCTATATCTACCTATTATAAAATATAATTCTTACCTTAAAGTATTAAATTAATAAATTAATATATTATATATTCTAAATATATTATTACTATATAATATTCTTTTTATAAAGAGTTAGAATTATAAGTTATATTAGAACAAAAATAGTATTTAATAATAGTATATTATTAAAAAAGGTAAGTAAATTATCTATCCTAATTAAGAAATTTATGCTAAAATAGGTCAAAAATAGGTTGACCCGTTAACCCACGGGTCAACCCATAGGCGGGTCAGGATTTTATTGACCCGACCCATGGGTCGTGGGTTTGGGTCATGGGTCAAGATCTTTGACCCATGGGACGGGTCTGTCCATGTCTAAGTGTACCCAGACTTTTGACCGCGTAGTGTACTAACTGGCCGGCGTGTGGCTAGTCTGATAAATATACAGTTAAGAGAGGCATTAGTGAGCGCCGTGAATGGACCTTTATCCGACCAAAATACCAGCTCGAGAAGCATCAAGTTCAAGGTATACCAACACGAGGAAAGTAGACAAAACAGATATTTTGGGCGGCTTTTTCTAGACCCCCACGAAAGACTAGACTAATTCCCTTATTCAGGAATCCCGAATCAAGTTCAGGAGGCGTTGATCGCTTTGCGATTGATGCTTTATATCGCCCTTATCTCCTAACATTGATCCAGAACGAAGATGGCATTTTTCAGCAAGATAACGCGCCAGTTCACACTGCACATCTTGTCCGAGATACCCTAGTTGAACTAGGATTTGAAGTTATGGAGTGGCCACATTATTCACATGATTTGAATCCAATTAAGAACCTCTGGGCGTTACTGAAAGCCGAAATCCTTCAATCAGACCTGAGTTAAAGGATATGGCAAATAACGATACTACGTAGGAGATTTTAGTTGATACTGCGCAGGAGGCTTGGGAAAGGATTGACATAGCTATATTCAAGAACTTGTCTGAATCTATGCCTCATAGGGTGCATGCTCAAGGATTAGTAGCAGAAGTTGTTAAGTTCGAAGGCGAGAGATATGCACTGGCCAAAAGGCGATTCTAGAATCTTTCCAGGGGATGGAGTGGTCGAGGCGCCATCTTAATTCCTTTGTGATCGGGGACACAAAATTATACTTCAAAATGAAATGAATTAAATATTATTTGCAAGATAATCATCGCAAATAAGACATGGCAATGCACGCTGCGGACTTGCTGAAATCCTCCGCTCAATTGTCTAACCAAAATTGAAGAGATCAGGGTTTCCCCCTTGAGCATTCAAAGCTTTCTTTTTTCAGCTTCTCTTCTCCAAACCCCAGCGAATTTCCACTGCACAAGCGGACCGATCAGCGCGACAGCCTGTATAGCGACGCAAACAGTGAAAGTGAGGCCCACGCCGATGCCATTAATCATCGGCATCACGAAGCTTGTGCCGCCAGCGGCAAACAAGCATCTAGCAAGATTGAGACTGGCACTAGCCGCGGCACTTCGATCAGGAAATATGTCGACAAGGTAGGTCATGATGACCGATTGCGTAGAGACAGCAGTCCATCCGGTGATGAATGTGGAGATGATAGGGACGGCGATGTGAACGTGGTGGGGATATTGGATGGTCCAACCAAAGAGAATAATCGAAAGACATTGCAGCAAGGAAAAAACGGGGACGAGTCGAAGTCGGGCTTTCTCAATGGGGAAGCTTTCTTCCCGGTCATTTGTGACATCTGAGAAAACGTTCCCAGCTTCAACATCTGCGTCCGATGAACGAGCCTCGAACTTAGCTTTGGCACGGCGGTAGTCCAAATCGAGGATCCTCCCGGCGATCAAAGTTCCGACCATCGAGCCGACACCATTAGCGATGAATGTTAGACCAATCTGGATTTCACTAAGACCATAGCGACTTTTAAAAAGAGATGACATAGCCGTGATACTCATCTGCCAGACAGCATAGTATATCGCGAGGAAGATGATGATAGGGGTTGCGAACTTGCTGCTAAGGATGCGCAATGGCCCAAGGACATCGATCTTCTTTCTTGCCGCAAGCTCTGGTGGCGGTGCTTCAGGATTCCACTCGACTTTGGTGGTCTTCTGATAAGTATCGAGAGGAAATTTGGTCAAGAGGTTAGATGGCTTCAAGCTCCCGTTTGCCACAAGCGACCGGAGTGTCTCTGGTAACAGAACGAGTAGCGAAACGAGAAATACACCGCTGTAGATAGTTAAGAACCAGAAGATAGCCCTCCATCCCAAGGAGCCTGCAATACCACCGCCAATAACCGGTCCCACAGCAACAGGCACAAGGAGTCCCGCTTGGAAGATACCCATAAAGCCTCCTCGGTCAGCTCGAGTGGTAATGTCGCCAATGACGCCGGACCCAATAGCGATAGTGCTAGCACTGCCAGTGCTCTGAAGACATCGGAGCACGATGAGTGTAGCATAATTCTTGGTTTCCGCGAGTCCAATACAGGCGCCGAGGAACACGAGAAACGTGCATGTGTATGCGATTCGGCGACCTCGAACATCGGACACCGGGCCCCAAAAACTTGGTGCTATTCCTTGGAAGATAAGGTAAGACGTGACTGTCAAGTTGACGAGCTCCAGAGATACGTTCAAGTCATCTGCAATGGTTGGTAACGCTGGGAAGTAGATATTTGATGCGAAGCCAGAAACTAACATCTTGGTTAATCATGCGACATATGGCATAGCTAGGTGCCATGTAGTAAGACTTACAAGTTGCGGCAAACGAGACGATGAAGACAATTAACCATTTTTGTCTCTTATCAAATATCGTGTAAGGTGGCTCCGGAGTGTTGAATGCTTGCGGTGCTGAATTACTGCTCTCTGGCTGCTCTTTTGGGCCCCCGGGGGACATGATGTGTCGATTGACTTTCGTCGATGAACGAATGTGATAAATAGAAACGTATCTTAAGGTTAAAGAGAGACTGGTATGTGTCCATCTAGGAAGACAAACCATGCGTTTATATATCTGGGAGTGCGGAGGTTATGAAGTCCGCTGTTCGGGGTTGGCGGAAGTTTAATGTCGGAGTTGAGGGTGGCGCCCCGGAGCTGACAGCCGGATTAGATTGGTCCAAGAGAGGCAGTGGCAGAATCAGGAATGTATGGGAGATAAAGGGGCTTCATTGGAGAGGCTTAGGATATAAATGGGTATCAGCTTTACCGCTCTTGGGCGGTGACAAGTCCGGCGCAAGGAAGAACCTCAACTCCGCCAAACGGGAGTCTAAGAGGAATTGTGGCAAAGCGCCGGGGTTGAGAATAAATATAGATTCCTGTCCATAGATTGCCTGCAATATGTTGTCCGTCTCTCTACCTTACTATCTGATTTTTGTTCTATATTCAAAATGGGTTCTACGCAAGAACCCGTGAACTTCGGGCAACACTATGCCATCCTGAACCTTGATTGGATATGTCTTCTGATAAACGCGATTGAGGAAACGCCGGAAGGAAAATCAATGATTGCAAGCTGCTCCATATGGAACGATGCTGTTCATTCCAAGAGCAAGCGCCCTCTCACCATCTTCACAACTCTCGCCTTCAATCGTGGCCAGCTGGAGCTAGAGGCCAACAAGCCCTTTGCCAGGCTCATCGCCCCGTTTGGTTCTTTTGAAGACGGGTCTCCTGGAGTCAAGATTGATTCTCGCTTTATGGTAGATGAGAAAGATGTCGTCCTTCGGAAAACCAGATGGTCAGCAACAACTGGAAACAACCTGGAGCAAATCCTGAAAGCGCAGGGAATAGATACTGTGGTTATCGTGAGTGGCCATTTTCCGTTGAGCTGCGAAAAGTAGCAAGCTAACAGAAAGTGCTCTAGTCCGGGTTGAGCCTTTCTGGCGTCGTGATGGCGACCATATACCGACTGTTTGACTTGGACTTCAACATCTATGTCATCAGAGACAATGTGGTGGAGTTGCCTGTGGATCAGGATGAAGCATTCTCAAAGGTGATGCTCGAGGCTCTGATTCCTAAAATGAACCTTCGGGTCATTTCTCTAGATGAAGCTATTCAGGCGCTTGGTCATAGGTAGTTTTGTTCATGGAGAACGACCTAGGAAGTATCGAAGTCCAGAGTCCATCTTTTTCGCTAGGATATTTTTTGCATGTCATTCAATACACTGGGTCAACAACCGTGCGTACAACCTGTTACTGCAAAGATCATAGTTCCAAATTCATCAACGTTTTCCAACCATTGATCTATCCTCCGTCGCTTTCGGACAATGTCCACATCGGCCAACTCGGGGGGGATAGGCCAAAGCTCATCGATTGTGAGACTCTTTTCTGTCCACTCAGCAAGGAAAATATTATATTCTTTCTCCCAATCGCTTCGGCTGCACGCTTGCCACAATGACTTATTCGATGGTGCAGGAAGGCCACGTAGCTCGGTGCCGAGGAAAGTAGGGAGATTCTCGTGAGCTGAGAGTACACTATCGAAAAGGTACATCACATATAGCGTGCGCCGCTTCGCCTCAGCCACGATCCATTCTTCCCATCTTGGACGTGTATGAGCTGCATCGGCCGTACAGACTAATCCTCTGCGGGATGACAAGGAAGCAACTTCCTGAAGAGTCATCATCGCACCTCGGAAGAATGGGCTAGTGCCCTGACTGAGCCGAAAGAACAGAATCATGGTGTATATGAGGTAGGCCTGAAACGCAGCGAGTAGCGACATGTCATCATAGTTTGTGTGCTCTTTCGCTATGTTCTCCATCTCGCGTTGAAGAACAATAACGGCAGCGTCTTCACTTCCTGGTAATGGATTTACACTTATTCGGACTAAGCTCAGACATGTGGCAAGATGCGTGCGGGGTTCCTTCATCTGTGTGGGATGAATGAATGGGAGTGTAGCACGGCCACGAGCCGCCACGGCTGCGTATGACTTCAAAACTCGGTATATGAAGCGAGTGACGGTGGCTGGATACTTCTTGATTGCCGGCTCGGCACCAGAAATATAAGGGTTCAACCAGCGGTTACTGATGTCGTCGACATTGATGGGACAGATCAAATCCAGACGGGAGAAGTTGAAAATGTCTGGCTTCTCGGGTACTTCGCCCAGGGAACTTGAACCCAGATGTCTTAGAAGACGAGATTCAGGCGTGGAAATAGACGGAATGGAAGACATAACGGAGCCTGCATCATTGATGATAGTCTGTGTGTCCACGATATGCTCTGGCAAAGTCGGATTTGTACTCTCGGCGTTGATTGACAGGTCGGAGTTGGGGCCGGGGAATGATGCATCGGGCCTCGAGGTTGAGACAAATGTGCCTCCGTCACTAATTGAGCTCTCGAGCCGGGTGCTCTCCGATGGATTCGACCTAGGGTATACGCATGAGAGGTTTCGTTGGGTGCATCTGGTGCATCGCCCCTGCTTGCGATCGCACTTGGTTTTGGAATTTGAACATTGCTGGCATGATTTCTGCCTCGAGCTGATATAACGTGAGACTTTCATGTTAGACAAGACATCTAAATGGTTCTGTATCCAAGATGAGAAGTCGACGCGATGGATGGCAATGTGTTGAAACACGGTGTGAAGTGGATCATACGGGTCAACCAATGGAATCGCAACAAGCCTAATTGCTATTATCCCCATCTCCTAACAATTTATAGTTAGTTAACTTAGTAACTAACGTATTCCGTAACGTAATTCACAAGCGAGTGGCCCATACAAGCGAGTGGCCCACCCACCTACACCTGTGAACGGAATAATGGTGACGGTTAAAAGGACGCGGAAAACAGCGTCTCGGAGGATTACTCATCTGTCTGCACGTGACTTCGGGGCTACTGCATAGCTCCTGGGAGTGATTGGGTCTTGGACTCCCTCAAGTAGCGGTGGTCTGCAGGGTCCGTAACACCCCGCCTAACAAAGAAACAACCCTACACGTCGGCGATAAGGGGCGTGCACTAACTCGACTAAATATTAGCGACCTAACCAGCCTCCTACCATAGACACATCCAAGTGCTCAAGCCGAGGCTAGACATAATTTAGTATGCTTTGAGTTATATCCTTCTTAGACGCTTCGGACTCCTAGCTCCCTGCCATCTAGTAAAGTGGCTAACAGACTCGCACTACATTATTGTTAGGGATCGGGCCAAATTGTATCAATTAATAGCGCGTCCTATTTCACAAGAAGGATTCGTTAAGCAGAGAAGAGAAAGGAAGAAACAGAGTATGAAGAAAGGGGAAGCCGAAGGCGGTCAAGGCGGTGAAGCTTAGCTGAGCATAAATATCAGGGCTTCGCATGAAGGTCCTATAACAGCGAGCTTCTTTCTCTCCATCGTTCGCAAGGCATCTCGACGTCTTGATCGCTGGGATTATGAAGATGCCAATAGACCGAAGAAAGTCCGCCAGAGAGAACGGGAGGGGCGACAGAGGGCCAAGGCCACGCTCGAGGCAGATATACGAGCTGCGAATAATCGATCTCGTCCACGCCCGTCGCGGGCCAATGCAGCCAAACGCAAGTCCACTGGTCCAGCAGCAACACCAGGAACCGGTAAGAAATCATCTAGGTCTGCACGACCGAAGGCTAACCGTAACCGCCCGGCCGGTGCCTCTGCCGTGGGCACCCCGTCCTGGGATGATCATAGCGCTAGCCACGAGTACTTAGGAGAACTAGACGACCTAGACCGCGAGCTACTAGGTGAGGCGTCTGGTGATGATAATATGGCGCTCCGCGCCGGTCAGGAAGAAGGTGATTTCTCCGATGAGTCTGGTGATGAGGATGGGGATAAGAACTCGTCCACGTATGACGGAGCTAATGGTTATGCACGGCACATGAGCTCGTCGCCTGTTCCAGATCGCGCTGATGGCCGACGTGCAGGGGATGAAACGGTGGACAATTAGACTTGATCTGAGTGTTATCAAATTCGGGTCAAGATCTCTGCGATGTGCAATAGCTTGTGTTATTATTCACTGAGCTGGCGTTTAAAGATACGTGATAATTGGAGGGTTGACAGTGGAAAAACCACGAACGTGCGTGGTGTTTTTGCAAAAAATCGTGGCATTCACTCGGAATGTCGTGGTCTTTCCACGCGGCGTCGACGGCCCCACCCTCGATCGACACGCTTTACCCAAAACAGTAGTATACTCTCAACCCTGAAAATAGTACAACCCCGTACCGACTATATCATACATCGTGGAGAGGGAGATATAAAGACGGACGTAGGTCCTCCCTCGCAGACTCTAGGCTTCGATCACACTCTCTCCAGCTACCGCGATCCTAGATGCCGCCATCGACGAGAAATCCCAAACACGCGGAGGAAATTCTCAACTGGAATGCCTTCCTCCGTGAGCCAGACCCAGAACCTGGAGATGACAATGTGATCTCGACTCGGCAGAAAGTGAGAGCTATCGGGAACAACTTCAAAATGTACCGCCCCTTAGACCCCTGACCTGAACAGTAGCTCAATTCTGAAGGTGGACCAAGGAATTCGATCCACCAGACTGGAAACCCTGCTGCCACTGCCACCAATTGAGCAAGATCGGAGCGGAGGAAGTCGCCTTAACTCAAACGCACGTAATTCGACAAGGCGCCGTTTACACTACTTCGTCGAAGCTGTACCTGGTTCAGCATGCCTCAGCCGTCCTACTATCTGGACCTGGCCTCCGCCTGCTGCTGCTTAGTGTACTGTTCGTCCATTTCCGGTAGCAGCAGGGTCATTGGCATCGGCCGTGGCCGCGAGTAGTCGCTCCACTACTCCCAGATGTCCCCCGTCCGGAATGACCAGATGCTGGCGCATCGCCGACGGCTTCCCTCCGATGCACGCGGTCGACCTGAGCCGACAAGTCATGATAGAAGTAGCGTGATGCATCCCTCGGTGGCTAGGACTCAGTTTATGAGAGATAAGCTAGATTCCGCAGGGTAGACAGCGTAAGTATGTAGACATCCCCGACTAAGATTCTCAAAGTTGTCATCGCATCCGCAGTGGTCAACACTTTCCTAGCAGAAGGTTCTAAACGAAATAAGGCAAACACCGTGATGGGAATCTGTACACAAATTCTCCACTACTATTTCGGAGTTCACATTGGTTCGTTCTCACCGCCTTCGGAGTTGAGGGCGTTATGTATGACCAGAACCCAGCCTAACACTTTGCATCCCCAATATCCCAGGATAATCAATACAAGAGATCTCTATTTCAGTCTATTCCCGAAGATGACTCAAGCCTACACAAACGATCATTCTCAGTCGGTTCTACAGACTCACTCCTGGCGCGATGCTAATAATTCGGCATCCTACCTTCTCCCTCATCTGCAGCCGAACATGAGCATCCTTGATGTTGGCTGCGGTCCAGGCTCTATAACCATAGACCTGGCGCGAAAAGTTCCGTTCGGGCATGTTGTGGGCGTGGAATACGTGCCCGATCCATTAGATGGAGCACAAGTGCTTGCCACCTCCGAAGGAGTGTCCAATGTCAGGTTTCAAGTCGGCGACATACACGATCTGCCGTTCCCCGAAAACACCTTCGATGTTGTTCACGCACACCAAGTGTTGCAGCATATTTCTGACCCAGTCCAGGCGTTCAAGGAGATGCGGCGTGTGGTAAAGCCGGGGGGGGATTGTGGCGGTACAGGAATCTATTCTTTCAACAATATACCCCGATTCGGAAGAACTGATGGCCTGGCGGGATCTTCAGGTCCGTATTCGACAAGCTAAAGGCAACCATATAAAAGCCGGGAGTCATCTTCACGTTTGGGCGAAAGAGGCTGGCTTTGCTTTGGAGAATATGAAAAAGAGTACTGGATCCTGGTGTTTCAGCCGTCCCGACGAACGGAAATACTGGGGCGGTTCGATGGAAGAGAGAGCCCGGTCATCTGGGCTTGCAAAGATCGCAATTCGGGAAGGATTTGCTACGCGAGAAGACTTAGACCGTATGGCAACGGCGTGGAGGGCCTTTGTGGAGGATGAGAATGGGTGGCTAGGATTTCTACATGGACAGATTCTCTGCTGGAAGTGATGTCATATCTTGAGGATTCTCGTGCATAAACATACGGGGATTCTTCGGCTCTGGGCCAGAAAGCTCCATATAATGCCACAAACAGGACAAGTGCGACTAGCATCCGTTGAAGGGACGAGGAAATAGTTAAATCGTTGATGCGTCTTGCGCAACCTCTTGAAAGAGGCGAGTCAAGATGGCTTTTCTGAACAAAATGCTCACTTCGGTGGTGGCAAACCTAACGATACTGTGAATAGGTACACGGAATCCTAAAACGTGCTACTGGACATGACTTCCAAAGAAGACATCGAGTTCAATACCTCGGAGTTGTCAGCGTTCTATGCAATCTAAGTTATCCATTGTGGGTTAGGCCCTGGATCTTCCATCATGATTGGTCAGAGTCCAGCACGTCTCCGACATATACACATAAGCGGATCAAGTAGGCAAGCTCGCGGCAAAAGTCGGCGAACAAGATCTGAAAGCGAAGACCCTCCTCATATGCAACCTCGCCATGATAATTGGCACTTCCAATGGGATGATAAGGGGATGAGCTTGCCGCTCGAATGGTTCATTGCTATCAGGGATCCGCCATCGTTGACTTCAAACTTACTCGTTTCATTCCGGGCAAGGCTCTAGCCTTGGCAAGACATTCAGTCATTACCATTCCATTAAAATCCTGGCCATGGAAAAGTCAGAATTCACTGGTTCAGGGAACAGCTACTCCGTCCTTCCATTCGGCCTGAACTTTTCGTCGACGAGACTGTTCTTTCTGAACGCCTCGAGCATACGCAACACCAAAGCCATGGTTGAATACCTCGCGAATGTCCTCCAGCGTCATTCCCTTGACTTCGGGGTAACAGCAATAGATGGCGCTACGAGGCAGAATTAGCATATATAGCAGTGAAACATGCGCGCATGAGGCTCTTACATCCAGCCGACAGCGCACAAAACGGCGTAAAACCAAAAGGTCCCGGAAGGTGTTGTATTCTCCATTTGCGTCAAGAATGTAGAGGCGACGACGATGTTGGCTCGCCAGCAGGTGCATGTCATCTAGTAGAACAAGTGAGCAGGTGCCAACGATATGTTCGGGTGCCAAGGCTCACCATCATTGTTCCAAGAGCTCGAATCTCAAGCGGGAAGAATTCACTTGAAACCCAAGCCAAGTTGCCGATGCCGAGAGAGTAAAAGATAACGAAGATGATCATCGAGGCCAGAACCAAGTAAACAGGCCAGCCGATGTTCGTGGTTTTCAGAGTAAGGTTCGGTCGGACTGGAATCCAGTGAAAACCTACTGCCGCAATCGCAAGGAACACAGCCTGGAGCTTTGTTTCAGTAATGATTTGGAACGAGTGACTCCCACGCAACAAACGTACCATTCCCTACACAGTAGAGAGAAGAATGCGTCTTCTTCCAAACTGATCAATCATCAAAAAATAGCCAATCGTGCATACAAACCCCGTTCCGGCAATAATCATCCCCACTGCAACTAGGTTAGAGAACCCTACAATCCCAAACAATGTCGAGGAATAATACATCAGAGTGTTGTAGCCGGTAAACTGCTGCATACCCATTAGTCCACAAGCAGCCACAAGTGCCCGGAGGTTGGAGGGGACTGTATAAAGCTGTTTGAGCTGCCGCCAGAGCCCTCCTTCGCCGGCCAAACCCCGCGCTTCTTCGACATGAATTTTCATGTGTTGAACTTTCTGCTGGACTTGCAAGTCTGTTCCATTGGGAAAGATTTTTGCAATGACCCGGCTTGCCTCCTCGGTTCTTCCATGACAGATCAGTTGCCTTGGAGACTCTGGACAAAAGTGCAGACAGATGCCCAAAACAAGTGCTGGGACAGCTCCCAAGCCTACCATATATCTCCAGCCATGGAACACTTTCGACAGCCCAGCGCCGACACCGTAAGCTACCAGCTGCCCGCCAGTGATGGACATGTTATCGAGGCCGATCATGCGGCCTCGATACTAGCAGGAGAGACCTCAGCTATGTAGAGCTGCGAGCTGTCAGCACAAACCATGAAATAAGTGCCAGCCTTCTTTGGTTTCATTGGAACTGAGCTGACTGGAATAATCATGGCTGCGGACCCCACTCCGATCCCAATAACAAATCGTCCGACTGACATTTGTACAAGTGTAAAGGCACTAGCCTGGAGAATTGCCCCAACCACAAGCACAATGCAGCCCAGAAAGATTGCAGCCTTACTGCAGCTAGTGCTCCCAAAAAGGCTCCGCCGGAGGTGAGAGCGGTAATCAATTCCTTCTCGTTGGAATTTAGCTCGTGGGCTAGGTCATCATTGAGTACTACCAGCACAGCCGAGATGATACCAGTATCATAACCTGTAAAGTTTGGAACAACTCTTTGTCAGGGCCCCTAATCCTGTCGCACATACAATTTCTAAGAACTAGCCCAAATAACCTACCAAACAGAAGCCCACCCACCCCTACCGTGATCGACACTAGCCAGGTATAGTACCCAGTCTCTGTGAGTTCAATCGAGTCTAACGAAAATTCGATCGCTTCATTGGCAGCATCCTCCAGGTGTATTGTTCCTAGTTTGGCCTTCGTCTCCCCTGATAAAGTGGTTTCGAAGTCAGGATCCATTGGAACTCGTCAAGAATACGGAAGAAATCGCTGACGGAGGTAAAAGAAGAACGAGTCTGACAGGGAAATTCCCCTTCAATAGTTCAAAAGTCATGGAAGTGGCGTCGAGTCGTCGACGCCACCTGTATATAAACCCCATGGGGTTCAGCAGAAGTGGCATTCGTTAAAATGAACCAGCCAATAGCAAAATAGTTCCTTGCGGAGCCTTCAGTTTAACCCTGACTTTTTTTTAGCGGGGAATGCCCCCAGCTAGACTCGTCGGACTCGGGGAGGTTTGCCATTTGCGCAGTGGCGGGCAATAATCCCCGCGATGCAGTGCGGGGCTTCCCCGGGTGAAGGACAGGCGCGCTCTTTATCAAGAGTACATTTCCCCTTCCATTGCATACAGTACATATTCGCCTATCTTGACTATTTGCTCAATTGAGCTGCTGGGTCGTGGTTTGTTGACGTCATCTGAATCTGCTCCAAACGCCGAATATAATCAGGGCCGAAAGAGAAAATGCCCACTCTTAGTGCAGCTCCATGGTGAGGCACACTATTCCTTGAATCGATCTGAGGTCGATCTCGACTACGAAACGATGCTGAGAGTAACCAAACATGCTGATCCCGCTTTTGCTCCAATAGCCATACTTGCCGAAGTGAGGATCTCCCCCTAAAGTCCCCCAATCTACCGATGTGATGCTGATGCCAGCCCTGTAGAGCGACATTTAAAATGTGAGGAATCCACTTTCTCTGTACATGAGCAGTCGTGAGGGGATAAAACCCCGCTGATACAGAAAAACAGGTGACAGGACGAAGCCCGTTTGCTCGCGATGTCGCCGCTTGAATAAGAAATGCGGGTTTCCGGGTCCTGCGATACGAAATGGCATCGGCGGTCGACGGGGATTGAAGTTTCCTCTAGACCAGCCGTGGATAGGCATTTCGAGAAGTCGTGAGTTTGGTGGCGCTTCTCGTGCGATTGGCTAAGTCTCTGCTGACGAATTGTCCTCTGCTTTAGGATTGCAATTCATTGACGAAACTACTGATTTAGCACACTATTATGGCCACCAAACACCACCCTCGGTCTCGCAAGCTTGGCAGGACCACACAGTTCCCGACCCGTCTCCTATTTCGACATCTTCCAGCATTGATTCAATTCCAACTAAAATACCAGACGAATCCCAGACATTGACATCACCCTTGAAGTCGGTATTTGGCGACGCAGAGTATGACAGAAATCCCGAAATAAACATAGAGGATCTTCCAGAAGGCTGTGCGCTCACTGTGGACTCTCATTATTTGCATGATCTCTCTACGGCATGGTATGGCTTCCCGAGAAAAGCCTCACTCCAAACAAAAAATATCGACCAACGCGAACCTGATATACACCGTTGCGAGTCTTTGCGCTCACCACGCACTTCAAGCTTCGAGAATTCGGCAGAGTCTTCTCAATTGTGTCACGGCGCCTCGAGGGATATAACTCCAGCTTCAGTGTATTCCTCAAACTTCTGGCCTCTTCAAGACGTTCAAGAGGCGTACCTTATGCGCTACTTTGTTGACGAGCTTGCCCAATGGGTCAGTATTGCACATCACTATAGAGAGTCATCAAAGCCCCGTGGAGACAAGAAAAACAAGCTAATAAATCCCTTGTCAAGTTTGATTCATGTGACCTGACAAGACATTCTGCGCTTGAGGTCCCTGACCGAGCGTGTACTTGCCCTGCAATTCTATACGCAATATTTTCAGCATCTGCTAGACATATTAGCCAGTGCCAGGATAAAAAGCATGAGGGAAGGACGTCAAGAAAGGCCACTAAACCTTTTATAGCATCTGAAGTCGCCCTAGAGTATCAGAATTTGTGCATTTCGCACCTTATGTCTCTGTCTGGGGACACAACGGAAGTACAGGACGAGAACCTGTTAGCGGCTGCTGTCATACTCCGGTTTTACGAAGAACTCGATGGTAAGAGCCTATCTTCGTCTATTCGGATCTCTGATAATGCTCAACGGCAGCTGACTGAATATGCTTTAGTGCCACTTGTGGGCATCGATGACGAGACGTATCTGCGTGGCACGCAAGTGTTCCTCGAAGCCCAGGCCGGAACCGCAGTTCGAGGTCGTGGGCTTCAAAACGCGGCTTATTGGGTGGGGATCCGGCAAGAGTTTCACACTGCATTCATCAAACAGCGAGCATTCCGGTTCAATTTGAGCTGCTGCAACTATACGACTTATAAAACCCTTGAACCCGCGGATGACTTCACATGGGCTAATAGGGTCATTCTGCATTGTGCTGAGGCCCTAACATATTGCTACAGGGGGGATGATCACAATGCGGAACAGTATGATCGGCTTTGGGATTACAACCAAAAATGGTACGCATCGAAACCGCCGACATTTGAGCCCATTTACTACCAGCCTCCCGATCACTCAAAGGATGAAGTGCTTCCGCAAATTTGGTACATCGGTAACAGCCAAGGTATATATTCAGACCCTTAATTTGGACGCAAGAAGACCGAGTGTTGACTATAATGAAAGTTACCGCGATTCAGCATTGGCATCTGGCACGAATCCTCCTTGCAGCTTTTGATCCAAAGACACCTCGAATGGGACTTATTCAGAAAAGAGCGGCTGCCAACAGAGAGGTAAGATAGAACTACAGAAAAAGGGTTGCTCAACATGATTAAAGAGCTTTCCAGGCTGAGATAAAAAGCAATGTCTTCCGACTTTGTGGCATCGCACTGTCGAATAAGACGGCACCGGGCCTTATCACGGCATGTATGGGTGTGTCAATGTGTGAGTTTACTCGAGCGGCAGTCACTGTAAAGAGACATTCTCTGAAACTGATTTGCAGGTGGAGATCGGATTACCGATGGGTTAGAGCAAGAGGCTATGCTGGATATTCTGATCAAGACGGAGGAGACTCATGCTCTGCCCACTGGGAAGGCTCAAAGAGAACTTAAGGAAGCTTGGGACTGGGGTCCATGACAGACTACTGTGATTTAATTCCAAAAGAAACAGCTTTGATAAGCGACAGTTACTAGATAGAGCAGGAGGCATCTACAATGATGGAAGTCGAATCGAGGTAGCTGTATCGATTTTTATCGAATACTGCATATTTTAGTGAATCTGCTGGTGCGGGACTTTCTAATAACACGATTCTGCAGTTGTCGTCATATATATCCCGCCATCGATATATTGGTTGATGAGACTATTTGTTGGGACTGGGGTTCTGCCCGCAGCGCACCTATAGATAGCAGTAGATTAGACTTCCGCATAACCCAACTTGGGTCGAAGATCTCGACCCAAAACCCAACCGGACCTAACCCGGACCTAGTACTAGGGCTCTAATAAAACCTAATTTAACCTAATTTAACCTAACTTTTATATAATTCTAATTATAAAGCCATTTAGTTATTAAGATAATATACTATTATTAAACACTATTTTTGTTCTAATATAAGTTATAATTATAACTGATAATATAGAAGTACTTTAAGATAGCTAGATATTTAAAGAGTAAATAAAAAAATAGAGTAAAGATAACTCGATTTCTAAAAAATGATATATATTTCTATATTTTAATAGGTTTTCTACTAAAACCCGTTTTTAGTTATTACTATTTTACTAATTTATTATAAATACTAATATTAGATAGAATCTTTAGTTAATATATTTTTTTATAAGAAACTTAGGAAAAAGATATTCTACAGTTTTTTATATTTAATCAGCTTCTACTTTATCTTATCGAGTATCTAATATTTTAGTAGCTTATTTCTTAGGCTCGTTACTCTCTATTATTACTAATAAACCCTTTTACTAATATAATCCGCCGCTAACTAAGAAATCTTATAAGACTAGTAAAAGTATATCTTTTAGATACTATCTATTAGCTTAAAGATATTAATTATATTAGACTACTAGATATCTCTATTCTTATAAATATTTATAGTAATTACTAAATATATTTTCTAGTAATCGCTATCTTTATATGATATTCTTTTTTTTATAATAGATATAGAAGTTAAATAACTCTTTAATATTACTTAAGATATCTATTATTATTATTAAAAAAGAATAAAATTATAGATAATTAAAGAGTAAAAGACGAGTCTTTTTAAGAAGTTCTTTTTTTATAATAAAATAGAAGTTATAAAAAAAAGAAAGATAAAAAATATAATAAGATTAAGATTAATCTAATTAGTAATACTAAAAAATAGGATATTATAATTAAAAAAAGGCTAAATAAAGTAAATAATATAGATAACATAAATAAGCCCTAACTACTATTATCTAAGAATAATACCTAGATATAAACCTTAGGATAGAAATATAAGAGTTAAGATAATAATATCTTTAAGTATTATTAGTTAGATTTTAGTAATAGATAAAATATATTATTCTTTATTTTTTTCTCTATATAGATCTATTAGAACTAAGATTCTAAATATCTCTATTAAAACTAGGGTTTTAAGATAGATTTTAAAACCCTAGTTCTAATCTATCTAAATATTATAAGATACCGCCTTCCTTTTAAGCGATAGGCTTCTTCATATTTTTAAACTAGTAATTAATATATTAAAAGATAAATAAGATATATTTATTATTATAGCTAATCAGCGGCTTATCTTAAGATCAATTCAATTTATTTATAAAAAAAGTACTTAATATTATAGATAAAAAATATATAATTTATATAGTCACAGGCCTTAGTATATATATTACGTTTATAACCTAAGTTAGGGCCCCGGACCCAACACTGGGTCGGAGTCTTCGACCCAAAACCTAACCCAGCCCGGGTTGGGTCCGGGTTATATTGGGTCGTGCGGAAGTCTAAGCCTATACGACCATTCACAATCTTCTTCCCGAGCAAGGTACAAACTTTTGACTTCTGACTCGTGTCTTCTGACTTGTGTGAGTTTGCAAGTGTGAAGGGGCGTTCATTTCCATGTCGCAGGTAAAAGGAAAAGGAAGCAGCGGGCTTTCCAAGGGCTGTGTACCAACACGAAAGAGGCATGATCGGACATCGTAGAGACCTGATCACCAGTAGGAAGGGGGGCGGAAGGTCAAGAAGACACAGAAAGAGAAATAAAGCCCCAAGCAATATCAAAGGATAGTAATTCCTCGAGAGTCTCACAAATTGCGCCGAGGCCTAATTCTCATTCAAGTGATTGGATCGAATACTTAAAGACAACGGGACAATCTAGATCCCAAGGAAATGAAAAGATTCGGCCAAGGTCCCTCCGCGACAGCCTTGCTAGAGAAGACTCTCATAGTGTATAGCAAAGGCACATAATGACAGCGCCCGGGTCCGGAGAATTCTCGCTATTCGAGCAAAAGCGACGATTATTCCTAAACTGATTTTTCAGCGGAAGTGACCAACGACCGTGATTTGTTACATCCGAATTCCCATTAGACAGAGAGGGAGCAATGGCAGAGAGGGCGCCTTCCATATATATCAAACAGGCGTGGAAAACATTAAAAATAACCCTTGGCTGAATGGAATAGCATGTCAAAATCCGGGGTATGGTCCAGCGGCAACAATAAACTTTCGAGTCCTAAATTTCAGCTCCGATTCGACTCCAGCCAAGTGCTGATGTCATTCCGTAGAAGCGAAACTATCTGTGTAATATTTAGTCCGACACCTTTTCGAGGAGCAAAGGCAGGTGGTGGAAAACACTCTAAACAACTCATCATGAACCGTCACCAGTCAATCGCCCGTCTCTTCCGAAAGGTATGTGCTGCCTTCCAGTTTGAATATCGGCACAACTCATCGCTTCTTCAGAGTTATGGCCCATTCAAACAGCAAGTGCGATGGTTGAGCCTCCTTGAGCATCATTCTCATAAACTTCTGAACGACGTAAGACAATCTCCCGTGTTCCCTCTATTCATTTTCATTGCCAGCTTACTTTGCTCACCTGGCAGTTTCATATTCCAGTGCCTCGTGGCTTTGTAGTGACAAGTCCAGAAGGAGCCAAGGATGTGGTATTTGCAATCAGTGAGACAACCTCTTTGAGTCATACAAAGGAAGGATGGAGGTAGCGACGACGAAGAAGAAGGATTGGAATACCATACCCCCTCGTCGCTAAATATTGTCCAGGTGCGCCATCGGTTCTTAAGTCTCAAATCCTTGCCGGCGGGCGTGGTAAGGGAAAGCTCAGCAGCGACGGTAAAGGAGGAATTCGCTTTGTAAAGTCGTGAGTCCCATTCAAAAAGGAAAGAGATTTATCTATCAGCGGTTCTAACACTGGCATAGGCCTAGCGAGGCCTTTGAAAATGCCACCAAGATGCTTGGCTATTTCCTAACCACGAAGCAAACTCCACCTGAGGGCCTTGTCGTAAACAAATTGTACATCTACAAAGCCGTGGACATTGCACAAGAGTTCTACATTGCCATGACATTTGACCGTGAGTGGCCCGGACCCGTCCTTCTTATGTCCGACGATGGTGGGGTCAACATCGAGTCCAATGTGGATAAACTGCACCGTTTCTGGTTCCAGCTCTCTACGGGAATCACCGCTGAAATCATTGCCGAAATCCAACAAAAATTGGGCTTTAACGTAACCGAAATAGCAGAGATAGCACGCATCCTCTGCCAGATGGCCAAGCTTTTTCAGGAGAAGGACGCTATTCTTCTTGAACTAAACCCGCTTGTGCGCACACCGGAAGGAAAATTTGTCTGCCTCGATGCAAAGTTCAATTTCGATGATGCCGCTAGGTTCCGGCAGCCGGAGATTTTTAGCCTCGAAGAGCGTTCGCCAGAAGCGGAGGATGAATATCAGGCTTCTATTCTGGGTCTTTCCTATGTTCGTCTGGATGGAAATATTGGGAATGTTGTCAACGGAGCCGGTCTCGCAATGGCTACAAACGACTTGATAAGCCAATATGGAGGGAGGAGTGCTAACTTCCTAGACGTTGGTGGACGGGCAAACAAGGAGACACTGTTGAAGGCTTTTGAGATTCTTAATCAGGATTCACGCATAAAGGGGATTCTCATCAATATTTATGGTGGTGGGTAAAAGGTCAGGCCAGAGGAAGATTCAAAGCTGATGAAGTGCCAGGGATTGTTCGCTGTGATATGATTGCAGAGTCTGTTATTGCTGCAGCTGCTGAGATGGGAGGATTCAGGGTTCCAGTCGTGGCTCGTTTACAGGGCACAAACTGTAACCAAGGCTTGGAATTGGTGAGTGGATTACATTGCCGTTGTACAGGCGCTGAATTTATGGCTTATGTTCAATCGCAGCTTGCAAGCTCGGGCCTACATAATCTACTCGTGGACGCAGATTTCGAGGGGGCTGCTCGTCGGATTGTCAAGCTCACGGCCGGTTCTATCTGAATGATATCAATTCATTGGAATGTTGTGCAAATAATTTAGGGGTTGGGACGGTCGATATCGAAATTTTATCCGGACGCCATCTTCCTTGACACATTAAAGGAAATATTAAACGATATCCTTACTATAACTTACGAGGTTTATAAAATCGCTTCAGTATACTTTAAGAGGTAAATCGGAAAATAAATTAGACCTTAGAATTCGATATTCTTTAGACTAAATATTCGTTAGAAAAGATAATATTCTTTTAATCTAAAAATCGTGTCTATTCGCGATAAAAAATACGTCTTTTTTATATAACTAAAGTTAAAAATAGTATTCGTTTTTTACTCTTCTATTTCCGAAGCCTATATATCTTTAAGATATATTAAATTATTATTTAAGAGAGAGTAAATAAAGAGTTATTTACTCTAAAAGCTCTATAATTTATTCGAGGGTTCTAACGAGCTATTCAATAAATATATTAAATAGTCTATTTATTTAATTTTAGGCGTCTACTACGTCAGAGGTTAGATTTAAGAGTATAGTATTGCTAAAAACGATCGCGAGTAGCGTAAATTGCGAGCGATTTTAGTAGGACTTGTGTTATTTTTAAGAGTAAAAATAATAACAACGCGAGTAGATTCTAATGATCTAGTATTTAGCCTACGATTTCCACTAATTTCTATACCAAAATATTGTATATTCGTTGTAGTAGAGAGGGAAAAAAAAGGGGTTAGAATATAGAGTTTACTAAATTCGTGTAGTGTTGGTGGACTTTTGGCACCCAGTAGTTAGCCAGGAGGGTTTTGGCGATATTTAGAAAGGGCTCACAGCTATGTTTCTGCTAATGCACATTTCTAGGCTATCAAGTCCTCTAGGAGTATCATGATATAATCCAGGACACAGGATACAATTTTGAGGTCTATACTGAGCTTTTTATAATGTTTCTGTCCAAACACCTTGCATTCGTGGTATATACAAAAGACAAAGTCCTTCTGAAAAGTGCTGAAAACGAAGCCGGGCGGATTCGCTGCACCAGAAAAAAATAAAACACGATGCAGAATCCATAGAGACCATAAGGTTCCTCTACCCCGAAGCAGCCCGGCTCATCTTCCTTAAAGCAAAGTAGCAGCTCACCAATCGTCGTCGTCATCTTTCTCGTCATCTGAAAAACAATCCGGTTAGCGTATGAAGAAAAACCGATGCAGGAATAGACACATACCGCTTCCGCTGACCCTCTGTTTTCTTTGCTTGAGAGCATCTTGCAATGCACCAGCCAAACCGCCCTGCGGAGCTCCTCCTGTGCTAGAGGCTGCGGCAGATGACTCGTTGGCACCTCCGGGCACCATGGCAGCGCTTCGGTCCTTCTTTTCGCTGTCTTTGACCTTGCGCAAGCCACCACCACCCGAGGCTCGGATAGATGCCATGAGATCGTCTCGTCCACCCGTGCTTTTTGGCAGCGGGGGAGCCGCTCCACCAGCCGGGGCCGGGGGTGGAGGTGGTGCCCCACCACCTCCGGATGCCGCAGGCGGCGGCGGTGGCGGCGGAGCTCCTGCAGGTGGCCCCGTTCCCGCAGCAGGCGGGGGAGGTGGTGGGATGGAAGGACCAGAACGTCCCGGTGGTGGTGGGGGAGGCGGCGGCCCTCCTGGGGCTGGAGAGCCTGTCGCTGGCGGGGGAGGTGGCGGAATAGAGGGACCAGAACGTCCTGGTGGGGGAGGTGGAGGTCCTCCAGGAGCTGCAGAGCTCGTCGAGGGCGGCGGCGGCGGAGGAACATTCGGGGAAGACGTGGTTGCAGATGGCGGAGCTGGAGGAGGCGAAGCAGGTCCTCGCGGGGGTGGCGGAGGAGCTGCCGGGGCAGACGGTGCCGATGGTACAGGCCGAGGTGCTGGTGCGGGCGGAGGTGAAGCAGGTCCTCTGGCAGGTGGAGGGGGTGGAGCTGTAGCTGGAGTGGCTGTGGGGACTTTAGGAGGCAGCTGGGGCGGTGATGCTGGGCTCACAGCACGTGGAGGCGGAGGCGGAGGCCCCGGGGGTGCCGGGTTACGGCTGGGCGGCGCGGGCGGAGCAGACGCCTTGCGGTCGCCCGAGAAAGGCGGAGGCACTCCAAATCGAGATTGGGAGTCTTCCATCGGCGTTTTCGGGGGTCGTGGCGGCGGCGGAGGACCAGCATTAGCGCCTGAAATGGCCCGGGGTCGTCTCGGAGGCGCAGGGCCGGCCGGTTCAGCAAATTTCCCAGCGTCTGCAATCGGAGGGGGCGCATGAAATCTTGGGCCGGGCAGAGGGGGCGGGGAGGGTTCGCGAGGCGGCGGAGAGGCCGTTTCCTCAGGAGCATCGGCGCGGGTTTTTCGTGACGGGGGAGGCGGAGGAGGGCCGCGTCGGCTTCCAGTGCTCGTCCCTGTCCCTTGCGGGCTAATTGCGTTCGCCTTAGGGGCGAGCGGCGCGGGAGGTGGTGGAGGTGGAGCCTTGGGCTTGCGCTGATCCTCAGCGGGAGTAGGTTGGGCTGCCGCTTGCTTCTGGTCGATCCAAGCCTTGATAAAATCTGAATTCTCCGCGATTTGGTCTTCTGTGATCCCCATTTGCATCAGCTCATCTAGCAGGCCCTTCCACGACGGATCACTCGTGTCAAACGGCAAATCTGCCTTGGCGGCTGGCGCACTCGCGGGCTGTGCCGGGGGTGGAGGTGCGACCTGGATTGATGGCGCAGGCGCGGGCGGTGGTGCCGTGCTCGTAGCCGGACTCGATCGATGCAACAAGCTACCAAACAAAGACCTCCCTGGGCCCTTTCCGTTGGCAACCGGTGCAGGGCCCTGTCCCCGCGTAGAGGCAAATGGAGTCTTGCTGGTCTCTTTGCTCGCATTTTTCTCACGCTCTTGCATTTTCTTGATGAATGTTTTGGCCTCCTTCTCATCGACAAAGGACAGGCCGGCGGGACAGTCCTCGAGTTCGAAGGTGTGGAAGAAAGTCCGATCCTGGTTGTAAGCAAATTTGTCGTAGATCTCTTGGTCCCAGATCACACCCTTTCCAGCGGGCTGTAGACATCCCACGTTAGCCGGTCAGGTCTTATCTCCAGAAGAGATGAACCACCTACCGAGACGTCGACCATTTTCAACCAGAAGGTCCGTCCCACCAAATCATTGCAAAGCACTGCTGCTCCCTGCATACCGGTGTATGTCCATCTTTGGGGATCCGGGTAGGCGACGTAGAGTCGCGCGACAGCTACAGCGAGGATCTTGTTGGCGGGTTTCGGTACGTTTCTCTTGACGGTTTCCTTGTCGGTATCACTGAGGATAGAGGGCATAGCGAATCAAGACCCAACTGGGTCAAGAGGGACAAGGTGATGGTTTGGGCGGGGTTAAGTCAGTGGAGGGAGCATTGCAGATGGGTGTCGCTCGATGAGTGGAAAGGTGTCCCCCGGCACAACAACTGTCGGGATATCGCCGGGATATAAGAGGATGCGCTCCGATAAGGCCTAAGGAATCCCAAGGGGGATTTAGATGTCCAAGAAAGGGTGTGTGAGGGGATGAATGGGGGATTGAAGAGGAGCCGACCGGCGGTTGCCTTGGAGTTGAGAGAAGGTGAGCTGGCCGGGAGAGAAGTCGTAGGGCGGGGGGAACACAGTACATGCGGGTACATGGGCATTACGGATCACCACTATGGGGCACGTGGTACCTCCGATGTACTCGAGTAGCATCTGTTCATTTTGCACTCTATTCACTCGCTAGGGCTTCTCTGGGGTTTTTGGTGGGTTTCAATTGTCTTTTTAACCAGCACTTCCCTCATCTAATGCTCCAAAACCACGTTGTGGACGGCCATACCCGCATGTGTCGTCCTCTGTCGATCTATAAACAAGATGCATTTGGTCCATCCAGCGACCCAAACATGATTGGAATGCCCTGGATAAAAGCGCATCATTCTAGGATTACCCTGGAACGTCCTAGGTAAGATACCCCGAGATTCCAGGCGTCTTTTGCAGGAGTTTGTGTTCAACTTCAGCCGACCGCCGACGTCATCCCGCTTGGGATCTAGATAAATGGCCTCGTCGCAGCTTCGTTTCCCAGTTCTGACAACCGTCGTGCCATTCTCTGTACTATTGGTATAGCACTGGATTGTGTTGATTCTTATTGCTTCTAACTACTCGTTCATCGCCTCAACAATGCCCATCATTCCCGATTCATCGGACTTCCCTTCTGCGGCGCAGAAGGAAAGCAAGGAGTCCCAGAACAGACCTGGCGAACAGCCTCAGAAAGCATCTGCTGTCGACCATCTATCCAAGGGACCTCAGATTCCAGAGAGTGAGTATCTATGACAGATGCCCCATGTTTCACACTTGTAACTGACAGCCACACCAGACATGCCACCCAAGGTGTCGAAGGAAGAAATCGAAGCCCGCATGAAAGAGTTGAATCAGAAGAAATGATCCGTGTATGTATCTTGGCGATCTAACATGGAAATGCTATAGTGAGATATGACAAGTTGTGTATGTCGACGGTATCTATATTGCGCTTTGCCTTGAGCTCTATAACTACAGTTGCTCTTCAACCAAAAACATTATATTACCCCTTGTCTCTTCAATAAAAAACTGGTTAAACAAGTGCCTCTTTGTAATTGATCTGCCAATGCGACTTGTATTCTCCTATTTCTTTTCTTCGTGTCGCAACATTCAAGTAGACCCTCGTTGCATCATACCACGTGATCTCGCGGCGTATCTATCGCCAGTCTGTGACCTTGCGACTGTCCACGCGTCAAGACGGGCTCCTCATGCCTCTGGAACGAGCAAATGCCCCGGTGAAGTTGTCACTGCCATTGGTAAGTAATATGGGTTGTTTGTCTTCGTTAAATTCACTCTCTGACCCCGATCAAGCAATACCAGCAGGACATCTTCACCGAACTGCGCTCCGAGGATGAGCTGGTCGTTCTCGCTCGCGGCCTGGGGTTGCTGCACCTCATTACCAATCTTCTCCATTTTTATGATGCTGCAGGGAATAATCTGGTTCTAGTGGTTGGCGCGGATGATCGAGAAAATGAATGGATCGGAGAGGGTATGTTGGTTGAAATTGATTATACTCAGACTGTTGGATGCTAACGCCTATTGAAATATAGCCCTAGCGGAGCATTATGCCCTCAGCAAGTCTCCTCTAGCCAGGGGGTTGAAGGTGATCAACACCGAGAAAGCTACTGTTCCGATGCGGTGGGTTACCTTGGATTTGTCGCGCCGACTGCGGTGGTGCTAATGGGGATCTAGGGAGCGGATCTACGCCGAAGGAGGTATTCTGAGTGTAACATCCAGGATATTAGTTGTGGATCTATTATCGAGTACGCAAGAATACTTTATTTTCAGACACCAGCTGATTCATATACTAGGGCTCCTCGATCCCGAGAAAATTACCGGGATGATCATCTTACATGCCGATAAGTAAGAACACGAGCATTTGAAAAAAAAATTGTTCATTGTCTAACCTTGATATCAGGACCGTTGCAACCTCCCTTGAGGCATTCATCGCTCGCATCTATCGGCAAGCGAACAAGCGTGGCTTTTTAAAAGCATTCTCGGACTCTCCAGAGCCATTCACCACCGGCTTTGCTCCGCTGGCGAATATGCTGCGGAACCTCTTTTTACGCAAAGCGTCGTTGTGGCCCCGATTCCATGTATCTGTGGCCGATTCTTTGGAAGGGCATCGCAAGGCAGAGGTGATCGAACTGGAGGTCCCAATGAGCGGCAAAATGAGGGAAATCCAAAATGCCGTTCTAGAATGTGTCGAGATCAGCATCAGCGAACTTCGAAAAACAAACACAGGTCTGGACATGGAAGAATGGACATTGGACAGCGCCTTGCACCGAAACTTTGACATCTCTATTCGGCGTCAGCTGGAACCCATCTGGCACCGGGTAAGCTTCCGGACCAGGCAAATTGTCAGCGACTTGACAGATCTTCGGGCAATTCTCCAGTACGTGGAAGTTTAGATCATTGATTCTATTTTTGACCTGTGCTAACAAGAGGACAGTGCTTTGCTCACATATGATGCGGTGTCTTTCGTGAAATACCTTGATACCATTATGGCTGCCCAGTCTCCGCCTCCGGGCTCCAACAAGCATAGTTATTCCCCATGGCTCTTCCTCGATGCTGCTCATGTTCTCTTTCAAACCGCCAAATCCAGAGTGTACGAAGGTAAACTTAGCAACGACTTCTCCCGTCCGTCATTGTCTACAGCATTCTCTTCTGAATTGAAGCCAGTTCTCGAGCCACTTCCCAAGTGGAACGTTGTGTCAGAATTGCTCGGAGAGATCGACCACGACGCTTATATCCACCCAGCGAATACGAACGAGACAAATGGCACGATATTGATCATGTGCAATGACCAGCGGACATGCCGTCAGCTTCGAGAATACATTGGCACCATGCATGCCAAGATCCATCATAGATCAGAGGCCAACGAAGACGAAGACGATTTTGACGAAGACAAGCCATCCGCAGAGGTGATGATGCGACGTCGACTGCGAGACTACCTTAACTGGAAACGATCACTGTCGAATGTCAACAGGAATCTGTCACAATCAACCAACGACGAGAAAGCTGGGAAGTCTCAAGAGTCACCTGCAGCGCAAAACCAACAGCATGGAAAGCCACCTCCGAACAAGCGTCGTCGAGTACGTGGCGGCGGTGCTGTTACGTCGGCCTCCGGGCGTGTGCCCAACACCAGTGTTCAGACCGAAGTCGAACTGCCTGGTCAGGTGGTCGGTCTGCTCAACGAGCTTCAGTCCACAGAAGTGGAAGAGACACAGAAAGAAGAAGTTGTCGTCGATGAACTCGAGTATATGGAAGACTACTACGAGCTGTACGACATGAATGACCTTATCATGATCCATCCGTACGACGGCGACATGGATGAGCATATCTTAGAGGAAGTGCGGCCCCGTTACATCATAATGTACGAGCCTGACCCTGCCTTCATTCGGAGGGTGGAGGTCTACCGCAGTTCGCACTCGGGGAGGGAAGTCAAGGTGTATTTCATCTATTATGGTGGCTCGGTCGAGGAACAGCGATATCTGAGTGCTGTTCGGCGGGAGAAAGACTCCTTTACGAAGCTCATTAGAGAGAAGAGCGTGAGTTGTTTGCGCCAAGCCCCTATAGACGGTTGCTAATATACTTGCTAGAACATGGCGGTCACCTTGACGCATGACAAGAGCGCCGAAGACCCCCAGGAGCAGTTCCTTCGGACAGTGAACACTCGCATTGCTGGAGGTGGCCGATTAGCGGCGACCGCCTCTCCCCCTCGGGTTGTCATTGACGTGCGGGAGTTTCGAAGTGCCCTTCCGTCCTTATTGCACGGCAACAGCATGATTGTGATTCCTTGCCAACTGACCGTCGGTGACTATATTCTCACGCCAGACATTTGCGTAGAACGCAAGTCGGTTCGTGATCTGATCACTTCTCTCCGCAATGGCCGCCTCTACAACCAGGCTGAGACGATGCTTCAATACTACAAAACCCCCTTGTTGTTGATCGAGTTCGACCAGAACAAGTCGTTCACCTTTGACGCATTCGCCTCGGCTTCAGCAGGCACTACCTTCTCCACCGACTATGGTTTCTCATCCACCGGAGCGGCGACCAGTTCCAGCAGCAGCTCGCTCACCAATCCCTCCAATCCGAAATCCGCACAACATCTTCTCGTTCTTCTTACCCTCGCTTTCCCCCGGCTCAAGATTATCTGGTCATCTTCACCGTACCAAACAGCTGAAATATTTGCGGAGCTCAAAAAGAACAGCCCTGAGCCGGATCCGCTGCGCGCTGTTCAAATCGGGCTTGATGTGGACATTTCGGATTTTTCTGACTCGGGCAACGTCATGGCTGCTACGGGCATTGAGCACCGCATCTTTAACCTCCTTCCACAAGACATGCTACGAACTGTGCCAGGTGTCACACCGCAGGCAGTCGAACGACTGATCCTCGAAACAGAAAATATCAGCGATATTGCCAACATGGATATTGAACAGCTCGATCCTCTAGTTGGCAAAGAGGCAGCCCGGAAGATGGTCAATTTTTTCCGGAAGAGTGTATTTGAGGATTGAGTATATTGGTCATTGGACCCCTGAAATGTAGGAGACAGAATAACTCAATTGCGACGAAAGATTTTGTACATAGCGTGTCGTACGTGTAGCAGCTCAAGTGGGTCTCTGATCTATGTGATTTGTCTGGTGTTTCCAGCACCAGCACTCGCAACAACCCACAACTAGGGTTGAAAAAGCCGAGACACCCGAGTTTCATGGAGATTTCGATATCGACATGACTTGTATCTTGGCGTGGAACAATGGATCCTGTAGACGCGCTAGCAAAACGAAACACACAGGGCGCATCGGCCCCTGAAAGTGGAGCCTCGACCGGTTTTAAGAAGGTCGGGGTTGAATGACTTGCAGCTTTCCACTTCATACCAGCCATGTATTTTGCAACATTGTTGGCTCCGGTCGCATTGGCGGCTGTTGCCAATGCCAGGACTGCCGACAATGTCGAGCCTTGCGCTCAGGTTAGCAAGTTGGTGACCGCTGCCGACCAGAGCAAGAGTGCGTTCCAGCAAATGATCCAGGCAGATCGAAACCATGGAGAAAGTACTAACGATCGCAGCAAATGTCCGAGTGCCTCATCAGCTGGCACATCAGTGTTTGATGTCTATGCCATTTGATTCAGACTGTGCCGTCTCTTTCCTCAAGCAGGTCCGCAAGACCCTCGAATTCCAGTCGACGGTCGATATCCTCAAGAGTATGTGATCTTGACCTTTTGGGGGTGTGCATCTTCCTGATTCAATTGAACAGACCCTCCCTCGGGATATGCATTTCCGTCTGTTGACCTCCTCGGGGGCATTGACAAGATAGCGGACAAGGCGAAGAGCAAGCACTATTCCAGTCAGTTTGAAATGGATCTGGAGCTTTCCAAGCTGGTCAAATCGGCCCATGACGGCCACTTGACATTACAGCTGTGCTCCCAGAACGTCTTTAGCTATGAAATCGATATGCCTTTGGTTTCAATCTCGTCGGATGGGCTCACCCCTCCCGAAGTATACACATTGAGTGCGTGTTGATATCTCTGTGTTGTCATCCAAATACTGATACGGTTCAAGATGATGCCAAACTTCAAAAGGCGGGCACTGAGGGCGTCTCCAAGCTTGTATCTATCAATGGCACTGACGCGGCCAAATATCTGGAATCTTATGCTGCCAGCCAAAATCTCCACGATCGTGATGCACAGTAAGTTTCCCTTGGATTTATGAATGCAAGAGGCATTAACACAATAAGGTACAATCGATTGTTTCCTGCGGTAGCCCGCAGTGTCACCAACACTGCTATTGACCAGAACGGCATCTGGGCATCCACCAAAGACTGGACAGATGGAGACCACTTGTCGCTCAAGTTTGCCAACGGGTCTGTGAAAAGCATACCGAAGACGGCGAAACCAAGCGAGAGGTTCTTTGATTATGCAAATGGCACGCTCATATACAATATCCAATGTCTACCCAGGAGCTTGTCCTCATCCTCGGGCTCCTCCTCATCGGGTGCCGAGCAAGCCTCATCTGAAGTCCCCGGACTCCCCAAAACCAGCTGGCGCAACTCAGACAATTCCATTGCAGGGTACTTCTCCAGCGTCTCCGGCCTGCACGACACGGCGATCCTGTTCCTCCCAACCTTTTCATCCAGGGCGTCCGAGGTCGCCCAGGTCGCCACGGACTTCCTGCACAACGCCACGGCCGCTGGCAAAAAGAACGTTTTGATCGACCTCGCCGCCAACCCGGGCGGATTCATGTCGGCGGGCATTGACCTGTCCCGGATCTTCTTCCCGGATGCCACCCCCTACACGGCGACACGCTTCCGAGCGCACGACGCCGCCAAGTATCTCACCAAGGCGTTTTCCCGCGACACCAGCCCTGACACGAGCAATATATACGCGTACAAGCAGATGGTCAAGCCGGACCAGAAAACCGGGTTCAGCTCGTGGTCTGATCTCTACGGGCCGCACCAAACCCTAGGGAGCTCGTCCTCTAGTCTGCTAGCCAATTTCAACTACACTGCCACCTCGAACAAAGTCTACCCCATCAATGGATACGGGTCGATTCCATTGAATCCCAAGAAAGCCTTGTTTTCTGCAAAGAATATCGCCATAGTAAGTGTTCCATGCCTACCTACGCCTTCTAATTGAAGACGGAAGAAATAAAAAACTGGAGACATTGGAGACTAACTCAACCCTAAACAGATCACAGACGGCGACTGCCTCTCCACCTGCGCATTCTTCATAAAACTCATGAAACGCCAAGGCGTGCGCACCATCGCCTTCGGCGGCCGCCCTCAACAAGCCCCCATGCAAGGCGTCGGCGGCGTCAAGGGCGGCCAGTCCCTCGGCGTGAACTACATCAACGGATATATCCAGCAAGCCAACAAGCTGATCCAGAAATCAGCCGGGTCCTCGAAGCCGCTGCTGACGACTGCCGAATGGAGGACGCTTAACGAGTCCAGTCCGAGTTTGGCGCCGTCGCTGGCTTGGGGTGGGAATGTCAACTTGCGCAACGAGTATGATCCCCATGATGACCAGACGCCGCTGCAGTTTGTGTATGAGGCTGCTGAGTGTCGCCGCTTCTATACTATGGATGATTATCTGCAGCGGGAGTCTGTTTGGCAGGCGGCGGCGAAGGCCATGTTTGGGGATGGGGAATGTGTCAAGGGGTCGACGAAGGGGAAGGGTAGTCTCGATGCTTGATTTTTGACTATTTTTCTGCCTCTTGAGAGGGTTGCGTGATAAATTTCTAGAATTTCTACAGAACGGACGAAACCCTGGGTTCGATTTACTCGCCCTCACCAAGATCTACATTCTACAACGGCGTAGACACCGGTACAGACCAATATGAGAGGTACTCTAGAGTGATATTTTCAATTCTCGTGACCTTTTTCGTAATCTATCACGTTGAAAGAAAGAAAGAAAAGCAAGACGAGACCAGACAGAAGAAACACACATGCAATGCAATGCAAGGAAACAAGCACACAGGTTCATCATGCGCGCGTTGCAACCATGTTTTTCCTGCAGCCACGGTCTCAGGCAACTTGCAAGGACAGCTATGGAATGGTGATCGATCGAAACACCGTAGCCGCCAACAATACAAAGTCCGAGACATTTTTTCTAGGTCGATTGCTTCATACCCTGGGGAAGTGTCGTAGTAGCGCCGGAAGGGCCCTAGATCCTTATGCTAGGACGAGGTGGGAGTGCAGCGTCGTGAGCCGGGTAGTTTGAAAATGGCGCTCTTGCTACCCGATCCGAAACCATCGGGTACCGACCATCTCTCTCCCAAAAAGAGAGGCGGGAGCAGGTGGGTCCACGGTGCTGAGCCAACAGCGGCAAGCAAGAGGAAGGTGGGAGTTAGGCGAACATGGAAGAGTGACGGGGACGAGTATCTTCCCGTGGCACTCTTGCAGGGCAGAGAGCATATCGAGCTCTGGGGATGGAAAAGGGGGGAGCTTAGAGCTCGTCGACGTCGATTTCCTTCTCTTCTTCGCTTTCGCGGTCCTCGTCGAACTCGACGTTGTCCTCGAAGCCTTCGTGGCCGTAGGTGTCGGTCTCGTTGATCTTGGCATTCTCGGGCAACTCGCCGTAGGCCTTCAGACTGCGGGCCTCGTCGGCGGTGTACTTCATGATTACATCGCCCTTCTCGTCCTGGTAGTCACGCAGCGAGAGTAGGATGATGTCGCCCTGGTTGATCCAGACCTTCTTGCGCAGCTTACCACGGATGTGGGCAAGACGCTTCTCGCCGTCGAAGCATAGCGCCTCCAGACGGCCGTTGCCAAGCATCTTCACAACCTGTGCGTACTCCTGGCCCTCTTCCTTGAAGACGAGCTCACGCTTCTCGTTGTCGTTCTCGTTCTTTCCACGACGACGGTTCTTACCGCCCTGTACTCGGTTGTCAGTATTTGTGTTTTAAAAGGTTTCATGATTTCACGTGGCAAAATTCATCGGAAATATTCCATATTGGATCAATAGCCAACCGCCCAACATGAGATGGTGGGCGTGGCGGGGTGGAAACATTCCAACAAAGAGGGGCTGAATATTCTGTGCTCTTACCTTTCCCTTGTTCTTGGGCATGGCGGTGGGTGACCTTCACTGGATTTTCAAGTCTCTCTCTGTGAAAATTCTTTTCCGTAGATCAACGAAGATCTCGAGGAGAGGATGTCTCGACCAGGTTTGATCGAGGAAGTGAGGTTGAAAGAAAGGAAGAGGTGGGGGGATCTGTGCTATTCAAATCTCTGGTGGCTTATGTCATCAGGCACTGGTGGCGATGTTTCTGCCTGATTCCACAGGCGACAAGGTCTCTCCCCACCGCCCGGTTTGGTCGGCAGAAGAAAAGATGCAGTTGGGAGTGCGCAAAATATAGTCTATTTCCTCATTGCCAGAAGTTGAGGGGTCTTTACACATTTGACACAAAAGCAGAACTGCTGGTTCTGGATCTCGGGGACTGAAAGCTTTCATCTGCTCGCTTTTAGCTCCCGAATGCCGCGTCCCTCCCAATAAGCACGCGACTGTACCGCTCCGTCCTCGATGAAGATTGTTTTCGCCTAATCGACATGATACCAATGTGCTGCTGCTGGTCTTTATACGCACTGCAGCTTGATCCGGCAGACCTCCTTGACTGTCAATAGCCCACATACAAAATGTCATTGGTCGCATCCTCGAAGAATCTGCTCCTTCGGTACTGGAACAGGCCTATTATGCCTCCCGTCGCCTCGCGCTACCTAGGCTCTCCTTTACATCCGATTCGTCCCAAGATATCCCACATCTATGCCAGCCGTGATCGCGATACCCTGTGGTGGCGAGTTTCCATAGCACCCCTCCAGTCGCTCAAGCGAGTGGTTCGCTCTTGGTGCGGCCGGAGAGTGCGCCTCGCTTTCCGACAGGCCTTGCACCAGCAAGGCTTTGACGAATTGGGACGTGCTATTCCTTCTGAATTCTCTCCAAAGGAAGATTTGACAGGGTCCCTTGAAATCACCATCCGTACGCCGTGTGTCCAGGCAAGCTTTGAGACGGTCCAGAAGGATGCCAACCACCTCTTAGAAAACATCCTCGCGCAGCAGGCCACGCGCCTTTCAGGTGCAAATTGTCAACCCAAAGAAACCTCAAAAACCTCGAAAACTGCCTGATCGACTGTGTATATTACTATCTTGTATCATACTGATGACCATATTTGCATTATGCATGGCTGGGTACGGCGTCTGGGATTGGGTTTGATTTTATTCAGCATCTCTACTCTGGATTAGACTAGCACATTCAATTATACCCATCAATTTCCGCGATGACAGTATATTTTGGTGTTCTTTGTTGGCGTGGGAAGTAAATATAGAACGTCGGTTCCCGCGTGGACTCGCTAAGTGCCGATCTGGCGGAATCAACAATCGGCCCTGAACCCAGACTCTCCATTTCCGGCCACCCGCCTGTCTCAAACCCTCCAATTTTATATTTTTTTCTCACCATGCTGGTCTCCTTGACAGTTGGCAAGGTAGATGCGGGCGTCGCCGTGCTCCTCACTCAGGATAATCGACTCGTAAGGACCCAACCCCTGGTCGCCCTCAACCCCAGACACCGAGGCGATGTGAACTGCTATTTGATTATTGAAACCCGCCCGAGATCCCTTGGGCGCAATGGCTAATCAATATTTGCGCAGATTGAATTCCCCTCTGTCCTCCTTCCAAACAACATCGCCTCCGGCAGCATTGTCGACATTACCGTTGCACGCAACCATGGCGCCGAAGCCGCCAGCGCATCAGCTTTCCAATCGCTCCAGAAACGCATCTTGAACACCTACGGCGTCAAGACTCCGTCACCGCCAGTGCTGTGTCTGCGAAACGCAACGCAGACCTCGCTCGTCCTCGAATGGGACCCCATCGATCTGGCGACCGCATCCCTGAAGTCCCTCTCCCTCTACCGCAATGGCTCCAAGGCCGGCTCGATCCCGCGCCCCTTGGAGACGCGCAGCACCAAAATCAGCGGTCTTGCCATTCACTCCGAGTACACGTTCCACCTCGTCCTGCGCACGACGGCCGGCACCTACCAGTCGGAGAAGCTGACGTGTCGCACACACAAGATGACCGACTTGTCGGGTATCACCGTGACGCCGGGAGTCATCGATCCGCAACAAAAGGAGGCGCTCGGTGCTGCACTGGACCGCATCGGCGGCAAGATGATTGACTCCGTCCGCATCGACACCACCCACTTCGTCTGCACAGAAGGCCGCGGTCCGCTGTGGGAGAAGGCCGTGGAAATGAACATCCCGGTCGTCGTGCCCGAGTGGGTGGATGCTTGCGAGTCGGAGGGAACCATTGTCGGTGTGCGCAACTACTATCTCAACGCAGACCCTAAGGCCCGCCAGCTCGGCGTCATCCACGGCTCTTCCCACCAACGTACCACTTCGACCGCGTCTGTATCCACTGCCGCCCAGCAGGGACGACCCAGCTCCCAGCCTCAACCCGAGGCGGAGCAGGACCAATCAGCCGCAGAGCCGCCTGTGACTCCATTCCCCGGGGGCGAGACGAGTAGCCAGCCACAAGCACAGACGCAGGAGATCGGGTCGCAAGACGAGGACGACGTTCCCCCTCCGCCGCCACCTCCAAAGGACGAAGTCGATGAAAAGGAAGAGCCTGCGGTCCAGAATGGAGAGTCAGCAGCAGCCGCTCCATCAGACGAGAAGACCGAAGCCGAGGCCGAGACTGAAGCTAAAGCTGAAACCGAAGCCGAAGCCGAAGCGGAGAGCGACGAAGAGACAACCAAGGAGAAGACTCTTCCCCAGAACAGACCAGAAGGAGATGCCGAGCCAACAAATACCGGCAAGCCGAATGGCAAAGGGAAAGAGGGCGAGGGCGACTTCAATGAAGTACCTCTGTGATTCGTTTCCCCTTTCTTGCTGATACTCAAAACATATCAACCCTTCAGCCGCGCCTCTCTCTATCCCTCCATCCTGCCCTTGCCTTTTTCCTCCTGCCCGCTGGCGTCTACGACTATATCCAGTACAGTCTTATCCTTGGTGTGTTTGGAACCGTCTTGCTAGGCAAGGTTATTCATGTGTCCCGACTCTATGGCTGCTCGCCTTTTTCCTTAGCTTTCTCACTGTTGTGTATTGTACAGTAGATAGTTTTTCCCCCTTCCGTTTTTAATGCAAGTCGAGCTCCTTTATTAAATCGAAAGCTACGCAATAGATGAAAGCCTGAGGTAAAGCAAAAACCAAAACTAGCTATGAGTTGGACATAAAATCTATCATCAAGCGTCATAAAACAGGAGATGGCCCCGCCAAATGCAAATCCAATCTTTCAGAAACCCTCGAGTGTCAGTCATCTTTGAGAGCGCTGGATGTTCCAAGAAGAGAGCGTGCTTTATTTTTGTGAATTAGTTCACATTGCGGACGACATTATCGATGGCATGTGCGACATAGGCGACATTCTTCTGGCTCACTAGATGCATCTAAATCAGTATCTGTTTTTGAAAAGGATGTAGAAGGAGCAGAATGGGGATTCTTACGACCGCTGATGGATGCTCGGCCCGACTTGAGCAGGTAGATGTGATACTGGTCCTTCAAGGCATAGACTTGCTTCGGGGTCAGGCCGGTGTAGGAGAACATGCCATTCTAAAAAGAAGTTAACAAGAGAACCGTAATCACCATTCTTACTGATCATCAAACTCACCTGCTCCACAATATGCTCCCAAGTGCCTGGCGTCTGCAAGCGCGACAATTCATCGTACAGGGCCTTGCGCATGGACTTGATCCGCGAGCTCATGACCTGCAGATCCTGGTGCCACTCAGCAGTCAGCTGGTCATTAGTGAGCACCTTCTTGACGATGCTGCATCCCGAGCGCGGGCCCATGGAGAACTCGCCGCGGATCAAATGGCAGAGGTTATTGACGACGACGTCGCGCAGGCTGGTCGAGCTGCGGTTGGTGACGTAGTGGTAGGCGCCGACGCGCTGGCCGTACAGTCCAAAGTTTTTGGAGAAGCTCTGGGCAACACACATCTCCATGTCTGGCTTCCGGGTGAAAAAGTAGCGCACGGCCCATGCGTCTTCGGCGACGGACCCGGACGCGAAGCCCTGGTAGGCCGAGTCGAAGAATGGGAAAAGATTCTTGCGCTCGCACAGGTCTGCTATCGCCACCCACTGCTCCTTGTTCGGGTCGAGGCCCGTGGGGTTGTGCGCGCAGGCGTGCAGCAGCACGACGTCGCCTTCCTGCGCCTCGGTCTCGAGCGTGGACATCATGCCGTCGAAGTCGAACGACCGTGTCGCGGCGTGGTAGTACGGGTAGGTCTTGCGCGGCACGTCGGCCAGCTCCCAGATCGTCATATGGTTGGCCCAGGACGGGTTGGACAGCCAGACGGTGGGCGGCTTCATGTGGTGGCCGAGAAACAGGGCGCCGAGGTGGTTGGCGCCGGTGCCGGCGACGGTCTGCACAGACGCGATGCGTGCCTTGGCCTCTTCTTCACTGTCCTTTCCCTCAAATCCAAACATCAGATCCCGCGCCAGTCTCAGGAACGGCACGTCGCCCTCGATCGTCGTGTACTCGTGTCGGAAGAGGTCATCGTCCGCTACCAGCTCCTTCTCTGCCTTCTGCACCACGGGCAGCGGCCATGGCTTGCCGTCGTCCGTGCGGAAAACTCCCACTCCCAAGCTGACCTTCTGCGGGTGGGTGTCGGCGCCGTAGGCACCGTTCAAGGCGAAAATCTCGTCCGGCGGGACCGGGGCCACATTGAGGCGGGTGGAAGGTTTAGCCATGGCGATCAAGGCGCTTCAATTGAGGTTATGCGTGGTTCGTTCAATGGTTCACAGCGAATGCTGGTCTCAATTGCAAGGAGTACCGAGTCGAAAGTCAAGAACTTCGGTTTTGGGATTGCGCTGAGTCAACCGATATCGCCGTTCCCTTTTTGTACGTTTTTTGCCCCGCGGGAACCTCCGCTTAAAGACGGGCCATGCATTGAACGCATCACATATAAAAAATACAGAATCTGGATCGAAATTGCCGGTGCTAGCCTTTTCTCCGAGTCTCCAGCTGATCAGCTTGGAAGCTTTATCGATTCTTTGCTGGAGATGCCAAAGCGTAACGTCAGCAGACCTCATCGGATGCATGCTGACTCCCTTGATGAGACGCCAGACTCGAGATGAGAGGCGTCGAGGCTTGTGTATAATGATAGGAGAGGAAGAACAGATGAAGGCCGATGGCAGTAGCACGATGTGTGGTTGTAGGTTCATGGGAAGGAATAGGTAGGGCGTGGGGTAGTACGCAGCGGAAATATACATCGCAAGGCCATGTGCATTTGGTGGCTCTTCCACCATGCAAGAAATACAATCCTCGCAAAAGTGCTGACATACCATACAGATATTCATGGGTGTCTTCTCAAGCAAAATCAGATGAAACTAAAACTCCGTGATTCTTGTGCTACGAGACCGTGTTCTCTCGTAAACTACATAACCTGTCCCCTCTTATACTCTATAGGACTAGTCCTACAAGCCACAGAGCCTACTTGAACTTCCAAGATGACTTTGCCAGAGTCATCAGCTGACGACAAGTCCTTACATGAGTTTCGAGTTCCAGAAATCTATCAGGCTTTGCACAACAGCATACCACCGGAGTTGCTGCCCTGGTTTGATCCGATCTATGTGGAGTATTACAACCAGTACAATGTCGGACGTCTATACACACACGAGGCGCCAATTGAAGAATTTCGCAGGAACCCTGCCAAGTACACTATCTCGTATGGCCGCACACCAGGGCCCGATGTCTTCCGCATCACCCAGCAATTATGTCCCCGTGGCCGGGGGAGAGATTGCAATTCGGATATTCGAGCCAGCACCTCAGCTCGATCACCAAGGGCGGCCACAAAAGAGAGCAGCCTATGTCAATTTCCACGGAGGCGGGTGGGTATTCGGGGGACTAGGCTTTGACCACGACTTTTGTAAACGAGTCGTGGACGGCCTCAACGGGGCACTGGTTGCCTTTGATGTAGACTAGCGGCTGGCCCCCGAGCACCGGTATCCCGTCCCTGTAGACGATTGCTGGGCCGCCTTCAATTGGGTAGGGTTGATATATAGTCCGATCTCACCCCGTTGACAGGATCGCTGGTTAGAGACATCCAGATCCGCTCCGAGAAAGCAATCCAGTTCAACCTTGACCCGGATCAATCAATTTGCAGTTGGCGGCGTGTCAGCAGGAGTTATGAGCCATCTCTGTTGCAATGCCAACATCCCTCTGCGGCTGCAGATCCTAACTGTTCCGGTGTGTGACTTGCATAGCGACTTCAATATGGTAGACAAACAAATGACGAGTCGCTTAGGACTGGAAAATATCCCCCGTACTGGCCCGCGACTTCCAGAACCTCGCGCCTGCGCTGGTGTTCACGGTGGAACTTGATCCTCTGCGCGATGAAGGAGAAGCGTATGCGGCTAAATTGCAAACTGCCGGGGTCCCTGTGGAAGTAAACCGTGTACTTGGGGCACCACACTTATTCCCTGCGCTGGATAGGATTCTGGAGAAAGGGCGACAGTACAATGCGAAGGTGATAGCGGCAATGAAGCGGGAGCTGGGGACATAGTGCATTACCATACCATACCAAACATGACCATCAATACCGGCGTGGAATATCGGGCAACCCGAGTCCCTCGGTCATGCCGATACCGGGAACTTTCGGCTGGGGCACCTTGCACGGAATTGTTGTCTATTTTTATTTTCGCAGTTTCTTGACCTTCTTTGATTCTCCCAGAAAGCCTTGAGCGAGCCATTGGGTGTTCTCCTCTCTATCTCTGCCGTTGTATCTAGGTCGGACAGCTGCAGGCGTCTTTTTGGTCATCATGAATCCCTCTTTCTCCCGAGCCGCGGTGCGCTCGACGGCTACCCTGACACATGCGACGAGAGCTACCAACCCCGCAGCCCGCAGTCTGTCGGCCGCTGCTCGCTTGCCGGCTGCTCGGGCTCTGAGCTGCAATAGCCGCCTCGCCCTCCCCCGCCTCCAGTCTTTGAACCCCGTCAACAAGAGAGCGTTTGGCACAACTGTCAGGATGGTAGGGACCGCTCGAGCAGGACGGGCTTCGTCTCAGTTGCTGATGTACGCAATATAGTCTGCGGGTTCTCGTACGGAAAGTGATGCCTTTGGCGAAATTCAGGTGAGTGACATCATGGATCGAGGCTGTCGTCCCCGCAGAAACTGATGGATTGCTGTATAGGTCCCTTCGGACAAGTACTGGGGTGCGCAGACTCAGCGGTAAGACGGCCCGGCAAACCGAGACTCTTGAGGGAGGATAGGGCAAAATACTGATTCGCATCTGGACCACAGCTCCCTGGGCAACTTCGACATCAACCAGCCCCAGGACCGCATGCCGGCCCCGGTGGTCAAGGCGTTTGGTGTCCTCAAGGGTGCTGCCGCTACCGTGAACATGAACTATGGTCTTGGTAAGTGAGGGCCATCTAGATATGTCTGGGTTGGGATATTGACATCCACAAAGACCCTAAGATTGGTGAGGCTATCAAGCAGGCCGCCGCCGAGGTCGCCGAGGGCAAGCTACTGGATCACTTCCCTCTGGTTGTCTGGCAGACTGGCTCGGGCACCCAGTCCAACATGAATTCCAACGAGGTCATCTCGAACCGCGCCATTGAAATCCTGGGTGGAACTATGGGCAGCAAGAAGCCCGTCCACCCCAACGACCACGTGAACATGTCCGCTTCTTCCAACGACTCCTTCCCGACTGTTATGCACATCGCCGCTGTCGTGGAGCTGGAGAACACTCTCTTGCCCTCGCTCACGAACCTGCGCAATGCCCTCCAGGAGAAGGTGGAGAAGTTCGACCACCTCATCAAGATCGGCCGTACTCACCTGCAGGACGCTACCCCCTGACCCTGGGTCAGGAGTTCTCGGGCTATGTCGCTCAGCTGGACCGCAACATTGAGCGTGTTCAGGCCTCTATCCCCCACCTGCGCTTCCTGGCCCAGGGTGGTACCGCGGTCGGTACTGGTCTCAACACCTTCAAGGGCTTTGACGAGGCGGTCGCGGCTGAGATCAGCAAGCTCACCGGCACTGAGTTCAAGACCGCCCCCAACAAGTTCGAGGTTCTGGCGGCCCACGACGCGATCGTCGAGGCCTCCGGCTCGCTGAACACGCTGGCTTGCTCGCTGTTCAAGATTGCGCAGGATGTGCGCTACTTGGGCTCCGGTCCCCGCTGCGGTCTGGGCGAGCTGATCCTGCCCGAGAACGAGCCCGGCTCTTCGATCATGCCCGGCAAGGTCAACCCGACCCAGTGCGAGTCGCTCACCATGGTGTGCTCGCAGGTCATGGGTAACCACGTGGCTGCCACGGTCAGCGGCATGAACGGCCAGTTCGAGCTGAACGTGTTCAAGCCCGTCATGATCCGCAACCTGCTGCACAGTGTGCGCATTCTCTCTGATGGCATGAACAGCTTCCGCTCCCACCTGGTCGAGGGTCTGGAGGCCAACGAGCCCCGCATCAATTCCCTGCTGCACGAGAGGTATGTTTTGTGTTTCCTGTCCCTCTACCCTAATATTGAATGGTAACCTCTAACCGCAATATAGTCTGATGCTTGTGACCTGCCTGAACCCCGTCATTGGCTACGACATGGCCTCCAAGGTGGCCAAGAATGCCCACAAGAAGGGCACTACCCTGAAGGAGAGCGCCATGGAGCTCAAGGCTCTCAGCGAGGAGGACTTCGACAAGTACGTCCGTCCCGAGCTGATGCTGGCTCCCAAGGAGAAGAAATAAATGAACAGCGAGACTGTTCACACCCCACCTGTGCCACTATAGACCACTACCGATCGGTTTTGTACAATGAAGAATTGTTATGTTCCTGGTTTCCTTTTTTTTGTTCTGTAGATTCAGCCCTGTGGCTCAAGTATTTGGGTTATAAATAGGACGTGAGATCGGCATTGATCGAGGAATACCAGCGACCATAACATGGTTGGCATTTTTCTATTTTCCCATGTTTGTTTCAGCACCGCCCATCCATGGTAACTAATCTCACCAACACACGCTGGTATGGGCGTATTAATAGAAGAAACCCCTGGGAGAGGCGATGTCTCACCCGTCGGAACCGTGGACCGTTGACCCTCCTTTTCTTTTTTTGTGCCCGTCGCCTTCCTCCTTCCCTTCCATAGATCTCTACTCTCTACTCTTTAAAAATCCCTCTTTCAAAATACCTTGAATTCCAAGTCAAGAATTAAAGTCGACCTTGTCTGCACCGAACCCCGCCACCCGAAGCCTTCATCACCCCTCCATCACCTCCCCCCTGCCAGACCAACACAAAACCTCCCAACCGATCTCAATTGGAGCCCATTTCCCAGTGACATATCTCCTCCCATTACCCATCACAATGACCGCCCCGGCCGTCACAACCACCACCGTCCCCGAAACCACCAAGCCGATCATGAACTCCACCGTGACCCCCGTAACCGCCGACCCGGACGAGCCCCTCTTCCCGTCAACCCTGATCTCCCCGGATGTGATCTCCCTGCTCCCAACAGACTACTCGATCCGTCCGCTGCGGCGCTCCGACTACAGCCGCGGGTACCTGGATGTGCTGCGCGTGCTGACGACCGTCGGCGAGATCAGCGACGAGCAGTGGAACAAGCGGTATGATTGGATCGCCTCGCGCAACGACGAATACTACATGCTCGTGGTGTGCGATGGCACGCACCGCGTGGTCGGCACGGGGAGTCTGATTGTCGAGCGCAAGTTTATTCACTCGCTCGGCATGGTGGGCCATATTGAGGATATTGCTGTTGAGAAGGGCCAGCAGGGGAAGAAGCTGGGCCTGAGGATTATCCAGGCGCTGGACTATGTTGCTGCTCAGGTTGGATGCTACAAGGTATTTTCTCTCTTCCTTTGTGTGTGTGTATTGGTCAATCGCTTACTGTTTCCTGCAGAGTATTCTCGACTGCTCCGAGGCCAACGAGGGCTTCTACGTCAAGTGTGGCTTTAAGCGCGCTGGCTTGGAGATGGCCCATTACTACTGAGCCCTGTCTCCCGTTTCTCTTGTTTTCATTTTTCGGTTTTTCCCTGGTTCACTCCAGTCGTGAGCCTGGCGTTTTCGGCATCGGTTGATATGCCCGGCGGGGCTTGTCCTTTTGCACAGCGCAGTCATATAGGAGGGAGGCAGTTGTCCAACTCATCGTGGAGGAGGCGGGGTTGTGTCTGGCCAGGTATCCCGACAGATCAAACAAGGAAGCCATGGCTATCACCGTGTATTGATCTGGTTGGTGTACGAACCGCATGGCCTATCCCATTCTACGCACAAGGACTGGGAAAAGGGTCCTGATAGAGCGTGTCTTGTCTGTTTTCTGGTTACGTCGGCTTCTAAGCCCATTTGCTTGTACCATCATTGCTTTGGTGGGATCTATGTGCTGGTGCGACACGGTCAAAAGGCTTAGACGGGTGTAGCTATAGATGTTGCAATCTGATACTCGGGTTTTGTGCAAGCCCGAGATCTCATTTCCGAGTGCAGAGATCCGAATACGTATAGAAATTGAGGAAATTCAAATTACATTTCATAAACTGCGCTTGGATTGCGTCCAAGACAACCCTGTGAGTAGGAGTCCACAGTAAGGGCCCAGACATGGTAGACATTGAACCCCGAGCTCAAAAAACAGACAAGCGCATTGTGGACGTGGAGGAATCGATAATTCTTTGGTATGGTTTTGATCCGTTGTTCCCATTTTTTCTGCATAGAACAAATATGTGTCCAGAAACAAGATCAAGGGCCGTAGCCAGTTCCTCAACAGACACGAAAGAAGTTAACTCCATTTCCATCGTGTCGCAACCGTCAATCACAGCGCTGTATCCATCCTGTTCACCCCACCCAAGCCAGGCGAATTTTTATTTTTCACATTTAGCGGGACTTGGCGGCGGCCTTGGGGGCAGAGCCCTTAGCACCCTGCTTGCTCTGGATGCGCTGGGCGCCACCCTTGGAGGCAGCGTTCTTGGCCTTCTCGGCCTTCTTGCGGCTCTCGGACTCGGCCTTCTTCTCCTTGGCGTCCTTGATGGCCTGCTTGCGGGCGGCCTCACGGGCTTCGGGGCGGATGTTGCGGCGCTCCTTGATCACGTCGAGCGAGGCACCGACGATGGCACGCTGGTGCTTCACGACACGGCGGGAACGCTTCTTGGCGACTTCCTGTTTGATTCCAACATGCCTCGGTCAGTGATTTCTGGTCCAGAATTGATCGGTCATGTGGTCGTGTTCCATTGCATCATGTCCTCCTCTTGCTTCGTCATGGAATATCTTTATTATTCCAATGCCTAAACAGCTGCATTTTCCTTCATCCAGGCATATTCCACCACAACCACACATGTATAACAGAAACCAAGGAGGGGTGACCGACCTCAGAGATACCCTTGCGGTGCTGGCGACGGTACAGAACAGTCCAAGCTATCCGGCGAGGGTTCTTGCGCTGGAGGAAGAGAGACTCAGACTTTCCATTCTGGAAGCGGAAGATCTTGCTGTCGCCACGGACGTACAGCTTACCCTGTCGCATCGAAGATCAAAGCGTTAGCATTCCATGAACACATCGATTTTTCATGCAGCAACGCAGCAAATCCCCCAAAACGTAAAGCAAGGAGTCGAACATGTCAAGGAAATAGGACGGATTCGGATTCGCATTGTCGTTGTCGTTGTCCTTTTCGCCACTCTTTCCCTCTCCCTTCACAGAAAAAAATCCACGGGATAATTTAAAAACGCACCTTGCCGGGGTAGATCTTCTGGCCGCTGAAGGAGTCGTCGTAGGTACGCATCTTGACGGGGGGATGCGCTGACGGGTTGTCGGTTGGCGTTGGGTGATGTCGAAAATCGGCGCGGTGTGCTTGGTGCTGCTCCAATTGTGGTGCGGGCGCCTCGCTAAAGTGCGGCACGTGATACGCGCTGCCCTTTCCGGATTGAACGGTCACATGACCATACTCCCCATGACATCAAAGCGATCAAAGACATTCTTGAGGCTTTTATAACTAATGGTCCCTTAGAAAGATCGTCTTGAGGATCTAATATGTCGACACGCATGAGAGAATACCACGTCATCCACTTAGATACAAATCCAAAGATATCCTGGTTCGCAATCCTCAAAAATCAGGAGAACGAGTGACTCTACATTTGTATGCGAAGCTCGAACCATCTCATCTCAATCGAATGACCAATGTGTCCACACTGAAGGGAGATATAAGTACTGTATTTCTAGAAAAACCTTTGAGTAACACTAACAAAAAGCACTAAATTCTCAATCAAAGACTGAATCGCACTCAATGAAGAGTTCATTGGTGATTGGCTAACCCTTGAAGGCTAACCCTTGAACCATACATTTGGTTGACTCTAGAGAATAGACTCGTAAGAGCTAGTTCAATTAACATGGTATAGATGTTTAATACAAATCAGTCAAGGCCTTTATCTATCTAGATACACGAGGAGAGATCTATCTTTGTCTATATAGACATCATTCATTAATCAACCCGTTTTTCCAAGCTCTTTTTCCCATCCCAGTAGGTTTGTTTGGAATTTCCTTCAACCCTCTTGATCTGTTCCGCGCTTTTCACCTTGCTCGGTTCCATGTTCCGTAGTATAAATCCAGATATACCGGATTCGCCGACGCAGGCGTGATTGCTTTCCCTCGTCCCTTATTGGGAATGGTATATTCAGCTCCAGTAAGAGTACGGTATTGGGCTTTGTTCCAATCTCCTCCTAATGGTCGTTCGAAGAAGACACCGGAAATCATTCGGCCCGTGTAGGCATCGTCCGAGTTTGGTCTAGCCTTATAATCCAGCTTGACCTCTTTCATGCGCCAGTTCGACGGGTCGAATGCGGACAAGGTGCGCCTCAACGAGTCTTTCAACTTTGCGCGCACGCTCGGGTAGAGCCAAACGCCGTCGGGGTTTTTCGATCCTTGGTACCATGGCCACTCCAATTTCGCCTCGAATATTCTGATGGGTATACCGTAATGTTTGTACTGCTCCTGAAGCTGTCGGAATGTTATGGTGATGCGTCCGTTGCTTCCGGTGTAGGGCCCTCCGACGAGTTCTTCATACTTGTCGGCTTTCAACTCTTCCTTTCCTCTTACTGTCATTTGGCTGATCGTGGTCTTGTCGAGGTTGAATATCGCAGGTCCCATATTGGTCACAACGGTGAAAACCATGCCAGAAGTCGGGTTGTAGGTCCACAGGTAGTTGGACATGACGCATTCATCCCATCGACGAAATTTGAAATCGTTTTCGCGCACACGAGTCCGTACTTGAACATCGGGTCTGAAATCAGGAAATAGATGTTGATTGGCGAGGCGGTAGATTGTTGAATCATGAAAGGGAGAGGTACCGGCTCTTTTCTCGATCGAATAATCAGTTGGTTGGCTTGAAGTATATGCGAAGAAGGAAAAGAACAAGACCCAAAAAACATCAAATATAAGCATTTTGAGTAAAAAAGCCTTGCTTGGCCTTTCAAAAGGTCATGTAAAGAACAAATTCTCACGAAGTAAGTTTTCTTGATTTCTTTATACATCGCTTGTTCTTCAATCCTGGACCTGGGGGCCGCCCCCCTGAGCTCTGACGGGACCAAAATCGTCAGCCCTGATGGGACTCGGGCGTAACATCATAAAAAGAAAAGATTATTTGTGTTTATTTCCATGTGGAATTGACTTTCCTCAATGTGGCAAGAAGCGCGAAGGAATCCCAATCAATCTTTCGCTGGTTCGAACGACCTGACCATTGTTTTGGACGATCATTCCACTAAACTCGCTATCCTAGTACTTGCTGAGAATAAATTGACCTATTTCCCATTCTCTCATCGATTACGACTGTGTTGATTTTTCGGTTTGGAGTGACTCTTGTGGCGGTTATATACTCGATGGGTGGCTTCCATTTTCAATGATTGGCCTACTAATTATTTTGATAGTCAACTTGTTTGTGATTCTACTACACTCCAAACATTCTATCTTTGGACCTTTGCGGGCTTCATTCAGGTCAATTTACGGTATAATATATATAGAAATAATCATCCACGTCAGATTGCCCTACGGACCGGGCGTATCCTGCTCCACAAGGATCTCTAGATCTGACATCAGCACATATGGCCTGGTCGCGGATACCTCACTGAAAGGAGACTCGTCCCAAGAGTCTCGGCGATAGGACATTTCTCTTATTGACCACTTCCCACAATATCTCCCTTTGTAAAGCGTCGACAGACGTCGAGTCCATCTCGCTCTAGAATGCTGATCGACACATCACCTTCTGAAGTAGCTCGCAAGTATTTTTGGATGCAAATGCAAGCTGCTGATAGACCCAGAAAATACCCTTGATTCTATGCAACGCCATTTGGAATAAGCCATGGCAATCCAGCCGAGCATAACAACAAGATACGACGAACGGGCTGGCGCTCAAATCAACGCGGAAGCTCTTTTCCAGTCAATAAACATACAGCATTCAATGCCTGCTATCGCCAAAGAAATGTCTTTTTCTTCATGGTCACATCACATTGGATCAACGCTCAAGTCATGGCATGCGTCCGAGTCCACTCCTTCGCTGTTTGAATTGCCGCGGGCTCATCATCCTTCCAGCGCTGGGCCACGTCGTTGGCAAGCGGATCATCAGGGTTCGGAGCCCCAAGCAGGGCCTGGATCGAAAGCAGAATTGTACGGATCTGAAGAGCGGGGGACCAATTGTCTGCAAAAAACCGAGGGTAATTAGAGATGGGCGCCATTCTCTTTCAACAGGAATAATATTCCTGCTTACTCTTCAACACGTCCAAGCAAATTCGTCCTAGACGATCAATATTGGGGTGATAGATCTTGGTCAGAAAGCGGATTTTCGGCGGGGTCATCGGATAGTCGTCCGGCAGGAACAGCTCGAGACGGAAGATTCCACCTGAAGTAAATCTTGTTGGCAATGGGAACAAATCGACAAAGATTCAAATATATGCCCTGAGAGATGCCCACCTTCATATGGAGACTGCGCGGGTCCGTGGATCGACACGTCAAAATACCGTAGGTTATCTTCGTGGGGCACGGCGTTGATTCCAGGCACTCTAGAAACCAACGATGATATAGTTAGCAAATCGTCACATTGTTGCAAAAGATAAAAAATACTGCGAGGACTCCGTACGGTTCTGCCATCAATCGTTCCGTCTCCTTAATAATTCTCTTGGGCAAAGCCATGGCAACCCCGCTTATCGACACTCGTGTCGAACTATTCTTGCAAGGGTGGAATATGCTGTCTCAGGAAATACCCAAGTAATAGGTGCCCTTCCCAGCCTTATCGCCGTAGAAAAAAATAGAAAAAAAAAGAGGGCCGAGGGGAGATCGGAGGAGCAAACACGCCGAAACTTTGCAACCGACGTAACCGCCGAGGGGCCCTGCATGGCGGGGTGCTGTCGCTTGCCGTATGCCACGTGATAAGCCTATACACCGCCACACCTCGCCACAACAGCTCATCTCGGTGGCTGGTGCTTGCATCCACGTTATCTCGTTATCGCAGCTCGACTCTCCTTGATCCAGCTGTCCCACAATGGATGAATAGTGCATGACGTTCAACATGGGAATTGTGTCCATATATATGCATGCTCTTCCAAATTGTATATCAACCCCTGCGCGTCTTCGAGGGCGCGGAACAACACGCGATTAGGTGCAGGCAGCAAATTTCCTCTCCGACAAGATGTCGAGCTCCATAGAGCCCAGGCCTCTCACCTCGGCCTTTGAGAGCCCAACATTTGATGAGGATAGCTCATTCCATGTGGAACAACCTGTTGGGTCCATGTCCATCTCCCCCTGCGGACGGGACGTTGTTCTGGCGTCCAAGGAAGGCCTTCATGTCATTGATTTGGACTCGCCATATTCTCCTCCCCGGTACCTGCCACACCATACACCGTGGGAGGTTGCTGATGTTCAGTGGTCACCATTTGCAGCGCGTGACTGTTGGGTGGTCAGTACCTCCAACCAGAAAGCGTTGGTGTGGAACTTGGCCATGAAAACCTGGCAGAACTCTATCGAGCATGTGCTGCATGCGCACTCGCGCGCAATCACCGACATCAACTTCTCGGCCTCGCATCCCGACGTTCTGGCAACTTGTGCCGTGGACAGCTTCATCCACTGCTGGGATTTACGTACTCCTTCGCGACCTGCGATCTCATTCTCGGATTGGTTCACTGGTGCGACCCAGGTGAAGTGGAATCGGCAAGATCCCCATGTCGTCGCCAGCTCTCATGACCGATTCCTGCGAATCTGGGATGATCGCATGGGTGCATACCCCATCAAGTCCATTGAAGCGCACAACACCAAGATCTACGGCGTCGACTGGAATCGTGTCCGGCGAGGCGCCTTGGTGACTTGTTCCCTGGACAAAACCATCAAGTTTTGGGATTACACCTCTGAGAGCGACAAGCCTGAAAAGCTGATCCGTACACCCTTCCCCATTTGGCGAGCGAGAAACACGCCTTTTGGATGGGGTGTTTTGGCCATGCCGCAGCGAGGCAACAGCGATCTCCATCTCTACAGCCGGCGAGCCGGCGAGGGATCTAAACCTGATGAAGATCTGCCTCTGGTTCATAGCTTCCCTGGACACAAAGGACAAGTCAAGGAATTTCTCTGGAGACCGCGCGGGGGCGTGACGGACGGCATTGATCACCGGGAGTTCCAGCTTGTAACCTGGGGAACAGATCGAGAGCTCCGTCTGCACAGAGTGGACCCGGAAATTCTCCGAAGAGTTGGCTATGAAAAAGGTGAATCATTTATTTCCACGCGCAATGTGACTCGCCTAGGTGCGGTATACCGAAGTTTCCGCGACGTGAACTCCGATTTGGATTTCGAGGAAGTCGAGTCCTCATCCTCCACCGGCCCGCACTACTTCCACCCTCATTCTTCTACGGGAACAGGGATGAATGCCCTATCTGTTCCGCATGCTAACGCGTGGACTCGCGGAGGCCATGTTGATAGTCGAGTTGGCATGCAACCTCGATCAAATTTGAGAGCTGACACCAATCCGATTGCATGGATGCGTGGTGTGAAGATATCGGGCTGGGATATCGAGACTTTGGGTGACGAAATCAGCCACGTGGGTGAGAAATTTACCAAGGTGGTATTTGAGTCAGTAGATGTTCGACAGAGAAAGATATCGATCGCCCTGAATGGGCCTTGGGGTGCTGATGGTGCTTCTTTGTTCCTGAAGGTGGACATCAAGTTCCCAGTCAGCTATCCCAAGAGTGCCATCCCAGCATTCACATGCCAGAAGACAGCGGCGGTTACGGATGAACTGGCCAGAAATATCACTGCTGAGCTGCGAACAATTGCGGAGACTCACTTGTCCCGCAAGCGAGGATGCCTCGAAGGAGTTGTCCGTTATCTTCTGGGCGAGACTACCCTTGAAGAGACTGTTGCGTGGATTCTTGGCGAAACCGCCGACAATGTGAAATCCCTTCTGAATGGAGACTTGATGGGTGACTCCAGCGACGAAGACGAAGTAGGCATGACGCAGAGCCAGGAGCTAGGAATGAGTTCTGAGCTGCTTCGGCCAGTCAATGCCAACGTCATGGTGCCCGTGGCCAAAAAGTGTGGAGCGCTGTGGGCGAACGACGGCCGTCTGGTGTGCTTTTTCCCGCCCAAGAAGGACAAGTCGGCGGCTCTGTTTGAAAACCTGGGCTTCAAGGAGATGAGCAGACTATCCAGAAACGATAAAGTATTTGAAGGGTTTGGTCGTCTGCAGACCAGCTCCCCCGGCCCACGCATACCCGGCACAATCACCAGTACGGATGATGGTGCCTCGGACTATTCCGACGACTCATACTCCGAGACTTCCAGTTCGTCTGGCTCGTCCGATATTCTTTCTGGGCTGCCGACTCGCTTTCCAGCCCCACAGACCTGGCGGAGTGCCGGCAGCATGGGAATTCACCGGCCGCGGTCTACAGATAACTCCCAACGATCCACTGGAGGTGCAGCGACCGCCAAGTCATCCGAGACGCCGCAGAATGTTGTCTCCATCCACGACCTCAGCGATTTGCTGCCGGTGAAGCGAGAGTTGGCTAGCAAATACCGCATTTGCGGCAAAGGGACTGATGTCTGTGCTCACAATGCTGCTGTAGCCCTGGACGCTGGCTGCCACGAATTGGCCCAAATCTGGAGCCTTATCAAGTTGATTTTGCATGTCCAAAGAAACCCTGGCACTCTTGGCCCGGGTCTGGGAGCAAGGCACCAGCAAAGAAAGGGCATTGGGTTCGACCTGCCCCACGGCTTAGGGAAAGACGGACTCTATAAAGACCTCGCTGGCAGTGTCATTCAGTGGGGTGACCACCCGCTGGGCAGTCATTGGCTTGTACCCGCCCTCTTTGAGCATTTTGAGCGCATTGGTGATGTGCAGATGGTGGCTATGTTGTCGTGTGTGCTTCTTGAGGCCAACTCTGAAGGACGTTCAGAGCGCCCGCAAGAGAAACTGCGTTCCGAGCAGCGGGATTTCTCTCTGGATTTCTCATCTGTTGCATCGACAGTACAGAACAAATCCCAAACTACAACACCCATATCGTCTGGACCTAAGGACTCTCAAGTCATGCCTGTGATCCAGAGCTCGGCACGGTCATCCGGCGAACTCCAGCGCGTCGACTCCACGCCCCCTTTCTCGACAGGCACAACCCCTCCTGTTATGTCTCGTCCACGGGGTTTCACCGCTGACCGAAAATCACTGAGCCACAACGTCTCTATGGCCGCGTCTCCTGATCAGCAGTCCCAGCCGCGGAGTGGATCCGGATTTGGGTCGGTACTGGCATCCTCTTTGTCTCGCTCGTTCACCTTCGGACCGTCATCCGCATCCCCACCCGCGCATACCCTGAACAAGAAGAAACCAAGTCCAATGGAAAGCCCAAGTACAGCAACGGCACCAGGGGTATGGCCTACCAACAAAACCTCTCCTAAACCTATCTCAGCGATTCCTAGTTATCTAACCAAATCATCAATTCTCATATCACAGACTCACTCCGACACCGAAAGTGACCGGCCGCCTCAGCGTGCCAAGGTACCCGCGAGGTTCAAGGTCACGTTCAAAAACCAAAGCGCATTCGACGCGGACTCGTCCACGCAGGATTCCTTCCTTGATCGGAACAAAGAATGGCTATACCGGTCGTACCGCCGCGCATACGCCAACTTGTTATCGATCTGGGACCTACCCGTGCAGGGAAGCGAGGTCCTCAGGATTGGCGCAGTGACAGACCGCGTAGACGATCTGCACGCCAGTCATTACTGGAACAGTCACAGTTCCACAATGACCTCGTTCAAGGATCCCGCACCGGACCGCAATCTCCAAGGCCTCGACTTCCAGCGCCACTGCGCCAGCTGCGGCCATGCTCTGCAGCTGTCTATCTTCACCTTATCGCCTCTGGCGGCTGACTCCCCCTCGAAGCGCACCCGCCAAAAGACCCCATTCCGTCGCTGCCCGAACTGCAAGCCCCGCCACCCGCTGCCAGCCAAGCTCCCCTGCGTCATCTGCGGGGAGGTTGTGGACGGTATGCTGGTTCCTTGTCTCAGCTGCGGCCATGTAAGCTGCTTCGACTGCCACCGCCAGTGGTTCCTACACGCGGGCGACCAACCCGACCGCCCCTTGGATCCATCCGATGGCCCCCATCACCACCATCAATACCCTCAAACGCCTCCGTCCTGCCCTACTGGATGCGGCTGCAACTGCGCCGAGCACGTCGCAGCCGACGTCCCCATGCCCACATGGGAACAACCACACTCCCCCGGCAACGAGCCTGAGAATTCAGCCAACCCCCATCGCAGCCACACACACGACAAGCGGCATCGCAGCCGGCAATCAGATCCCGTCGCGGCTGATCCCGCCGGCCCAACCACGTCCACTGCCAAGGTCGGCGTTGGCCAACATGAGGATGACCTGGATCTGTGGCAGGAATCGTCGCCCTTTGCCTCTCTTGCGCGTGGCATGGGCGGTGGGTTAAGTCGGGGCTTGCGTCCGAAGGAGGAGCGGCGCAAGAACAAATCTGTTGCTATTGCTACGATTCTTGATTCTTGATTCTTGATTCTGGTGCTGCACTGGAGTTTTTTTCTTGAGCTGTGATATCCATACTTTTGTTTTATTTGTAAGATACCATTGAAGTATACACCGGCTGCTGATAATCATAAATGATATCATGTACTATTCGTCAATCACGTTAATTTTCTAAATCTACGAATTCCAGTAGTCGGCATTCATCTGAACTGCCGACTCGTCGATCCCCCGGGCTGAATACCGACTGAGCACAGACCGGTGAGCACAGGCCTCTCGGAGTATGTTAAAACATCAACACTTCCCTGATCTCTATAAACAATACAAATAGACCCGCAGATGATTCATAGCTTCATTAAAATGTATTTCTCTAAGCTCGGCCAGGCAAAAGCAAGTACCGGGGGCGATCTAATATCTATGCCTGCTAACAGCAGCGGGGACGGAAAAAACCCCGTGGGAATAGCCCACTGGAAGCCCCGAATCACCCCATGAAAACATTGTGCCGGTCGTCTAAATCCATTGTTGATCCTTGGAAACCACGGGTGTGGTTTACAGGTGCTTGAAGACGGTTTCGGCGCTCGAGACCTAGAAACGGGGGTGCGTTAGTATAGAGAACACTCATTGACTGAGAAACAGAATATTTTTGAACTTACATCGAGGGAGTTGCGGGCAGTCTCCTTGGCGGCGTAGGTGACCTTGCCGTGGTCGAGGACGATGGCGTAGCGGTAGGTACGGCCCTCCTCGTCGGCCCAGCCGATGCTCTTGGAGAAGGCGGCCTCGGGGTCGGAGAGGAACAGCTGTGGGACAGTCAGTCAGATATGTGGATGACACGAATTGCCATTGGGGAGTTGACGTACAATGTCATCGCCGGTGACACCGTTGGCCTTGCCCCAGGCGCTCATGACGAAAGCATCGTTGTAGGCGAGGACGGCAACAACGTCAACACCCTTGGCGCGGATCTCGGGCAGCTTCTGGATGTACTCGGGGACGTGGTTGGCGGAGCAGACGGGGGTGAAAGCACCTATAGGAAGCGGTCAGCGTGAGAACCTTGCAGACGGGGAAGAAAAGGAAAAGAAAAGAGCGGTGACGAACCGGGCAGGGCGAAGAGGATGACCTTCTTGTCGGCCCACTCCTTGGAGGCGTGGTAGTTGATGGGGATACCGCACGAGGTGATCTCGCCCTTGTCCTCGGACCAAGGGATGTAGCTGATGAATGGGTTAGTTGGTGAGTTGGCGGGATGGCGGGATGGTGGGGGGGGGGGCAAAGAAGAGGCCGAAGAGGGAAAAAGCAACAAATCAAACTTACGAGAAGGTCACATCCGAGGGGAAGCTGTCACCGGTCTGGAGAGGCATGATGAATTGAGTAAATGGGAGGAGATTCGAAGATCAATTGATGAAAAAGTGGTATGGGGAAGAGAAAGAAAGAGTTGGTGGGAGAGGTGGGAGGGAGGGGCAGTTTAATAAGTTGAGGGCATCTACGCTTACACATTTCGGCCCATCGGGATCGGCCAGGGGCACCTTATGACGAATGAAAAGTGGGACATGGCGCTCCTTATGAGGTGATTCCAAGCAGAAAGATACCGAAGCTCGTGGATTATCAAGAAAGACCGCCCAGAACGAGGCCCCACCGCTGATTAACTGTTATCTCTGAGTAAGTTCGGACATCCCACTTTGCCTTAGATACCTTATATATCCGTGGATATACCGAGAAATCGATCAATCGATCAAAGATTGATAATATTAAGCTCAGAATCAATCAGGGGCCAAGTGTCAATTGTGCCTAATTTCCGTGTCCATAGATGCCTGCACCTCCAGGCTAAAAAGAAGCCATTCAATCATGTGATCCAACGTCGGACCGTTTCCACCCTGTCGCATCGGATTAACTATTTCTCCAGTGACCAAGGCATCTGCTTGGGTTGGCAGGCAAAGAAGGCTCACTTACACCACAAATGTCCCCGCAGAAACAGGCATCGCTCGACACAGTGTTGGCCCCAGACCGCGGAAGAACCCTTGAAACCCATCAACTTGCCAGGTTTGCCGCACGGCGTCCCGCATGGTGCGGTAATTTCGCTCGGGGCCAAAGCCGTCCGTCTGCATCTTACTCTTGACCACATCAAACGGATGGTTGGCCGCCCAGAGAACTTCTCCAGCAATTCCTCCACATCCGGCCACTTTCCAGGGTGCAATATCTTCGCGACGTTGATTCTCCCTTGCCATCATCTGACCAAGCAGGAACTCGTACGCGGCAAACCAGATCCCGTAACTGTGGAACTCGCGCAACATGGTGGGAATTTGCCCACGATAGAGACCCGCCAGGCCGGCTTGGCGCAGTATCTTTTGCACGCAGTCTCGTGTCCCGGAGTAGAGTTGTTGTGAGGATTCTGAGCGCTGCGTCTGCAGTCGGATTCGAATATGCTCCACAGGACCCGACATGACGCTGTTTACCAGACCGGCCATACCCCCGGCAAGATAGATCTGTTGGAAAAGGAGACGTTTTGTGTCATCTGAATTATTCTGAGATGCGAGCATACTGGAAAAGCATTGGAAGGAGGTAAAGACCATACTGATCTGTTTTTGGGGTGAGTTCTTGAGCTTGGGCTTGTGAGGAGGACACCTACGCAGGCTCCTACTCCTACTAGCGGGGCCGTGGATCCCTGCCATATCGTGAGATCAATATTGTCCTGTCGCCTTTCTCACAGCAAAGGGAATTTACTTTATAGAAAGCCAGGGACCCTTCCCGAGTCCAGACATTCCTCGCCATCTGCAGCGCACCCCTGGCAGCCTGGGTTTGCATGCGGACTTTGATGATGTCTACCAGTTCAAGTCAATGAGTTGCAAGCTAACAGCAAAAGTGCGGAAGTACTCACCAAACGGCTGCCCTGTATGCAAAACATGCGTCAATATACTAACCATGTCTTGGGAGAAGTGTTCTGAACCCACCGATTAAAACCTGCGCTATCCCACCCGCAGCACCCACCATCACCTCTTTAGCTGTGTGCGGAATGACTTCCCTCTTCCTGGGCAACAATTCAGCATCCATTCTGGATTTCTCAGCTGGCTCTGGCTCTATCCAAGTGATGTGTTTGGCAAACGAAGGCCAATGTTGAATTTCAGGTCTTTCGAATCTTGCTAGGCTTTGCTGAAGAAGAACCATGGTGATATACATTGGCCTTGGCTCTATGCAGTTGTAGATAGTGCAGACCCCACTAAATACCGGACAAGGTGACCGACCTTGGCATGTCGGGGACGGTGCCCGGGATCAGCACGCAGCAAGAATTGTGGATTGATACTGCCAAAAACAGCTGTAAAAAGAAATGCAAGAAATTTGAAATGTTGATCGATCAAAGCAGTGACCACATGGGTATATTCAGAACTCATTCTAATGTCTAGTGTCGTTGACATGCTCCGTCGTCTCCATGAGACGAGCCAGGGTAACAGCTTCTCTCAGCGCTCGCCCAACATGCCCTCGCACCCCAGCCTCTTCCATAACCATCAAGCCCCCAATAGTGCAGCCCTCGGGGGAGGTACCCTGGTCCCTCAGCAACGCAGGATGCACCCCACCCTGCAACATAGTAGCCGTGCCTTGCATTGATTGAAAGATCATGGTATGAGCCAGACCCCTCGGCATCCCGACAGCCACAGCGGCATCAATCAGCGCATCACAGATCACCGCGAAAAAGGCCGGCGTCGACCCGCCAACCGCCGTCGTCACATTCATGAGCCGTGCATCCACATGCACCGGCCGGCCGATCTGCCGGAAAATGGCGGTCGTGATCTCAAGATACTCTATGGGCAGCGCAGGCTCGGATGCTTCGATTGCCGTCAGCGACTGCGAAACTTGCGCTGCGATGTTGGGTAGCGTGCGCACCACCCAGGCGCGGCCGTTCGTGTTGATGGCTGTGGTTTCGCTGCCGTAGAGTCTCTGCTCGAGTTTTTGGCGCGTCCAGCCTGCAGCAATGCTGATTAGGAGCCTGTTGGCTACCGCCTCGCGGAGTCCTTGCTGTGAGAGGAGTGTTTCAATATCCGCTGGATCACTGCCCAAGATGATAACTTCTGATTTCTGCACTGCGGAGATGTTTTCGCCCCGGGTCACTTCTACTTTGTCGAGATGTTCGGAGAAACGCTCTTTGAGTCTTTCCTCTGAGTTTTGACTGCGGACGCAGGCGATGAATCGAGTGAAGGGGAGTTTGTTGGCTTCTTCTGGAGGAGCATTGAGCAGCCCATTTAGAATGGCCGTTCCCATGTTTCCTGTTGCAGGTCAGTGCGAGATTCGACCATGACCAGAATACTATCATACCACAGCCCAACAGGCAGAGAGTCGCATTATTGGGGATCGCCATGATGAAATAGAATGAGGAAAATATTCAGAAGTTGAAAATAATTGTTGTGTGTTCAGATGGGGGAAAGAAGAAGAAGAAGAAGAGGAAGGATGTTTACTTCTGTAGTTTTCCCCTCATCGGATGCCCATCCGTTTCGTCCACATCCTCGTTGGGATCCACAACCAGCTCGACGGCAACTCGACATAATATAACTCGTTTATCTGCGAGTACGTGCTGAAGAAGTGCTTTCCCAAGACAACGCTTTGTTGGGCGTACCCAAGTTGGACCAATATATAGATGCTTCAAATTGTCAAACTGCATGGTCTTCGAGCGCAGCTTCTAACAAGCTCTTGTATGCCAAGGGCCTTGTTAATAGAACAAGCCAAAGGACATGTTGTGGAGGATCAGAAGCGACACATTGTGTCCCTGCTTGATTCCAATGAGGTTGCTAAATGACTGACCCAAAACCCTTTCATCATTTTCGGTTTGAGTGGAATCAGCCTATTGAAGGAATGGAGGATGAAGTAAGTGTTTAGCTTTGACAACTACGAAGGTGAATTGGAGGATGAATAAAAGATTGTCATGTAGAATCTAGATCAAGATTATGGACAGAAACCCATCATTACTAGAGACACGTTCGACTTCAAAAACTTCCAAATTCAATGAGCCAACACATCAGAACAAAACCAGTCAATCAAATCCCAAAGCGCCGGACACTCTGCCACAGATGATTATGATGCAAATCGGTTGTTTATCGCATCTGCACTGTTGTCCAAGATTGCATATTAGCATCGTCAAGACAGCCACATTTGCCCTGAATCATAATCAACAGGCAAAAATGAACTAGGCCACAAACCCAATCTCCGAGCCCTCTGAACTCGGGGGCGTGTCACCACGGCATGCGGGACATGGGCCGGGCTTGTTGTCATCGGCTGCATAGACGCGCCGAGGAAGATCGCGAGTGCGGCCATTTGGGGCATCGCAGAAGGACTGATCAGGACGCGAGAATGAGATGTGGCAGCGTTGAAGGTGGTAGGCGTAGACATGCCCACAGCCACGTCGGCCGCGGAAGCAGTAGCAGAGTAGCTCACACATCTGTAAGAAGAGTTAGAAGTATGCCTTTTGAGAAGAGTGACAGATGTTTCTGAAAGATACGTACCTTGCTTGTTGGTTAGTGTTGGTTCGGGTTGTGGAAAAAAGGTACGCAGGTGGAAGAAATCTGGATTGAAAGTATCAGATGAGAGTAGTGAGAGTAGACTGATACTTCGAATGATTTGAATGATGGGAGGATTCGGATTATTTCATAGTGTTGTTTACAACAGTATGTCTTAGTGCAGACTTGAGTTCATCCTTTGGTGCGGCAAGTACAAGGTTCTTTGTTCTTTGATACAATGAGACAGTCTAGTTGAATCATTAAAGGATTGTCAAAGAACTTTGACAATAAGATATCAATGAATTGATAAACCACCCTTTGAGTACCAGAGAACAATGGCATTGAATTGCTTTTGCCTACGCCTTTCTTTGGCCTCTGAATTTAGGACTGCTTCGACTGAGTTGAGACGCTTGCCCCCGAGAAGATGTCAGTATCAAATCCCCACTAGCGATCTCTACTGGTATAAGGCAGAAAGTAGTTTAGACCTTTTTTTTTTTTTTTTTTTTTTTGATTTACAAGGACATTGGTCCTCTTTGAACACGAGTAGTCTATTCATAGACCTGATCCGGAACCATACCAAGCTCATTATGTCCCCAGGCTGAGACCTCAAACACCTTTGCTATCCAAAAATAGAACTAAAGTCAACCTAAAACATACCTGCTGCTGGATTACCCCGATAAAAACCGGCCAGGTTCTTGAGCACTGACTAGCCCTGCTTCTCAATCTCAGCATCAGCACATTTCATCTCAAGAATTTCCCGCTTTTCTGCCTTCATTTTTCTTTCAAGAGGATGCTGTGTCAGACTGATCTTTCGAAGCCCCTCAATTATTTCATCGCACAGCTGAATGCTCTCATCGAGTCTGCCTTGTAACCTATAGCACGATGCAAGTTTAATCATCGCCCCAATTCGATCCGGATGGAAATCACCGCGGTGGGAGGAGAGATGTCGCTGCTTCTCAATTACATTGACAAGCGTAGTCTCTGCCTCGGAAAACCTCTGGTCTCCGATGAGGATACTACCAAGGACCGTTCTCCCCATCAGGGTGCCGATGTGATCTTCGCCTAGGTTGCGATCCGCGATTGACAATGCACTGCAAACAAGTTCCTCTGCTTGAGCGTGCTGACCAAGGGCAGAATTAACCCTCGCCAGATTTGCCATTGCAAGGAGGACGTATGGGTGTTCCTTGCCAAGCTTGCCTTTGCGGCAGTCGAGGATTTGCTGCATCGTCTCTAAAGCCAGTGGTAGGTTTTCTTCCATTTGCAAAGCGAGCATGGCCAGATCTTCTCGCACGTGCAGTGTCTTTAAATGCGTGGAGCCTAATATCTCACACATCCCGTCAAAGGACAGATTGAGAAGTCTCTTGGCTTCGTCGAGATTCTCGTAGAACTTGGCAAGTGTTCGGCCAAGACTCCCCATGGCACTCAAGGTGTCTTCATGTTTGAGGCCCTTTAGGTTCATGAGACCTTCGACGGCGTGTTGCTGAAGCATCCTGGCCTCACTATATCTTCCTTGCTGCCATCTTGTTTGACCTAGAAGATCCATGGTCATCAATGTCTCATGGCTGGTGGGCCCCAGAGACGCAAGACAGGCCTGAAGGACGCCATCCTGCAGATCCGATGCTTCGTCACCCCTTCCCTGGTTCCAATAGGTAAGTGCCAGTGCTAATGTAATACGTCGCGCAGCATGTTGACCCAAGCCAAGGACCTTGTCTGTGTATCTTTTCACAGCCAGTTGAAGCGCTTCTGCATCATTCCATCGGCCATTTTGAGCAAACACAACACTGAATTTGGCGTTCAGAAGAGCTTGGGAACGACCAAAGCTTGACCCAGCTCCAGGCCACTGCAGGAGCCCATACCAGCGGCGTTTTCTATTCTCGGAGATTCTCCGCTCCGTGGCTTCTTGGCAGCTTCTGACATGATCAATATGAGGGAGGATATCTCTTCGAAAGAGCTCTTCGGATTCAGTGTTTTCGAGAGGCGGGAGAAGAATTGAATGCGCTAGTGTCGTGGCTGCTACATGCGCCCATACAGCTTGCTCTGTCGTGCTCATATCGGGTCTTTCTCGGGCCCACCTGTGGACTAGAGGGTGCATCGAGTAACTATCGTTGGATTCGTGATGCGTGATCAGAGACATTTGAACAAGTTCTCTGAGCGCATAGCGAACTCGTATGTCATCGAAAAACCCTGATTCTCTGCCTTCTCGTATGACCAGCGGCAAGGCAGGAGGGCTGCGATCTTGGGCAATGAAGCCCAGTATAGATATGCGAAAGTTATCGTATCTCTGCCACCAAGTTTTTGATTGACTGGAGTTCTCTTCATCTGCCTTCTCCTGTTGGAGCTTCTCAATCCCGCCATTCAGCACGGCCTTCTTCAAGATGTCGAAGCGGATATTCTTGAAATACAGGAAAGAGAACAGCTTTAGCAGTTGGATTGCATCCTCCGAAGGCTCTGTTCCTTTCTTTTCAATGCCCCTGTAGGACACCTCGTATGTTGCAAGCGCGCTCATATATTGCTCGTATTTGTCGCCAGAGTCCAACGATGATTTCGGTGTCCGGCGGATCCGCTCCCAATCCTTGTCGTAGAACACCAAATAATCTTTGAGAGAACATAGACCATTTCTGATCGCAGCACCAGCATGGACCAAGGCAAGTGCCAGAAAGCCCAGTTGTCGGGTGATCTTGGTAGCCCATGATGAAGAGTCGGCATCCCATGGCTCTGTCAATCGAGCAGCCCGCAAGAGAAGAGCACTGGCGTCGCCATCTTCTAGCCCTTGAAACTCGAAGAACCCTGGACCAACATTGCCATATATCTTATGTGCTGGGTTGCGTGTCGTGATGATGATATGGCCTCTGTCGCCCTTGGGGAAGTACTCATGCAAGTCAATGCGAGGATCGTCGGCGTTGTCGATGAGCAAAAGCCATCTTTCTTCGCGGTTGGACAGCCAATGCATGGCTGCACTGTGATTAGCCTCTACCTTGCCGAACTTTGCAATCTCGGCGTATGTCTGTTTCATTCGTTCATGGGAGCTCGCATCGACCCAGAAGACTCCCCAGAAGCTATCGAGAACATGTCAGTGGGACAATGTTTCCGCAAGAAATAAAGACATATACAAAGAAAAGCGCGTACCTTTCTCGATTTTGCTCCGCAAATTTAGAACAAAATTGCGTCTTTCCCGATCCACCCATTCCATAGATAACAAAGCGCTGCTGTTTTTGTGGCTGATCAACGGACGCCATTAGAAAGTTCTCTAGTTTTTCAAGGAACTGATTTCGGCCTGTATACACGCTGCTGACAGGCTGGGGAATATCGAAGAATTTGTTTGGCGTCGTGATAGAAACCGCCGTGGCAACAGATTGTACAGCATTTCGAAATTGCTTGACCCTCGATAATGCTGCAATATCCTCCTCATCCCGGTCTAGATGTCTTTCGCCGGATGATTTGAGGTGACTCTCGAGGGCCACTATTTGTTGTTTAAAGCGCAGATCGAGGTTTCGCAGGTCGGTGGATATTTCATCGAGCGTGTCTTGAGATGTTTGGTGATTATACCTAGAGAAGTATTAGCTACCCACCCACAATAGGCAAATATTGATGATACTAACAGACTGATTCCAGTGAGCAAGATCTGAAGGTTTTGTTTTTCAAAAGAGAGTCTATCACGTAGTCCCTGCAGCCTTGGGACCTTTTCACGTCTGCGAAACTCTTTTTTCAGTCCGTCAAGCCCTCCGGTGGCTGTAGAGCGAAATTTGCCATGAATCTCTTGCACGAGATGTTCGAGTTGTGTTGCTATATCTTGGCATATAGCAAGGCTTCGTTCACAATCTTTCCATAGGTTTTCGAGACTAGCTGCTTTGAGACGGGAAGTGATTCGATGCGCTGCATGGGTGGTTTGAAGGCTCTCTTCGACCGTGGAGACAATGGTCCTGAGTGATTCCACTTCAGTTATCAAGGAGTCAATCTCTTCTTCGATGGCGGCAACGGCGGCCGGGATCTCCTTTAAGAACTTGATGAGACGCCAACACACGTCTGCGAGTGAGACAGCCCCTGTGGTGATTGAGATTGGATCCATTCCATCGAAGGTAGTGACAGTTTTGAAGTGATCAGGGGAAACATTGGCTGTTGGTTTCTAGTGTATAGGAAGGAGGGCTAATAAAACAACCGATAGATATGAATGGGTACTTTTGTCAGGGAAATGAGATATTGCATTTCTTGAAACATTGCAAGTTTCTAGTTTTTGGGCAGTCCATGTTATTGGAAGATCGATTGTGAAGCGCCACTAGTCGGCGGCAGAGCAACAACCTGTTTGTTTTGGCGGCTGATCAACTTCTTTTTTCAGCGTGATAACTGCAGCCTGGTGCATTAATCACATTTCGGCGATTCAGAGGATCATCAATCTTGCCGCTGATTCTACTCTTGAGTCTGCTCACATGTATCGCAAAATTATCGGGAGCCTCTACGATCGCTGTTTATGAGTAATCGGTTTAACAACTGTGGATGAATCAAGGTACTGAAATAAAATGACTTCGCTCTCTTCTGATCTTTTAGCAGCGTCTATCTTTATAAAGTGGCAGGTATAAAAGGCTGATAAATTCCATTGCTGAATGATATCAGTTTAACTAGCATTGGTAAATAAGATATATCAAGATCCTTGGGATAAATTTTATCTCATTAGATATATTAAGGCAGCGGTCGTCGCTACTATAATTTTGAAGCGATCGGGTAGGTTCACAAAGAGTAGACCTTAGAGATCATTTTTTGCACTATCCCATGGAAGAAAGAAGCACTATCATGCAATGAGGGCCTAGTATCCAACCGTTCTGTGGTCTGGTGGCCCGCACTCTGCACCTTAAGTCAACTAGACGATACAGCGACAATAGGGGCGAGTACAGACGTCTTTTGTGGGTAGAAGAAATATTGGCAGACAAACGGTCGAAAGTTGCAAATTCTAAGGCTACCTAGCTATAGGTAAAAAATGTTAGTAAAAGAGCAATCAGAGGGGAGAAAGGGTCTACCTACAGTGATAGGTCAAAGCAGGAGGTCGGGGATTCAAGTTAGTTACCTGTTTTCCTATATTAGAAAGTGTAAAGTAAGCCTGTGCTGGTAATAGTCTGCTTCGGTGGAAGTAAGAGTTGAAGACAGCAAATCAAGTTTGAAAATTTGATAACATCGCAGAGTCTAGCAAGGAAGAGAGAGAGAGAGAGAGAGAGAGAGAGAGAGAGAGCTTCGGGTGTATGTATTTCAGTTTAGAATGAAATAGTTTCTGAGCTCAGACAATAAATGCTTGCTAAGCTAGAAAGTCCTTGAGTTGCTCATGGGGCCAGATTTCCTGGCGCGATGCCCCGCAAGTATGTCATTTGGTAGAGGGTTTGTTGGAATTTGCAAGAGAATTACAATATGCTATTGTTATAATGAGAAACCACAAAGAATGAGAGTGGCCAAGATCCAAGAACATGCAGAACACACTGAAAATTCTTGAAATGCCAAGATCATAGTTCAACGTTTCAAATCTCATTGCCGATCCCTCAGCCCTGGAAGATCGCGGAAATACTCGAGAGTGTTTCAGCTTTATTTTGCAGATCTTCCTTTCTTCTTTTTTAGAATGTGTATTCCAATGTAGGCGCAGGGGAGAGAGAATTATCGGTGGGGTGGCGGAGCTTCGGTAAGATGGAACGAAGGGGGCAGTGATGCGATAATTATAGATGACTACGAATGAGACGATCTCTGACATCTGTCACAGATCGAGAAAGATCGAAAGGAAGAGAAAACAAACCGTTAGTAACAATTCCTTAAGGTATCTTGAGCTTGAGACCCTTGGAAATAAGCATTCCCAACGTCTTGTACCTGCATATTGGCTCAAGCTCCACCTATTTCTCTACATATCCAGTCGCACCATATACCGGATAATACTAATCATGCTAATGTTTATATAGATCGTAGAACAGTCTTTTTTTTTTTTTTTTTTTTTTTTTCAGTTTACTAAAAGAATAAACTGCAAAAACCCAGGGGCAAAGCATAAGGGACGGTCATTCAGCGCGTATAACTAATAGGCTTAAGATCTACCCAGGTCGACGAGTTGATGTCATTTGCTCGATTCGCCTCGGGGGCCAAATGGGCGCTCCAACGGGAACAAGTGCGGTTTGCGGGGGATCTTAAACAGGCTAGTTCCACGGTGGCAAGCTGTGAGGTGCATCCGTGGATCGTGATCCTCTTGAGAGTATCAAGAATTTCTTCCCCCTCTGATCCACTGCAATTGACCCAGTGCGGCTGTCCACCCCCCTGAACCCTCCAAGCCTTCGAGGTATTCCCCCGTCTAAATATATCCCAGAAATTGATCGCGAAAAGGGTTGATGATTCCTCGACACTTGCCCGACCCACAAGTGGGGGCTTCTTGACAACGGCCTATAAAATCGAACCCGGTCGCAACTTCGACTGAGGGATCGCTGACGAAAATCACCCCCTGCTTTCTGTTACCGGGTGGCCCGCATAAAACATTATCCCAATGGTTTTAGGCCAGGAAAAGCGTGTGCGCCTGAGACAAAGTCGTCCAAAGGTTCGCACTGGCTGTCAGACGTGCAAGTATGGGTTTTTCCCCTTCGTCACCCTGGATTTTTCCTTCCCGCGAACTTCCTCCCCTCCGCAGACTCTCTGACCATCTCGTAGAGCCCGACATAAAAAATGTGATGAGACCCGCCCGGCGTGTCTTCGATGCACCAACAGCGGCCGGGTATGCGATGGCTACGACTTGGTCCCGGACCGGCGCACGAAAGCTTGGCGGGAAGAGAGCGAAGCCGATGCATCATCCATCAATGAAGGAGCGATTGTGCCAAGTCATTCTGGACCGATACTCCCAAGCCCCATGCGTACTTTAATCGATGCAAGTCAGCAAAACCTGACCCAGACTGAGCGTTGGCACTTGGATTCCTTTCGCAAATGGACATCCAACTTGGTCGCCGGCTATTTCTACGACGAGTTCTGGCAGAGGCTGGTGCATCAGGTCAGTGAAGACCAACCAGCAGTTTCCCATGCTGCCATTGCCATCAGTGCGCGGCATGTCGATTTTGAGCAGAAGAAATCGGGCCAGCGCTTCGACGGCGAGGAGAGCTCGCTGGTGCTACAGCAATGCAATAAGGCCATTACCGGGCTCCAACAACATCTGGGGACCGGCCAGCTCGGTCGCTCCCACAAGGAGGTCGTTTTGGTCACCTGTGTCATGTTAATCACGCTCGCTCTGTTCCAGGGGGACGTGTACACCGCCGGTTGCCATCTGCAGTCTGGGGACCGATTGTTCATCGAATGGGAGAAGAACAACTTCGACAATAGTTCTGCCGGGCCGATCTTGAAAAAGGCTTTTGCCCAACTCCATCTCCACTGGTCGACCTTTGCCAACCCCAAGGATTTCATTCGAGACGATCATCCTTCGATTCCTTGTCTACTCATTGACGATCGTCACGCGTTCTCTGCGCTCTCTCCCGAGCCCGAGCCCGAGCCTCCCGAGATTTTGGAAAAAGTTAGTGAACTCACGGTGATGCTGGGATGGCTCGTGTTGCAGAGTCATCCCCAGGGGTTTGGTATCTCCACCTCTCGGACATTTCCAGGAAAGGGAGAGGTTGCAGTGCTTAGCAATGTCCGCCAGTTTCGAGGTCAATTGAAGGCGAGCGAGATGCTTGGTGGAGAAGCATTTTCACAACGAGATCAAAACACCCTGATGCTGATGAACCTGTGGAGCGAGGTTCTCTATACCAAGATTGTCATCGCCCAGAATTCGCCTGACCACCCCGAATACAACTACGAAGATCCTCTCCCTCACTTCCGCCGAGCCATCTATCTCGCCGCGCTCAGTGTGAGCTATCCCACGCAACACTCTTCCTTCAGGGCTGGAATCATCCCGGCCATCTTTTTCTGTGGATTTCACTGCCGCGATTGGCACGTGCGACAAGAGGCATTGCGCCTGCTGCATGAACTTCAAGGCTGTGACCAGCTGGCCCAACGAGGGGCTTTGGTCTTGCCGCGAAGACGAAAGCGCCAAGAAGATATTTTGACGACTTCAGCAACGGCTCTTGTATTGGAACGACTGATTGGGATTGAATCCGAGGGTATCGAGCCCGGGGAGACGATTCCTCAGTCTGCTTATATTGATTCAATGTGCGCCGAGATGCAGCCCGACGCGCCCGGAATTCAAATATGGTATTATCGACCTGGACTTTCGGGACTTGGAAACATCGTCAATGAAAACCAATTGTGGGAAACCGAGTTACTTCCCTACGCAAGTCCAACATTCTTGTCTCAGACCATATCCGAGGGTGGGTCTTCTTGCAGCAAATCCAACTCCAATTCCCCGGTGAATTGATTCCGAACTTGATACTCTACTTCTTCTAGTAGATGGGCAGTCTTGATGTTGGTCTTTCAACCAATCTCGAGCAGCATTCAATTACCCCTTATCTGGGGGGTTTTAAGCGCCAGATTCGAGTTCCGACACTGCCACTTTTGCCTCAACGCCGCTCCCTGGGGGATTCTTGATGCAGACGTTAGAGCCGGGTCAGCTCCTGGAATTGGGGCTGCGTTTACCCCAGCAGATCGTTCTTCCCTTACTGCAGCCAAGCACGCTCATTGGCTTGCCTCTGGATGTAAGCCAGAGCCAATGGGAACTGTTGTTTTGAGAGAGACAGCGGCCGAACACGACTTTATAGGGAAGAAAACGAGGGCACAAACCGGGGACAACCTTACGGTGTGTTGATATCAGTGTTGGAGCCCAACCCCCACCATACTGTTGATTATGTATATATTTTTATTCCGTGTGTATTTTAAGCGAAATTTAGCCTTTGTCTTTCTCTATATTACCCCAAAGCAATCTACTGCGGTGGGTCCAAGATCACATTTTATGTCTATGAGTATGAGACTGGAACACCATGCAAGAGAAACAGGACACAAAAAACAAAAAATAAACAAAAAATAAACAAAAACACAAAACAAAAGATATAGGCTCTATTATAAAATACCTGACTCCAATACTTAGATCACTTCACGACTCCTCACAGCTACCCAGCCCACCAGCAAAGCGAAGATCGGACGCCCCAACTGCCTTGGCAATAGACTAAGTGTGCCACACTACATAGTGGAGTCCAATCCCCCGAGATTGCCGTGGTTTTTATAGAAACACTTCTAAGATGTATATACTGCGGAATGGGGATGTTTTGGGAAAAGGGGGGCCAATTGGATTATCCCAAGCAGACGGTTTGCGATCCGCGACACGTGTGTCCCTCCAGCCTTGTGGAGTCTCTATCACCAAGATACAGCCAAGTACTAAAAGTGCATAGCCTCATGCACTGGTGAGTGTGCGCCCCACATCCCGCTATGTCCCACTTGGGCCGTGTCGGTGAGAAATGTATCGCGTATATCCCATCTATGCATGCCGTATACCGTTTTTGGATTTAGATTATCCCACATGAATCATGTCAGTTGTCAATTTGTGAAATTTTTGGCCCATTGGCTCAGCCACCCCGAAGAGACGGGTCGCTGTATAGTCTTTGGTACCGTGGTGGATTTTCTGGGATCACACCATATGAAAGGTATATCTAGCGAAGGATTTTATCAACTCGACCAATCTGCGTCTGTGGGAGTATGGGACTATCACTGTTAAGTGAACAGTCCTTGATTAATGGAAATCTACCGCACACAGTCCGCAAAAGACATCGTGGTAATGGTAGTCTGAAATATCGAGCCCCCACAGCCTCGCAACACTAGAAACAAGGCTGGCAGCGGGTATAACACTAGAAGCAAGGCTCGCAAATAGGGGCGAAAACGCGATCTAAGAATTGAGGCATATAAAAAGGTCCTCCCAAGAAGAGGCTCTTGTTTTGCTGCATCCTTATCTGTACTATTTATTCACTTTACCTTCTGCTACAACCCCCCCCCCCCCCCCTCTCCCCAACCATGTACATCATCACACCTTTAGCCCTTCTGGGTGGTTTTGCAGTCTGTGCAACTGCGAACCGATTTGTTCGCAGAGAAGCCTCTTCCTCTTCTGCTGCTCCTGTCTCCAACCCGATCCCTACCGTTGCTCCAGCGGACCTGTCAAAGTTCACAGCTACGATGAAGGTCGACGAGGAAAATTCAAAGTGCTATATTGAACTCGATATGGCCTCAATCGGCTGCGTCGGCAACTCGAGCGATTTAATCCAATATGGCAAGCCCTCCAATACTTGCTATGCCGAGCGTAAGTGTCCAGCCCTGGCTCTTTCTGTCGTAAACTATCTTCTAATCATGGTTTTTTTTTATTCTATTTAGTCAGCGTTGGTGCCGAAGGTGATGACCATGTCTGCGGATCTGCCAAAGGGTATCTTAGCTATGTCGACCAAAACCGGGATATGGTGGGAAAATATGAGTTCCACAATCAGGATGACGTGGTCGTGCTGTTCGAATTTGATCATCAAACTGATGACAAGTACATTATGTTCAAACCAGGAGCTACTGGAACCCCGTCCCCGGCGACTACCGCAGTCTTCTGATCTTAGGGTAAGAAGCAGCTCTGCGATCTCGGACTAGGGATAATTTACGCCCTGTGAATGTACATAGCTGGGTGGTAGGCAATCTCTGGCCATCAGAAGCATATATAGATTATGAGGGATGGTATTCAGCATCTCCGTGCAGAAAGACACCACCTCTGCTACCAGATACTATGCTCTATCATCGTGTTAGACATCCACTCGGTATCAATACTCTCAATCGAGTTCGCCACCGCCATAATCTGCGCCGCCGTCAACCCAGCAGTGAAAGTGCAGTCATCGGCAATCACCGCATTGGACTCGGGCATGATATCATCAGCCTGAAGGGCGTGCGTAGCCGACGACGGAAACGAGCTCGCCAGCGGCACATGCTGGGACAAGCTGCTCTGGTTCTGCGGAAATGAAACAGGCACTGAGAGACATCGAGCCTGGTCCCTGGGAACGATGCTGAGCATTTCCTCGAGCTGTTGTAGCTCGGCTCGCCGGAATTTGGCGATCAGGTGCCCGCTTTGCACGATCTCATCGAAAATTGTGTAGGCTTTGTCCACCCATCCAGGGTGGTTATCTAGCATCTTGGTGTCGATTGCGAGGCCAATGAGGAGGACTGTTGTTGACATGAATATTGAGTCAAGATCAAATGGGAGGAATGTTTCTGGGATAAAATGATATTAGCCGGGGGGTCTAGTTTCGGCCTTATGGTATGATTTTTTGGGATCTCACCGAGGAGTCCTTCGGAATGTAGACTGTGAAGAATGCTGACGATCTGCTGGGATGAGTCCATGCACATCTGTATCAGGCTTTGGACGTTGCGCGAGGTATTCAAGTAACCCACGTAGGAGTCTGGCGACTCGAACTGTATTTTCAGGAAGCAAAACATCAATGGCCGCGTTGCCAACACAATGCATTGGTGATAGAGGAGATGGAGGTAGGCTGGGTTCCTGGAGATACCGCTGATCGCTCGATCCAAGTGCAGGGGGAAGGATAGATGAAGCTCATCGGCGAGCCCGGCGATATTCGCCAGGGCCGTTTTGGTGCTCAGAAGGAAAGTTCGATTTAGTCGTCCATCGATAGCGTAGACAGCTGCGGGCATGGTCAAAGTTTGACGATGGGAATGGATTCAGCAAAGGAAAATATAACATACTGCTGTTGATCTCTGCAATGATCCGAGACAACTTGATCTGCATGCCGAGCGCGGATATCTTTCGCGCAGATCCTGAGAACGTGGGAAGCTGGGTATACACATGGTCGTCATTGATGGATTGAGGCAACCCCATCAAAGAGGTCATTTCTCGATCCAAGATGTACACGGTCCACCAGATCTCGCGGCACCTCTCTACCCTGATCTCCCCCAGATACTCTACCGGCATCTGGGTGTGCATGCCTTGCGCCATAGCCAGTCGCATTGCTTGTCCAATCTAGGTCTGTGGTCAGCCGAGATATCTTTGAGATCGTGTTCTGAAACATACGTAGTTATGAGCAGAGGACCGATGATCGAGGGACTGTAGGTAAAGTGCAATGCAGCATAGAATCTCTGTTGATACAATAGGCTCTCGATGAAAGACACTCGCATCTGGCAAGAGTTGCAGAGCTTTGACAAAATATTCAGAGCCTGGTGGTCTGTTGTCTGGGAACTTTTGTTGTACGAATGCTTTCCCAAAAGCAAGAATCAGAAGGAAGTGGATGTACCATAGGCTTCCAGTCGCTGCTGGTCCTGGATTTGAATAAAATTCGTGCAGCGAGGTCATGAACTCAGATTCATCGAACAGATGATAGATTTGGCCGCAGCGGAATTTCACAGCATTGATCAGATAGATTGTGTGGTCGAGAGATGGGACGACCGGTATTTCCAGGGATGGGGTTGTTCGCATTCCATCCCATCCAAGGTCATATGTCAGTCCTTCGAAAAGTAAAGTTCCTGCAGGAAGAGGCTCTTGATGTATATGTTCATGTGTAAGGCTCAGGACCCTACGCGTAAACGACCAGTTCGATGATGTCCCCAAGTAAACTGGATGCAAGTCAGAATGCATTAAATAAGACACATAACTACAAAAATATTGGTACGCACACATTCTCCCATTCGCTGCAGACATAAATGCCGGCGGCCCGCTCGATAGAGGGTTTTTTAAACTCGAGGCCGCGTCGTCCAGTTCGGGTTCCGACGCATTATCCGGCACATCACGATGGATCTTCGGTTGACTGAAGATACCAGGAGATCTGTCGTCGAGATCATCGGGGCTGAGGGGACAGGGGTCGCTTTTTTCATTCTGTTGTATGCTCGCCAGCTTTTGCTCCAGCTCAGCGAGGTATCTGGTTCTTATATTAGTACAATTCTTACAACGGTAAGATTGACTCACCCTTTGGTGACAAGAATCTTTTGCTCGCTATCATCGAAGACGCAGGTCAATTTGCGTTTGGTGCAGCCATCGCACGGCTGCGTTCCGGAGCATTTGATCTTCTGCCTCCGGCATCGTGTGCAGCTGTTCGAGTGTCGTTAGCCAAGAGTTCAGTGAAGAGAAAGAACGGTACCTACGCATTCAATGAACGTTTCGCGACTTTGCCGCCCATGAGGATGGAATTGGATGTGTGTAATGTGCAAGTGGCAGAGGGCCAGGGCGCATTATCACCAATGCGGGGGAACTCTTTGGGTGGAGCCTCTCCACGATAGCACGAGATAACACTTGTATTTCAGCGCCACTGGTATTTTCCTCATGTTTGCTTGGGCTTTGTTGAATGATTGTCAGTGGCAATGGGATATTATGTTAGTCTAAGATTGGCAGAAGTTGGGGTGTTGATTCCTGGACAGCCTCAAAGGAACTGTATAAAATGCATCTATTTACAAACCACGGAAATGGGGCTTGGACTTGGGCGTTAATCAACACAGCCCTAACTATTTTATTAAAGCTCTCGATTCCCATTTCTCGTGGATTTGAAAAAAGAATCGCTTTATCCTCCTTATCAGTCCTGATTTTACTATTTTCACTGCTATTCATGATGCTGCATGACTATCTCGGGCATTGTCCGACAGAAACTGTTGTCAGTGCGGGGAAACCTAGTGCTTGTCAGTAACCATGGAAATAAATGCCTATCAGATACTTAGGGACGTTCCAATGCATGATTGACACTGCACGTCGGGAGGCCTCCCGGGATCAGCAGATATCATTACTATTTATGATGACATTTTCGTGGCCTGTCGATAATCACCCCGCATTTCGGCTTAGACGAATGATCTTCGGATTGGTTATAAGCTGGCTAACAATATGATTATTGTGGTACGTGATCACCAGCTCAAGTCGCGATACGAATCAAGTTTATGGTAGCAAGGGCTTACATAGATTGTCTGTTTGATGGCATTTCTTTGGCAATCAGAATGCCACGAGTTGAGAAAAGGAAGTATGTTAAGACAATAATTCAGAGAAGATCATCGAAGGTACTTGTATATTGATGTTGTTGGCGCGAAGCCAGAATCATCGGTGGTTTTCTGGTGGAACTGAGTAAATGGCTATGGCAATTCCAAAGCTCAATATCACCCACAGTTGAACATGCATGTTTTATTCGAGAAATTAATCGACTTATTTAAGCATAAAAACCATGCACAGCAATATATCCACTAGTTTTATCTCTTCAAACCCCCTCGCCAACTAGTGGTTGCTAGGGTACTTGAACCCATTCTGCGGGAAGAATTCCTCCTTGATACACCGCGGGCTAGTAAACCGACGCACAAGATCAGAGCTGCCAGCCTTGTCGTTTGTGCCACTAGCACGACTACCACCAAACGATTGCTGGCCGATGAGAGCAGCCGTAGTCTTGCAGTCTAAAGGAATGAAGATGTTAGATAAACTACACCGAATGATAATCCCCTCGGATTGGCACTTACTGATGTAGAAATTTCCCGCCGAGTAGCGCAGCGTATCCTCAGCCTGGCGGATCGCCCCACGATCCTGAGCAAAGATGGCGCCAGTCAGGGCAAAGTTACCTCCGGCTTCGTCCACTTTCTTTAGTGTTGAGTTCCACTCCGCATCAGGGTAGACATAAACCGCCAGCACGGGCCCGAAAATCTCCTCGTTGAAGAGCCGGTGTTCAGGTGAATCGACCTGGTAGACTGTCGGGTTCACATAGAAGCCAACCGAGTCATCATACGTGCCGCCCGCCAGCAGCTTCAGCGAGGGGTCTTTGTTGCTGCTATCGATAATTGACTTGATTTTGTCGAATGACCGGCGGTGGATCACAGGGCCCATAAACGCCTCTAGATCCTTGTCCGGGCTTCCCATCGTTATCTCCTTGACACCTGCCTTCAACCCTGAAAGGAACTCCTCTGCTCGAGACTCGGGGAGATAGACTCGAGAGGTTGCCGAACACTTCTGGCCTTGGTACTCGAATGCGCCTCGGATGGTGTGGCTGACTGCACTGGAGATATCGGCCGAGGAGTGGATCAAGTGGAAGTTCTTGCCACTGGTTTCACCAATTACTCGCGGGAATTCTCGGTATCTTTTCTTTCCAATTCCCTCTCCGATCAGGCTGTACAGCGAACGGAAGACGTCGGACGAGCCGACGAAGTTCAAGGCGGCAAAGTCGTGGTGCGACAGCACAACGTCGTTGACGGTTTCAGGATCGCCTGTCACGAATTGAATCACATTCGGGGGCAGACCTGCTTCCTGGAGGATCTTGTATACGAGGCTGCTGGCGTAGACATTGGAGGGAGAGGGCTTCCACAGCACCACGTTGCCCATCAACGCGGGCCCGGAGATCAGATTCCCACCAAGAGCCGTGAAGTTGAACGGAGAGACGGCGTAGACAAAACCTTCCAGGGGGCGGTAGTCCAGGCGCCTATATAGTGAGTCAGCCTCTGTATTTTGTTTAATGGATCTCCGATACTAACGTCCACATGCCATCGCTGCCACGAGTAGGCTGTCTCTCCAAAATTTCAGCAGCATAATTGCAGTTTAGGCGAAAGAAATCCGCCAGCTCAGCTGCGGCATCAATCTCTCCTTGCCAAATGTTTTTGCCTTGGCCCAACATGGTTGCTGCAATCAAGTCGTACCGATACTTGGTGGTGATAAGCTCGGCAGCCTTGAGGAAGATCGAGGCTCGGTCGATAAAGGGTGTTTCTTGCCAGTCTTTCTTTGCCTGGAGAGCCGAGTCGATGGCTGTTTTGGTTTGTTCCTTGGTCGCCAGCGGATAATTGGTGAAGGTGGTTGCATGCTCCGCAGGGAGTGGTTGGTCCCACGATTGGGCGCTCTGCTGAGCTGTGCCGTTGTAGTAGAGTGAACTTTGGACTGGCAGCTGAGAGCGCAGCTTGGTCAACGCCTCCTCAAGCTTCGCACGCTCTGGTGAGCCTCTGGTGTACAATGCCTAGCATGGCTTTCGTTAGCTGCCATACTTTCTATGCAAACTCCCAGATCACTCACGTTGGGCTCATTTTTGGGATCGGGAAGACGGAAGGGCGCTGTGGCCTTATTCCTAATCTGGGTGGAAGATCTAACAGGAACTGAGCGCAGACGAGCTGCGATGGGTTGCGCCGGGCGCGGTTTCATGAGAGTGGCCGTGATCATGGCAGTGGAGGTTGTGAAAGGGTGTGAGTTGTCCACGAAAACCGAGGCAAATGACTGCGCTTTATCTTGAACCCCCCCCTCCGGGATTGCCCTCCCATGTCGGACTCGTCACCGATGAAGATATCCCACATTGTGAGATTGCAGTTGTCGTGAAGCAGAGCGACAACTGGAGACTCGGGCGCTCCAGCCGATAACTCGGATCATCCCCATCAAGATACCATTGTTTGGTTCAACGTCGGGGATCCGTCCTATTTGGCACAGTAGATAAACAGCATGGCTATCTTACTATCCATAGCAGGCCTGTCACTATGCAGCACGAGACTTCAGAGCCCCAAACCCGTCCCCGCTTCGGATGTCTCGCGGGCGACTTGGCCGCCGCGACGATCTCGGCGTCGGTGGTGGCCCCCGCCGTGACCATCATCGATAGGTGAGTGCTAGTTCGGGCAAGCCAGCGGGATTGCTAACAGACTTCTAGGGCCATTGTGGAGAAGTCATCGTTCAACCAACCGCTTTTCCGGGGCCTGCACGCCCACGCAATGGTGGCACTCAAGAGACCTGCACCATTTGTCTTCCATCGTCCATTTGGTATCGCGTGGACACTCTATGCAGCAACCTATTCCGTGGCTAACGGAGCTGATACCGTTGGCCGGGCACTGCAGCCGTCTGCAGTGGGGACGATTGGATTCCTATCGACGACGCTGGTCAACGTGCCACTGGCCGTATGGAAAGACTTGAGTTTCGCCCAAGCGTATGGAATAAAGCCATCCACAACATCAAAGAACCAGATCAGCGCCATGCAAGCAGCGTCCGTGCGAAACCCCGCGGTGCTGAGAGCCGCCACGGCTATCTTTGTCGTGCGGGATGGTGTTACCATTTTTGGGTCTTTTACCCTGGCTCCCCGGCTGTCGGCTGCTCATCCTCAAGCAAAGCCTGTCATTACACAGCTGACAGTTCTGGTCTTGACCCAGCTGGTGGCAACCCCGATCCACTTGCTGGGTCTCGACTTGTACACGCGGCAGAAGCGTGTCCCATTTTCTGATCGGCTTGTACAATCCCAGCGATATCTGCCTTCGTCGATAGTACTACGTTGTGTCCGCATTATCCCTGCCTTCGGGGTTGGGTGTCTTCTGAATCTGGAGTTGCGGTCTTTTTTTCATGCCAGGCTATAACATTATATAGTGACTCCGTGATCCTCTACAGCTAGTTTTATATACAAGATATAAATACCTATGCCTGTTGGTTTGATATTCTACTCCAAATATACTAGTGAGGAAAGATCCTATAGGTAACACTCTTGTATATCGGCTTGGATTTCGTTACTAGTATCACTCCCCAGTTGGAGAATGATTCCAGCGGTATTGACCCCCTCATGCATGTCCACGGAACACCTGGCGTCTAGCTTGTTGTCTAGTCACCCCGCAACATCTATCCCCATGATTCTCCAGAAATAACACTCGGGCGCGTCCCCGAGAGGTCTAGAGGGGGGAGGAGTACAAATCTACAACAGGTGATAGGGTTGAAGGATAAAGGAGGTCTGCTCTTCACTATCACATAGGCCACTCAAAGACAAGACAATCTAGGCAAAAGATATGGTTTCTCTGTTTCTTCGAAGGGCTCCTGCGCCTGTGGCAAAGGGAATCCGGGGTGCAAGATGCGATGTCCGCTCCAGAGGCATCCTGAAAGGCGCAAACGAGCTGAAGTCTGTAGCCACCCTGCAGGCTCAGGTTAAAAAGAGCAGTCCAATTGCCCCTCTCCCTCCTCTATCCGCTCTCCCCACCAGTGTCTTGCTTCGGTCACTTCTCATTGCCACAATATCATCAAAATCGTTTCTACTTCGGCCGTCTCTTTGGGCAATGTCGGTCTTGACGAAGCCTCGTCAAACTCTTTTGTTAAACGTGGACCGAAATCGCATTCTTCATGGAATTTTGAAGAAGACATTCTATGAGCAGTTTTGTGCCGGCGAGAATGGCACCGAGTCCAAGGCAACGATCAGGCAATTGAAGGATATGGGCTTCCGCGGCGTGATCATGACATATGCAAAGGAAACAGTCTTTGACCATCGCACGAAAACACAACATGGGCTGGGGGTTGCTGCGCTGGAAAGCAAGAAAAAGGGCGAGTCTTTGGATCCGCATATCGCCCAGTGTGTCAATGTTGAAGCGTGGCGAATTGGAACGCTGGAGACAATTGATCTATTGGAAGGGGAAGACTATTTGGCCGTCAAGTATGCTCAGCTTTCTGTGTGTTTTTGGTTAACTGACTCATTGCTAGATTGACGGGAGCCGGTCCCACCGTTACTGAAGCCTTTACAGCCGGAGAATTACCACCGCAGCAGATGATGGATGCGCTGGACGATATATGCAACAAGTGTCGAGACCGCCATGTCCGAATCCTCGTGGATGCCGAGTCCCAGCATTTCCAATGGGGTATTCAGCGGTTGACTCTGGAACTCATGCGCAAGTACAACCGCGACGGATACGCGTTGATCTACAACACCTACCAGGCCTATTTGAAGAGCACGCCAACTATCCTTGCCAAACACCTTGCAGAATCCCAGAAAGATGGGTTTACATTAGGACTCAAGCTCGTCAGAGGGGCCTATATCGCTTCAGACGAGCGGTGTCTAATTCACGACACGAAGGAGGCCACCGACGATGCTTATAATGGGATTGCCCAGGGTGCATTGAAACAACGCATTGGTGACTTTGGGGACAGTACTGCATTTCCCTCGGTGAACCTGTTTCTGGCCACCCACAACAAGCAAAGTGTCATGGCTGCTCATCAGCTCCAGAAGCACCGTCTTGCCGCAGGCTTACCTACTGTTCCTGTTCGGTTTGCTCAGCTGCATGGTATGTCGGACGAGGTTAGCTTCTCGTTACTGCAGTTGAAGGACCATGATGGGTCGCCAGAGGTCTACAAGTGTTCGACCTGGGGTGGTATGGGCGAGTGTTTGGCTTATCTTCTTCGACGAGCGATTGAGAACAGAGATGCTGTGTCGCGCACGGGTGATGAGTACCGGGCGTTGAAATCTGAGGTGGTTCGGAGGGTGAAAGCGCTTTTTGCTTTCTCTGCATCAACCTAGTTTTAGTATGGATGTGAAGAGGCTTCGTCGATAAGTTTGAAGCGCATAATCTTGCGAGTATAAGCAACAAACCAATAGTTGGTTTTCATCGTATAACGTTCGTTTTTATTTAAAGCCCTTATTGGGACAAGCGACATCGATGCGTTGCTAGTAAATGCTTAGGGTTCTGTGAGTTGGAGATGTGTTGAACTTCGACAACAAAAGACCATTCAGCTCTTCTGAGGGCTGTGCAAAATACTTGAAATATACTAGCAAGCTAGTCGCAGGGATTCTTCTCTATCTACAGCTTCGAAGCCCTCGCAGGGAGTATATCCCTCAATTCTTTCGACTCCCCAAGACGCCAGCTCACCGCACCTCCCCAGTCAGCCTTCTCTTCACTCTTCTGAGGGCCCTTCCATCTCCACCGCGCAATAGACTGCTGGCGGCCGGGTCCCTCCAGAAGATTCGTGACCCAAGACCCCACAATGGGAAACATCTTGAAGCCGTGGCCCGAGTCTCCCGACAACAGTACAATCGACGACTCAGTCTGAGGCACATAATCCACGATAAAGTCTGAGTCTTTGGTATCGGCAAACCAACACAGAGACTTTTTGACCAGTGGGCGATCCTTCAAAGCCGGCAACGTCTGCGCCAGCAGTTCCCGGACCTTTCGCTCGTCATGCTCAGGCATGAAGCTGCTATCCGCAAGAGATCCTGGCGCATGCGATACCCCCGTCCTGGCATCCGTGTTGATATAACCGCCTCCCATGGGACACAGCTTGAGCAGATTTGTTTTTGGGTCCGGCTCAAAGTAGAACCCCAGGTCCCGCGCATACACAATCGGAATACCTCGCAGCGCAGATGTCTCTTCGTCCGAGAGATGAACATGCGCAACAGACCACGACTTGGCCACGACCTGCTGGCCAAGCTCAGGCAGCAAGCGTCCTGCTCCCGCACCGGCCGCCACAATGACCAGAGCCGAGGGATGGAACCGGCCGTTCTTCGTCCGCACTCCCGCGGTCTTCTTGCCGGTGGCTGTGCTCACGTACACCACTTCGTCGACGGCGCCTTGTTCTCCCAAAAAGAAACGCACACCTGCCACTTGTGCTGTGCGATACACGGCTACTAGGGCATTCGCGGAATGCGCGTACCCATCGAAGCGGTTTAGGTAACCGTTCCACCCTGACAAGGAGCCGTCGAGTTGCCAGCAGGCTTGGCGGATATCCTCTCTTCCTTCGAGAGGGACCACATGGGGTTTAATTGCCGGGTTGCGCTCGGCCGAGGCCCGGAATCGCTTTAGGGTCTCAGCGGCTTGCTCTGGCGCTTGTCCTGATACACAGTGAAGAAAGCCTGTCTGGTGGAAATGCGGCGCAAAGAGGGGAGTTTTCCAGGCATCCATTGCTTTCTATACAATTCCAGCCTTTAGCACTGGGCTTGACAAAAAAGGATGGGGGATAATATACTCACAATGGTCAAGTCCGTGTAGAATGGATCTTCATATTCGGCCCGCACGATCTTGTTCAAGTCATTGGCTGCCGAGTAGCGAGGAGGGATGTGGTCATCTTTCTCGAAAACTGACAGATCGGTGTAGCCCTTCTGCGAGAGATGAAGGGCTGTGGACAGGCCGAAGGCGCCTCCGCCAACAATAATGATCGGGTCCGATTTGGAAACGCCCATTGTTAACCACGATGAGACTGTGAATTTCCTGTTAACTCTTCGATATGGATAAGTTGTATACACACTCCTCTTTGTGTTTTCGTTCACACCCCGCCATTTATTTGTCCCGTTGGTGTGAGGGGCGTACTACAGCCCAAGTCCTCGGGAGGCCTCCCGAATGGAGCCATGTGGAGACGATAAGCACCCGAGCGTGGGGTAGCAACTACATCCATAGATGGTGGCAGAAATATGGTTTCTGTTTTTCCTTTGTTGAGATTGTTGAATATTCTTGTTTTGTCAAGGTTGCGTTTGTGTAGATGGTTCATATTTAGGTCACGTCTAACGAGAGTGTTGTATATGCAGGATGACCAAATATCTAGCCGTCAATAGAAAGAGCCAGTCACAGGCGCACGGGTGAGCTTAAAAGTATCCCGGCTGAAACTTTTGGTAAACACCCTTGGGATCGTACTTTGAAGTAATTTTCCGGAGCCGGGCCTTATTAGCATCGCCGTAGCCGGAGATCACATCTTGAAACTGGCTGGCGTAGTTCATATAGATGTACTCATTGTGAACTTCCATGCTCTTCGCCTTGGCAATCACCTTCTCCCAGAATTCATTGCCGAATTAGTAGATGGTGCCATCATCCGCGGCATTTTCCCACCAGCAGGAGACTTGCAGCAAATGAACCGGGCCATTGGAAGCGTCAAGACCTAGTGCATTCTCCCCAAACTCTGGTATACAAGAACAGGCCGCTCCAAAGACGGTGGATATTTGTGGCACGACCGAGTGGAAGTAGTTCACGGCCCACTTGGCGAATTCCTCGTTGAGCTGCACGGCAATCGGCCAGTATACTTCGCGAAGACCGTTCGGGTTCTCGGCATCGATATCTTTGCAGTACTGCACAAGATCCTTGGATCTTGTGGTATCCGAAATGGCTGGGATGCTTCGGTACTCCTTGAATATTTGCGGGTTCGCCACGTCCTTAGCATAGCTTAGCTCAGCCAATGCAATCTTCACTCCAGCAGTCTCCAATTTCACGAGCGTGCCTCCAACTATATCCGGTGACATCCACTTCTCGCCCCCTGAGATCGAAGACACTCTACCCAGAGATACGAGGAGTAATTTTGTCGAGAATTTCTGTCACGGCGAGGTCCATGCAGGGATCCTGGTCTAGACACATATGGATCTCGTAAGTGTAACTTATGCACATCCTATTGGGCATCAACGGCATTCCTGGGCACTCATTACGGGGCTGCATCGCCATTTGCTCAAGTTCCTCATACGACGCAATGAGGAAATACGTTTTCCCGCAAGCTCCTTGAAAGCATTCATTCGATGACTTGCCGACACATCACCGGTCTACCCTTTGGTATGGCTCTCAGCAAACTTCTAGGGGCGGCTTGGACCTCAAATAACAGATTTTTTTCATCAGCTTTTATCCACCATCGAGCAGCGAACATGAGATTTTTCTCATTATTTCAGTCGGATAAGAGAACCCTCCCTTGTCACTATCCTGAGCTCTACGTGGAAAGGCCAATCGGCATAGGTGATTCTCCATGCCATTTGTAACACAGAGCCATATTGAGTTACTACAAAAAAAAACTCTTTTGCAGAAGAAAAAACATCCGAGAAAGACCTATACAGATACACCAGGCGCCGATGGCTATAAGTTCAGCTTTGCTATTGATATTTATACCAAGGCTCATTTGAACGGAAACACCAGCTTCAACGAGCAAAAGGAACTTTCAAATCACTATTTGAAGTTCAACTTGCAACAACTTGTCCAGGTACCTATCAATACCTATAACGGAGCCTAGTCATGTACGGTTTTATTGCTTGAGATCCTACATCTAGAGAAGATCAGTAGTTAACCCTATTAAAAATAGGCACCAAAGTCACCAAATGCTCCGAGGGCTTACATAACAAAGCGTTTATTTTGACCATGGATAACGAGTCCGAGGTGTTTGCGAAGCTCCCTAACCCAAACGCCGGGCCTGCACATTTCACCGTCGCGTCTAAGGTGGCTACACGCGAGCTGGTAAGACGATTGATCTCCGTTAAACTCGTATTCGCTATTTTCTAACAATATTAGCGTCGTGATATATTCAATGTTCCTAGTCCTCAAATACTCACATAGTCTTGCGATGCTGCTAAAAACCCAGTTGAGGCTAAGTATGTCATCGAGGAAAAAACACCCGGTGTACGGCTTGGCTCGGTCTGGAATCAGTGGCCTCGAGAATTGAAGCTCCAATTAATCACTCAGGTGGTTGAACTCGAGAATACCTTGACTACTATCACCTTCGATAGGTATGGCTGCATCTATTTCAAAGATGACCTACGATCATTAATCGGGGACGCTAAAGAGATCCATAGTAGCATAGTCACGTCTATGGCTCTCAACCGATATTCAAATGGGCCTTTGACCTCGAATGAACTGTGGAACGGGGTGAGGAGAGATATGGCTTGAGATCGCGGGCCTCGTAAGGAAACGGATCTCGACATTCTCCTGCTATGCTAATTTTCTGCGTATAGGGACATCCCCACGTGAATACGTTACGGGATTGGGACGCAATGAAATAACCTGGATCAAATCGCATGCTGTTCCTCGAATGAACTATTACCGATCTAGTCAAATTAAGGAGCTCCCCGATGATGGTCTCGCACTTCTCGAGAAATATATCGACGTGGCTCCCTACCTTGTTCCGGCGCCGACCGACAACGAATCGGGATATACCAATGTTTTATGGCATCCTGATCTCCACTTAGACAACATTTTTGTGGATCCAGACACTCATCAAACCACCCGTATTGTGGACTGGCAATTCGCATCCGTGGCGCCTCTCTTCTACCAGTCTAGTGTTCCAAGACTGTGTAGGCATCCTGGCCCTATTCGGGAGGGCTGGATTGTTCCTCAAAGGCCGGACGAGTTCGAGAGGCTCAGTGAGAGCGAACAGAAGCGAATCGATACCGACTTAAAGAGTGAAACTCTCCACAAATACTACGAGGCTCAGGTATACAAGCGCGCGCCTCGACACTGGGCAGTCCTTCAACAGGCAGCTTCTATCATCCACCTGGCTTGTGACTGGAGTATAGGAAAATCGCGATCTTTTCTTTCTCCGTGAATCTCTTATAGAACTCGTGGCAGATTGGGAGGAGCTCTTCTAGGGCAAGGAATGTCCAATCAGCTTTAGCAACCAGAACGTGCAGCTTCAGGCAAAGGAGCAAGAAAACATCAACGGCATAGGGCACATGTTAACATTGTTTCGCGACCAAGCGGTCCTCCCCGTGGATGGCATGGTTGATCCTCAAGACTTTAACGCTGCCCGTGAGAACTGCCGCAAGTTCAAAGACATTTTCGTTGCACTGGGCAAGGATGATGATGAGAGGGAATTGTTTCGGAATCTATGGCCTTATGAAGATTCTGAGGCTGGGGTTTTATGCGGCAGCCAACGTGACAGTTGAGCCGTTGGTGTTATGCATTACTATAACTAGGATGCAATGTGACCTTTCATCTTTCCTAGATTTCTCTTCGTTGCCTTTACTTTTTTTTTTTTTTTTTTTTTTTTGTTTAGGAAGGAGGGCGCGCGGTTGGAGGTATATACATGCAAGAAACTACGCGAATCACCCCGCTTCCTTTGATACATTTCAAGGAATGTTGGGATATATGTTTCATAGAATTTCTCACCCACTAGACTCGATTTCACTATGAGGAGAAATCTCGTCAGATGGAACTCCCACCAGTATTAATTCCTGATCGAACATGAGAAATCTTCGTGGCGAATCAACCGTATCTCAAACTAGCGCGTCAATATCCAGTCTCATAAATCATCACCAGTGCTCCGGACCAATCGCGACCTCGTTCACATCAATTCCATCTACAAACCAGCGCCCCTCGCCATTACCATCCGGTCCGACCAGCACATCATTCCCACTCATCATTCGCTTGCACATCTTCCCCGTGTCGCGATCAAACGTCCAATCCTCGAGTCCATAGCACCGCTTCCAGCGCAGCCCATCCTCGGCATCTTGGAACTCGTACCAGAACTGCACAGCGATGCGGTCATCCTGGAAAGCAAATAGCTCTTTGCGCAAGCGGTAGCTACGTTCGCGGTTCCACTTGGCTGTCAGGAACTCGATGATGGCGTCGGTTCCCGCCAAAAAAGAAGTGCGATTGCGCCAGATACAGGTCGGGGTATAGGCCTGCGCGGTTCGAGAAGGGTCTCTGTTATTTTTGCATGTTAAATCCTGAGAATGGAGAATCACTACGTCATATGCAACGCGACCGCCCCCATGCTGTCCGAGTCCACGAGAGAAACAAAGGGGGAAGAAAGAAACTAGACCGCAGTCATCTCAGACCAGGCATTGCTGCCCATGAGCCCAGGGCGTGTGCAGAGTAAACATTGCTCGCAGGAATGCAGGGGATGAAGCAATCAACCCTTCCCTCGGCCACATGGCTCACCCCGGGATCGCTGCCAAGGAAATCACTTACTGTGTATTCCACATGTTCTGCGCGGCCTTGACCTTTTTGTGGGCGGTCTCTGCCGTGAATGGAGGTTTAAGATCAGCCATCGTCGAATTGGATGTTGAGGACTGGGCGAAGGCACTAGAATAAAAAGATATGGGAGTAGAGGAGTTTGGTAGAGAAACAGGTACTGGTGAGGTGGAAATATATAAATGGGTCTTCTGAGTCACAAGGCTACCTATATACATATATCATTTCCAAGTACATGATATGCAAAACTAAGCTCTGAGCAGCATTAGGCGAGTCTAGTGTCTATCTGCCTAACTAAATTGGTCCACACGGTGACCAGCCAAGTGGCATCGGGATTTGACTCGGGAACTGGCGGATCCTGCAACGGTTTAGATCTATGAATCACCCCAGCTGTAATCAATCTAGGCAGTCTCTGTATGGTGGATATTCAAGTCATGGATAAGGTCATTAGCGCGAGGAAAAATTTTCTCCTGATTGCTCCTTTCTAATTGCTTGTTGAATTTCTCGAACCCGACCGCATTTCAGACTACAAATGGCCACAAAGGTGATTCTTGGGGGAAAGGTGATATAAGACCTCAGAAGGTTAAATCTATTTCAGGGCAATAAGAATTCAAGCACTGATATCAGACTACTTCATTATTGTGAACTTAATTGAACCTGAGATTAGACGTAGATGCCATTTGAATCACGTCCCTTGAAACACTTCCAGTCTACAAGATTATAATTAGATGAGGACTTCAGGGCGGGAATGTCCAGCAGACAATGCGCCCCTTGGAAGGGGCATTCTATGTCGATAAGGTGATAGAGACATCGATAGTTGTGGTGAGGGAGATTATCCCCTCCCCTTCGTCGCGTGGAATGTACACACCCGACAGGGCATCTGACCCCAAACGAAATTGGATCATCGCTGGGTTGGCTTGCTGGGACAGAGAAGACATTACGATCGGCAGATTTTATCTATCAGACAATTTCTATGCAAGACTTGGTTGAAGAAAGGCTCGTAGTAGGTTTATAAAGAAAGTGTAGATGCAATATTGACAAACAATAACTAGAGGTTATAAGGTTGGTACCTAGGTGAGCATCATAATGATTAATTAACAAGAAAAAAGCATAGACGAAATAAAAGAAAGGCAGAAATTATAGCATTTTATTTGCTTCAAAGCGCAGACACAAGGCAAGTCCAAAGCGAAGAGCTGCATGCCAACCGCAATGTTTGGGCAGGAAAGGAATCTTTCTCATTCCTCAGCATGGCAACATGCCACTGCACAACTGACCTGTCATCTTCGATCTCAACGGAAGGCATCGACCCCATTTTCTCTACTACTTACCTCGCTGGCTGTGGTTCCCAGCTTAGGCAACGCCCCTCTCGCCCTCTCGTTCGATGATGTCGTGTTAATCAGTCCCTTGTCACTCTTTAATTTCCAGAGACTGGAGTCAATCCTTACCGACATCTTTCATTTCAACAAACTCTGCGAGTGAGTGTTTTCTTTCCCCGCTGATTTGACCTCATCCTGTGAGTATTGGGTAGAAGATGGATGTTGATAGTAGGCTGACACCCTCAGTTATCCACTAACTGTTTCATCTCACAAGAACGATCTATGCGCTCGTGAAGAAACACTGTAGTAACAAGAAAACACACCAGGAAATGGATCATACGATGCTGGACCTGGATCCTCAGCGGAGGCGTCAACCGTTGACGGATGCTCCTGGCCGAGTCAATCACGCCAGATCGCCTCGAGTCGAAACACCAAGCGTCAGAGTGGATGAGCCAGACCAGGTCAAGACGCCCGACAGAATGTCGGTGCTTCTGAGTCCCACTCCGAGGGATAACAAGGAGAACCAGCGATTGTCCGTGGCGACAGATCTCCAAAGCGACTCTGCCCGGAACTCCATGATGTCGGCAGCGTCAATCGTGTCAAACAAGGGCAAGAGAAAAACTCATGTAGGACCATGGCAGCTGGGAAGAACCCTGGGGAAGGGGGCTACAGGCCGTGTGCGGCTGGCCAAACATGCGATTACCGGAAATACAGCCGCCATCAAGATTGTCTCGAAAAAGTCGGCGGCGATGGTGCAAAGTGAGAGTATCGCCGCCATGGATCGGAATGTCAGCAACTTTGCAGGTGCCAACCCGCGACCAATGCCTTGTGGGATCGAGCGAGAGGTCGTCATCATGAAATTGATCGAACACCCCAATGTCATCAGCCTGTACGATGTGTGGGAGAACCGTGGAGAACTGTGGGTGCAAAAAAACCTCGACTGAATAGGCAATTGGCTAAACCAAACACCAGGTATCTTGTGCTCGAATACGTCGAGGGTGGTGAGCTATTCGACTATGTATCAAACAATGGACCTCTTCCCGAGGAGGAGGCCGTTCGACTGTTCCGCCAGATCATCGCCGGATTGGGTTATTGCCATCGCTTCAACATCTGCCACCGCGATTTGAAACCTGAAAACATTCTGCTGGATGGAAACCACAATGTCAAGCTTGCTGATTTTGGCATGGCTGCCCTCCAGCCTGCCGGCCACTGGTTGAACACGTCATGTGGAAGCCCTCATTATGCAGCACCGGAGATTATCTACGGTCGAAAGTACCGTGGGGACAGGGCAGATATGTGGAGCTGTGGTATTATCTTGTACGCTTTGCTGACTGGCTATCTTCCGTTTGACGGAGGGGATCTTGCAAACACCCTGAAGCTGGTGAAGAAGGGAGACTACATTATTCCTTCCGAGTTGAGTGACGAGTCGGCGGACCTCATCCAGCGAATTCTGCAGAAGCGACCAGAGGACCGAATTAGCATGCAGGATATTTGGTTGCATCCGCTGTTGACAAAGTACGAAAAGCTTCACAATGCCATGGCCGATTACTACATTGGTCCACCCCCGGCCTTGTCCGTTAGGGATTGCGGAGAGCCAGTGTCGTGTCGACAAGACATTGACCTGGATCTTCTACGTAATCTGCAGACTCTGTGGCATGACGTTAAAGCCGATGCTCTTATCACAAGGCTGCTATGTGTTGAGTCAGTCAGGATCGTTCCAGCACGAAATATGCAATGCTAATTCTAAATGCAGACCGACCCATGAGCGGATGTTCTATAATGCTCTACTGAGGTTCCGGGATGAGCAGTTGGAGAACTACCAGGGACAGCCACTCGAGTATTCCGCAAGTGATTATCACCATGTTTCTCGCCCTGGAGGAAGAGGTCGCAGAGGTCGCAGCTCGAGGCGCGCCGCGCAACCCGCGTCTATGACGGGTCTCCCACGTCGATTGAGCTCAAGACAAGAGCCCAGGTCTTCTGACACTGTCGAGAGCTACGACCCGTTCCGGTCTCCAAAGAACCGGGCCCCCGCCGAGCCGCAGTACGCCCAAATTACTATCCATCGAGCTCCACCGGATGTTCCTGAGAAGGAGGAATCTTCGCCCATGGTGAAGCCACCACCTTCAATTGCAGAGGAGGATGAGCCTGAGGAAGAGGATGTGCAGGCTAGCTCGCCGTTTACCATTCTTCAAAAGCGGAAACACAAGCCTAGCTCTATGAAATCGTTCCAGTCCTCCAAGGTGCCACACTCGAGCTCACGACACCCCGGGTTGTCGACTCGGTCCACCAGCTATCGCCGCAACGTTTCCTTCCGCCATGCCCGCAACCGGTCCCATGGATCGACGACTGGCAAACCGAAGAGAAGAAAGACAACCCCAACCCCAAATCCCCAGACCGAGCTCAAACGGTCGCCCAGTACCTGCAGTCTCCAGATTATTGCCGACGGTAACGACCTGCCGATGCCCAGCAGCCCGCCACTTCCAGCCCAACCACAAATGGTTCGGGGCAACGGGGGCAGGGCCAAAGGTCTTGGCCAGGTGAGAAAGGTTCGCGAGTCCGACATCACATGGAAAGAGGAAACTCGCAAGGTCTCTCACGAGCTCAGCCAGATCTGCGAGGAGGCTTTCAATGGCAGCTCTGTTACAACCATGCGCAGTGCCAGCACGGGCACGGGATACGAGACCCCGGCGACTCCCGCTTCTATGGCCAGTCCGGAAAGTCGTCCGGCCCCAGCACCCAAGGCCATGCCAGTACCTCCAAAGGATACCACCCGTTCTTCCTACAGCATCAAGGAGCTGACGGAGACCCGTCGCAAGCTTGTCGAGCACAGCAAGGGTCGAAACGACAACATTCCTGCATATCTCTCAGGCGTCATTAGCCATCTAGACCGTCTCATTGAGGAAGATAAAGCCCAACACCGGGCAGAGAACGTCAGCCAGATTTCGGACCCTTTTGTGTCAATCCCCCACGAAGCCTCTTTGCCTGTGATCAACGAGGAGTTTGCTAGCCCTGCTCGGGGATCTAGCGAACTTACCCCACAGCCCCAATACAGACCGAGGAAATTTGCTGCAGGACCCTCCCTTGGTGATGCCAGGAATACCATCCGCATGGTACCACACAGCTCCTTGCGCTCTCTCGACGAAGTGAAGCCATTGACCATCCGGAAGAAGAAATCTGATCTGGCTCTGCGGTCTCATGCCAAAGATGTCTTTAGCAGCAATGCACCGGAATCTAGTCGAGCCTTCTCTGCTGGATCTCGCCAAACGCGTCATCCCTGCGGATTGGATCCCATTGAAGAAGCGCCTGCTCCTCCCCAGAAGAACGCCCGCGGTAGCCATGCCAAAAAGTGGTCATGGTTCAAGCACCGCTCCAATTCGTGCGACACCCCGCCTTCTCTTCCACCCAAGGATACCAAGCCCATCATCCCCAGTAATGGCACCGTTGTTGTCAATCCCCCTGTGAACGTCGCTGGTTCGCCTCGTGTTGAACAGGCAGAGAAGGCACCAACCCGGAAATCATCCATGGAGCGATTTGGTGGCAATTTCTTGAAAAAGATCATGCCTAAAAAGTCGAGCAACAACGTCCAGCAGCCTATTATGGGTGAGTTTTACATCTGTTTATTGTTAAAATATAGACTAATGACATCAAGGTGCAGGCCAAGAGAAGCCTCATGCGAAAGACCCTCGCCACTCGGATCTTCTCTGCAAAGGCCTCCCTGACACCGAGAGCTCCTTTGAGGCCGATGACCCGCAAAGCCCTTCGAGGAACAACAAACGCCTTTCACTTGCCAATCAGAACTGGTTCGCTCGTGTGTTCCAGATTAAGCCGGCCACTCGTGTTATCGCCTTGAACACCTCCAAGGTCAAGGGCCGGAAGGAGGTGTACAAGCTCCTGCGAGAGTGGAGAGAGTACGGCATGGAGAACGTGTACTTGGATAAGACCAACAGCGTTGTTCACGGTCGAGTGGGTGAACGCAACTGTACGTTTGGTCTTTTGATCCATACCCGAAAATCCCGACTAATTTATCTCTAGTCCTCCGACTTCGCGCGGTTGAATTCACAGCAGAGTTCTATACTGTCCTCGAGCATGGTCGCCAAGCAAACCTGAGCCTGGTCCGATTCAAGCAGGAGCGTGGTGCTGCCTCGTCGTTCAAGGAAGTCGTCGAGACCGTGCAGATGACGCTGAAGCACCGCGGTTTAGTTGTTGAAGATCCCGCACGCGCGAAGAAGATGACCCGCGTTCTGGACGCCGTTCCCAATCCTAACTGATTCTCTCTTATTCTACCTCAAATCTAGCATTTCTTCCCACTTCTCTTCCCAATTTTCAGTCATTCGCTCTCAACACCATTCCTGCGTTCCAGCCCCTGCAAGAAAACAAACCCCTCACATTCATTGCATTCTTTTTATCTTCCATGTGTTTTCTCTTGAACATGGATCACACTCGTTTGCATCGCATCATACAGACCCGACCAAGATTTTCCGTCGAGCGCGTCGGCACTCGTTGTGTCGATACTCTTATCTCCTTCCCTGTCCAGTCTATCTTTTCTCATTTCCTTTTTCTTGTCATTGCAGTTTGTCTTCGCTTGTATGTGGGTTGACCAAAGGGTTGTCTTGTGGATTCCTCTTTTTCAAGAAGGCCATTGATGGTTCGAGGTCCACTCCGCCTGGTGATCTTCCTTTTTTTTTTCTTCTCCTCTTGTTTGCCCTGATGCAATCCTCGAACTCGCACTGTCGATCTTCCCCAAAACAGGGAATAATCCATAATCTCTGTGGCGTTCCCCCTCAAAAACAAAACCGTTTAGCTAGAATCTGTGAGTGATAGGTGTGGTCTGCTCTGGTGGAACAGGTGGTAGTTTCAGTGGGTGTTAGCTGGTTAATTGAATTCTGATGAATGGTTTCTGAAAACCTCTACCATCGCCACTCTGAATAGACCCTGATGAGTGAGTGCTAGTCATTACCTTCTTGGACTTGATCGTTGTGTCTATGAGTACCTAAAAATGAGTAGGTCAGTTAGGGCATATCACGTGTCTCTGCCTTTCGGTAACATCTACTTTCCGGGTACCTACGTACTAGTTAGTCCCCGAGGATTCTTCCTGGACATTTGGATCATGTATACATTGAACAGACATGCAAGAGAAAAGATATCAGCCAAGTAAGTCATTAAAAAAGAATATAGTCCCATGATTCCCAGGTGTGATAAGCATCCTAGTTCCAAGTTTACTGGAGCAGTGATCAACGCACCTAATATCCAGATAGCACTTGTCTAGCTGCTATGACCCCTGTTAAGGTTTCCCGAGCTTATCTAGGGTTGGCACTAGTATCAGCACTTGGCATACTTTGAAACCGCAAGAAAAAGGTAGCTTGGAATAACAGAACTAAGATGGCTATGGCCCAGAGATATACTACCACGAACTAGCCCTACGAAAAATCCATAACAGAATTGACAGATCAAAAACAAGATCAAGAATAAGGGCAAATCACTCGAGAATGAAAAACCTCAAGGATCGCCACCATGGAATTTGCTCATAGGGCCGCTTAGAGACAGGTAGAAGAATGGAAAACATGCAAGGACAACAAAGAGTGATCAGACAGCCTCCCGGATATAACAGACATGACGGAAAAAAAAAAGACATGACCAAATAAGATAAAAGAGAAAGAGACAAGACACAAGGAAAAAGAAAAAGGACAATAGCCAACCGTGTTTTGTCGCGTGTGTAGGCCAAAAAAATAAAAACAAGCAGAAACCAGAATACCCTAGAATACCCTAGAAACCCTCGAAAACCCTCGAAACCCTCGAAAACAAAGCCCATGAAAAGCAAAATTCAGATAGCCTTCCCGATAAAAACAAAAATCACAAACACAGAAGAGAGCGCAATGATGGGAACAAGACGAAACACAGCGAAAGAAACGAAAAGATTTGAAACAACCGCCCGAATGTTGAACAAAAGTCGTGCAGATATGGGTGTCCCATGCAGGATGTCACCACCCAAGACATGAAAAGTATGAGTATAAAGTGTAGAAAGCGGAGGGCCGCAAGGGTGCTGGAGGGGATATTGAACATCTGTCCGTCCGTATCCAGGACTCTTCTCCGGGGACACACTGATCGAGACAAAGCGAACTCGTCTGTGCATTCCCTACCGTAGCAAATGTCCAGAACAGAGCGAAAGACAAAAACAAATGCCCCTTACGCAGCCAGATCTCGGAACCCACCGCGATTAATCCAATATCAAAGGCGATGAGAATTGAAAAAAAAAAAAAAAAATCGTATGCCGATGCCAGAAATGACGAGTCTGGCGATCTCGGGGGTCAAGTTCGTGCGGCTCATAAAGCTCGTGGTCCGCGTATTCGTGGTTTTCATGTCGGATCAAAGCAGCACAATGGTCTTCGGCAGGTCTCAGGTTGCGCCCCGTCCAGCTGGATGCGATAGTTTCCGTAATTGCCTCTAGCGATTCAAGCGCCACAGAAAGAGAAATCCATGGGATCACCAAAAAAAAAGTGGCCGTTCAAGAGAACTTTCACGTGGGGAAGAGCAGGTCTCACAATCGCTGCTCGATTAGAGCACAATTCCGTCACATACCAACATTCCACGCACAGGGCACTCCCACCGTGTGGCCAGCACACGCCATTCCACCTGCCTCAGAACACTCACAGCGCATCCTCCACCCGGTCTTTGTTCCCCCGCATCTTCAAATTCGAGACACGGAGATTACTGGTTAAGACCGCGGCGATTGAGCGCATTGAGCATGTCGCTATCTGTGCTAGAGCGGCCGTGGGAGTCGCCGGGATTCAACATGTCGCGCACATTCAATCCTCCGCGACCCGAGCCACCAGGCGTCGACGTCGGCGGCGGCGTCACACCACCCTGCGGCGGCTGCATAGGCGGGTAGGGCGAGCTGTGGGGGGAAGAGGAGTGGCGAGCATCGTACGCGTAGGCGGACTGCGGCGAGGTGCGCTGATCATGGGGAGGGTAGTAGGGGCTCGGAGCGGTGTGCGTCTGGTACCCGGGGGCAGATCCGGCGGGCGTCACAGGCGCCAGATTGGTTGGGTCAGGGTACTCGAAGCCCGAGCCCGAGCCTCGGCGGCCACCGTGCCTCTGCAAGAAACCCCAAAACGCATGAGATCAGACCTCCAAGATCCGAGGGGGAGAGAATGGGCTTACCGGATCCGGCATGGACGACGCAAGGGGCGGAGCCCCGCCGTATGGAGGCTGATACATCCCTTGAGGCGGCGGCAAGGTTGGGTCGGGCTGCTGCTGAGGGGGCAGCGGCTGTCCATGAGCACCGTAGAGGGTCACATTTCCAGGGCGGCCGGGGGTCTGCGTACTTCGCAGATGGGGGTAGGCGGCATGCGCGGGGACGAAGGCTTGCGCTTGCGACGAGACTGGGGTGAACATGCACTCCTGGTTGAAGCGAATACAGTTGCTGCAGCGTCCATCCTGAGAGCTCTCAAAACCCGAGCACCGAATCTAAAACCACCCCGGTATGGTTAGTCTCCTACTCTCTTTTGCGCTGCGCCGAATACCGCAAGATTGCTTGCCGCACGTACCTTCCGTCGCCGACAATACCGACACGCAATGGCTGTTCGCTGACGAGGAGCGGCAGCCTGATAGACGACCTGCGGGGGTGGCTGCGCATATACATCGGGACGATAGGCCCCGGGAGGTGGGGGCAGCCGGTAAGGATCTTGCCCTTGGGCATGTGGATGAATAGCAGCCATGCTGGATGGAGGGTATTGCGACGGGGGCGGATATGGGTAGGCACGATCGTGGTCCGGAGGGTAGGAGGCCGGCGGGTACTAAAAAGAAAAGATGTCAGCGCGACGCAAGCCATCCGGAAGCTGGGGAATATACTGGATAAGGCGCAGGATCGTCCTGGCTGTTCCACTGAGGTGGATACGGGCCCTGTCGATTAGGGTCGTAGTCGGGAGGATGGTTGGACATTTGGCTTTAAAAAGAAAAAGGAAAAAAGGAAAAGAAAAAAAGGAAAAAGGAGAGAAGGCGAGATGAGTCAAAAAAAAAAGATGCAGGGATGTGACGTCGAGTTATGAAAGGGGGAGGATGGCAATCACACGGGACAGCGTCAGCATCGCGCGGTCAAGGGGGAAAGAAAAAAAGAAAGAAAAAAAGAAAGAAAAAAGCAAAAGAAAAAGCAAAAGAACGATGCAGTTCTAATTTAGAAAAAGAAAAGAAAAGTAGAATAGAAAAAAAAAAAAAAAAGGGCCTCGGCGACTATGACGTGAGCAGATGTCCCCCCCACCGAGAGATAGCGATAGGAATTCTGGGAAAAAAAAATTGAGAAAATGAGGAAATGAGAAAATGAGGAAAAGAAAAGAAAAGAGAGTCCAACAAACAGAGAACTTGTCAGATCGGAGGGAGAAAAAAAAAGGATAATGGAATTTTGTGATTGGAGAAAGTAGATTTTTTAGAGCCGGTGGAGCGCGGGCTAAAGCGGCGCCAGCGACCCATAGACATGGACGGGGGACCAGCTGAACCGGATCCAGTACGGTATGGTATTGAGTCTATTTGTATTATACTTACTATACTTCACTTATATGACTGATACTGTTATCTGTGTCTATTGCGACATTCCTCAGGTATTAGGTAGTAGACGAGAATAATGAGAACTATAAAAAAAATTGCAACCGGGCACGGGTCGGGGCGCGGGAACCCAATCTGTTTGCTGGGACTACCGAGAGCATCGGCGTACAGGGCACACTACTGCAGCTGACAGGCGGTGTGGCAATGAGACTGCAGCTGAGAGCGTCGCCACCGCATATGTCGGGTGACGAGAGCGGAGGTGGAGTTACGTTCCCAGGGCTGTAGCACTGGAACCGGACCGCCCATCAGGAGCCCAGGAAACCTGCATTAGCGCTGTGGTGACAGGACTTCCCTTGTCCTCCCACGTTATAGATGTTTCTCTCATGGTATAAATCTATCTTGTGATCTATTATTATATTACTATTATTTTAAAAAATAATACTCATACTGATAATACTAATAATCATCGTCATCAAATACCCTAAGGAATAACACAAGAGCATTCCACCCTAACCCTCATTACCGAGGTCCTTATACCCATTACGCGTATGGTAAACCCACTGGACTTTGTCTCGGGGTACTCGTCCCACGGGCCGCTCCGGCCTTCCCGCCGATCTCATGCAGGTGTGCCATCTGGCACTGAAATATGATATTATATTATTATTATTATTATGATATTATGTATAAAAAAAAATAACTAATAAATCATAAATTTATTTTCTCTATTTTCTAAATTGATTGCTCATCTACCATGTTCACCTCGACGGAGTACGCGGACTCTTCATCATTTTGTAAATCCTTCTCTCTTTCTCCCACCTACCTGGGTAGGTCAGTATTTTGCCACGTTTTCAACCCAATCGCCTGCAATGCCGCGTCTTTCCGGCCCTCTTTTTTTTTTTTTTTTCTCTCTCTCTCCACTTGGGTTCAGCTGGTTCCAGCAGGAACCAGACATGGATTCTCCGGACTCTCCAGACGAGGACCCACCCGATCCAAAGCTGCTGGCCACTCGATGCTGTGTGTCCTGGGGACGCGCTAGTTGGACCCAAAACCAGGCGCTCCTGGAAGAGGGACTGAGCGCTGGGGGGCTTGGGGACCCGACTGCAGCCCGACCGGTCATGTTCCAGGCTGCGACGTTCCGTTACAGAATTTTTATTTTTTATTTATTTTTTATTAATTTTTTTTTATTCTTCGATTGTTATTTTATATTATATCCATTTTTAAGGAATTCCAGAGAGATCACATCAAGATTAAAATTAAAATGAAATCATCATTTTTCGGCCCCTTTCCTGGTTACCCACACGGGAGCGCGTCTATCAGGGATGGAGCCCGTCGGGCACTAATAGACGCAGCCCGCATGCCCTGTCGGTCACGGGAACATAGACTATTGGATTATGGATTTTGATTTATTATGATTTTCTTGATGTCATTAAGTGATCGAATCATAAATCGAGAATTAAAATATAGATTTTAAAAGGAAAAAAAAAAGAATAAATCCAAGACATTCTGCGTGCGGAACGTGGCTGTGCTGATCCCAACCAGAGTTCGGAGGAGGCCTGACAGCCTGATTTGTGCCCAGTACTTTAAGGTAAAGATAATCATAAGAAAGAAAGTAATTGTTAAATTAATTAAAATAAAATAAAATCATAGTATCAATTATCATCATAAATAAGGTGTCACAAGGGCACACAGCCGATACCCAGACTTGACACCATTCGTTTCAGTCTGACCGCTGCTCCTTTGGGGCCGTAGGGCACCGGCATCTCGAACCTAACGGTGTCACGGGATCGGCTCATCTGCGGCAGGGATATTTTTTTACTTTTACTCTTCGTTGGATTCTATTGGTGCAACGCTTTCTGATGCTGGTATTTTCACATGCCTCGACGGATTCTAGCGATCGCCTAGTTGGATCCACTAGTAAGTTTTTACTTACTAGCTATCACACTCGGCATTCTCTACATATTGATTGATGAAAAAAAAGTATTAAGAATCCTGTTTCTGAGTATACATCTTGATTAAAGGGTTGTAGCATTCTATTCTTTGGAATTCTACTCTTCTATACAGAAGGTGGGCCTGTTGATTCGTAAGTCAACCGAAGATGATCTGATATCAGATCGCCCATACTATCATTATGATGCTGTTGAGACACGGACATACCAAACACAATTATCTTAAAACAGCATAGAGATGCAGTAGTATTCAAAGCATAAAATTGTATCTACGCAAGCTACTGTAGAAAACTGTATTCGCCACGACGTATACTTCCGAGTCCACATCGGGCCCACCGCAACCGGTTGCTACAAGCAGCCCCAACAAACACGCTAACACATTATAGCCACCTATAATAGCCCACAAGACAATGGTTTAGAATATAAAAATAGACCGACCACGTTTTTATTACTTTTTTGTGATCTTTTGGTCCCCGAATCACAATCCTCTTTAGGGCAACCGAGAAGGAAGAAGAGAGACAACCCACAATCCTTCACAGCCACACCCAGGAACCAAGAAGCGCAAAACATAAAAGAAAAAAAAGAAAAAGAAAAAGAAAAAAAATTGGAAATGTACCACCGGCACGGACGGAGAGGCAGGGCCCGCTCCGTTTCCAGAGGAGGAAGGTGCTCTCTATCTCATCTCCGTCTCCCTCTCTTTTCTTGTCGCAAGTCTGGGAACGGCGGAGACGCATCCACCCGCGCCACAGGCCGAGTTCCCAGGGATCGTTCAGCGGGCATGCCCGACCACGGGCCGAACGCGGCGCGGGCGGGCTGTGGCGACGGGCCTGCGCGTCACAGGGTTGTTTGCAGAATGTCGTTAAATTGCCCTTTACTAAATACATTCATTACTATATTATTATTATGTTGTAGTAATAGTGGTTGTAGTTGTAGTAGAACTGATCATAGCCCTAGAGTATATAGAAGTGCTGGTGGTAGGGTAAACGGGTAATTCGTATTAGTTTTGTCTTTCCCCGCGGCCTCCAACGTAGGACACGGTCTACTAGAACTGCATGCTGAGGAATCTTTGAATTCCGGAAAAAAAGGAAAAAAAGAAAAGAAAAAACTCTATTCAATTACGCTCGTCTAATCATCTCTTCTCAATGCTGTCCCTCGATCCCTATGCAGGGCACTAGTCGGATTCCCACATCTAGAGGTGACGGGAGTGCAACGACACTTCATTCTTGCGCCCCCCCTTTCCTGTACTCTTTCCTGTATGCAGCAGAATGGGGATCCGGGAAATGCAGTAATTGACCAAAAGAGGCCATGTGCAGATCGAGAGGTAACCCTCGTCGCCGGGGTTTTAATTGCGTAGGACAGCATCCGGACCAACGAAACAACGTGCAAATCAACATGAAACAGATAACCCTAAAAGAAAATGACAGATCTCCGCGCCCTCGGAGCCAAGTCTCTGGAGCTTAAAACTCTTGATGCCCAGTCGCCAAATCCCCCCTCTCGGACGCATATCATTGATCGGGCATAACCACACTGTTGAGATACGTCACCTACACCAAGAAGCGGTCAACAAGCCAACCCCGTAAGGAGGGGGTGAGAAAAAAAACATCCGACGGCCGAGTGTGACCATCAGCCAGCGCTGATTCGACAGCGGGGGGATAAAAAAGGGGACCACCCAAGTGATTAGCTTGGAAGGGGAACCAGACTAGTCAAGAGGGGCAAAATGGGGGGTGGATTGGGCAAGAGGGCTTTGGGACAAAGAGAGCCCCAAGACAGACAGGAAGAGGAGGGGGCGTGACAGCTTACGAACGGCTCCATGACCCCAACCATATGCGCGATCCGGTCCTGTGCATCAGCGCCCGTGAGGTCATCGTCTGCTATCGGCCGGCCAATGGTGAAACTGCGCAGTCGCAGCAACTGGATGTTCTCATTGTCGACTTCGTATCCCTGTTTCCCACGTTATTTTCCCTTTTGTAAGCATGTGTAGCGTGTCGGGGGCGGAAGAAGGCTTGGAAGGACGTGGAGACTGGCGCCGGAGTGAACCATGGAACCAAAATAGACGGCGTCTCAAACAAAAATGAAAAAGAAAAAAGAAAAAAGAAAAATTGGGAAAAAAAAAGGAGTCCCTCAATAAACGTATTTCGGTCCCGAATCCAAGGATCACTTATCCAAGGATGTGTAGGGGTCGGGAAGAAAAATTGGGCTACCACGGCTCCCCCCTGGTGTGTGTTCGTGTTCTTCGGCCCCCGAGACTTGATGGCCATTTTCCAAGGGACAATGAACTTGCCCTGGTGAACGCTGATTCAATCGAGCCCTTGATGTCATGTGCAAGGGTCTCGGCACGGTTAGCTCTCAAACTGCGCCCCGGCGAGTCGGGTTCAGCGTGCCCACTGCACCTCCCACAGCCGGGAACGCAGCGGCTTTTCCGCGGATCTCATGGACGCATGCTTATGCCTTGAGGTTCTTGTCATTCCCTTTCGAACTGAAAGCATGATCCGTTTCAACGGCCAGCCCCGATCGGGAGACAGTATGGCCTCGACGCATTCTGCGACAACCCCCCTTCGAGCCCCTTGAGCCCACCAGGGGCAGGGAACAAGGTGTGGCTAACACAGGGAACGCATAGGAAGAGGAAAAAACCACAGAATCAGGCCGAATGGCACAGTACGGGACATTGTCAACTGGGGCTGTGGGGACAATACACAAAAGAACCACTTCTTCTTACCTTGGGTTTGATCTTGAGCGCAGATTCCCTGTTGTGATGAGTGAAGGCTTTCACGACCGCGTCATCATCGTCTGATACACCGTTCAGAAACTCGCGGCGCATGTCCGGCGCCCGGAGCACTTCCTTCCAGCGATGCGCATTCTCATCGATGTCCTCTCGAAGCAGCGCGAGGGGATCAGCCTCCGGATGCCAGAGGCCGCAGCCTATACCCAGCGAGAAAAAATTAGTCCCCTCTGGTCAGAGAACAACCGGTGATTGTCGGGTCTTTTCCACCGAGTGTTACCTACCGACAAACGATGAGCCCGGTTGGAAATGGACATAGTACGCAGCGTAAGGACCCTTCTTGCCGGTCCGAGACCTGCATCGGTTTCAGTGGGCTTCTTCTTGGGTCATCGAGGCTCATCGAGCGTCATCGACACTCACCACGCAGCTGAGAAATGAATCTATTAGCCGTCAGCATGGTCGGAAACTCCATCAACTGCTTCGCAGAGGTTTGGTTGGCGCTGAAATACCTTGTATGGCAGAGGGTTCTTGCTGAACCGAACATCCCTGTGGATGCGAAATATCTGACATGAGATGGTGATTAACATCGGTCAGAAATAAAGCCAATGTTTGCATGCCTACCAGATCCTTGGTCGGCAGCTCGGGAATCGTGCTGTCTATGTCAGCGATCTTTGGCGTGAGCGTTTCGACAAAAGTTTCGAAATCTTTCTTGGCCGTGCGGTAATCCGCATCGTGCGCTGTGTTTCTGTCAGCTTGGTACCACCACCTGGGCAGTCTTGCCATGATTCTCACCTTTGAGCCATTCTCGCTCGTTGTTGTTCGCCAGGTCCATCAAGAACAGTCTGGTATTGGGATGCAGCGTCTCATCCTGATAGGGGACGTTCCCTGCCTCGCGTTGCTTGGGCTTCGGAATAAACACTTCCTTCCCAGGTCCCAAGCCCGTGCGAACGCCCTCGCGCCAGAGTTCTTTTCCTTTCAAGGAGTCACTCTCGCGCCCGGTGCTGGTCCCCTGCTTTCCCTTTGCACCAGACTTCTTCTTGGGGTCATCCTCGCTGCCAGAAATCTCTTCGGGCTCGGAGTCGTGCCCCGAGGACGAGCCATTGTCTTCCTCGTACGCCGACCCAGAAGTTCCTCCGGGCTCAGCAGAGCTCCCAGGCTCGAAATACTTGCTCTTTTTGGCCGTGGTTTTCGCGTTGCCGGACAAGTCGGTGTTGGATTTGACTCGCTTGACCTCCGCCTCCGAGACGGCCGATAGCCTGGCTGAAGCGCGTCGTTTTGGCGCCGCAGCCGCCTGCACGGGAGCGGCCCGAGACGCTTGTCGGGGCATTGTAGAAATTAAACAATTCCACCGTTGATAATGTTGTATCCAAGGGGTTTACTTCTCGTAGCTATTCGGTAGTCGATAGGCTTTCTTCTTTCTCTCTTCGCCCTGTTTTGTTCTGTTTGCGCTGGTTTGTGTTTCCCGCTGAATCGCACCAGCAGAAATTCCCCCAGATTCGCACTCAGAATAGGCTGGCAAGTGACAATAATGCGAGAACTGAAGAGCACCCGCGTGGATTTTGGAAGTTTTAACAAAATCACCGAGCACAGGGGCCGGGGCATGCCTTATATGTCAACCGGCGCTGGAGCTGCGGAATTACGAAAGAATCCTGGATGTGCCTGGCTCCGCTTTTAGTGCGGTCCCGAAACTCTTTTTTTTGCCGCCCCCCTTCTTCATGTCTCTTTGGATCGCCTTCCACCAGAATTTCAAGATCTCTTGGAGAGCATAAAACCAAAATGATCCTCTGCGGGACTGTCTGAGCAGCGCGAAAGAAAACAGAACACACCTTGGGTCCGCCCTGTCTCGCCAACTGCAAATGAGCTCCGACCTCAGTGCGGGACATCTCCCGGCGGCCTTTCAGTGGCGCAAGATCAAGATCCTGGAGGAGCTGTCTGTGCCAGACACAGAGTATACAGACCTCTCGCCCAAGGGATGTGTAGACGAGGGCATCCGCGACTTGATCCGGGACCTCAATGGCCTCCCCGGTCTAGTAACCACCAGCAGTTGCGCGGGCCGTGTCAGTGTCTTCCTAGAAGGCCGCAAGAAGTCTCCAGAACCGTCTCAGGAGACTCAAAGACAGTTTGCCCCCTCTGGTGGCAAAGGTGCCGGGCGGTGGTTGTATGTGTCTCACGAGCCTTTGAGCCAACCCGAGACCCATGACGCAACCGTACAGAAGTCGCTCCATGATTTGTTTGGGATGGTTCCTGGCGACGGCAAGCCACCTAAGCTTGCTGGAGAAAATGCCTCGCTGCGGCTGGTCCGCTTCCATTTTGAGCCGTTGGTAGGTGCATGCATATCGTTGGGTTGCTGTTGAAGATGTGTTCTTTGTTCTGCAGTACAAATTCAATATTTGGTTGTCAAGTTATCTCGTTCTGCAAATCGAAAAACAAAAGAGGAACCCCCCATGCGCAAACCATCAAAGAAATATCCCGCCCGACTTACACGTCTTGATCCAGATCCTCCATATCATGGCAGCCACGCTGAGCCACGCCCAGCCGGTGCTGTCGGCAGCATCCGCCTCGGGCTTTCGCGAAAGCGGCCTGCAGAGTCTCCGCTGTTTGGAAGGCGACGAGGGCCCCAGCCCGATTGTCGCTGTGCGCTCATCTGGCCTGTCACTCGAGTCGGTGATCGGGTACTGCGACGAACATGATTCTGCTTCCGAGCCAGTCATTCGCAGCCTGGTGACTGAGGAGTATCTCGAGATGCTCGTTGCTATGTCCAATGAAAGGTTTGCCGTCAACGCTGATCGGAGAGAACGGTTTTGCGCTGGTGTTATGGAGATGTATTCCCCAGATGGGACTCCAGGGACTGCAAAAGGGAGAACAAAATCGAGGCCACCGGGATGGGAGGATCCTATCGCGCGGAAGGAGAGGAAACGGGCTGAAGGGTTGATGAGAAAGAAACTCTTGGACGAGCAGAAAATTGCTGAATCTGCTGAAGATGAAGCCACTCTGGAAGGACTGGCAGATGCCGAATGAGCAATGTATCAATACGTTCTAAAACTATCATGATCTTCCGTGCCAGATTCTCCTGCCCAACAGCTGCATGGTTGCATCTACATGCAACTTTCTAGACAGAAAGAGGCCTACAAAGGAAGAAAAGAAACATGACAATCGAACCTTTTTTTTTTAATATTTTTGGAGCAACTACTTCAGGGTTTCAATCATAAGGTGTCCGATGCCATCGTTCCAGGGATCCATGAGCCATCTGTCGCCGTCCCGATCACCCTAGCAAGAACTCACAAAGGAACCATTGCCAGCATAGCCAGGTCAGCATCAGTCAGCTAAGGCCTTGTACTTGTCCGCATTTGTTACCAAACTCGGAATAGTCGAGGTTTGTGCCACCGAAGCCATTGCTCAGATGCAAGAGAACAAAAGAACAAAAGAACAAATCATCATCTCGTCACTGCATCCCCATTTTTGGCCCCATCACATGCATTCAAAAAAGAAGCAAAAATGATGGTCAAGAAAGAAAACAGATCAGTCGTTGCATCACCATTTTGGACCCATCAAAATGCACTCAAGAAGAAGCACAATGATAGCTATGTCGAAGAAAAGAAAATCATCATGTCGTATCTGCGTCACCTGTAAGCCGCATCAAAAATGCATTCAAGTGAAAGCAAAATGACGGCAAGGAAGTGAAGTTGGAGAAAAGAAAATAAAGATCATTGTGTTGTCTTGTGTCGTGTCGTGTCACCATTATGTCATGTCGTAACTGCATCATCCATGAATGCATCCCCCATAAATATCATCAAAATGCATGCAAAATGCATGCAAAATGATGCAAAATGATGCAAAATGATACGTGTATGTATGTGTCATGGACATATCCGACGCTATGCAAAACACCGGCGCTGTGCAAATGGAACAGAAGAAAATAGAAAAAAGAAAAGAACAGAGTCAACTAGGACTCGTTGCGGCGGTTGAAGGTGGAGCCATCACGGCGAGTCTGCCGCCCAAAAGGGAAAGGGTACGAGGGGCGGTTGTTCTGAGTTTGGTTAATCTGGGACCAGTAGATCTGACTCTGAATTTCCTGAGACTGGTTGATCTGAGGAGTGGAAGTGGTAGGCCCGGGAGTAGGCCCAGGAGCAGAGCCCATACCCTCGTAGGTGGTGTGGCGACCAGGAGTGCCAAAGCCGGTGATGGAGCGGGGATTCTGGCGGTTAGCTGGAGTCGAAGGCACCACAGAGGGAGCCCATGGGACAGAGAAAGAACGGATTCCATGCGAACTGCTGTGCGGCACGTAGTGAGTAAGCATCAGCTCATTGTTGCGGCGAGAGGCCGACTGAGTCACCATCCCCATGGGTCCACGGTTAGTAGTGTGAGGAATGACAGGGTGGTTAACATAGGGGTTGGTGCCCTGGCTGGGGGTTTGAGGAGCCGGGGGAGGAGGCATCAGGAAGCTATCAGTGGCCTGGCGCATCTGAACAAGAGCACCTTCAGAAGGAAGAGGAACATTGGGTCCCCGGGAAGTGACTTGAGCCTTGTTTGGGCGAACCGTCTTCTGGCTGTCCGGCGACTTGACAGAAGTATCAGAGGGCGACTTAGGGGCAGTGCCAATAGACGAAGGGCTGGACTTGGTATCCAGAAGGTTATTGTACCCCGTGATGATGAGCTCACGCATGACACGACTCTCATAGTGAACAGCATCACAGTACTGCAGGGTCGTTTCGCGCTCCGACAACCATTCAAACCACCAGGTGCCATAGATACGTAGCAAACGCATATCCTTGTACTCATTGATCAATCCCTCACGCTCAGTGTGGGAGGTGCGTCCATGACCAATGAGGTGCGCATAGAACTAGATGCATGTCATTGTTAGATAATTAGTCCCAAAGAAGAGGCGGGGAGTCCATACCTTCAGGGTCGTCAAGTTGTATCCCGGGAGCCAGGTCAGGGTGTCGAAAGGGAAGTACAGCACGTAGTTCTCGGGCAAATGAGACAACACAGTAAGGTCATCGGCAAGGTAGGCGAAGCAGTACTTCATGCGAGGGTTGAAAGCAGGGCAGTTCACGCCCGCATTGACAAGCTCAAAGAGCAACCGCTGATCAAGGCCGACGGTATTTCTCCGCCGAATGCGATCCTTAAGAATCATGATCATGCCACGAAGAGTAAGGAACAGCTCCTTGTAGGCATGGACAGTGTACATGTCTGTAGCAAACCAAGGGAACTGTAAAGTGGAACAAGAAAGAAATAAAGAAATAAGCAACCCGCACAAAAAAAATGAAAGGCAAAGAAGAACAGAAGAAACAAAAGAAAAAGCTTTATCTTACCTTCCAGATCGTGCTGATCATGGATTCATAAGTCCGCTGGGGGACCTTGACTGCAAAAGGGCTCTAAGAAGGCGATGAGAAAAAGTAAAGATCAAAGTGACTATCAGAATGAACTTACGCGCTGGGGCGCTTCCGCGTGGTGGAAGACACAGAAGAGCTCCTCGTCTGTCAGGAACCCATTGAATCCAGTCGACCACCAGTCGGTGTTCTCCTGTTCAAGGGGCTTTCCATTCACCCACTTGATGCACTTGGCCCGAGGAAACAGCGCCTGCATCAGCTCATCCTGGCTGCTCAAAGTGACCTCAACATGGCGACTGCCCATGCGAGGAAGGCGTCCATACTCAGCAGATCGGTTGATGCGGGTGACGGTATCCCTGGCATCATTGAGCGTGACAAACTCAACGTAGCAGTCCATGGTCTTGCCAGTTGAGCGTTCCATTATGATGTGAACGGGGGTTCCCTCCGGCGGCGAGATGAGGCCAGCGGAGCGGCCAAGGAAATGGTGCACTTCCTGGCGGGTGACAGTGTAGGGGATCTGAGAAAGAGTCAGTGGGTTCAAATCAAATCATGTATTTTGATCAAAGGCAAAGAGGCTCGACTCACATTGCTAATCTTGACAACGCCCCAATGATCAGGAACCTTCTGGTGGATGACGCTTCCAATAGGAACCTGGACAGGGCTGAGGATTTCCTCAAGACTCTGCACCTCAAATTGGCGCATTTGCTCCCGGAACATCTCAAGGTGCTGGTCCGTGAGCATCTCAGGGTCCCAAAGGGCACTCCCCAACAAAGCGTGAATGTGAGAGAAAGGCATGGCAGGATTATTTTCCTCTGTCATAGGCTGTACAACTTGCACTGGGGCAGGTTGATTTGGAGGAACAGCAAGAGGAACAGCAGAGTCAGGAGAGGAAGGAAATTTAGGATCAGGTGCAGGAATAGCAGGGTCGAGAGGAGAAACACAGTGAGCAGAAAGAGTGTTTTCAAGAGAAGTAGAAGGACTGGGGTAAAGAGTAACAACAGGATAGATGGGAGAGGAAAGAAAATCAGGGTCAGGTACAGGAAGGGCAGGATCGAGAGGAACAGAGTAGACAGGAAGAGTAGGCTTTTCAGGAGCAGATACACTGCAGACAGTCTGAGGAGACTCAGAGGTAGAATCCTCAGGTGAATCACTTGCAGGGAAATATTTGTGAAGTTTCAGAGGACTTGGAGTTGGAGTATGAAGACGAACAGGAGAACTGGGTGAAGGAGGAGACGGGGTGGGGAGAAGATGAGGAGGAATGGGAGTTGGAGGACGAGGAATTGGACCAAGTGCAGTTGAAGAAGTGGGACAGAGGTGAATAAGGATGCGATGGCGAAGGTGAACATTGAATTCCTCACACATTGTTCGAATTTCACGGCAAAACCGGCAGAATACGGTGGTGACGGCGATTTCGACAGTGGCAGAATCGAAGTGGGAGGGCGGTCAGGAGAGCGGTCGGGAAAATAGGAAGGAAGGTTTGGCGGTGGCAGAAGGCGGTGAGGGGTGGGGAGGACATTTTCTCCAATGAATTGTCAGGCAGCAACGACTTCGTTGCCTCGACAGACCCCCATCATTCAATTGTGGACTCGGAGGAAATTAGGCAGACACCCTAAAACATCAAGTGACTCCAGAAGCATTCGAAGACCATGGCAGAACTTGAAGAAAATAATAATAATACACTACCATGATTATGGGCCTCCCGAAGACCTACCACATTGTCTCCAATATAGATCTCATCCATGCCACGAAGATTGGTAATTGGTCTGAAAAGTGGGACTTGTCACATTGTATGTGATCAGTGGATATGGATCAGAGCTGAGGACCTAGACCTAGGTCCTTGGGCGACAGTTATACCTCTCCTCGACTAAACACCCCAGCTATGTTATGGATGGAGCTAAGCCGCTCATGAGGTTGAGAAACTGAACAGAATTGTAGAATGGTAATCTTGCATTGCCAGCCTGTGTGGTCTGTATCGGGAGTAGTAGGGAGAAGCACAAGGTCATGCATTATTCGTCGACCAGGAACAAGTAAACGCCACACAGCTTAATCAAACTGGGAGCTTGTTAGCCAATGACCAGTGAAAAAGATGTTGATAGGACTTACCGGTGTCAAAAAGGATTCCGCAACAAATCGAGCACGGGCATTCAACTGCAACCGGTCAGTGTTGGAAGAGGCAGAGGGACTTGGGGGAGAAACGCACGAAAAGCTTCATTTCCGAAATCTCCTTGTCCACTTCCTCCATGAACTGTATAATAAAATCGACGAGCTTGTGTTTGAGCATCGCCTCGGTGTGGAAGTTGGTAATTAGAAACGAGATATCATAGCCCTAAATTCAGTGTCAGCGATATTCCAGAGCAAGTCAGACGTCACGACAAACCTTGACTGGCTTCCTTCGCAAGATAAAGAACGATTCGGCGCGCTGCGTCAAGAACCGAGTGAACTTGTGGACCAGGATGTGCTCAATCTCGTCTGCCTGCTTTATCCGGATGCTAACTCGGACACTGTTGACGCTAGGTTCGATAAGTAGCTTCTCGTGTTCATTGCGCGAGATAGTCAATGGGTTAAGCAGCAGCTCTGGGGAGCTGGCGGCCTCAATTTCCGGGACATTGTGTCGTTCCGACGTCTGAGAAGCGAAGTTCGAGATGGCAAGGGCGGCCTGAAGAGACGACCGAATGCATTGGAGGTATGGCCGCAGTGATTGAGACTGAATGTGGTTAGACATGGAAAAGAAATCATCAGAGGCGAACATACCATGATAGAGGAATATGGAGAGCGTGGCAGCTTGAGGAGAGCGAACAGAGTGTCAGGGTGGAGGAGTTGACGTCCCGCCTGGAGATGATGATCGTTGTTTGGGCTGTTTGCATTGCCCCACGCCTCTGCATCACCACCTCGTTGCTGTTTACCTCCTTTGTCTCACCACCCACAACTCGGTTTTTTACCTTCTTCCATCTGGTCACTGTCCAAAATGGCGACCATACCTAGTATGTCTTCAATGTATAGTTGATCGGATCGATTTTGCTGACAAATTCAGTCATTGTCAAGCACGCCGGTAAACGCCACGAAGTCGATCTCGATCCGACCTCGAATGGAGAAACATTGAAATATCAGCTCTTTTCTTTGACCGGCGTCGAGCCCGACCGTCAAAAGGTGTTGGTCAAGGGCGGCCAGCTTAAGGATGACACTCCTCTCTCTTCCCTCAACGCCAAGTCAGGGCAGACGTTTATGATGATGGGCACACCGTCGGGAGGCCAGGGGGCTGCAGACCTCGGTCGGCCGAAGGAGGCGATCAAGTTTTTGGAGGATATGACCGAGGCAGAAGTGGCTCGGCAGGATGGTGCCACCCCTGCCGGCCTGCAAAACTTGGGAAATACTTGCTATCTCAACTCCACCCTGCAGACCCTACGAAGCGTCCCAGAGCTCCAGGAGGAACTGCAGAGATATCGACCGAGTGGCCGTTCTGAGCATGGTCTCTCCAACCTCAGCAGCTTTGGTCTTGGGGGTTTGGACAGCTCCCATGATTTGGCATCTTCTCTGCGTGACCTTTTCAAGCAAATGTCCGAGACCCAGGAGGGCATTCCACCGTTGATGTTCTTGAATGCTCTCCGGACCGTGTTCCCTCAGTTCGCTCAACGGGACCGCAACGGGCACGGCTACGCTCAGCAGGACGCAGAAGAAGCTTGGTCGCAGATCGTGAATCAGCTGCGAGCTAAGTTGACCATCAAGGATGGCGAAGGAGAATCTACTACCCAGACCTCTTTTGTCGACAAATATCTTGCCGGTCAATTCGAGTCTGTTACCGAGTGTGATGATCCTGCCGTCAAGGAAGTGGGCGAGCAATCGAATAGGGCCTCCGACGTTTTCTACAAGTTGGATTGTCATATTGGGAAGGAGACGAATCACCTCCAGGACGGCATTATGGCTGGGTTGGAAGAGCAAATCGAGAAGCAATCCCCTACATTGGAGCGAAATGCACTCTACACGAAACGGTCTCGCATCGCCCGACTGCCCAAGTATTTGACGGTCCATTTTGTGCGCTTTTTCTGGAAGCGTGAGACTCAAAAGAAGGCCAAAATTATGCGCAAAGTGTCTTTCCCGTTCGAACTCGATGTTGTCGAATTTTGTACCGAAGAACTCCAGAAGCAACTTGTGCCGATCCGGGACAAGGTCCGAGAGATCCGTAAAGACGAGTTGGATGTCGAGCGCTCTCAAAAACGACAAAAGATTGCTCATCAACGTGGAGAGGAGCAAAAGAAGGAAGAAACAGAAACCGGCGGCAAACGGGAACCCATGCAGAAGAAAAAGGAAGCCGAGGAAAGCAAAAGCAAGGCCAACGACAAGGATGGCGACACTGCCATGCAGGAGACCTTCAAGACGGATGCAGAATACGAAGCAGAGAAAACCGAGGCAATTCGGGCCGCCAAGAAAGAGCTTTATGACTTGATCCAGCAGAGAAGCTCCGCTGACAGCGGCACCAATCAGTCCGGTCTCTATGAGCTCCGCGGCGTGATCACCCACCAAGGTGCTAGTGCTGACAGTGGTCATTACACGGCGTATGTGAAGAAGAAGAGCCGACCGTCCAACGACTCCCAGACCGGTACCAAGCGCCGCGATGACGAAGAAAAGTGGTGGTGGTTCAACGATGACAAGGTCACCGAGGTAGAGGCAGACAAGATCGAGACTCTTTCGGGTGGTGGTAAGTGAACGTACCTAAGTTTTCAAAAAGAAGTCGTGCTCATACTTTCTCCAGGCGAATCCCACTCGGCCCTCATCCTGCTCTATCGCGCCATCGAGCTTCCCACGCAAGAGTAGTTGGTGCTGTCATTGGTCGTTTATACTGTTCAAAACGCATGAGTCCATACGAAGACATGCTTCCTAGATGAATAGAAACGATGGCCACGAGTTGGTTACTTGATTGAATTCTAATCCAAATATTCTTATGTCTCAATAGCCCTGAACAATCTACCTAATTCCCAGGCAATACCATTGAGGTCGGGGTCACGTGATAAGTGCCTCGGTCCGGCCAACAACCGATCCACGCAGCTCTTCCGCTTCAGCATTTCGATGGCAATGTGACCACCATGCTCCATGCTCGCAGATTTTTCCAATCAACATTGCGCACATCAGTGACGCGAACGCCAGGCTTTTGGCGCCCGTCTCTTCTCCGAAAGGCCAGCACCGCATCGCAGAACATCTCGGGCCAACGATCACCATGGACGCGCCGTCTGATCTATGCAGGGATTTTTGGCGTTCTCGGCATCGGCGCGGGGCAATGGATGGACAAGAAGATTGCTGTACCTCCAGTACCTGGATCACTTGAGGACCAGGCGGAGCTACAGGAAATCCAGCGCGTCTTCGACATCGCGCTGCCCATTGTGCAGAAACTGCGCCGCAACCCGGATTACGTCGAGATGGACGTCTACGAGAATTTTACGGAGGAGAAAAAGCCACACCGTCTTACCTCTGGTCCGTTAGCTGGGAGCAGAGGCTTGGGACTACAGGTGAGTGTCTGGTTTCTTACGAGTGTGCCGAGTTATGAACAACTGCCGACCGCCCTTTAACTACCGAACCTCGGGATCCCATCTTGTCTAATCTCTTCTCGTATCCAATTACAGAAAGTCTTCTGGAATGACAAAGAGAAGAAGGCCGTCAGCATGGTCTTCCTCGGCCCAGGCCTCGAAGGATGGCCAACCATGGTCCACGGCGGTGCGCTTGGCACCGTGATCGATGAGAACTTGGGGCGCGCGGCCATTCGACACTTCCCGGCACGCACTGGTGTGACAGCGAATCTCACCATCAATTACCGCGCCCCTGTCTACTCGGACAATTTCTACACCTTGCATACAGACCTGGACCAGGAACGGAGCTCGGACCGTAAGGCCTACACCTCATGTGAAGTTCGGGACTTGGCTGGTCGACTGTGTGTTGAGGCTACGGGTCTGTTTGTCGTCCCCAAGAAGCTCCATCTCGAAAAGGTCGGCGACAAATTCTGAGACATGGCCACCGCTGTCTGGATGGCGTTTTACCACTAAGCTTTGCGCTCCCCACAGTGGGGTTGGTCATTCGGCTAGCGGGGACTTTGAGCCTAGAGTCTATAGCAACAATAGACTCCATTACTTGGGGGTCCACTTCCACCCCAGCCGCAATGCAATGGGTATATCGATCTAGTTATGCTCAGCCCCCATGTACAAAACCCCCTGTAGACGTCCCCACCACACAATACCTGTACATAGATGGAATCAAGCCAACAATTCCAAGGAAACAAATTATCCATTCAACTTCTAACATCAGCACGGACCCGGGAGTTGGCGATGGTTTCGGGGCTGTTCCTATTGCGGTATGGCCCGGGGTGTCATGTCTCCACGTTTTCCCCCGCATTTTCCCTTCCACGGCTCAATTCGCCCCCAGAACTGCCAAGCTGCCTCGGTATTTTCTTGAATGCCAACCCGGTTCCGGCTATTGCTTCCCCAGAGTCTGGAACCATGGGTGATAGCTTGGTTACCATATGCTGTGTGATTGGTGGTACTTGCTAGTGGATGGTCCCGATGTGGCGCACAGGCGGCAACCTCCTTGTCTAGATGGAGGGTCGAGGAGATGGGGTCGCGACTGATGCGAAGGTATAACTTGGGGGTTAGTCCTCGGGGGATCTGGGGCTTGCCTCGATCTTTATTCAGTTCGTTTACCGGATATTGACTCCCAAGCTCCAGTGACTACTTCTTTCTGCTGTTGGTGTGGAATCTTTCTTTCAATTCTGGGCTTCTTTCGCGTTCAGTCTGCGCGTCATGGTGCAAGTCGACGAGAAGGCTGTGATGCAGCCGCAGGGCGACGTGGAAGGACGATATAGTCACCAAGAGATCGTGCAAGTGGGCATGAATCGTGGCGACATCCCACAGACGGAAAAGGACATTCCGGTACAACAAAAAAATACTTCCACTAATTGATCTCATGTGTGCTGATAGCAACACAGATGACCTTTCGGCGCTTTATGGGCTTTGTGGCCATGGCTTTCCTGTGGACGGGGAGTCAAATTCCAGTTTACCTGTTTGGTATGGAAGATATATTTCTCTTGAGCGAGCATACACTGATCAATCTATTAGGTGGCATTCCCCCGTATATCTACAGGTCCATTGGCGGGGCAGACCGCTGGGTCTGGCTTGTAAGTAGCGGCTCAATTGAGTACAGGGCTACCAACTAACTGCTTCATCATCTAGGTCCTTGCAAATCTGCTTGGCCTGGCTGGTGTGTGCCCATTTGTTGGCTCTCTATCCGACTTAATTGGGCGCCGCTATGTCGCCATCATCGGCGCCTCTCTCACCTGCCTCGGGATGATAGTCAGCAGTACAGCGAACACCATGAACATCTTCATTGGTTAGTGTCCTCCCACAAAGCATGTTTTCTATCTGATCTGACGAAGTTTCTAAAATAGCGGGCATGGCAATCGCGGGCGCCGGTGCCGGCATCAACGAACTGACAGCGTTAGCGGCCACCTCCGAAATGGCCCCGACTCGGAAACGAGGTGCCTATGTCGCCGTCCTAATTTTCACCATCTTGCCATTTTGCCCCTCGGTACTATGGGCCCAGCTTATCGCATACCATAGCAGTTGGCGCTATGTTGGGGCGTTCTGTGGAGCGTGGAGCGGCTTTGGCCTGTTGATTACGGTTCTGTTTTACACCCCTCCGCCTCGAGTCAACTCGACCGGGTTGAGCAGGAAAGAGATTATCGGTAGAATTGATTTCGTGGGTGGGTTCCTGAGCATCACTGGCCTGATTGTGTTCTTGGCTGGCATGCAATGGGGTGGGTATATGGTACGTCCTTACCTCAACCCTACACTTTTATCTCAGCTGATGCGATTTGGTTGGTTTGGTCCAGTATCCCTGGACTTCGGCCCATGTACTGGCTCCGTTGATTGTCGGGTTCTTCTTGTTGGTTGCTTTTGCGTTCTGGGAAATATATGGAGCCAAGTACCCTATTTTCCCGACGCGGCTCAAGCAGGAGCCTCGAACACTCGGCCTCACCCTCGTCATCACCTTTATCTCTGGTGCCAATTTCTTTTCTGTGATCATGTTCTGGCCCACGGAGTCGTTCAATGTGTATGGTCATGATCCCGTGGACGTCGGCGTTCGCAGCATGCCAATCGGGTTTGGCATCTTGGGTGGGGCATGCATTGTTCTGTGGATGCTGAGTGTCCTCCGAGGTCATAACAAGGAGCTTCTGATTATCAGCAGTGTGCTTATGACGGCCGGTACGTATTTCATTCCGCACAACCCCAAGTTTCCTTGGTATTTACTAATCGCCAAACCCTCTAGGTTGTGGGGCAATGTCCATTGGACGTACAGACAATCTATATCAACTGTGGGGAATTCTTATTCTAGCCGGTCTGGGCGTCGGCGGCATTGTGGTGCCGGCATCGATCATCACGACAATCATCTGTCCCGACGTAAGTTTTATTTCGGTACCTGACTCTACCCAAATAAGCTGAACTAATGTTCTCTGGTGGAACAGGACCTCATCGCCACAATCTCTGCTCTCACACTTTCCATCCGAGTCGTCGGCGGCAGCATCGGGTACACCATTTACTACAATGTGTTTATCTCCAAGTTTGTGCCAGCCGCAACACACTATGTTGGCGGTGTGATGATGACCCAACTCAACATCACCGATGTCAAGTATATCACTGAGGCTATCGAGCTCACTGGCGCCTCGCTGCTGGAAGAGATCCATCACATTCCTGGCATTTCTGGCGACGAGACTGCGTACCAAATGGTTGTGCAGGCGGGCCAGATCGCGTACGCCGAGTCGTACAAGTGGGTGTACTATGTCAGCATTGCGTTTGGTGTGGTTTCTATTCTGGCGGCGTGTTTCTTGGGTAATATTCAGAAGTACATGACTGACCATGTTGCTGTGGTCATGTAAGACATTGGCAGTCTACATTGGGTTAATACACTGGATAGTTGAGTTCGATCTGAAATATTGCCATGCTACGAGTAATATGTTTCTTGCTTGTTTAAATTTCGTCAGATAACTAGAAGAAGTGTTTGCCTATCGGGACCTCACCGGAGGATATGTATATGCTGGTAAATTCAAAATATCCAAAGATATTGGAAAACGATATTCCATGAAACTGCCTGGTCCATAGCTGCTTCTATCGGAGATACCCATCTTAAAATAACCCCGAGTTTATTAATCTCTCAATGACTGGGAACTTGAAACAAAACAAGGGCTATTCGTATCATGTGATGTGGTCCGTGTATGCCAGCATAACATTGGTTTTGGTTTAGTAGGGCTCTTTTGCCATATTGAGGTTCGGGATTTTGTCGTAGCCGATATGTCAATCAATCAATACAAATTCTCCGACTTGTCAATTAGGGACTAGAGCTCTTGTGGGGAAAGACGACCGATCCGGTTATTCCCGAATGCTCCACGGTCGATAATGACAGACATATTTGCTCTGGGTATCTGATCTTCTTCAGCTGGGTTGGGCACTGATTCTAAAAGTGAAAATTGGGATTATCAAGATATTTTTAATGCCACTATGCTGCTCAAGTGTTTCCGGGTATCGAGGCAGGCTATCACAGCGTGATCTACAAGTGCCTGACTTCTTAGTACACAATTGTCAATGAGCTTATTTTTGACACGAGGGAAGAATTGTTGAGCATGCGAATATTACCCGGGATTTATGATAGGGCAACCCGTTATTATTCACCCCATTATTCATATAAGTCTACAGGGGTGAATGCTTATCGCTGAGCTGGGGCCCCGGTTTATCACGATAGTCGATTCAGGGCGAATTCCCCGAGAATGCTCCTGCAGCTTCTATTGGAAGTGGCTTATCACAGCCAAGAGTGCTATCTTGGTTATCTTGGGCACTGACAGTAGTTTATTTTTCTATATCTTTTTTTTCATCTTTTATATCTTCTACGGCACTTCCCTGTTCAAGATGAGCCAATTCATTCACCACAGCTATGTCCGGGCGCGACACACCTTTGAAGCAAGATGCCTCCGCAATTGTCGCCAGTGTGGCTATCGACCCTCAGGCCGAGCGCTCGCTGGTTTGGAAATTCGATCTCCGACTGCTCCCTGTCCTAGCAGTCATGTACCTCTTCAACAGCCTCGATAAGTCGAATCTGGGGAATGCGAAGACTGCAGGGCTCGAAGGTATGTTTGCTCCTATCTTGTTGTCTTTTGAAACCAAATTTCTGACATTGTGATTGTAGATACCCTCCACTTGCACGGCAATCAGTACAATCTCATCCTCAGCATTTTCTTCGTGCCCTATGTCCTCACCGCGCCGTTCCTCGGTCTCCTCGGCAAGAAATATGGTCCGAACATTGTGCTGCCCTCAATGATGCTCACGTTTGGAACTTGCACTATTCTGGTCGTCGCTGTGTTCAATTTCAGTGGGTTATTTGCCATTCGCTGGTTCCTGGGGATGGCCGAAAGCGCATTCTTCCCGTTGGTGATTTACTACCAGACAACGTGAGTTCTGTCCAGGAAATACTGTGCTCATTTGGTCGGGCAAGAACTCATTTTCGAGACAGTTTCTACCGCCGAGGCGAATTAGCCCGCCGTCTCGCTATCTTCTATGCCGCGCAAAGCATCGCCTCTGCATTCTCCGGTCTCTTGGCCTTTGGAGTCTTCCGCATCCACAGCGGCCCCTTGGCGCCGTGGCGGTACTTGTTCCTGATCGAGGGAGGCGGTACTGTCATCTTTGCCTTGTTCGCCTTGTGGTATCTACCGCGGTCGGCATCAGAAGCACGGTTCCTGACCCCCGAAGAGAAAGAGCTGGCTTATCTCCGACTGCAGCTGGATAGTTCGTCGGTGGTGAACGAGAAACTCAACATTCGCGACGCATTCCGCGTGTTCCAGCACTGGACCAGCTGGGCGATTCTGGCTATTCAAATCTGCCTCGGTGTGCCTCTGCAGTCTGTCCAGCTGTTTCTTCCTGTGATCATTGAGCGTCTTGGATACAACACCGTCAAGACCAACTTGTTCACCGTTGCGCCTAACGTGTCTGGTGCCGTGGTCTTGCTCATCCTGGCTTTTGGCAGTGACTGGACGCGATGGCGGTTCCCGTTTATTGTGCTCGGGTTCCTGTTCACGTTTATTGGATTCGTGATCTATGCGGCTATCGATGTTCAGCAGGATCTGGGCGTCGCCTACTTTGCTTCTTTTCTCATGACCTGGTAAGCGTGATTGCACGCCTGTGCATATTTATTGTGGAATTGGCGTGCTGACATCGATCTCAGGGGCACATCTGCACCCTCCGTTCTCCTCGATACGTGGTATAATAACAACACCGCCAAGGAAGGACGACGTCTGGTGTTGACAAGCATTGCGGTCCCAGTGGCCAACCTCATGGGAGTTGTGAGCTCCAATATCTTTCGCAAGCAGGATGCGCCGAATTATTTCCCGGCTTTGATTACTACCGCGGCCTTTGGTGGCACGGGACTTATTCTGACGCTGGCTCTGGGACTGTGGATGATGATGGATAACAAAAAGCGAGACCGGGCGCAGGGTGTTTGCGTCAAAGCTAAGGATATTCCTACGGAGAACCTCCAGGATGGGCCCGCGAGCAGTGACTTCCGGTGGTTTTACTAGAGCAAAATAGATGACATATGACAGACATCAACTCGGTGTAAATATTCTCAACACGACGATACGGACATCTACAATTACTGTTAAGACTGTACAGTAATCTCTGGCCCAAGCAATCCTCAATCGTTCAAGCATTCTTAGCCTTCACTTTCTGGCTCACGGCATCCAGATTCGTCACTTTCATCACCGTTCCATCCAGAGCCCCAGCCGGCAAAAGAGACGCAAGTCGCATTAAGCACACCGATTCCCCCTTCCAGACCAACAGCGGCGGATTGGTCTTGAGGAGATCCCTGGTGACTTGCTCCGCCCATTGTGACGCCGGCCAGCCCGCGTCAGCGAACTCCTCCTGCCGCAGGGCCTTCTCGACCTCTTCCCGAGCAGGCTCGTAAATAGAGCCCTTGGGCAGAACGGGTTGCGCCGACGCAATATTGGAGACCAAGTTCGATCTCACGACACCCGTTCGGAGATCGACGACGTGGATCCCAAAAGGCTGGAGCTCCAGGCGCAGCGAGTCCGAGATCATGGCCATGGCGGCCTTCGAGGCGTTGTACACGGACTGGAAGGGGATGGCAGCCAGGGAAGCGATGGAAGTTTGGTTGACAACCATGGCTTTGGGCGATTTCAAGAGCAGTGGGAGGAAGGCTTGTGTGACTGCGATGTATGACCAGACGTTCAAGTCGAAGGTCTTCTTGGCTTCCGGGATAGACAGATCGGTAACCGGCATGCTGTGTCCGCCGCCGGCATTGTTTATGAGGATATCAAGGCTGGGTAGTTTGCTGACACAATCGGCGATAGAGGTCTCATCCAGCACATCGAGTGCCAGGGTTTTAATACCGCGCGCAGCCAGACCTGTCATCTTGGACGGGTTGCGAGCCGTCGCATAGACATGAAGCCCAGCTTCGTGGAGCGCGGCGCCCAGGCCGCCATCCGAGCAGCCGGTGATCAGGACCGATCGTGTGGAAGACATTGTGGTTGAAAATGGCGGAGTTGGGTTTTAATTGTTTGGATATTTAAGATTTGGTTGAATGTTTCTTGTCCGAGTTGCTTTGCGCAATCGCGCGGTTTATGTCAACTTGGGTGCGTAAATTGCCCGGTGCTGGGATCCAATTGACCATGATTGAAGCGATTTCTGTTCGTAAGGGTACCATAAGCATGCAGAATGCCATTGATTCCTGATTTCTAAAAACGAGGGTGAGCTCCAATAATCGCGTTTGTGACGAGGTGATGGTCGCTGCTGATTATAGATTGCTTGGAAATCCAATGCCGAGTCATACTCGCTTATAATTGTCCCAGACCCTTGATGATATCTCAGATACACCTAGATATTTTTCAATAGCCCTGAGGGCTCATTATCATGGTAATTGTCAAAGGATGGTTCATTGTGACCATTGCTCAAGGGGAAGAAATGGTGCCTGAAAGCATACCACCTGAAGCCAGGATAATAAGAGGATGGTCGAATAGCATACGGGATCAGTTCAATCAATATGAAAAGGAACAATAAAGCAAAGTGTTTCTTTATATCATCGTGCAATTGCAATGTGGTAGATTGAGCAGACAAGCGCAGATGCCAAACAGCAGGCTCCGTCATACGCGCCAAGGCCGCAACTTTTTTGATCGTCCTCGGTGCACCACACCACACTCGACTACCATGGCCTCCCACCCTCCGTCCAAGCGAAAGGCTTTCGGGCCCTCAGGACCCCATGGCTCAACCGCAGCTGCTCGCAAGCGCGCCAAAACCTTCGACGCGCGCACCTTGGCTGTGCAATCGACCGATGCCGCCCTCTCCGCGACGGGCGAGCTTGATGTCGCCGCGTACACCGCAGCTCGGGCATTCGAGATCCAGGCCTTGGAGGAGGGGATGCAGCGGTCGAAGAATGCGTTGACCACACGGGCATTCCAAAAAGTACCCCGCTCGCTGCGGCGGAGGACCGCGAGCCATAATGTGAAGCGGGTTCCGAGGCGGTTGAGGGTGCGGGCCAAGCGAGAAGTATGCGCCTTTCCCCCTCAATATTATATGCCAATTGCTGATCTCAATTCTCTTCGCTCCGATAGATGCTCGAGGATAACACTCCCACCGTCACGGCCCGCCGACGCAAACCGACCCAACTTATGCGCATCCGGCTCGAATCTGCGCGACGCCTGCAGAAACTCAATTCCAGGACCAAGGCGCGGCGTGCGGCTGCCAAGGCGAAAAGGGACCAGGAAAATAAAACGGCACTGAAAGAAGAGGGCAGCCATGCCTTTAATATTGCCCCGCGTGTCCCCAAGATCAAGAAGAACAAGCTCTCTAAGCCGCCGCCGGCGGAAGCCAAATATCGCAAGCGTCAGCGGTGCAAGATCTGGCTCCCAACCCATATGTTTCATGCAAAGCGGGCCCACATGGCCACGACGAAGGACCCAATCTGGCGGTTTGCGATTCCTTTGTCGCCCACGGAGAAAAGTTATCGACCTACACATCGCGCGCGGGGTTCAAGGGGCGCGGTAGCATGGGATATGAGCTACATGTCGACTATGCAATTGGAAGGCACCGAAGAATCCATCGAAGCAGTGTTAAGGTTGGTGGGCGTGGATGGGGAGGAAGCGTGGGGTGTGAAGGGGAAGAAATGGAGAGCAGGAACCCGGTCATTGCGCGTGTGGGTGTCCGAAAAAGACCACCGCACGAAGCCAATCGCTCCCGGAACCCTAGTTTGGTGTGCACGACATAAATCCGAAGACGTTGAAATGACCGACGCCGATGCTACTCACCCCAAGACGTCCAAGAAGCCCCGGCGCAAGCTCTGGATCAGGGTGCATCCATCGGCGTTCTTGCAACTATGGACAGATGTTCTCGCAGTATCAAAGCGCCAAAATCCTCCCGTCATGGTGGAAGATTTGCGGTTCGAGATTGGCAGTATTGATATCACCGGTCCAGGGTCGACGGAGGCGCTGCTAGCGGCTTTGCAGCCAATTTTTGGGAGTCCTGCTCCCCCCGCAGAGAGCCCCGAAGCCACCTGGACTTCTCTCCTCGGAGTATCTAATCCGTCGTCATTGCCGCAGAATGCACTCTTGTCTTTCCTCATCTCCGACCCTCGACTACACTTCCCGTCACGTACCCTCCGTGTACCAGATCATGACTCCCACATGAACGACCTCGCCATCTTACTCTCGACCTGGCATCCAGATCATACACAGGGCCCATCCTCGCTGTTCGATCGGCCAAGTCGACTGGCGGCTGCTCGTCAGCTCCCGAGTCAAAAAGCCATCAACCGGCGCCGCACGCTGTCCGGCCCTGGCATATATCCACCCTCACAGCCATCCGACCCAAAAATCCCAGTACTGATCCTCGCAAATAGACCTCAGAATCGCTCTAAAAGCCGCAGTGCTCCGGGATCCTGGACTGTGCTTCTACCATGGAAGTGTGTATCTGCCGTCTGGTACTCGCTCATGTACTATCCACTCTCGAGTGGTGGGAACCCACGCTTCGGTGGCCTGAAGGAGCAGCAGCAGCTTTCCTTTGAGGCTAGCGAGGCTTGGTTTCCTGGTGATTTCCCGGGAACGCGAGCCGGTTGGGAGTGGGGTCAGCGCGAGGCTCAGCAGGCTCGACGCGGGTGGGAGCGACGACCCAAGGGGCGCCGAGTCGAATATGACAATCTCATTCTGGGAGATGGCCACCCAAAGGGCGAAATTGGATACGGCTGGGCTTGCGACTGGGAGAGACTCGTTCAAGGACCGCCGCAAACCGGCTCCAGCAAGAATAGCAAGGACGTCAGTGCAGGGGACAATGCCAAAGACACCGGTGGCACTGCTGCATCAGACGCGAAACCAAATGCTGGCAAGCCTGACACAGAGAAAACTGAGGATATTCCACCACTCGGCATTCACAATATCCGCTTCTCCCAAACGGATACCAACCGCATCCTCAGCAACCTCAAGCAATCACCTGGTGACCCTTCCGCTCTCATTACCGTCAATATCACGCTGTCTAGTCGTGGCACCCCTACCCCCCGTGCCCGAATTTACCGTCTGCCTAGTCACCCATCTCTCCGCAAGAAATGGGTGGAGCTCGCCTCGACCTCGACCAAGGCTATTTCTCGAAATCCCATTAGCTCTGCACTTAGTCCTGCGTTGTCCACGCTCTCTGATGAGAAAGCACGACGTCAGCTGGCAGAGTCACTCATCTCATCTTCTGCCGGGGACTCTGGGTCTGAACACCTGGATGTTCCCACAGAGGACGACCTGATCGGCTTTGTTACCACCGGAAACTACAATCTTTCCGAGGGCAAGGGCACAGGTATTGGGTCGATTTTACTGTCGAAAGTGTTGACGCCGAATGTCAAACCGTCGGAAAGGAGGATGTGCATTGTGCGAACGGCCGGGGATAGAGTGGGACGATTGGGGGTTTGGGAGGTTGTTTGAGGCTTGATTTGATATGAGATACCCAGCTGCAGTCTTGACATGCGTTTCTCCCCACCTCCTTAAAGATATACGGCAATCCATAGTATGGATCATGAAAAGAACAAGAAAAAGAAACTTAACATAGTCTATACATACAGCGCCGCCGCAACGTGTCCAGCAGAAACAAAAAGACTTTCATATCAGGCGGTATCATCTGCAAGCCGACACTTTTCTTTCTAACCGACAATGCGATCGACAAAGGCAGCTTCCATGCGAGCGACCTCACGCTTGAAAGCATCCACCTCCTTGTAGCAGTCCAATGGCCGACGGTCATTCAACCGCAAGCACCCCACCATATCAGACTGAGCCCGCTGGACCCCTTCATCCAGATCCGCCAGCTTCCTCCGCCCATCAAGCTTGGCCCGCAGCTGCTCGATCTCGGCAGCCACCGAGTCGCGCGAGACATTGCGGTTGACGACTGGCTGCTGTGGCGTCGACTCCGGGGCAGGCACCGTGTACGTCGGTGCGGACTCGTACTCGCGGCCCGCGAACGGGATCCGCGGCGCGTCCAGGTTCAAGGATCCGGCCGGGTAGCCCGTAGCCGAGGGGGCGACTGGTGCCGTTGCGGCTGTGATGGGTGCCGCGCCTGTGTCTTTAGACTCAGAGAGCCGCTTCTCGATCTCTGACAGGGTCTGCTGCTCGCGCTCGCGGAGCCGCTGCAGCTCCTGGGCGACGCGGGCTTGGATTTCGAGTTCCAGGGCCTTGGCGCGGGACGAGTCGGTCTGTTAAGAGGGCTGGTGTAAGCTTTTGTTTCCTTCTGTTTCTTCGTCTTCGCATGGGATTTCTGCTTGGGTAGTGCTGCATACCTCGGAGCTCGACTGTAGCGCCTCGACTAGGTTGGAGGAGAATTGGATGGGAGAGTTACTGTAGCAGCGGTGGGTTAGCATTTGCAACATGAACAGAGCTTGTCCCAGGGCCGGATCATCCCGTGGCTGATGCCGAAACCATCAATTCCCCACGTTCAATGGATTCGTCTGTGCCAATGGGCCTGATCGAGAGGATTGTCTGATTGTCGCTGGCACGGTCTGGCCGTGGTACAGAAAGCGAAGGTTGAGGGGCAATTACCTTGAGAAGACATGATTCGAGCCGGCCGCAGCCTCGGGCTTAGAGCTGCCAGCACCCATTGTTGCAGTGTCGGTTCCGGAAGGGCAAGTGCAAAGTCCCAGGCGTCCGATCTTCCGATGGCTACCGGTCACGTGTGTTTAGTCATAATACATCAATGTCCGGGCCCTTAGAAGCTTTGACTATTTCTTCTACCTCGTTCAACCAGCTTCCTTTGTCTCCGCGCGTTAAAATTTCATGTTCATAATTATTTTTTGTTTTAAAAAAAATTGATTTCTTTTTATAGAATTACTAGGCTCTAAATCTATCATACACTCCTGTAGGTAAGATATATCCTTATCCTTTACTTCACCAAACAAAATAATCATAACTATAGATGTGATAGGGGCATTCTAGAATAATTTTCAAAATTCACATTACCTATTTCTTTAAAAGATAACTAGAGAAAGCTATATGCTATATTTTTATAAACTAGAATGGATATTCTTCTTTTAAGTCTCTATTAGTCTAAAAATAGGAGTATAGGGGAATAGAATCTTATTATAAATTGGATACTAAAATAATATTTAGAATCACTACTAGAAAGACATTAGGAAAGAGGCAAAGAAAAATATAGAGCTAGATGTTTGCTATACTATTTGCTAGATTAATTCTCCTTATATCTAGGAAGGTATCTTAGTTGTAAGAAGAATTTAGATAGTGCAGGGCTATCTCTAACATGGTAGTGAGAGATCTTTGAGATTCTTTTTTTTCTTCTTCGCCTTCTCACTTAAAAAATGTGTTTCTCAAGTAATCATCTGAGGTTTACTTAAATAAGGTAAATATCCTCTCTAGATAGCACCTTAGAAATTAATACTAAGAAAGATACTAAGAAAGATACTAAGAAAGATACTAAGAAAGACACTAAGACACTAGCCAAAAAAAATACTACAAAAATACTCCACAATATAGAAGAAAAGAGAAGAAAACTAGTTAAAAAAAAAGAAAAATCAATTATAAGAAAATAATTATAAGAAAAGTAGCTCATAAGCTATATATAAAGCCATTCAAATGAAATAAAGGTTAGACAACAGAACTTGAAAAATATAAATTCTCTCTTTAAGGGTTAAAATATCTCACGGCTTACAGATTCATGATGCACAGCAGAGAAAACGATAAGGCAAACAAGGTTTGGGTCAACTTGGGCAACTGCCGACTTCTTGCTTTTCACCATCATTCATCATCCACTTTCCATTATTAGTCTTGCTCCTCTCTCATCATCATGTCTACTATCCGTCATCTTATGGAGAACTTGTCCATTATCGGACACCTTCGCGAGAAAAACAAGGGAAAGGTTCAAGAAAACATCCAGAAGCTCTTCAACAGCCTCATGTTGAACGACAAAGTATCGATGGACGCTAAGGACCTGCAAAGTCTCGATCTCCGCTCCTTTAACCCAGAAGAGGAGAATCTTCAGCTCCCTTCTCAATTTTTTAAGCCCTGGTCCCTGTCCAAGTTGCAACAGCATGAGAAGAACCTTGAGGATAAAAAGGCGAGTGACATGCTTCATTCCTTTGAAACTGTCATGAGAGAAGGAGACCCATTTTTGATGGAGCATGGAGGCTATGAGACCTGGAGACGGACCCGGAGTCTTTGCACTCGTCTGGCATGGGAAGTGCAAATGTTCCCAAGAAAAGGGACCACGGGAAACTGCCTCGCTCTGAAGAGCCTCACTCACTGGCGCTGCTCCGAGTGAGTTCCATCCATGAACATCTTTGACTCAACTCTCATGGGGGATCCTCAAGCTAACTATAAGCCCTTTTCCCTTTTTCTTCTTTTTAGTGGTCTGCCCTTCACCGAGTATCTTCAACCGATATTCCTTCAGGCCATGCAAACTACCAACAAGCTTCCCCCGTGGTCTGTGACACACTCTTGGACTCTTTCCAGTGACACGCCCCATATCAAAATGTGCATGTACCACGGCACCGACGGCGATCCATCTCGTGTCTTTCGCGGCGAACTCTTTTCCATGATCGCCATCAGGCTGCAGCGCTTACAATTGGAGGAGCTCAAGAAGCATCTCATTATTCCTGTAAGTTTCTTGTGTGTCTAGATCTACTACAATGAGATATACTCGGCTGCTGTGTGGTGATCTTGGTTACTAACTACTGCGTCATCTAGGTCATGCTCATTTCTTTCGTGGGCGAAGAGCATGACAGAATTCTCCTTACTCATTTCAACGGGGAGAAGCTGATTATCCACATGTCGCCCCTTGACCGCTTCCGGGTCGAAGACGAAGACTCCATGCTGTTGTTTACGCGCTACCTTGCAAGTGATATCGATCCTCAGGGCGTGACAAAGTCGTTGGATTTGAAGAAGCCATTGGATTCGGGAGTGCTATCGAATGTGGGCAAGCCAGGGGATTCGCGACATTCAGTGAGTCATGCGACGCCGTTGGGTTCGGGGAAATAGATTGCAGCTCCCCAGAATGATGTTTCTCATTGCTCGTGATATCGTGATTGCTATTTTTCTTCTCCAAAACTAGGTAATGCTAAAATGAATGAATGTGCCATGACCCAAGATCAGCCCTCATCCGATATACTCCGCGTAATGAGCCCATTCGGCATCCGACCTCAATCCTTGTATCTCGGTCTCCTTCAAGCACAATAACACATTGATATCGCCGCACTCGAGTCGCGGTAAGAAATACAGCAGGCTCTGGACAGGTTTCGACCTCGGCCGTCGTACTACTGCCGGTTTTCCCAGTACGCCGAACTCCAATCCGTACGCGCCTACGCTTGCCCATGAGGAGGCATTGATCCATGTGTCCGGTCGGAACCCTGGTACAAAATTGAAGGTGCTTTTGTCCGGCTCTTCGGCGATGAGCGTCGCCAGACTGCGGAGGAAGTAACGGTCTCGAATTCTTTGGACATCCCGGCGCAGGTGGGCAGCCACGGCTGCTAGGTGAGTGTTGTCCAGCTCCTTGAAAGTCATAGTGGAGAATATCTTGACAACGAGTACCCCCATATACTCCGCAGGAACGCCCAGGGTGCGTCGGCAGTCGACTGCACGCGAGAATCCGGCCACGGCGTCGGGGAGCTGGCCTAGACTGAAACGAACTGCACTCAACCGCTTCCAGACAAACGCACTCAGGGCATCGTCTGTGGAAGGCGTTGCAGAGAGATTCGTGAGATCGGCCAAGTGGGCGGCACTGAAACGGAAATGATGAAATGCAGGCTGAGGGCCCGGTGGAGGAGGGGACCGTAGCGACGGATTCAAGCTCGAGGGTCTTCGCATTTGGCCGTGGTCGCATTTGGGTTCCTCTGGCCCTAGGAGAGGAAATACCGTCAAGCGATCACAATTGTTGATCTCGATGGCCGTCTTTCCAAATTCCCGGCCCTGCAGTGCCGTTGCCAGTAACCCGAAGATCTGATCGATGCCACCCATGTCCAGGACGTTGTGTTGAGCGGCACAGTTTAGTAAAAGCCCATTCCTGATCCAACTGACCGTCAATGTCAGAGCGGGTGCTGGGCTTGTGTCTGTTTCCGTATAGCTATCGGGGAGAGAGGTCTCCGCCGATAGCAGGGATCCATCTAACAAATCGCTCGCGCCGTTCATGCGGACGATGTCCTCATAAGACGGACAATCATCGGCTCGATCTTGAAAACGGAGGATATTCTCAGTCTGATAGCATGGCTCCACGATGAATGCGCCCGTGCAGCCGGGACCTACACCGGTGTTGATGACCTTCCCAGCGAGCCAGGGGAACGTGGCTGTCAATCGACGAGCGGCTGCTTCCAGCGCTTGAACTATAGTCTCGCGAGAAATACTCGGTGGATGCGCAAAACACAGCACCAGGTGGGTGTATCCTTTCATCCGGGGAAGCTGCCCAAAGACATCTTGCATGTCTGGCAGGGTTTCCATGGTGAGTTGGAGGTTGGAAGAAGGTCAAAGATGGACCAACACTCGGAGGGAATTAATCCAACATGTTTGGCCCCACGATGTCATCAATTCGCTAACTCGGACAGTTGAATGTTGAATCCACCAAAAAAAATATACCAATACAGCTTATTCCCTATTCAATGCACATCAACCCGCGCATTCGAGCGCAAATCCACAACATCTCGCCAACCACCCTCTACCTTGATAGCTCAGTTCAATATAATGCGGCGCCTCGGGCACCATGCTACACTCGATGCGGGAACTGCATGGAAACGCGTTACGATATTTCTCTAGTGCCTCTTGGGTCGATAATAAGAGCACATCAAACTCGCTTATCCCGTACATGAACGGCACCTTGACTGCATGCGAATACCGGTTCCAGTACTGGAGCCATTTCGTGTTGGTATCCAGAAACTCGGCCGTAGGAGTCGGCTTGTTAAGCCTGGTCGAGCATTTGAGAATCTCTGGGTCGGAAAGCTCCTTGCCCGGCGTCTGGAGCATCAGCGAGTCTTTCAAGGCAGGATCGAAAGTGACTTGTTCGGTTGTTGTATCGACCAGTGCTTTTAAGTCTTGGTCGATGGCGGAATCAACGTCGGCGCCGATGCCCGAGGTAATCATCCCAGCAAGGGTAGCCTTCGGTTCCGGTGTAGAAGCCCGCAATAATGATGGCAATCATGGCGCCGACGGATTATCCCAGGAGAACCACAGCAGTGGCACCGGAGCGTTGGCCATATTCTTTCCACAGCGCCGGTAGAACTATCTCGTGCAAATATCTCCCTTGCTGCTGTCAAGACGTCTCATCTTGGTTTGAAGATGCCGCAAGAGGTGTCGTCTCGCAGTATCCAGGCCGATTGATTGCAATCACCGGGATGTGTAGCGCATCTGATACGCGCGCGATGGAGGACTCGGGAGTAGCGTCGAAGTATTCAGCATCGTAGCTGCCACCATGTAGGCAAACCACCAGAGGCACAAACCTTGCCTGGGCATCTATAGGCGGAAGCGAAAGGAGTCCAGTGATAGTGGCTCCATCGCTAAGGTTTATCTTGAACGGTTGCATTGTGGATGGATCGAGTTGAATCAGGAGGTTGGGGGATTGGAGGGGTCGATATTCCCGCAGTACGATACAGTAAGATAGTTCAATCCTTCAGGGGACGATTTTTTTTTCTGCGTCTCTTCTCTGGTCTTCTGGCCTTCTGGCAGTCTGTCGTTTGCTTTGGTTGTGAATATCGAGGTCTATGAATGGGTTGATCAAACGATAAGCCCTTGCCCATCTATGGATCGGATAAATAATTCACGTCGTACGCATTTCCAAGCCCTGCGAATCCAGTAAATCAGCAAATCTTTCGAAATAACATATAGATCTCTATAGAAACCGAGGTTTGCGGTCTTAGGGTACCTAGGTATAGACCGCGCTTAATAATGGGAGGGGATTGACCGGCAACTCAACCGACGCCGCAGCGACTCTGCATCCATTGACCATGTCCGACCTCACCGCATGGGGAGTCCCCCGTCTCTCGCAGCTCCTCCCGCTAGATGAGGAGTCGCTATCTCAAGTCATCGAGTATGCTGCCAGTCTCTCTAAAGAGGCCTGCGCCGACCACCTGAAAAACCTCCTCGGCGACTCCCCCGCAGCCCTCGAATTCATCGCCTCGTTTAACACGCGCCGAAATACCCGGCCGCCCACCCAAAGTGGACAGGGCGAGAAAGATAGAGGGAGAAAGGGCAAGAAAAAGGCCCCGCTGCACAGTGCGGGCCCGCCGCGCCGACCGGACAATTACGGTGATGTCGGCGGTGCGTATCTGAAAGCGGAGCATGAGGAGGACTATATGACCACCAGCAAGCCCTCCCAGGCGACTGGGCCATCGCGACATGAGTCTTCTTCGCGCGGCTCATCCCCTATGCCGGCGCCAGCCTCCAAACCTCCGCCCTCGGCCGCGGGGCCCGTGCTCTCCGACATGCTCCCAAATGTGCGATCGAAAGCTAGCAAACCTGCTCGTCAGAGCGGGCAAGCCGCTAGTCCATCCAAAGGTAGCGGGTCGCTTACTACGAGCAATATCTCCGATCTGACGGCGGCCATCGCTGCCTTGGAGGTTTCGACCAATCCGACGATGGGTTCTGAGGGACGTAAATGTACTTGCTACGCGGCAATCCACCCGCTCTTTGACCCGGCACCCAACTGCCTGAATTGCGGTAAGATCATTTGCTCGCTCGAGGGCCTACAGCCATGCTCTTTCTGTGGAACCCCGCTTCTCTCAGCCGAGGAGGTGCAGAGCATGATCCGCGAACTACGAGCCGAGCGCGGACAGGAAAAGATGCGCGCCCACAACGAGGGTGTCCACCACGATAGTGGCCCCAAACCAGTCTCGGCATCTGGGTCCTCGTCACCCAGCAAGCTCGATGCCGCCAAGGCTCACCGCGACAGACTTCTCCAGTTCCAGGCACAAAATGCTCGCCGGACCAAGGTCGTTGACGAGGCGGCTGACTTTGAAACGCCAAATGTCGCTTCGACGCTGTGGATGAGCCCCGCGCAGCGCGCACTGGCACTCAAGAAGCAGCAACGTATCCAGCGCGAGATGGAGGACAAAGCCCGTCCTGAATGGGAAAAGAAAAAGACGGTGATGAGTCTAGACATTAAAGGCGGCAAGGTCCGCCGGGTATATCAGTCTGCGGCGGCGGACCCGACTCCAGAACCAAGTGAGCCGGATCCTGCCGACGCAGCGGACTCAGAGATGCCCCGAGAAAGTGGCCATGCTCTCAGTCGGAATCCGCTCCTCGCGGCGGGAGGATTGATGCGTCCAATGTGGCGTGCCCCGGATGGCAAGTCCGCCGAGACAGCGGAGCGGACTGAGCGGAAACAGACGTGGCGGCGTGTTCAGGATGACAATGACGACAATGAGCAGTGGATTCTCGACGGGGGGTTGCAGGGGCACAGCGCCTGAAGACAAAATGGAGCTTAATTGAGCTCGTCATTACTTATCCCATGGCTATCAGATGGGAGACTCTCTTTGTGGCGTATTACTGCGATGCCGCCATCTCAGTGAATATCCCGCCCGATTACCAGCTCCATATGAACCTTGATACCCCCGCAACCACCTATAGCTCAGCCGATCCCGATGCACAAACCCCGAACTTCCTCACAGCGGAAACGGATACCAACGGGGCCGAATAACGGACAGAAGTCCCTGGAAAAAAAAAAGCGGCTGGTGCAGCTGGTGGAGATGACTGAGGGGCAGTCCATCATTGGGGATAAAACTCCCGTTCCAGAGGGATTACGATTGATGATTTCATGTATGTCAATGATCCAATAGATCTCTAGTATTGCTGCTGCATATCTCATGGAATGTCATACAAATTCTATCTTTGAGCTGTAATATTTCAAGTGTTACGACCAGCAACTCCTATAGTTCTATAACCCTGGAATGCACTCCCATTTAAGCATAACAAATCCCCGCGCGGGATTCCGAATCATCCAGTGTAACCCGCACTTAACCGAAGCAACAATGTAATCCGCGGCTCGCCGGTTGGCGAACTGGCGCGTTCCACGGCGTCTGGGTGCCGTTCGTCATCGATCTGCGAGCCTCGGTTGGGCACGGGTATTTTCGGTGGTGGGATATATAAGCCCCGGCGACGATAAGCCTCACCAAGGCCCCGATTGTCATAGATGACTGCTGTCACGATGCTCGTTGAACCCGTGCTGGAGAGTCTCTCAGTGCAGAGGGTGGTGGGGGGAGTGGGTGTAGTGTTGACTGTGATGGTATGTATATATCCCTGATCTATATAGATGATTTCCTCGCTATCCGTTCAAAATTGGTCTAACATAGCCCCCCAGGCCCTCGCCTATATCTTCTACAACCGCCTCATCCACCCTCTCCGTCGCATCCCCGGCCCGTTCCTGGCTAGCATCACCCCCTGGGTCCAGCTCTACCACGGCCTCCACGGCGACCGCCATCTCTGGCTCGACGCCCTGCACCGCGAATACGGCACGCATGTGCGTGTCGCCCCGAACTTCGTCTCTGTCAACTCTGATCGCGGCCTGCACGATATCTACGGGCATGGCAAGCGACTCCAGAAAGCTGATTTCTACAATGCTTTCCCTGCCATTAAGGGCGTGTACAACACCCACAACGCGATTGATAAGACCATCCATGGCCGCAAGCGGAGAGTCCTGAGCCAGGCGTTCTCAGAACATGCTCTGAAGGGTATGGAGGATGTCATGCTGCTGCATATAAGGCAGCTCTGCGCGGCACTGGCTGGCCAGGATGCTGGTTCTGGTGCGCAACACGCCAATCCAGACTTCAAGGGCACAGTCCGCAATATGGGCGACTGGTTTAGCTACCTCACTTACGATGTCATGGGCGAGCTGTGCTTCGGGAAGAGCTTTGATATGCTGATCTCCGAGGGCCGGCGCCATATGATCGGACTGGTGGATCGCGCTGCCAACAGGCATTATGTGGTGAGTAGCCTTTTGGTAGTATATCTTTGTTTCCGCCTGTACATGTCTGACCCTCTCAGTGCGGCTTGTGGATGCCCCTCGACCGATGGAACCTCGACCAGATCTTCATCCGGCGACTAACTCGCGACCGATGGAACTTCATCATGAAGTCGCGTGTTGAAGCCAACGAACGCGCCAAGGAGCGCGCACAGCAAGGCCGCGAAGCCAAGAAAGACTTCTTCTACTACCTACTGAACGCAAAGGACCCAGAAACCGGCAAGGGCCTCAGCACGCCTGAGCTTTGGGGCGAGGCCAACGTGCTGATGATCGCGGGCAGCGACACCACCTCAACCACACTGGTGGCGACGCTGTTCTACCTCGTACGCCAGCCCGCCACACTGGCCAAGCTGTGCGCCGAGGTGCGTGGTGCCTTTGCCACTGTTGAGGATATCGTCAGCGGCCCCCAGCTCAGCGAGCTCGGGTACCTCAAGGCGTGTCTGGACGAGGCGCTGCGTTTGGCACCCGCCGTGCCTGGCGCACCGCCGCGTGCGGTGATGGCCGGTGGCGCAGTCGTCGATGGCGTATTCCTGCCCGCCGGCACCGACTGCGGCACTCCCGTCTACTCGATCCACCGTCAGGACCGCTACTACCGCGAACCTGACACATACCTCCCCGAGCGCTGGATCGAGGGCGCCACCTGCGCTGCCGCCGGGTCGTCCTGGCAGACCACCAAAGAGGACATCGAGACGGCGCGCCGTGCCTTCTGCCCGTTCAGCATCGGCCCGCGCGGCTGCGTCGGGAAAAGCATGGCGTTCATGGAGATGCGGCTGACGCTGGCCCGCTTGGTATTTCTGTTTGATATGACACTAGCTGACCGCCAGGGCGAGGATGCGCGCGGCCATCTCGCGCTGGTGGATCACTTTACCAGTGCCAAAGATGGGCCGAATGTGGTGTTTCGGTGCGCGATGTAGCTGACTGAAGCTGAGCAAATGGAATGGATATAGCAGCACAATATTATGTAGCTTGATAATACCATGGCTTCATCGCTTCATCGCTATATCGAAGACGTAGAATGGCCAAGGTGACATGGAATCAAGCGAAAAGTGGATCCCCTGTGCCCGGCCCTCAGGACACGGTTGCGCGTCTTGGCGATCCCCCGGATATCCATCGAACCGCAAATGCCCTCCGGCGGGTGCCTCCATCATGCCGTTCCCCCTGACCGTGACGTTTGTGCAGTCGACGATCCTCAATGCCGTGGCCAATATCCTGGCGCAGCTGATCGACCAGCGCAAAAGCACTGTAAGCAGCAGCACCATCACCATCAACACCACTCCTCCACCTTCAACCTTCCCTATATACCTATTTCTAAGGGATATAAACAAATTAGAATAAGAATTCACCCACTGACTCTCATCCACCAGACCCCCTTCACCCTCAATCTCCTCCCCTTCCTCCAATTCATCACCTATGGCGTGTTGATCGTGCCCATCAACTTCTACTGGCAGCGCGCCCTGGAGGTGCGCTACCCGGGCTTTCCCTCGCGCGCCGAGTTCTCAAATGCCCTCCGCAGGCCGTGGTCCTGGGCCTCTTCTAAAGACCGCGCCGATATCCTGCCTCAAACCAAGGACGCCGAGAAGAAGCATGTCCACTGGGCGCCGCGCGCGAAGAAGTCTGGGCTGCATAGCTTTGCCATGAAGTTCCTGCTGGACCAGTCGGTTGGTTCGGTGGTGAATATCGTGCTGTTTATTGTGTTGATTAATTTCCTTAAGGGCGAGTCTGTGTTTCGGTCTTGGGAGTTGGTGCTTGAGGTGAGTTGCTTTGCTTTCTTGCTATTTACTATTACATACAAATCTCTTGATCTACTCATACTATACATGTTTCTGCTTTTGCAACAATTTCTGACTCTTTCTCAGGACTTCCCTCCTATTATGGTCGCCCGCCTCAAGTATCGTCCGCTGGTCTCGACGCTGATGTACACCATCATCCCCGTCGACCGCCGGGTTGTCTTTGGCAGTGCCTGCGGAGTGATCTGGGGTGTATATCTCAGCTTGTATGCTGTAGTATAAGGCTTTCTTTTGTGTCTGTTTCTGTTTTATGCTTTCTATACTACTCTTTTCTTTCGTGTTCTTGAGCGTGTTCTGGTTTGCGGCCCCATAAGAATATGGAGGCCATAAAAGACAAGGAGGTGTGTTGATATATCAGGCTTGCATTAGCGGTATTAACTGTATTAACTGTATGACACTGTCCACCCGGGAAATCATACTCCCTTGGATTATCCTGCAGACAAAAGAAACAAGAATATGCACGAAAGAGAGAAGAAGTCTCCCCTAACCCAGCACTCAAACTGCCGCCACCTCGACCTTCTTGCCCTTGACCGAGATCCACTCAATGAAAATGGGCCCAACTAACGACAGGGCGCCCATGGCCACGGCAACATAAAAGGTCTGCGTGATGGCATCATTGTACGCAAATTCCACTCGCTGCAGCTGCGACCCAGACACAACGGACCGCAACATCGTGGCCCCAGCGGACATGAGCTTGGGGGCATTGGCATCCGGAGCATATCGGGCGAAGTTCTGGACGAGTTGGTTCTGGAACACGTTTTGGGCGACGGACACGAAGACCGCGCCGCCGAGCGTCTGCGAGAACATCACGATTGCTGTGCCGCTGGGCACATCCTCGACCTTGAGTGCAGTCTGTGCCACGATCATCGGTTGCTGCATGCCCAGACCCAGTCCGATACCGAACAGTGCCTGGTACCCGATCCATTCAGGGTGGCCCGAGTCGGTCTTTAGCGTAGTGAGGAGCCCGGCACCGATTGTCATGATGACTGACGAGGCGATCATGAAGGGTGTATAGTAGCCACACGCAGTAACAAGACCACCTGCTAGGATAGAGACTACCACGACCGCGATGATCATTGGCAGATTCATGATTCCTGATTTCATAGCCGTGGCGCCCTTGATTGCCTGAAACCAAATGGGGAGCTGGCAGAAGTTAGTGGCTGTACATAGCCAAGTCAGAAGACTGAAATGAAGCAAGAACTTACATAGTAGGTCAGGACGAAAAACGCCGCACCGATGGCCAGGGCATACCAGGCAGCACCCCACACGTTGCGGTTCTTGATCAGACGCGGCGGCACCGTAGCACGGTCTTGACCCCAGTATTGCAGGCCAATGAAGACCAGAATCAGCACGCCAAACACCACGAAGAGCGCAATGACGCGTCCGTTTCCCCATGGGTATCTGGTGCCGCCCCATTGCAGTGCCAGCAGCAGACTGATGATCGCCGGCAAGAAGAAAAGGGACCCGAGAAGGTCAAACTCGGCCAGCTGGCCCTTCCATCCAGTCTTGGTCTTGATGGGCTTGGGTGCCTTAAAGAAAAATAAGATGAAGAAGAAAGTGACGGCTCCGATGGGCAAGTTGATGTAGAAGCACCAGCGCCAGGTCAGGTGGTCAGTGAAGGCACCTCCCATTCTATTGCAGATCAGCATGCCACATCCTGCTAGACTCCAGTTAGAGGAGCAGAGGGGGAAAGAACATACAGAGGACCGGCAACACTGGCAATGCCAAACATCGAGCCAACCAGACCCGTGTACATAGGTCGCTTAACCAATGGCACACTCTGACTGATGATGAGAATCGACCCCGAGAACAACCCGGCAGCTCCCAGGCCGGCAATGGCACGGCCACAGATCAGTCCGACCGAGGTCGGCGTCACGCCACAGACCAAGGAGCCGACTTCGAAGATAGAGAGGGCAAGCAAATAAATCCACTTGATCGAATAGAAGGTGTAGAATTTGCCGAACATCAGAGTCACGGAGCAAGTGGTCAGCAGGTACGAACTACCATACCAGCCGACATCCTGGAGGGAGTTGAACTGGTCGGTGATTTTGGGAATAGCCGTCGCAATAATCGTATTATCCTAGATGGTCCTATCAGTATAGCCCCATTGAACACTATGGCTAGCAGGAGACGTACCAGGGCCACGCAGAACACGCAGAGGCATAGCGCAATGGTAATGAAGGCCAATCTCCATGAAGATGGGTATTCGGCGTCGTCATCATGGGGAACAGTATCGGTGTCTGTACCCTCCTTGTTTGCATCTTCATTGGCAGACTGTTTGTCGGACTCGTCTTTAGGCAGCGTCTCTTTATTCGAGTTTTCGTTGGGAACGGCTTCCCTAGAGGAGTTATTGGGGTTCGCGTCTCTGCTAGCATCATCGGTCGTGGAGTTTCTGATAGGCTCATCGACCAGGGTACTCTCTTTCTCGCTGGAAGGTTTTGATGTTTTGCCTTTGGACTGGCTGTCGGAATCCGAGGCCGTGTTCTTGTCATTCAAATCCGCCTGTGTTGGCGACTCGGCTTTGAAGAAGGTTGACATGGTGGACGACAAGAGAGAGAAACCAGGAAATCAAACAAAAAAAAAAAAAACCAAAGAGAGGGGTGGAGGGAACGAGAGGATTAAAAAAGGCGATTGGCAACGCAACTGACCCTTTGGACAGGTCTCATCCTCGACCCAGAACCACCTTGCCGAACAAGAAACCAATCCAGGTGGCACAGAACTCCCCTTCGCCGAATCTTCCATGTGGTCCGTTGATTCCTCCGACCGTCATTGGTGCCATGTTGCCCTCGTAGCAGAGTGCCTGCATCGATCAATGATTCTCACCATCTCACCGTTCAGACCAGCCAGATGAAACCTCCACTCAGCCGCAGCCCAGATGCATTGCCCAGGAGACCACGCAAGGATCAGGGAGCTATCCAGGGCCGCAGACCCCAAGTGGGAATAGCTGGTTTCTCCCCTTGCTCAGGTTAGTCTCCGCTAAAAACACATCGGACAGGTTCACCGCTGAAGGGACATGACAGGCACTTGTTGATCCTCGGATGATCTCCAGTCCGTGCATCTCTCCACATCTGCAGAAAAGGAGGCGGCCCCAGGGGATGAAAGGACGAAGAGCCTTGAGGGACTGAAGAATGGACTCCTTGGTCCAGTGGAGGCTTTTTATGCCTCCTTATGCCCCCTTATGTCCCCTTTGTTCCTGGCTATCCATGAGGCCCAAGTGTAAGTTGACCGACGGTCGCAGAGGCCATTCACCGACTCGAAGTGAAGCGTCGAAGGGGATCACGCTGAGCATATGCTCGATAAACTCAAATTGCTCATTGCTACAGCCTGCCCAAGAGCCTTGGGGTTGATGCCCTGCTGGCGACCAAGCTGGCTGTGCTCACTAGTCGACTGAGATGTCCGAATGTTTGATTCAGGGCAGCCAGGTCACTGTGTCAATCGAATCAGAGTGGTGGGCAGTTATTTTAATATTTTCTTCTTATTTTCTTCTTTTTCTTCTTTATTTTTATTTTTATTGTGTTTTGTTAGAATGTTCACCCTCTGGAAACTGTGTTTGACCTTGATGGCTTTTTTTTTTTTTTGAAAGGCTTCTAACTGAATCCCCCTAGGAACTACGGGTATATCCACAGACCTAGAGACATCCCGAATCATTACCGAGGCACACCATGGAGACCTCAACGTCATCCATTTGCATTGCGCCCCTGTCTTTATAGTCCCCTCCCGTCTCAAGGGATAGCCGAGTCAATATGATTTGCAGGCATGATGGAATCGATTGACATCATCCAACAGTCATCGGAACCTTGATGACAACCTTGATGACCGGAGAAGTGTTAACTCCGGATGACAGGCGGAGATAGCCCGAAGTATAAAAAAGAGCACCACTTCAAGTGGATTGTGTCGATTTTTGGGAAAGCGATTCTATATCTCCTTCAAGACGAAGATTGTGTCTTGTTGCTTCTCATATCTCTTAAAGGAATCATCATGGAAGAACTCTTCAAGGCTGCGCCCGAACCACCCACCCCGCTGGGCCGGTACCGCGTGCTGGCGCCGACGGCAGGCATCCGGGTCTCGCCACTGCAGCTGGGAGCGATGTCGATCGGGGACGCATGGAACAAATTCATGGGCAGCATGAACAAGGGTCAGTCGTTCCAGCTGCTAGATGCATTCGTGGCAGCGGGCGGCAACTTCATCGACACGGCCAACAACTACCAGAACGAGCAGTCCGAGACCTGGCTGGGCGAGTGGATGGCCGCCCGCCAGAACCGCGAGCAGCTGGTGCTGGCCACCAAGTTCACCACGGACTATCGATCCCACGCGCTGGGCAAGGGCAACGCGCCCAACGCCTGCGGCAACCACAAGCGCAGCATGGTGCTGAGTCTGCGCGACTCGCTGCGCAAGCTCCAGACCGACTTCGTTGACATCCTCTACCTGCACTGGTGGGACCATACCACCTCCATCGAGGAGGTCATGGATGCCCTGCACCTGCTCGTCGAGCAGGGCAAGGTCCTCTATCTCGGCGTCTCTGATACCCCCGCCTGGATCGTCGCCGCCGCCAACACCTACGCCCGCGCCCACGGCAAAACCCCCTTCTCTATCTACCAGGGCCGCTGGAATGTCATGCGCCGCGACTTCGAGCGCGACATCCTGCCCATGGCCCGCCACTTCGGCATGGCGCTCGCCCCCTGGGACGTCCTGGGTAGCGGCCATTTCCAGACCGCCAAGCAGCTGGAAGACCGCAAGAGCCGTGGCGAAGGGCTGCGCAGCATGATGGGCGCCGAGCAGACCGACGAAGAGCGCTGCGTCTCGGAGGCTCTGGCTGCCGTCGCTGCCGAGCATGGCGTCGAGTCCATCACTACCATTGCCCTCGCTTATGTGCTCTGCAAGGCTCCCAATGTCTTCCCGTTGGTGGGTGGCCGCAAGATCGAGCACCTCCACGATAACATCAAGGCCCTGTCGATCCGCCTTACCCAGAAGCAGATCGACTTCCTCGAATCGGCTACTTCCTTCGACGTCGGCTTCCCTTCGAACTTCATTGGCCCCGACCCCAAGGTCACTGGTAGTCCCGGCACGTTGTTGACGCAGACAGCTGGCAAGATCGACTACGTGCAGTCGGCGCGGGCTATTGGCTATGAGCCGGAGAAATGAACGTAGGAAATTGTACAGGGACTACTATGATACTTATGGTGATAATATTGAAAATACGTGCAAAGCGTCCATGAATAGGAAAATGATATCGATTACAAAAGCCACGTCAAATGCAATGTGCCGACAATCGGACCATGCCACGAAGACTCCAAGTAGCTAAATGTCTGTGCAACTCCAGAAGATCAACGTCAAAAACATATAGTGGTACATTTCAATAGATGGGCTCGCGCAGACTCGGACATGTAGTGTGGGAAGAACCACTAATCCCGGCAGCTGGTCAAATCCCTACCAATTTGCCGCGTCGTCCGGGTCTCAATTCTGGTCTCGGCCAGTAACCCCTAGCCATGGGAATGGGCCATGCAGTGGGAAAAAGGTCGGCGGGGACTTCGGGGGTGAAGCCGCAATTCCAATCAAGCGGGCAAATGTCCGTGGATGGGTATCGTGCTTCGGAGATAACCAATCGAATCCAATCCAGCCAGGAGGGCTGTCTTCATCAACGGAATGAACAAACACGCAAGAGGATATGGAAAGGCGTTGGGATGGTAATGCGCAAAATGGGATGAACAGAGAGAGGTAAAAGTTCGCACCACTCATTTCTCCGACGGATTCTGCAGTGTCTCGTCTTTGCTGGCAACCAGCGCAATGAGGGCGGCACCAACCCCGCTACCATCCTTGGAAATGCCGACGCGGACCTTCTTGGCTCCAGCAGCGCCGACCTGTGGCACTTCGTGCAGGGCTTCGAGCATGTACCCCTCAAAGTTGGGGTAGAACTCAACGAGGCTACCATCCACCCCGACGTCGACAATGTCATCGGTCTCGAGCTTGCGAGTGTGAATGAGGATGGCGGCCAGCGGGACAGCACTGAGACGGGCGGCACGCTTGCCAATGGCATGGACCAGGATCTTGACGGCCTGGCACTCGTCATTGCTGGGGTTCTCAATCTTCAGATGGTCCTTGAGGGCTGCCTTGACATCCTCCATCTCCGCGGTGTTGTCGGCCTCCACCTGGCTCAAGAGACTGGTATCAAGCCCCCACTGCCGGTAGAGTGTTGAATTCTCCGGAGTGACGACCTTTGAGGTCTTGCTGGGCTTGAACAGGCCCAGGTCCGGGTTGTTATGCATGGCCAGCAGCGCGAGACGCAGGATCTCACCCAGGAACATGCCCGAGACCCGCTTCTCGAACATTTGCACACCAGGGTTGTTGCTGTCAGCGTCCAGATCGTGGTCATAGACCGTGCTGGGCAGCACACTCAGATGGTTGTCGAAGCTACCCCACTCGGCGTTGATGATCATTTCGCCCGTTGAGGTGTCGTAGTGCGCATCCTCCATCTTCTGGAGCTTGGTGATCCTGTCGATCTTCTCCACGTAGGCGCCGTTGGTGCCGGTTCCGAAGATGGCACCCAGGAAGGTGCCCGTCTCGCCGGGCGAAGTGTACGAGCGCGCCATCAGCGTCCCCACGGTGTCATTGACCAGTGCAGCCACGCGCACAGGCAGGTGCAGCTCATTAATAGCTGACTGGAGCAGTGCGCAGACGTCATGGCCGACAGCGTCGGGGATGTTGAAGCCCTTGGTCCACCGGATGAGGGTGCCGCGGTTGATCCCACACTGGCGCACGGGGAAACTGAAGGTGAAGCCCAGGTCGAACAGATCCTCCTCGTTGTTGCCGTCGCGGCGCCGGCGCTGGTGAGCCTCGAAGTGCTCATTGTGGTGAATCCGCAGGAATGCCTCGATTTGCCGCGCCAGGAAGAGGAACAGGTCCTTGGAGGTGCCGGAAGCCATCAACTCCCGGGGAATCATGATCTTGGACTGCGTAAGAGAGAATGTGGTGTCGCCGTGCAGTTGGACTGAGCACACCCGGAAGTTGGTGCCACCCAGGTCAACAGCCAGATACAAGCCCTGCGGCCATGGTCAATTGGTCGCAACAGAGTGGAAGGTAAATGGTAAGAAACTCACCTTTTCGGAGCCATTGGGCACCGCAGTCACAAAGGTAGGGATCTGGCTCAGCGTGGTCCCCTCCTGGGCCAAACCATCGTTACTCTGCTTGATGTACTCGGCGACCCCGCGCTGCACCTGGTCCGCGGGGTAGTCGAATTCTCGCGCAATGCGCGTTGCCTCATCGATCAGAGCAGACATGGTGGGGGGTACGTTTCAAGAGAATCCGAGAGCCGGCTGAAGATGGAGGACAGGGTATATACAGCCCGGCTGTAGAAGACAAAAAAAAATGAAGTTGGTGAAAGGAAGAAAGGAAAAGAAAAGCGGGATGGAGGGGGAGTCCATGAGGTCAGTTTCCGGCACCTTGGCACTTGATGGACAGTCCCCAGACAACACTTTCACCGGGGGATTACGGATTATTCCAGTGCCTCTCTCTTTCTCTCTTTCTCCCTTTCTCTTACTCTCTGATCTTCGAGACTACAAAATCAATATGAATGGGATTGAATCACGACGCAGTTTTTTATCTGATGATCCCGACCTGTCCGAATGCAGCGCAACCCCCTTCATTCCCTCCATTCCAGTCTCTCTACGAGTCGACAAGTTGAGGATTGACGCAATGACGGTAATGAAGGTGTGGAGCAATTTCTCAGGTTTTCCCCGACTGGACCGGTGAGCGACACTGGTTAGAACCGGGGATTACTTCGCACAGCGTCGCATGCGCACGGGCTGACATCGGGCGCCTCTGGGGGGTGGCAGGGAGATGGGCCGATAGGTCCTAGAATATCTCCATGCCTAACAATATATCTACTCGGGGATATCCTGCCCAGCATATACACCCAGGAGTCCATAGTGATATAGTTCCATTCTGCACCGGAGACAATCAGTGTGGTGGCTCGGCACCGGTGAAGAGACGGGATCCCGAGTGGGTCGGTTGAATAGGGAGAGTATAGAGTGGGAAAAAAGACGAGATCAACAGAGATATCTACAAGTGGCTCAGGTGGACTGCATCAACATTAAACAGGAGTGTCAACTGTATGGTATGAAAGTAATGTACAAATCCTACAAAACCCCGATTCATCATCATCTATGCAAGTTCGAGAGCATCGAAAAGAAAGTGCAGACCCCCATAAATCCCAGACGCCATGACATGACTAGAAAACAGACCCGGCGGAACAAGGGCAGAGAAAGAAAAAAAAAAAAAAAAAAAAAAAACAAAGAAAGGAAGAAAAAACGCCTATGACGCCCAGAAGAGTGGCCTCAGCCCACTCAGGCGTCTGCATTCTCGCTCTTGACGTCGTCGTCGTTATCCTCGACGGTGAACGAGTTCTTAAGTTTGCTGGGCCCGGGCTTGCTGGTGGCTCCCTTCTTGGGCGCACCGAGCTTCTTCTTCTTGGTCGGGCTGGGACTGCCATCGTCTTCATCTGCGTGCGGTCTCTTTGGTGCGGAAGAGGTTGGGCTGCTGGCGCCACTGTCTGTCGGGGTCTTGTTGCGCGTGCTAGTACCACGGCCCGAAATGTTCATGCACCGGTCGAGGTGCTGGGCCAGTCGGTTCATCACAAAGTAGCGCGGGCAGATCGGACACTTGGTGGTGGGGATCTCGGGGATGCTGAGGTCTTTCTCGGTCTTCTTCTTCTTGGGGTTCGGCATCACGGCAAACAGCTTGCCGTGCACGTCATGGCCCGGCAGGGTAATCATTGGTCCGTTCAGACAATACTCGCCGTTGGGATTTGGTGGTGGATGTGACCCATCCCCGATGGATGGGTACAGTAGGCGTGGCAGTCGACAATCGGGACAGATGATCTCCGTGACCGTGTGCAGCGGGTTGCCCTTCAGATAGACTTTGCCATGCTCGAAGATAGCCGCGTTGGTCTCGAGGCGCACAGTAGCCAATTTATGGGGATCAATCACAACTTCCTTCTTTGCATCCCCGGCCGTCTTGCTGGCCGTCTCATCTGGGACGGTCGCCTCTTCCTCGGCCTTTTGTCGGGCGACGACCGCGGCGGAGCGCATGCGCGCCACCTTCTCCTCCCGGTGGACTTTGGCAACCAGGTCATGAATGATATTGTGGAAAGTCTCGTTGAGAATATCGGTCGACTAGAAAATCAGACAGATGAGAAATTTAGATTTTGGTCCCAAACAGCCCCAACTGGGGACCAGCAGACATACCACTTTGGCGATCGTTCCGGCAGGGTAGGCCGGCCGGCGGCTACCAGCGCTGTTGGAGTCGGCCATCTTCGGGAATCGTGCAGAGAGTCAAGCACTGGCCAGCTCCAATGTCCGTTCCTTGAGCGGCCGACGGCTGTGTCTGCCGGCGACAGGTCAAAAAAACCCTTCGCACAACTTTCCCCGGTCTAGTTCCCCATGTACCGTGAATCTTTGGAACGCCAGTCGAGACAGCAGGATCCAATTTGGTGCGAAGTCAGATGGAAAGAGTCGAACATAGGAGAAGAAAGTCGGAGGAAAAAAGAAGGGAGAGGAGAGGAGAGTCTATAAGCCGGAGAAACCGATGTCAGTTTTAGAATAGGGAGGCTCGGGGTGAATAAGACAATAGGGACAATCAATAAGCACTCACAATGCACAATAAGAATAGCAGGCTTCAATCAAAGAAATGGGGGGGGGGAACTCACGCGATGGGGACAATTGCGATGCGACGAGACGAGAGCCCGACGGGGCTGGAGCAAGTTGGTCAAGTGGCTTATCGCCTATCGCATCTCCGCATTCGCCTTTCCTCGAGGCTCACTCGCTCATTCACTCATTCACTCATTGTCTCTCCATGCTCGGCATGGCTTACCAATTCTTCTCCAAGAACTCGCCGAGAGACACTCGGCCGTTGCCTGCACCGCGACCGGTGCTACCTCCTATTCACCCACCACCCGTCGAACCGCCTCAATCGGTACAATCACCCCAGGTCAAACCCGCCAGCGAGGAGTCCTTCGAGCCATATCCGTATCCATTGCCGACTGCCTACGCGACTCCATACCCCCAGATCACCATCGAGCCCATTAGCACCGCGCATCTGCCCTCGCTGACGCGTACCATCACCCTACTCCTCCCCATCCGCTATCCAAACTCGTTCTACACGACCACCATCACCGACCCGATCATCTCATCCCTCTCACGCGTCGCCATTTACCACAACCACCCCGCTCCTGCTTCAAACCCAGCGTCGGGCGCTCCTGCCAGTCGTGACCAATTGGTCGGGGGTATCCGGTGCCGGCTGGAGAAAGCCCCCACGCCTAAAGAACAGGACGCGCCGCAATCGTCCCAGGCCCGAGAGCCGGCGAACCTCTACATTCAAACGCTGCACCTGCTCTCCCCCTACCGCGGAAGAGGTGTCGCCACCTCGCTGCTCGATGGGCTTCTTTTCTCCTCGCCTCCTGGGTGCAAGCCGCGAACCCATGTCTCTAGACTAGTCAAGCACTACAACATCCGCTCTGTGTCGGCGCATGTCCACGAAGCCAATGAAGAGGCCTTGCAATGGTATGCTTCTCGTGGGTTCTGCGTGGAAGAAGGCGTCGTCGAGGGATACTACCGCAAGCTGAAGCCGTCGGGAGCGAAAGTCGTACGGATGGATGTCCACTGGCACGATGATGATGAACAATCTGCCCTTTTACTGAACGGCATTATCCCTCAGAGCCCGGCTCGCAGTATTTCGAAGAAAGATGACGGCAACAACGACGATGACGATTGGGAGAAGGTTGAAGCGGAAGATGGAGAGGAGGACGACCATGGGGTCCGGCCATTGTCCGAGTCCCACGTCCCGGAGAACGAGGAAACGCTGCCGAAAAAGCGAAAGGCAGACGAACACAATGACCCCCGTCCGCAGCAGAAGTAAGGAAGTGACAACAGTTGCATGGTGGCGTTACGGCATAGTTTCGATACCCTTGAATTATGTACTTGGGAGCTTTTGTGGTTCATTGCCTGTCCTGTTTCTTACTCACGGCGCTTTGCCAGACGAGAGTACAATGATCATCATGAATTTATGCAATTTACGGAATGAATCGGATATTTACACATTTGAATGCATCGAGTTTAAAAGAGAGAGAAATGTAAGGAGACAGTTCTCGCAAGCCAGATGCGCCACGGGTATCGAATTGATCAAGATCGCCAGGAATGGAAATACAAACACAGTATATTATGTACACAGATGTAGCTCTCGCTAGATGTTATAGTTCTCCGCATGCAAAAAAATCTCATCCTTCGACGAGTCCGCCATCACCCGCAGCTGCATCTTGGCCACTGTATTGGCCACCTCGATTCGCATGCTGGGCGGCCCGCAAACAAAAACACAGGCCCGACGACCAAAGGTCTTGGAGAACTCATTGAGCATCTGCGGGATGTCCGGACGGAAATAGTCGGTGCGCCAATTGTCTCGCCGCTGCGACGGCGGGCAGTATGCGAAGCGTGGTGTCGCCCTCTGCGGCGTGGCCTGTGGAGAGCCGAATCCAAAGTCAAATGGAGCGTAACCGGGGTATCCCGGTGAGCTTGTCGGGGGAGCATACGGATCCATGGAAGGCTGGTAGTAGTGGCGGTTGTTGGGGAAGTGGGAGGCTGTGTGAGCGCTGGGGAGGGCCGCGAGGCCATCTTCGTTCTCGCGACGCAGCTCTTTTTCCATGGCCTCGTTGCCGGCAGCCACTTCGCGGATATAGGCCGAGTTGCGTTTGTCGATGCCCTGCAGCATACCGAAGATTTTCTCTTGTACGAGGTCTCGCCCGGCGCTGTCCTCTTGGTTCAGTCCGGTAAGGAAGAAATGGCAGCTGACAATGTTGGCTGGCGCATAGTCGCGGCAGATGCGTAGCTCCTCCTGGAACCACTCCATGGTCTCGGGGGTCTTGAGCGCCCAAATGACTCGGACAGACTTGGTGACGGCCTTGCCGTCGCGGATTTTCTTGATCAAGTCCAGCAGTTGGCTGGCAATGGCGGTGATTCCACTGCCTCCCGCAAAGAAGATCACGTCGTCAAAGGCGGACATCTCACGCTGCATGCCGCCATAGGGGCCCTCGAGGAAAGCTGTATAGGTTTTGAAAGGGCCATGTTTCAGGGCCTTGTGGAAGACTTTGCGCGTGAATCCGTGGAAAGGACGGAACACAAGCGTCAGATCCCGGTATTTCTCGCCATATGCAGATGGGAAGTCCTCGCTGCAGAGCGAGGCGATCGTGAACGGGTGACTCTCGAAGAAAGCAACCCGCGGCATGCGCAGGTAAACGTATTGGCCGGGCCGCCAACGCATTTTCGTGGGAACGGTCACCTTAATCGCATTCTGTGGGAGGAGCGTCACGGCCGATTCTTCTCCAATCATGAAAGACGACATGCGGAAGGGATTCGTCCAGTTTAGATAAAAGAGTCGGATGAGATAAGAGAGGATCCAAATGACAATTGTAGTCCATAGATACGCCCACGACGACAAGAAGTTTTTGGTGTGCCAAAATAGCATCGCCACGAAGACCCATGAAACGGGGATGTGGATCACGATAAACAGCTCGTACATCCAGTGGCGCAGGAAGGGGAGCGAATGGATGCATAGAACCAGTAGTGGCACCAACGCCGCAAAGCCGGTTCCATACACGTAGATGTTCCGTGGAAGATACTGACGGTAGTTCATCAGGGCACCATCTTCCCAGATCGGGGTGATGTAAAATGGCACCATATGAACCAGACTCAAAAAGAGGCACAGATAGGCAGACCAACGATGCAGCCCGTTGAGCCGCTCGGGACCCAGGCCAGTCAGCATGCTGATGAAGTTGGCTTTGGTGCTGAGTGCAACAATCCAAGGGACCATGGCCACCGCAAGCATCCCCGCCCGAACAGCCAGTGGCGGTGACCCCAGGGCAACCGACCAGTAGTACAGAGGCTGCGGAACGAAACAGTATAGCGTGACGAAGATCAACGCGGATAATACGATCACCGTCACAGCCAAGGAAGGGAAGACAATCTCCAAGCTCCCAATTCTCAGGACGGGCATGGGCCGGTAGAATATCCACCGCATGAAGGCGATGGCATTGTTGAGTGGGATGATCCGAGCAATCAAGGATTCTCGCCTGGGAGCTGGCGGTGGTACGGCCGGAGGGGGAAGAAGTGCGCAGTCGAATTGTCCGTGCCAGCACTTGGGAGCTCATATTCGTCTGCCTGGGTAGCATTGGTCATGGGTTGTGGTTGTTGCTCCTTGTGGAAAGCGATGCGCATCTTGTCGCCCCAGATATGGTAGAATCGGATGAAGGCCGTGATGACCAACAGCACGACCGAAAAGTAGACGAAGCCCAGCCCGTATTTTGCAGATTGCGACCACGGATCTCGTCGCATCTCCGCCGCTTCGGCCGCCGTCGTCGACGCCGTGACGGGGACATTGATGCGCTTGGTGAGGGCGCGCACCGAGTCCCACATGATGCCAGATGTTGGGATCGTCCAACGAAGCTTTCCAGTAGCTATCTTTTATTTCTTTGTAAGCTTCGCGTTGGTCGGATTTTTGAAAACAACCACGCACCTTGGGTGTATCTCACGCTCAAACGAGTACTCCCTCGTATGGATTATGAGATGAAGTTCATGTCGTGCGGAATCTTCAAAAAGAACGCTGATCTGAACAAATTAGGAAGAAGAGCAGAAAAAAGAAGCCCGAGGGAAACCCCGGCTAGATGTACGGCAGCAGCGAAGCGGGGGAGTCACACCGGGTGCATCGCACACGCACGCCGTGAGACGGTCGACGGATAAAGATAGAACAAGCTGCAAGTTGAGCCAATGGAGGACACTGGTGACAGACCGAGTCGCCAACGGGTGCCCTGGAACCCTGGGCGAGTCGCCTTTGCGCCAAATTCATCCTGTGTGAGCGGGATGTGCGAGTGATGCGTGATGCTTTAGCGCTCGCGACGCCAATCAACGCGACCGATGATGGCAGATCGAGTGACTGGGGTGACCGGGCCGCATTAGCGTGGTGGGGCAGAGAGTGAAGAAGAACTAATCACGAGGGATGTGGAATAAGATATCTCTTCACGATTTCAGGGCGAGAGTCGATTCAGGCGAGATGATGAATGATGCTGGAAGGAGAGAGAATCTTGACTTGTTCCTGACATCCGAGACCTAACCCTAACTCGATATGAACTGTCCGATCGCTCAACGCTATCATGTATTATGGACCCTACGAAGATCATCTACTAACCAAGTGCTAGGGAGATTCGATGCAAATATTAAGTTGGTAAAATTGTCACTTTTTGTGCACCCTTTTTGTTGAATATCTGGAGGGTCGCGACCGTGGTCAGATGGGGGTTCTTAAAATTCATGTTATAAAGGGTGGGTATTCTTAACAGTATAGGTGAACCTTTTAAACCTCTGTTCTTATCGTCTGGGCCCTTCTCCAGGTTGTCTGGGCATAACCTGACTGTGGCTGTCAAGGTACTTGCTAGTGTCGCAATGGCCAGTTGAACGGTTCTTAGCCTTGTAGTAAACAACACCTTCAGTGGGGCGAATGGCGCAATAGCGGACTAGCATGTTAAGCGTTAAGCTTAAGCTTAAGGTTCCTTCTATGCTAAAGCTCACTTTATCCGCTGTGTGACCTTCGAGAATGAATTGATTCAGGTATAGTCGGTAGTACTTCTACTCCCGCAGTAAAATATTCTCGGATCCTCGGATGATGAATTTGTCAGTGCGGGTCCAACGGGGCGCGGTCTTCGGCCAGAAATATAGTTGCAACATTTAAAGGGAAAAGAAAATAACTAAGGATCTAGAGAGGGGAGAGAGAGGCAACTAAGCTTGCGAATATTAGCCTGCTTGATGGAAGAATGGATGCTTTTCTGTGGATAAAATTTGATAGACAACATCCGCATTCACCTTGGGTGTACGGCCTGAACATCAACTAATGGATATCAGGATTACATCTCACCTCAGCACAGATTCAATTTTTCATGCACTTGAGCGATAGCAAAACTCTCAAATCCTTTTTTTGTCCTCACTTGAAACTACGACACGCCATCTATCTCCCTAACCTCAACCGACCTAAAGAAAAATCAGAGCATCAGCAGTCAGGCCACCTGCGACGCGTATGAAGACTTTCCTGTGGATATATGGAAATTGTATAAATTTAGCACAATTGCTAAGCCGCACATCATCATCGAATCTCCCCAATCCCAAAAGCAGCTCCTGCGAAGCTTTGCGGCCCCATGGGGCCGGATGAGTTCTCCACCGTCAAGTGCCGAAGCCAGACGCGCAATCTTTTTATTTTTAAAAACCCTGGTTACTGCAGTATTCAAATAACTGAAATAGGCAGCACGCGTCAGAAATGACGATCGACAATGTTCTTGGTTCAATAGACGAGGGTTTATCAGAACACATCTGTGAAAGTGTTCGTGGGCCTGACGTGCCTGCTGTCGGGAAAAGAAAAGATCATCACATCTATGAATCCCTCCCCATTCATCACCCCATCAGGAAAAGAATGGCTAGCGTACAGTAGGATCAAGTGATATTAGGCCCAAGTCTGCAGAGAGACTTGCAGGGTCAGCAAATAAAAGGACTCCTGGACCCTAAGGGTCTACTTCTCTCAGGACACACATTTCATTCACTCCTTAACATTACACAATGCATTCCCACTTGGCGAGCTCTCTTTTGGTCGCTGCACTATCGCAAGCGGGTCAAAATACCTCATACGATATCTCCATTGCGAAAACCGCCCCGGCAGGCGCCTCTGCCGTGCCCGCCGACTTCTTCGGGTTTGGCTGGGAGTCGGGTCTGGTGCCCCATTACAACAACACCTTCTCTGAAAATATTGTGAACGAGATCGGTTCTCGCATGAGCAAGCCGCTGGTCATTCGCATTGGTGGCACCAGCGGTGACCATATCTTCTTCAGAGCAGACCAAAAGAATGCCACCACATGCACATCGGGATGGGCTTGCAATCTCAACAGCAAAGACACCTTTTACATCGGTCCCAGCTACTTCGACACGCTCAAGCGGTTCAAAAATGCCTCGATGAGCGTCCAGGCCCCCATGCAGGTCAACCCAGAAATGAAAAACACCATGGCTTATATCGACCATGCCTGGAAGGCTCTTGGGCAGGACCGAGTGGACTCTATCGCTTTGGGGAACGAGCCCAACTGGTACAAGTATCCCGAGAATGAGAACTCGGTTGCACAATATGTCAAGGCCGGAAAGGAGATCGAGGAGCGAGTTGTCAAGGAATACTCCCTCACCGGTGATGCTGCCCGTATCTTCCAGGTGGGAGAGATTGCCAGCCAGGGTGTGAAATCCGACAAATTCAGCTTGTGAGCCCTTTCTCTCTGTGATCTTGACTTTCTCTGAATACTTATACAGTTTGCAATAGGGAGGACGTTGTCAAAGGCTTCGATAAGACCGGCCGCAGCAAACTCGCCGCCTTGCATTTCTATCAGCTCACGGAGAAATTCCACGATAAATCCAATTACACTGCCGAGCTGCTACAGGGTAAGTGTCTAATGTAGCAAGGTGATCAGCATTTTATCAGCCACAGTCCGGATGATCTAACAGCTCCCATCTTTGACAGAAAAACTCATGAACCACACAGTTATCAAGAACCACCTCAGGCCCTATGCCAAAGACGCTGCCAAGATTGGATCCCTCCCACTCGTAATATCTGAGGTTGGTTCTGCTCTTGGCAACAGCCCTGTTTGGTTCGGTGCTGGGTTCGGTGCCGCTATTTGGGCAGTCGACTTCCATCTCACGGCCATGGTCCTCGGAATCAAACGAGTATGCAACACCGAAGAGCCTGTCGCGACACACTCTTTCTGGGTTCCCGACCATACGACTCGTCACACGACTGGACCAGCCGTGCAGGGTGTCTTCCCTGCGGCGGCATTCATTGCCGACTTCGTCGGGAAAGACAAACTGGGCAAAGTGTCGGAGATCGAATTGGCCGAGGACCAGCTGCTTACTGGGTATGTCAGTTATGGGCTCCAGTCCAAAAAGCCCCAGCGTATTGCTCTCATCAACATGCGCGAGTGGCACAAGGGATCAAAGTACAATCGGGGTACTGCTAAGGTGACGGTGGATGTGGGCGATGGTGTCAAGTCGGCCATGGCCCGGTATTTGAGCTCAGAGAGTGGCTCTTTTGCGCGCGGGTATGACCTTGGTGGCGAAGGGGAAATTGTCACCTGGGCTGGAGAGCACTGGAGCCACAAATTGAAGCTGGGTAAGGGCGTGTTTACCTCCAAGCCCCGAGAGCACAAGTTGAACGTGCAGAACGGCAAGGTTATGGTGCCCCTTCGGGACACCGAGGCTGTCATGATCACTGTTGAGTAAACTATACTGATCTCCTTTGGGGGAAACAATTGACCTTTTCTTTGTTAAGCGCTTCAACACGCTTTGTGTCACATATTGTACTTGTGGTTATATTGCTGCGAATTGAATCGTTTGCCAAATCGCCACGAAAAGCTCAACCTTTCTATTTCTTCGAAAACCATTCTTATGTATATCACTATGTTTTAATAACAAAATCTCATCGGTCTACAAACGTTGCTGTGTCTGGTCGCAATGAGTGGCATAGACTTGTATAGGTCGTGGTTACTGCCTGAGGCATCAAAGTATTAGTGAATCCCATGACCTCACCGCCTCTGATATTGAAATTATTCTGCCGCTCAATGCTCGCGGCTTTTTCGTCTCTGCCACTTGAATCCAACAACGCTGCCTTGCGCAAACAAGCACAGGAGCCATGGCGTCGGCAACAGCTAATGCACCTCCATCACTATCACTGCCACCGTCTCAATTTGCCCGCCTCCAACCCCACGCCTATCTTCTCGCCCACCTTTCCCCTCCACCAGCAAGCAACCAGCCCTCCATCCGCGCCAATGGCCGCGCTCCCTCCCAATTTCGAGTCACCTCCGCCAACGCAGGCTCCTTGACCCACACAAACGGCAGTGCCGTCGTGCGCATCGGCGACACAGCCGCCGTGTGCGGCGTGCGCGCGGAGATCCTGCACACCGACGACATCGCCTCGTGGAGCGTGTCGGAGTCCTCAACCGCCGCTTCCACCGCCAAACACCAACACCTGGCTGATCTCAGCGACCACCCCACCAAAGAAAATAAGGATGTCGACCAGGATTCCGACGCCGCGGACGACGAGGACCGCGCGCACGTCCAGGGCTTGAACTTGCTCGTCCCTAATCTCTCTCTGAGTACCGGCTGCGCCCCCGGTTTCACTCCCGGTGCCCCGCCCTCTGCACTGGCTCAGTCCCTTTCCCATCAGATTCTTTCTTTGTTGCATAGCACGCGCTTGGTGCGGGCTGACGACCTGCGCATTTGGTACCAGCCGCCGAATTTGGGACCCGAGGACATCGAACCTCACAATGAGGACGAGCAGATGGACGTGGATGCCGATCAGAGCGGTAGCGCAGAGAACCGCCAGCCGCGGGAGATCAAGGCGTTCTGGGTGCTCTACATCGACGTCATGATTATCTCTCTCGCGGGCAACCCTTTTGACGCTGCCTGGGCCTCTGTGCTGGCGGCACTGCGTGATACGAAACTACCTAAAGCCTGGTGGGATGTCGATAACGAGATGGTGCTTTGTTCGGATGATCTCACGCAAGCGTACGGTCTCTCGCTACGTGGCTTGCCTGTGGCCAGCTCGTTCTGTGTGTTTGAGGCTGATGCCGCTGCGGGCTGGAGAGCGGTGGTTATTCCCGATGCTGGGGAGCAGAAGAAGGGCTCTCAGTCGAGGTGGATCTTGGCTGATCCGGATGGCTATGAGGAGGGCTTGGGTCAGGAGAGGGCGTGTGTTGTTGTGGACAAGGACAATGATGGGAAAGGGAAAACGGTGATTGTGAAAATGGAGAAGCATGGGGGCTGGACTGTGGACAGTGCCGATCTACGGCAGCTCGTGGACATCTCCGCCAAACGGTGGGACGACATGAAAAGGATACTGGATCAATGTTGATAGAAACGGCACGGAATACGAAGAAATGATACCACCTGTATTCGTATTGCTTATCCATATATTCATGGATGTCTTTGGTCTGTTATGTAGAGAAGCCCAGCACCCTGGATGCAGTCGGACATCCTGAGAATACTTATAATCGCTGGCGCTTCTTCAGCAGGGCGTCTATGGGTCCCTTTCCTGGCCCAGTTTTAATACACAACTTGCAACTTCCCGGTCTCAGAGCTCAGTAGATCAAATTACTCCTCGAGCTCCGCCTTCAGACTGCGCCGTCTTCTCTTCAGCGGCGGCTCGGTGTCCCGCTCAGCTCCAGACACCGTCACCATTTCATCGTCTTCGCTGGCCGACTCTTTTGAGGCCGAGTCAGTGGCGGGCTTGGACTTGCGATGAAAAGACAAGGAGATGGAAATAACATCCTTGTCGTCGCGGGTCTTTTTGTCTTGGTCCTTCTTCGCACCAGATTTATCTTTTTCGGCTCCATCTGCCTTGGACGCTGTCTCAGGAGTCTTATCTTCATTTTTCTTCTCCTGAGTGGGGCCCTCGGAGGATGTGAGAGACTTCAAATCACCGGACAAGATACGCATGAAGAGGCTCTTGGGTCCCTGGGTAGAATCTTTATCTTCTTCCTTTTTCTCGTCCGTCTTCTCCTCTGACTCTTCTACCTCGGCATCAGAAAAGTCCCACATGCTGCGAGTCTCTCCTCGGAAGAACGCGGTGCCCCAGAGTGAGCCGAGGACACCGGGAACCAGATACAGGAGAGCAGGCTGAGCATGGTTCGAATATTGCATCGCAAGAAGAGTGGTAACCATTCCAGTAACATAGCCAATCAGGCTAGCGTTGAAGTAGATCTTCGGGAAAGACCGTGCATCATGGTAGGGAGGCTGAAGTTCCAACTCCTGGGGCACAATGGACGGCGACCAGAACCGCTCTCCCCAAGCACCAGTAGCCTTCTGATACTGCGGCTTGATCGCTTCTTTCTCGTCGCCTTCCACCTGTGCCTTCTGGGCACCTTTTCGCTGGTAATAGAGGAAAAGGTCAAAGCGGAGAGCCAGGCCGATCATCAAGCCGGGAATGACAATATCTCCAAGACCCAGCATGGCCAATGACTGAGCATCTGGTGCCTCGCTGGGCGTTGGTGGCCGGGGGAACAGCAGCTTGATGGGAACATCTAGCTTGGTCGCGACGGTGACCATCAGCGGGGTAAAAAAGACAAAGTAAATGTCGTAGAAAAACAAAGACCCAAGGATGAGGGTGCCCGTCCAAAATGTCGACGGCGACATGAATTGCAGGGCGCCGTAGCAGAAGCTGAATCCGAGGAAGTTTGTCAACCACCATGGTTTGGTAACAAAGGCAAAGTAGCCCACAGCGCAGAGTGCGGCGATCCCGCTGAAGAGATCGAGAAGGCCAACGAGAGTTTTGACCTCGAGGAGGCCCCGTACGTAGGTTCTGAGTTTGAGTTGCTGATACACTGCGTTGCGGCAAGTCCAAAGCCCTGACCGGATCGGTCCTGGAAGAGGGATGGTCCCGAAAGCTCCTGGGAGTGGTGAATGACGGACCTGGCCTGTCTCCGAGGTCTTGAAAACACGCTCGGACTGGTTTACCCTCCAGAGCTGCCCTCGATGGCGATAGTAAGCAGGGAAGAAAAAGGACCGCACAGTCAACGAGCTGTCTTTCAAGAAGGCAATTGCAAAGAACAGGCCCATTTGAGAGAAGTAGAAACTGAGGATCTTGTTCAAAATCGCTGGGTCTTCGAGCCATTTGATCACCATGTATAAACCACCCAATGTCAAGCCTGCAGTCAAGGGGAACATCAGAGCATCCGAAGGTTCCAGTCCCTCCATCTTCGGCATTGAGCCCTGTTCGTCCTCGGTATCATCTTCGGTATCAGAATCTTCCTTCGCGGTGTCTTTCTTCTTGGGGGGTTTGGCGGCAGACGAGGGTCTCGACAAGGAGGAATGGGATCCAATCCAGATGGGAAATAGAGCAGAGACGAGCAGATGTCCGTAGGTCGGAAGGAGGGGCTTAACGCGATCGAAGTGGTACAGAGCCTGCCCGAGCAGCTCTGCAAGGGGACTGACTTCGGACATGGTGGATTGGAATGAATCGCAGGAGCTATGGGACACGGATTTGATGGCCTGAACTGAATGCGATATCAGGTAGAACTTGAATTAGTCCATCGTTGACCTTGTGGTGGGATGTGAAAGCGGACAACTTGCCAGCTCCCGGTCTTTGAGGTGCCAAGCTCCACCTCCCGCGCATCCCTCTCCTTCTCTCACACTATCTCTCTGGTATTTGCATCACCCAATTCACCTCGCAATATTTCGTCATGGCAACAGACGTGGCATTTGACACATCGATGGTAATTGCGCAGTACTTTTCTTCGACGAATGGACCGCTAACACCTTACAGGGCTCGTTTACCGTCGAGCTCTACAACACTCATGCGCCGAAGGTCTGAGTCCCCCCCACTTGAGTATCGTTTGATCTTCCGCTGACTTTTCTTTTTATTATTTCTGACAGACTTGCAAGAACTTTGCGATCCTTGCTCAGCGAGGCTACTATAACAATGTCATCTTCCACCGCATCATCCCCAACTTCATGGTCCAGACCGGTGATCCCACCGGCACCGGCCGAGGAGGAAGCTCCATCTACGGCGAGAAATTCGAGGACGAGATTCGAGGCGAGCTCAAGCACACCGGTGCTGGAGTTCTGAGCATGGCCAACAGCGGGCCCAACACCAACGGCAGCCAATTCTTCGTCACCCTTGCCCCGACCCCATGGCTGGACGGAAAGCATACGATATTTGGCCGGGTCAAGAGTGGCATGAGAGTGATTCAGCGCATGGGACTGGTCAAGACCAACGCCGAGGACAAGCCGGACGACGAGGTCAAAATCATTCGGGCTCGCGTGGTTGAAGAAGGGGCAGAGTGAACCACCAACCGTCACCGGTTGCGAAATCATTTAAGAACGTACGAAGAGGGTTCTCTATGCGACGTCGTGCGTCCCTGCACGAGGCACATCCTGGATTGCGGATCCAAAGGACCGGCAGCCATTGTCGCCGACGTGCCTCAGCGCGCCCGGCACAGGAGGCCATGCGCTGAGCAGCCATGATCGCCTTTTCAGGCCTTCTCGGTCTATTCAAACTACGGCAATTGGGCAGGCAGTTCACCCAGTCCAAATTGATCTCTCGATAGTTAGAGGAATGTATCACTACAAACGAACCGCTTCCATCAGATGTTACCATCCAGAGCAGCAGATACAGTGTGACAGAGTTCTCATCTGCCACTCCCGTAGCAAGAACCAGTGAAGGTCTTCCTGTTGAGGCCGAATTGCCATGTACTGGCAGTCAGTCTGTGCAGAGCACTGGGAGTGGCTGAAGTGAAGAAGAAAATGTGAGACCCGAGTTGTGCGGTGAAAAGTAGACTACGCTAGCCCCATCTGGCATTGCTGAGTCATCGACTGCGATCCCATATCACGTGAGAAGTATACAGCTCAAGTCACCAAGTGAAAGAGTCATCAGCAAGGGTTGTGAACAGTTTATAGGCAAATTTGATACTATGTTGAAATCATACACCAATATTTGCATCATCCTTCAAGCCCCTCTGCCCTGGTTCATGCTCATAGACAGAAGCAATGACCACTACCTCTATGAAATCAAGGCTGGGGGCTTTGTATCAAAGGCAAGATGATTCCACTCTTGTAATACTCTTGTTCGGATGTGGTGTGTTCTTTTTCTTAAGGTCATTGTCAGTATTAGGGGTTCCAATCTCGGCCATGAAGCCCTAACACAGTAGAGCCAGGTGGGGCCGAGGATTGTCGGAACCTGGGGCTATCGTCGATCTTCTCTGGTCACACCTGACTGCCGCCAGACATTGATTCAACCTGTTCGATTAACTCCAACTGCATTTCAAACTCTACACCTTCAGCAGCAATGGCAGCAAGCGTCCACCTCCTCCGTGTCTTTGCCGCCGGTCCCAATGGAGGCAATCCTCTGCCTGTTGTCGTGGATGCAACTGGCATGTCAGATACCGACATGCAGGCCGTCGCCGCGACCTATGGCCATGAAAGTGGATTCGTTCTTCCTGCTCCAGACAGCTCAGAATGCGATTTTGAATTCCGCTTCTGGGTTCCTGAGCACGAGATGGAAATGTGCGGACATGCTACCGTAGGGGCGGTTTGGCTGTTGGAAAACCTCAACCGACTGCATAGAGACCAAGTCCGAATTATAACCAAGAGTGGTATTGTCGAGGCGAGGATCTTGAGGCATCAAGGAGAGGTCTCGGTGGAGATCTCGCAGCCGCTCGGTGTCGTCGAAACAGTGGATGCCGGTGACCTTGACGAATTGCTCCATGTCTTGGGCATTTCCAGACGTGAATTGTCATCTCTGTCCGTTCAGAACTCTAGGACAAGTCGAGTGAAAACGCTCGTTCCTCTGAGCTCTGTCGATGCACTTAATTCATTGAAGCCGCAATTCCATCTGGTCAAGTCGCTCTGTGAACGCATCGGCAGCACTGGTCTGTATCCATACGCGGTGTGCGATTCAGCGGCGCAGATCTTGGAGGCGAGGCAATTTCCTAAATCCTCTGGGTATCAGGAGGATGCTGCCACGGGAATTGCAGCCTCTGCGTTGGCATTTGGGGTTCTGGAAAATGGTCTTTTGAATGATCCACAGCGAGGGTTGAAAGTCAGACAAGGCTGGGCGATGGGACATCCATCGGAAATTGCTGTGAAGTTTAGGAAACAGAACGACTCGGTTCAGGGCTGTTGGATCGGCGGGACTACGTTGCTTGATACTGGCGTTGAATAAATAGGATAGCTGATCTGCTTTAGTTGTGTTACATGGAGTCCTTTCTAGATCAGATATGTCCACAGTCTCTTGATGCTCCACTCTAAATATGCCCACAGAAATAAAAACTACTGTCCAGTTCCTTTCCCACTTCAGCTTAGGTTTCACGTCCGGGATTTGGCATCCTCCAGCACTCCGAGTCTTGTGGCCTCCTCGACCATCAATTTAACATGCTTGTCACTTCGAGGGGTGACTTTCACTGGGAATGGCTCATCTGTTGTATGGTGGTTGAGTCGCCGCGAGTCATACGGACCAGACTGTGCCTCGTTAGAACCTCATATAGAAGCATATCCCAGTATCCACTGTTCATACGCACCGCAGTATAATTGAAGCAAAACACCAAGCGGGCAATGTTTATGAACAGCCCTCTCTGTGCAAGTCGATAACCCACACAGATCCGGCGTCCACCACCAAACTGCCACAGTCCATGTGCAGCATCGGTCTCGTGCCCGTCGAGCCATCGCTCTGGTTTGAAGGTCTCTGGGTCCTCGCACTCATTACAAACTGGAATACCATTAATAACAAAGCCAACTCCGGGTGGGAAGTGGTATCCCTCGAATTCCATTTCCGTCGTCAGAACATGGTCCGGCGTGAATGGGAAGATAGGTCTCCATCTCAGCAGCTCTTTGATGACAGCGCAGACATACGGCATCTGCTCCATGTCGTCGAGCCCCGGAAGGCGTAGGCTGGACTCATCTGCGGCACAGATGTGGTCTACTTCGGCTCGGGCATTCAGAAAAACCTCCGGATAGGACAGCGCGGACATGACAAAGATGTTCAATGCCTCTCGGGTCGTGTCGCTGCCCGCTTCAATCAGTTGCATTGCCACATACATTGCTTCCTGATCATCTCCCGTGAACTTGGTATCTTCGTGCAGCAAGACATCTCTCACGAACGATGGCGGCGCAGTCCCGGCTTCCACCTTCTCTCGGACTGGCACCCACCAGGACCGGTAGACCTCAAAGTTCCACTGACCAAGTCGCTCCCAGTACTTTCGCCACGGCTGCAGAACCCGTGGCAGGGCATCTAATTCCGGGAACCAGTCCACCAGGCTCGAGCCAATGCTCCCGACGAAGTGGGTCACGACGTCTTGCAGATCAGCCAGCTCTTTGTTTGATTTGGTCAACCGCTCACCCAATGCGATGCGGTGCACCACCGAGTTGGCGTATCGGTAATGGTGACGATACCACAGCTGCGGTTGGTAGTAATACTCGACGAGTAGCTGCGTACTTTCGAGTTCCTGCCAGGATCCGTATTGCTTGAGGGCGGTCCCGCTGAGTAGGGAATGCATCACACGGCGCTTCTCGGTCCATCCCGACGGAGGAAGAAGGAGTGAGCGGCTATGACGGCTCACAATACCGCTGGCGATCGGCATGGGTGACCGCCCGTTGGTGAGCGAGCCACGCTTCGCGATGATCTCGGCGACAACCCGCCGGCTGTTCAGAAACACCCAGGTCTTGGAGCCCAGGTGCACTGTAGTCATTTCACCATATCGTGCCAGATAGCGATGCTATTATGAGTTAGCAAGCGACACTGGCGAGGGATATTTTTCATTAAGCCTACCATGCTATGATCGGGATCGTCCCGTCCTGTCTTAAGATCTAACAAACTTCCAAGAATTGGCTTGCCTCGAGGCCCCGGTGGAAGTCGCCATTGTTTCCCTGCTGGTGCTCGTCGCTTTCCCACGGGTTTGAATATTTCCTGAAGAACGAGAAACGTCGTGCTGAGACAGAGCAAGATGGCCACGAGGGTTGCACTCGCGGGATAATGTGAGGCCAATAGGGCCAGCGACTCATGGATAGATGAATCCATGCTTGACTGGGTGTTTGAGAGTGGTTGAGCGGATCTCAACCTATGCTGGGAGCCCTTTACATAAGGCAACAACCTTGATCTTCACCATCGCGGGTGCATCCCGGGCTCCTCGTCCACTCCGTCTCCGTGCCCGAGACATCGCGATTACTTAACGAGGTAATGGATTCGCCCTCAGAAGGCAATAATGTTCATCGGGCAATAATTTTCGTGTATACTTCTTCGGCTTGGATCCAGATATTCCACATTTTTCGGTCCATTGGCACCTTGTACAGCCTCGCTGAGGAACTCGGGTGCGTTCCGAAGGCCGTCATTAATAGTCGACTGACCACCCCACCGATACTTAAACATGTTACGCTATCTCTGGCTACCGCTACTCCCCGTCTTCTGGTATCTCTTGTCCAACAATTTCAGCAATATGTCGGACCGAGCTATGGACTGGCTCCAAGATAAGGCGCTCGGCTGGATAGATGCGCCTCCGGTCAACAAGGTAGACACTCACCACCATTTTGTGCCAGAATTCTATGCCAAAGGTGAGTGGGATCTATCTATAAAGGGCTTTGAGCGGCTTCAAAAGATCAGCGACTGACTATTTCCTAGCTATCGAAGATGCAGGAGGTACCGCTACAATGACTCAGTTCGTTCAACCGATATTAATTGAATGTCACAGGGGACCCCAGCGGCTGGCCCACGCCATCGTGGACACCCCTACGGAGCAAGCTCCTGATGAAACGTCTCGGGGTTCAGACTGCCATCCTCTCGGCTACTGCGCCCGGTGCCTGTATCCTCAAGGGACAAGCGTCCTTCGACCTAGCGCGGAAACTCAATGAATACGCGGCCGACCTGCGCGACAAGGAGCCCCAGCATGTCGGGTTCTTTGCCGCTCTCCCCAGCCTCCTGGACACAGATGCGGCCTTGGCCGAGATCACTTATGGTCTCGATACGCTGCATGCAGACGGCGTTACGGTCTTCACCCGCTACGGCGACAACCATACTTACCTGGGCCATCCCTCACTCGAGCCCATCTGGGCCGAGCTCAACCGCCGTCGCTGTGTCGTGTTCGTGCACCCAACTCACCCGGTCGATACGACCATGATGAACCCCAAGCTGCCCCAGCCGGCGCTGGATTACCCGCACGAGACCACGCGCGCCGCCATGGACATGATCTTATCCGGCACCAAGGGCAAGTTTCCGGATTGCAAGGTTATCTTATCGCATGCGGGTGGTACCCTGCCATACTTGGTGAGTCGCGTTGCCACGCCGATGCGTAAGGCGCCCGGGTTTGTGGTGGAGAATCGCATGGGCACGACGCACGAGAAAGTCATGGAAGACTTCCGGAGCTTTTATTTTGATCTGGCGCTGTCGGCGTCGCCCCATGTGTTGGACATGATGCTCAAGACCATCCCACATGATCATATCTTCTATGGGGTAGGTGGCTCCTCGCTTTGAGATTCGTGGGGTGCGTGTCTAATCATGCCTTGCATTTAGAGCGACTTTCCTTATGCGCCCATCACGGCTTACCCGGCTTTTTTGGAGGAGCTGGAGGGATATGAAATGAGCCAGGAGCTGAGAGACAAGATAAATTTTGGGAATGCAATCCAGTTGATCCCTCGGTTGACAGGATAAGTATCAGTGTTGGCTACAGTATATATACTTGGTTCGAGTTGGAGAGTGCTGCCCGAGTCTGAACCAAGTAAATTTGCAAATCTGGTCTAGTCAAACTTTCACAGATATAGCATTTTGTTTCTTATAAGAGAAATCCCCACACAATCACACAATCACAATGATATTCAGAGTGTATTTTCGAAGATCAAGTGGTGAGTATCGAGGAAAATACATGGTCACCGCCTTCGACCCACAAAATGCGAGCTTCGGTTTTTTCGTCTTTTCTCCCTTCGACAACCTCGCGTGGACTTCCTGATTTTTCATGGACTCCGGGATGCTCCACGAAATATATTCACCCAGTTATTGCCCAACACAATGAGAGTTGGGGCCTGCTCATTGCTGTAATTTCCGAACTTACTTGCTGCAGCGGGAGACCCCATCACACATACCATGGAGACTCTGGCAGAGACACCATGGGATGTGATCATCGCAGGGACAGGGCTTGCCCAGTCACTGCTGGCACTGTGAGTGACCATCTTTTGAAACCGACATACTGAGATATGACAACCGACCTAACATTTTTACTTGAGAGCTCTTTCACGATCGGGGAAGAAGGTCCTCCACCTGGACAAAAACCCATACTATGGAGGAGCCGAGGCAGCATTCAGTCTGGATGAGGCCCAAGACTGGATGAAAAGTGTCAATCAACGTGTGTACTCATTGTTACATCTTGCAGTATACCTTATCACTGACCCTTTTCCCAATAGATCCGGGCCAGTCTCCCTTTCAAGATGTCACTCTCTCCACGTACCAGCATCCTCAAGATCCCCATGACTCTTCTACAAGTACCCAAGGCACGCCTGAAGTCTGTCCTAAGCTCGCAGCGAGCCGATCCTACACCCTTTCCCTCTGCCCGTATTTCCTCTACACCCGCTCCAAACTAATCTCTACCCTGATCTCTTCGAAGGTGTACCGCCAGCTGGATTTTATGGCGGTCGGTAGCTGGTGGATTTATTCCCTAGAGCACTCTGATGCTGAGAACAGCGACCTCGGTGCTACGCGTGTTCTGAACCGAGTGCCGGGCAGCCGAGAAGATGTTTTCGCTGACACCCACATTGCAATGAAGTCCAAGAGGACACTGATGCGATTTCTGCGTCACATCAGTAAACCACAGGATGAGGAAAACCCCGAGGGCGACGAGGATCTCTCGATGTCCTTTGAGGACTACTTGACTTCCAAGTTCAGTTTCCCGCCAGATCTCCAGAGCCCGTTGTTGTCACTGTCCTTGTCCCAGTTGCCACTGCAGGAGACCTCTGCCAACTACGCAGTAGCACGGGTCAAGAGGCATCTGACATCCATCGGTGCATTCGGGCCTGGCTTTGGAGGCGTGATTTCCAAGTATGGATGCGGGTCTGAGATCCTCCAGGTTGCCTGCCGTGCCTCCGCCGTCGGAGGGGGTGTATATGCCCTAGACACTGGAATCGAGTCCTTCACAGAAAATGAGCATGCAGCAGGAGAAGAACCTCCAGTCAAGGCGAAGCTCTCTACCGGAGAAACTGTCCAGACCCAGTTCATGGTAGGCTCCCTGTGGGATCTCCCCAACCAGGAATCGCCGTCTGCATCTTTCGCCAGAGTGACACGGTCAATCACCATTGTCTCGTCGAGTTTCCCATCGCTCTTCCCTATCACTGTTGAGGGCGCTCCCCTACCAGCCAGTGCTGTGCTTATGTTCCCTGGAGACACGTTGGGCAGCCCTCAATCTCCGCCGGTATATCTCCAAGTTCATTCGAGCGACACCGGCGACTGTCCCCGGCAGCAGAGTAAGTTGAACCTCCTTTTCTCTCTCTTCGTTTTGACTTTCCATTTTCCTCGCTCGTATGATGAGTTTTCTTCAAATACTTATCTACATTGGCTGTAACTGCATTGATGAGATTTCTTCTATCAAACCTGATCGCGAGCATGTTTTCTTTTCTTCTCTCCACCGACTATTGACTGTACTGGTGTTGGTGCATGTGGCTAATCAAATCATTTGTCACAGGTATCATCTACGGCAGTGTATCTCTCGCTGGACCAGAAGGACAATCTCTGCTTAACTCTGCGGTCGACCGACTCGTGCGAGCAGAAGGACCGCAGGCTGCCGTGCTCTGGTCTATGCGGTATACCCAGGTGGGGCGCCTGAGCAACGGCAGCGCCGAGCCACACCTCCACACGCTGTCTCCGCATGTCCTCCGCATTCCGCCGTCAGGCCTGGACTTGGCATTTGAGGATGACACCGTCGACGTGGTCCAAGAGGCATGGCAGAGAATCGTAGGCGATGAGGTGGGCCGTGAGGAGTTTATGGTCTTTGATGATCGCGAGGCCTCCGATGAATGACTTGACTAGACTTGACTTGTAGACATAAGCAATCATTTGTACATACCTGCATAAATACATACCTGGTGGGTTCATGACGTTTACGAAATGACGAGGTATTAATTTCTTGTGAAAGTGTTCTCATGTCCCCCTATTTTTAGATGTTCAGCCCCCCCCGAGGGCCTTGCAAGTTACGCGTTGGGCTGAGGCCTGAGACACTAGTTTCTCCCCAAGGCCCCCCACATCGTAAGATTTGAACAGTACAGATGTTGACTTCCCTCATGGAATACGGGAATCAGGGCCGTGCCATGTGTGCTACTCGAGAGGTTTGATCGGTCCAACATCTTCAATCATACAGCACAAGCACTTATTGTAGATAGTATTGTAGACATTGGGAGTGATTTCATAGAATGCTCTATATGCAAAGAGTTGTGAACACTAAGAAAATATTAGGATAGTCTATGTAGATGTTAGTACAACAGGTAGCCTCCCCCGCTCCAAAGGTATGTGCAGAATAATATGATACAACACAGAAGAAAAATAGACTGTACAGTGTATAGAGTTAGACAAATTGCTTTTCCCAAGAACCTCCCCCATCTAATGCCGTAGCCACCGGTAAGAACATGTTGCAGCAGTAGCCACAGCGCCCAGACCAAGTGCCCAGGCTGACCAGCTGCCCATGGCACTCGCATCTTTGCCGTCTCGGTCAAAGGACGGAGTCACTGACGGGGCAATAGTGCTCGTCTTCTGGCGCGAGTAGGGCGGATACCGCGCCTCCATCAGTGATTCCATCCAAAACGGCAGAGCGTGGATATGGGTGCGGAGATGTGAGAAGGCCAGCAGGCCGTGGATGCCATGGTGGTATCCGTGGCCGGAGTTCCCGATGCCGCCAAAGGGTGCGTCGCGCGCGGCGACGTGCAGCATGCAGTCGTTGAAGGTCACGCCGCCCGACTGGGTCTCGTTCAAGATGCGGGATTGTTCGTTGCGGTCGTCAGTGAACCCGTAGATCGCCAGCGGGTGCTCCATCCCCCGTGTGATCGCGATCGCGGTATTCAGCTCTGCGTCCACCACCGGGAGAATGGGCCCGAAGAGTTCTTCTGCTAATAATGCGTCGCCGGGCTGGACTCCTACGACGATGGTTGGGCTGAAAAATCGCGTTGCCCGGTCGCGGTGGCCGCCGTAGATGATCTGGCCCGAGGTCCTTTGGAGGAGATTCTCGAGTCGGTCGAAGTGATGCTCGTTGATGACGTGCGTGTAGCCCTCGGGTCGCGTGTCTCGGCCACCCATGAAGACGTCGAAGTGTTGGATTAAATGACTGATGAGGACGTCGCGCACCCTTGGGTCAACCAGAACATGGTTGACATTGACGCACACCTATCATGAAAAGAAAAATGTTAGCGAGAGCTTCGGGCTACATCAATCCCCTAGTGTAGTCTTACCTGGCCGGCAGTCATGAATTTGGTCGCGGCAATGTGCTTAGCAGAAAGGTCGATGTTGGCGGTGGCAGTGACAATGGCCGGGGCTTGTCCTCCCAGCTCGAGGGTCACCGGGGTGAGATATTTGGTGGCGGCCGTCTGAATAACGCGCGCGATTCGCGGGGAACCCGTATAGAAGATATGGTCGAAGCGATGGGTCAGGACATATTGCATCTCCTCGGGGCCCGCAGTCACGCAACGGATGGCGCCGGGATCCATGTACTTTGGGATGATCTCTCGCAGCAGCTTCTGAGCGGCGGGGGCCAGTTCGGACGGTTTCAGGATGACGGCGCAGCCGGCGGCAATGGCGGCCACCATGGGCTGCAGCAGCAGGTTGATGGGGAAATTCCAGGAGCCGATGATCAAGGTCACGCCCAGCGGCTCTTTGCGCACAACGGCCCGGCCCAGGAAGTTGAGCATGTTGGTCCTGGCGGGCCGCTCATCCTGGGTCCACTGGTCTAACTTGTCGAGGGTGTGGAGGATATCGCTCTGCGTGACTCCACATTCCGCGAAAAAGGTTTCCTGGCGATCCTTGTGCAGGTCGGCATAAAGGGCGGTGGCCATGCGTTCCTTGTTATCTTCGATCATCCACCAGGCGCGCTTGAGTTGGTGGCGGCGCCATTCTTTTTTCTTGGTGAGACCCGACGCGAACACGGCCTGCGTGCTGCGATACGCCTGCAATGATTTAGCGAAGGATGCAAATCCCAAGGCTCGGATACCTTACTGCATCGAATTCCGCGGGGGTACTGTACCCCATTATGGAACAAATGGAATAAATGTCGATAGTCTAGGCCATGAGGAGTGACAATGGGGGGGGAGTTAGGGGGGAAGGAATAGCAATAAATCATCGTGTCGACTGGCCCCTTGGGTGGTCCCTGCACGGTGGTCTCGGACCGCTCGGTCTCTCGAAGATTGGTATACGCGAAGACATCAGAGTTGCAAGGCTATTCCTGATGCTTTTATTGCACTTTATTATGTATCCGAGGGGTATCTGATTTGCATAGATGTAGTTCCCGGATCCACCGACCCAAGATGCGGGTTATGCATATCACCCCTGCACGAGACAAAGAGACAAGGCTTTTACATGGAACGGTGTGGGGAACAGGGGTATCACATTTGCAAACACTGCCGAATTTGTTTGTGTCTGCTTTTTCTATTCCACTTGACTATTCTATCATATCACACAGTATCTACGTTGTATGTCTATATATTTATATATCTACTGTACGTTGTGTATTTCCAATAGCTAGGGCCATAATTGTCAATGCCTTGCCAATTGATTCGATTGAGAGCCAATCAGATCGTGCGATATGCTTATTTACGAGGAAAACGACGACTGCCTGCAGGATTGTCGTTGATTCCCCACAATCTGTATATACTCCGTGATGTGTAGATTGGATTTCACTTGATTCTATATAGGCTATGTAGTGTGTGGAAGATTTAACCCTCTATCTGAGACTCAGTCCTGTCCAGCTGTCACTTTTTGAATTTTTCACAATTAAATTTTTTTTTTCAGTCGATCAGGGGCTGTCTCCACCGAAGAATCTCAGGACACGGTGTATGAATGGTCATGGTAACATAAAACGCCTTGAACCTAATGCCAGTATATTCATGTATTCATATATTCATGGACTTGGTGTCTGTTTAGACAATTCTATCTATTTAGCAAGAATTTAGGGATCTGCGAGGATTTACAGGTATTCATAGTATGCCCAATAGTATGTCACTAGAACTATATGTACTATAGAATCCCCCTTTTCTCTTACGCACTGACACAATCTGCCAAGGAAACAAGTCAAGCTTAAACTGCCAGGTTCTGTCTGTGCAACATATACAGTATACAGTAATATCCCCTGCAGACCTCCTTCCTATAGGGGGATCTGTGATCGAGGGCCTTTGATACCTTGATGCCCTGGTTGCCCTTGTTCCATTTCAAAGACTAGGAGAAGGACTTCCCAAGTATATAGGCATCTTCACTACATTCGCAGTCCTCTAGGGCTGCAGGACTTGCTCCACCCTAAGTGAAACCGCATTAGATCTGGGTGTCTCATCGAACGTCCTTGGGACAATGTCATTTACTGTACATACAGAATACAGAGTAAAATGGTCGTCGATCGCGGCCCACTTGATGGCGACAGTGATCCACCGATACAGCCTCTTCAGGGTCCAAGAGCTCACGGATCGGAGTGAAATGGTCGATAATCATGGTTTCAGGTCTGCTTTCAGAATGAGACCGGAAGATACTTGATAGTTTGTATCAAACATCCGACTCAGTCATATCAAAAATTCACCGGCACAGAGTCGGTGGCAACTTACAAGCTGACGAGTCTTGGGAGCGGAGCATCCACGGGCGCAAGGTCGATGGGGGACACGCGTCGGTGGAGACCGTCTCATCTCCCTGTATCGGTAAAACAGTACTGTACACCTCCAAATTCTTGTACGGTAGAATATACATATGTAGTCATAGTCAGGGCCTATAGATATCTACATATTCATAGTGTATCGCATAAATATATGCTCGTTAAACCATTTCCCACAATTTGTTTATGCATATTCATCAAGAGATTCACCAACTCCTTGTACAGTATCCTCGGAGAATAACGGTGACGTGATCCCATGACCTTCTCATGATGATGGGTTGTCAGGGTCGAGTGGAATGTTCCACACATACCAAATCAGGGGCTTTGAGGGATGTTAGTAAGAGTCTGCAAAGGGTGTATGGAAGAGTCCTTTCTACACAATCCCAAGTCCCCTGCATTCCCCAAGCAAAATACAGAGCATCCCCAGACAAGACTGGGTAATCTTACCGTAATCACCATACCTGGCCTCTGCCGCCCCCCCGATTCTTTACTGCTGCAATTCTCTCTCCCTTTTTCTCTTCCACCTTTTCTTCCCCATCGACTTGCTTTCGGGCGCATCGTCCGGCCGCCTTGGTTCCTCTTGTTTTCTTCTTGCACCCCCAAGCGCTTGTCCTCTCCTCCCTCGGACTGTGTCGCAGGTCCCGACGCCCCATCTCTCGTTTGGTTCGATTTTTCGGCATTCAATCTGCCAGCCACTCCTTGACTGTTTTCGTCACTGATGAGTCGAACGTGCTGCAATTGCCTGTGAGCCGCACCGCCATACGACTACTCGCTATACCAAAGACTCCTGCCGATTCGATCACACCGACTTTGATTCCCCGGGCGGTCGCCGTGCCCCCCTTCCCTCTATCCACTCAACCTCGTTCCGACCTGTTGGTTCATCCCAACCGCCAAAATGCCTCTTTTCCGAATGAAGACGGTGTTTCCGTTTTTAGCGTTGGTCTCGATTGGGTTCTTTTTCTGGTGCATGCAACGGTACGACCGGGCGGCCCTGCTGCAAATGAAAAATGCCGGAGACGCCATCTCCTTCAACCACAATAAGGCGGCAAAATCGCAATCCCAGCAGTCGCTGTCAGGGGGGAAGGCTTGTGAAGTAGACCCGAAGGTGGCTGCTCCGTTGCCTTTCTCTGAATGGCTGCCGCGCAAGAACTACACCCGGGCCTACTTCCGCCCCCACTACGTGGCCCCCGAGACTGAGTTCCGCACGCTGGAGGAAATTGAGAAGCCTGTGCTCCCGCCCATGGTGGCCATGGAGCGAGGCATGATCGTATCCCCGGACAACAATGCCGACAACTTTGTTTGTCCGGAGATCATCGACATCGATGTCGCCGCAGATGAAGACGTTGAGGAGACCTCCAAGATCCTGTTTGGTTTGGCTACCACCGTCGACCGTCTCGATATGCTGCTCCCGTCCCTCCTATATAGTTACGGAAACACCAAGGCCGGTCTCCTGGTTCTGGTGCCTGAGTCCGACGATGACCTGGAGAAGCAAGAAACCTACTTCCGCAACCGCGGTCTGGATGTTACCCTGAAGGCGTCTCCGCTCGACTTTACCGCTCGCTACTTTGGTCTAGTGGAAGCGATGAGCGAGCACATTCGGAAGCACCGACCCCAGACCACGTGGCTGGGATTCAGTGACGACGACACTTTCTTCTTGTCACTTCCCACCATTGCCGAGGAACTAAAGCTGTTCGATGCATCGAAAAGACACTACATCGGCGCTCTTTCCGAGGCTTCGTGGCAAGTCGACGCCTTCGGTCACATCGCATTCGGCGGTGCCGGCGTGTTTGTGTCCAAGCCTCTGCTCGATGTGCTGATGAAGTACTACGACGAGTGCCAGTCCTGGGGCGAACAGCCTGGTGATCAGAAACTCGGCCAGTGTATTCAGCGATTCGGTGATACGCCCCTGACCCTCTGGCCGTCGCTCTTCCAGATGGATCTCAGTGACCCGGTCGACGGCTTCTACGAGTCTGGCCGCAAGATCGAGTCCGTGCACCACTGGAACAGTTGGTACTCCAAGGATGTGGTGAAGATGACCACCGTATCCGCCGTTGCAGGCCGGAAATCTGTTCTGCGCCGATGGGTGTTTGATCAGGAGGAGACTGTCAACCAAGCCACAGGCGAGACACTCCGCCACTTCTGGGTCTTGAACAACGGACACTCAATGGTCAAGTACACCTATGACGCGTCTGTGCCAAACGACGCCATCAACTTTGATGCGATGGAGAAGACGTGGCCGGAAGATCCGCGCGGCTATGAAGACCGCCTGGGTCCGCTGCGACCGGCCGAGGACGAAGGCATCAACCGGGACCGCTGGCTGCTCAAGGATGCCTTCGTGGTGGGTGACAATGTGCACCAGTTATATGTGCGCGAGGAAGATGAAGGCCACAGCCTCATCGAAATTGTTTGGCTCGGGGTCAAGGACGGCGGTGGTGCAGGTGTCAGCGATCATTATATTCGGGGCACCTACCAGCAATGATTCGCTTGACATTCGCACACCCTTCAAGCTGGTCCTTGGGGCTGTTGGTCGTACATCTTCCCTTCGTTCCTCACGATCCCAACCTTTTTTTTTACTCTTTATTACCCGCTTTCTTCCTAGTATCGATGCCACGACGCCAGCCCAGCCCACTTGCATCGACACATTAGCAGCCTTTTATCTTGCTCGGTTGAGGCTTGCTTGTGGTCCTCCACCCCCTCCCGTTTTCTGGTCGTTTCATTTATCTGGCGTTGCATTGGCGGAGTCCTGAATGGTGCAGGAATCCGGTGGTTTGGTGTGCTCTCTATATCCTGATGGTGTATCCATTTTTGAACCTCTTCTCGTGGCTTCTTCGCTCCGTGGCACCGAGTCGAGACGCATCTCGCACTTCTTGCCTGGGTTGCTTTTTGATTTCCCATTCGCACCTTTTCTTTCCCTTTCCCTTCTCTTTTTTTCTTCTCTTTTTCTTATGCCTTGGCCTCTTGTCAGAGAGAAGACCCCTCCTCTTATTCCCATGCTATGCATCTTCGTGTAAAAATAGACTTGACAGCGGACCGCATTTGGGTCTCCTTGGTTGATTAGCGTTGGACCTGTGTTCATTATGCGAAGAATACGACCAGTTCCGTTCTTATTCGTCTGAGTTGCTTGACTGTTCACTCTGGTCTGCTCTATCATGTTGTGTTGCGTTGGACTTTTTCGGCTGGCACTTGGTATGAATGGGACAGATCTCACTAATCAATCAAATATTAATTGTAAGAATATTCTTCGGATATCATCTTTCGATGGATGTCGAGGGATAATGGGAAGTATGCGGCATGCCGAAGTAAATGGAACCTAGGTGCTATGTATAGAACGGAATCTGTCGGTTTTTTTTTTCTCCCAACCTTTTCTATTGTATATATCTCTCCTTCTACCTTCTTTCTTTGTGCACTGTTCTATCTATATCCAGCCTGTACACATATCTCTCTTTTCAGCCATGGATTCCACCCACATAAAAACCGCGCTTTCCTTGATGCGGACGCAATCCGAGGTGGATGAGTTGGCCCCCCTTGGAGGTCCACCAATCACCTCTCTGTGCCAAGAGAGGCGAATCCCGGCTCCATACCGAGACCGTATGGTCACATTGCTGAGGGGAGGGTACATGTTTGCTCCGCTTGAGAAAATAGGGCTGTGAAGTACCAGTACTTTCCGCCACTTTCCGTTACCGTCACAGACTAACCCTGGATGACCATCACCTGACCCACGTGACTGACCGCCTGCCTGTCCCAACAGACACTTTCCCTTCTTCGCTCCTTCCCCCCCCCTTCACTTTCTCTCCCAACCCTGCGAGATCCCCAATAAACGCGTTACTCGATTCGGTCAGATCCTCTGCCCTTCCTCTTTCGGTACCCCCATCTTAAACCTACATCACCACCCCCCTTCTCGTGACTTGTCTTGGATTTATTTCACCATGGCCGATATGACTGCCGTCGGTGACGAGAAGCTTTCTCCCAATCACGACGACCTGCAACAGCCCGGTACTGCCCCCGACGCCCGCGGCACCAAGCGCAACCGCATGAGCGCCGAGGACGAGGATGACGACGACGACAAGCCTGGTCGTGAGCGCCGTAAGATCGAGATCAAATTTATCCAGGACAAGTCGCGTCGCCATATCACTTTCTCCAAACGCAAGGCCGGTATCATGAAGAAGGTACGTCGCGTCCCTACCCGCGCAACTTGGTGGTCCTTCCCTCTCTTAATTGCGAGTTCTGGAGCATCTCTACACCTCGCTCCCTTCCTTCAGTTCACAATGACTTTGCATGACTGGCAGTGCTGACCCTTGTTCGTACTCTACAGGCCTACGAGCTGTCCGTCCTGACCGGCACCCAAGTGCTGCTGCTTGTTGTGTCGGAGACGGGCCTCGTCTACACCTTTACCACCCCTAAACTGCAGCCCCTGGTTACCAAGGCGGAGGGCAAGAACCTGATTCAGGTAAGCATATCGGCGTCGCATCTCCAAGGTGCAACTATTAATCACCTGAGCAGGCCTGTCTGAATGCGCCCGACCCAACTGCAAGCGAGAATGGCGTGGATGCCCCCGAGGTGCCGGCCGAAGCGCCCGAGGACGTGGCCCACGCTAATGTCAATGCGCCGCAGTCCAACATGGCGCGCCCGGGCATGCACCCAGGATACATGACGAACGAGCAGCAACAGCAGATGGCCTACTACCAGAACCTCCAGCAACAACAGCAGGCCGGTGGCCAGTACCCTGGAATGCCCGTTGGCAACCGCATGCCGCCGCAGCACCAACCTACTGCTTAAAGGCTCTGATCTCTGTTTTGGCGGCTCATCCAACCGCCCCAGATGCTGCGTCTTGGATTATCACTCCCTCGCTTCTTGCACACTCGGTCTCTTCGCGTTCATTTGATACCCGTCCATATGCGCTGCTCCGTCATCGCCCCTCTCTATATTCCTCTTTAAAATGGCTGTGCTATACCGCCATCTTGCAGGCCTTGTTCGGGAAACCATGTGTACATTGCCAAGCACCGTGGATGGAATCCTTCCCCCCGGTGACTGTGATGAGGTTTCTGTTGTGTCCAATCTTGCTCCCGCCTTGGAGAAAAAGAAAAGAAAAAAAAACGACCCCAAAAAAATTCTCGTTGCTTTGATTCATAACACTCCCCCTTGGAAATCTCGAAGGGAAAGAAAACACCTCCCCTTCAACCGAAAAAAAGAAGAAAAAAAAAAAAAAAACGAGCGCAAGCACGCAACTCTGGACTTCTCTGGCTGTTTTTCTTCTTTTCGCCCCTCTCCCTAGACCAACGGCGGAGGTTGGTGGGTGTTCGTGGTGCATTGATTCTTGTCTCGGCGAAGTATGGCTCTCCGCGATTTTTCCCTTGTTTCCTCGTGGTGTTTTTTATTTTTTTTTTTTCAATGACCCTGATCCTGTCGGTTACTGTCTGTCTAATCTCAGCTGATGGCTTTTCTTTTTCTTTTTCTATTATTATTATTACGATGGTCTTGATTTACTTTTCCTCTCATAGTTTCTATCTTGTATGTCTTTACTGTCGTAGTGGTCTTCCTGTGCATCTGTTGGTGTTCAGTGTCCACTCGACCATGGTCATGTATGGTACGGAGAATATAGTGCAGTTGGCTGGTTATGTGCTCATAAAAATTTGTCGTAGAATAAATAAGTGACGAAGATCGGTCACCATGAGGTCGCGTTGTATATATATCGAGTCATCGTAACGTGATACCTTATCCCGCTAGGGCTAACTGGACCCATCTATACTCTATATTTACCAGCATCGTAAATGACCTAACCATTCAGTCTGAACTCTTATAGTTATTTATTTATTCATTCTTATATACCGGTACCTAGCCCAAGTACCCAGGCAGACAATCAACAAAGGGTAGTATCGTAATCCGCGGAGCGCGGCAATAGCAAGCAATAGCAAGTCTTCTCTCTCTGGGCCCAGAACGTGGTCGTCGACAGTGGCCAGAGCCAAATCGGGAAGGCTGTGGTGGATGAAGGTGGATCGCACCAATCTTCCACCTATACTGAACATGATGGAACGAAGGTAGAAAGATGAATCTAAGGCGGAGGTCTTAGTGTCGGAGAGAAAACAAGCGTAGGTTCAAGGTGGGAGATGAAGCACAAAAAGAAAAGAGAGTATTAAAGAGGAGAGATGGAGAGAGAGAGAGAGTGTGTGTGTGTGAGTGAGTGTGTGAGAGAACTGTAAGATTTCAAAGTAGGTTCTAGGGTGATGTCGGTCCCCGTGGGGTCTCGGAATTTGAATGCCCGCGTGTACGTCGCGTCCAGATTCGCGGTAACAGAGAGGAAGAGGAATTATCCTCGGCTGCGGCCTCGATGTGGCTGCCCGCCCGCGGGCTGGTCCATCGACTCAAATACTCTCGTCCATATTGCCAAGCATCGGCCAGAGTCCTCCGCGAGCCCGCGAGGAGGCCTGGCTCGGTGTCCTGAGGGCAAGGGGCGTGGTCTCGCCGGCGCTGGTTGTGCTCGTTCGCTTGGATGGTGCCGTACCCGCCAATATCTCGGGTGCCGGGCGAAGACGACACTGGGTCCCAAAGACCCCGTCGTTGGCGTGACCCAGCCGCAAGTCCTGCAAAGGGTGCTGATATGCGACGCCAGCGAGTGTCTTTCCCTGGTGGCAGACCTCGCCGAGTACCTCGACCTCGATCGTGTGCGATGGGACCAATGGTCGAGTGCCGTCCCAGCCCACGCAGGGGCCCATTGAGGGTTGCGCTTCCACTGATACTGCGCGGCCGGTCGATAGAAGAGCGTATTCGTGCATCTGCGTCGTCACTGTCCGACTCGTCGAGCTCGGCCCAGATAGACGCTGGGTTTAAATCCACTGAGTTGCGGTGGTCCAGCGGTGGAATGAGCGGGAGACTGGGGGCACGCGCACGCTGGTAAGAGGAGAGCCGCCGAGGCCGCGCGGTGCCGCACAGGAGCGGTTCCCATTCGCTCACTTGAGCCTCTTCATCGTCCATGCCATCCAGCAGCGGGGGCGACGCCGGCGAATGTTCTTCGACGACCGCCATGCCTGGTCCCAGGGTGGTCTGCGTAGGTCCCACGACGGTGACGGCGGCATGATTATCGATGTCTTCCAGCCGCCAGGACAGACACAGCACGCCACCAAGGAGGATCACAGTCCCCAGGGCAATAAGGCCTGCGTGAAGGCCTGTCAGTTGCGACATTTGTCGGAAGTAGATCAGCCCGTCTAAGATGGCGATGATGTTGTAAATACAGAACACGAACGGATACAAGACGCTGGTACTGCACAGTTTCAACCCGCCATGTAAGTAAAACAACTGGGTCAGCGCCAGGAATATCATGCCGAGCAGAATTACCCATGACTGCCAATGATTGAATTGGTTCACACGATCTACCACGGTGCGCACCAGCAACTCCACTGCCGACTTGGCCAGCAGCAGCGAGTGAGCCGACAGGATTCCGCTGACCGAGCCATAGCACATGCCCTGTATGAGCTTCACACGGCTTTGGAGACGCAGCAGGTGCGGTGTAAAATGGCCGGCGGGGACTGGGTGTTTCGCCCGGGACGACGGCAGACAGTACTTGAGCAATTTCGAGCCCACCAGAATGGCTGCCACCACCACAACGGTGCCACTTATCCACAGCACGAACGGACGACGCTGCAGGAGATCCAACAGTTGATTCAGGGTATGAGCCGGCTCCCCGATGGCGCCGAATGTTGCGATCAACATGGCGCCAATGCATACCAAGACCGTGCCCGCAAAAGAGTATCGAGTGAAAGGTTCACCAAGGATGAGGGTAGCAAATATCGTGTTGAACACCAGTCCAGACTATTCCAAGTGCGCTTGTGTTTAGTAACTGCCGCCCCGCATACCGGGACAGGGAACACTGACTGCTTGGAGCGTGGAGAGAACGGGAAGCGGGAGGGTAGTAATTTGAATAGTGCTCCCCACAATATTGGAGATGACAAACATGGCCATGCCCAGTTGCCATCGTCTGCGCTTGTAGGGTGGCCGGCGCACATCGTATGGGTCCTTTCCGTCCTCGACCAGATGCGACTTGCGCTGGAGCGTCAGTCCAATGGCTTGCAGGCTAGTCGAGACCAGCCCGACCAGTACCCCAACCTATTCAATTATTCAAATCAGCAAATGCACGTCATACTGGAGCAGATCCTTTGCGACTTACCGCGACGCTCCCCTGCGGTGACAAGTCACCTAGGTTGCCCATCTTTCAGGTGCATTGGCCGGGGGGAACCAAAGAGCGAATCAGGGTAGGAAAGCTACCGGAACGGTGCCATAGCGTAAAGAGGTGATAAGAACAGACGAAAAGAAAGAGAGGAAAAGAAAGATAGAGATAGTCAGAGAGAGTGGGAGAGAGAACGGGAAGAGGCAGAAAGGGAGCGAGTACTGATGCAGCCGCCAAGGGCACGGGCTCCGAGCTTAGTTGGACACAACCTCCTCTCCTCCCCACGTCATTCCTATCCTTCATCATTCCTCTCCCCCAAAGTGAAATCGCCCACCATGTCACAAAGCCATGCTCTTTCGGACGATCAGGTAGGACATGCTCTTTTTGATTTCGGAGCTCGAGTTCCAATGTGGCTGACGGTCGGGGGGGGGGGGGAAATAGGTCGCGGGCGAGCTCCGCAAGATGACCGCTTTCATCCGGCAAGAGGCCCTCGAGAAAGCCCGCGAAATTCAGTTGAAGGCCGACGAGGAGTTTGCGATCGAGAAGTCTAAGCTGGTACGCCAGGAGACCGCCGCCATCGACACGCTCTACGAGAAGAAGTTCAAGCAGGCCGCCATGTCGCAGCAGATCACTCGGTCAACGTTGGCCAACCGCACCCGGTTGCGTGTGCTCGGTGGCCGCCAGGAACTTTTGGATGAGCTTTTCCAGAAGGCTCGCGACCAGGTCACCAAGGTTGCCGCCAATGACAAGAAGAAGTACCAGGGCATGCTAAAGGGGCTGGTCCTCGAGGGCCTGTACTACTTGAATGAGGAGAAAGTGTCGGTCCGCGCACGGAAGAAGGACTCGGATACTGTCAAGAAGGCCGCCGAGCAGGCAGCTAAGGATTTCAAGGACAATGTCGGCAAGGAGGTGACGGTGGATCTGGACGAGTCGGAGCCACTGCCGGAGGGATCGTAAGTTTTCTTTCGCCTAGTGCCAATGCACATACTAACACAGACTCAGTGCCGGTGGTGTGGTCATCGTGGGTGGCCAGGGCAAGATTGAGATCAACAATACTTTCGAGGAGCGGTTGCGGTTGCTGGAGATTGACGGCCTTCCGGCTGTTCGAGAAACGCTGTTTGGGAAGAACGTCAACCGACGATTCTATGACTAGGCGTTCTAGCTGGCTTGCAAACCAATCTTGTGTATTTCATGTTCTTATAGTTCGGGGTTCACCTTCTCCCCCCCCTTGGACCACCTTGATAGAGAAGGGGGTTTTGCACATCTCATGATCGGATATGGAATGTGGTCGATCTGATTGAGCGTTCATCGAATTCCTTGCTCTTTAATTCCAAACTATGCAGCAAAAAGGTGCGCGAAAGAGTGCTATCGTTCTACTTCTAGTTGGCCATGATCATCAGGTCGTTAGTCGTTATAGATATGCATACCGAGTAGCAAGCTGGAACTGCCAATGCGCCTGCGCGTGTCCCGGCTCCAAATGACTGAAAAGAAGAGATCAAGACATCATGAACGGTCGTGCTCACGAATCGGAATCCCAGTGTTCTCCGCATTTCTCGGGGAGAGTGGATCCCCCGACGCCGGTGCATCTGTATCAGTTTCTATCGCGATGTTCGTCTTGAATAGAGATCGAATGTTGCCGTCCCTCTCCTTGGCATATGTTTTGAACAGCGTTTTCTTGGGCGGTGGTTTTGATCGGACGGAGTAGATCACGCGGTAATGCAAAGCCTCGAGAGCCTCTTTGGCCAACATTCGTTTGAGATGAGAGGCACCCGAGTCCTCAATTGAACTGAAGGTCTTCTTGATCTGGGCGGCCAGCTTATCGATGGCAGCGTCGAAATCTCGCTGGGTACCAGCCCCCTTGTATTTCAGGTTGAGCTGCGACGAATCGATTGCCATATTGAGAAGGATGGTGGCGGCACTCAATTCTCCGTAATCGTATTCTCCTTTGCCCTTGTGTAATTTGGGGTGGAACCGCTCATCGCGGATCAAGAGTATGGTGATGCGCCGCAGGTCGAGAAGAGCTTCTGGCGGTTCAAGTAACGGCGCAGAGCTTCGAACTAAAAATGCAATGGCGAGGCGGCATCGCAGAAGAGCTATCCAACTGGATGTTGGTAATATGTGCTGGAGAATGCGGCTTTGGAAATAGACATCCGGAGTTGTCTCGTAGATGGTTGTGCATATTCGGTGAACCTATACACGTCAGTACTCGTTTTTTAGGTAACATTAAAGACTAACAATACCATTTCGCCTGCACTAGATTCAGGTATTGATTGCAACATGGCGATTATAGCTCTCTCCAGCTCCGAGCAAATCATGGCATCTGCTGTCAACGAGGTGTCGAGAGTGAGACGCAGCAACATCAGGATTGCCCGCTCCCGGGTGTCATCCGCGAATCTGCACATCAGTTAAGTCTTCGCCAGCAAGACCTGAGGATACAAGACTCGTACAAATCATCAGCTCCTCGTAGCAATTCCAATACGGAAAGAAAATTTGCACGGTTTTCTAGTTTGCAGTTCGGAAGGGCATCTGTGACGAGAAGTTAGGGAAGCTCAAGGGAAAGGTAAGCAAATCACAGCTTACGTTGAGGAGAATCTGCCACAATGGCCCGGGAGAGATCCACAGCCTGCGGTTTGGCTCCCAGCTGAAGAAAGAGTCTATCAATATCGGTGGGACGGATGAGCGAGCCTATGCGCTCCACAGTCGCAGCCTATCGCTTGCTTAGTGAAAAGCTGGTGGACTACGAAGCGGCTTTCGACAAACCTTGAAGATTCGACAATAAGCTTGTCTTAACTCATCTCGGGGTTCCGAGGCAACTATGCAAGGGTGAGTTTCGGGGACATGAACGGGAAAATATGCAACGAACCAGAGCGAAAGACCCATAGAATGAACTCATCCGGAAGAAACCGTTTGGACAAGGCATATTCAATTGTGCTGGACTGGAAGGCGCGCTCGCGAGATGCAGGATCTAAAGATCAATTAGCATATGAACAGAAAAAGATCCAGATGAAACTCGAGGCAGACCTCGCAATGCAGCCAGATATGTGCCAGGTGCAATCAACTCCCCAGGGAACTTCGGCGCCGGGGGTACTTCCTGTGCTTGGCCAAAGAACCGCCAGATCCTGTCTTGATCAAGAGCTTCGGTCCTCCGCACGGCATCTAGCAGACGTTGTAACCCTGGCCCCTCGTCGTTATCCCCAAGTGCCGAAGTCAACATGTCTTCGTGTAGGCCTGTCTCCGCTCCCGCCCCCTCAGAAGCAACTCCTACAGCATGCTCGCCAGCCGGCTGTGATCGTCCAAAGGTCGCCTTTACCTTGGCAACACTCTCCTCAATCTCATGGTCGTCCACTGCATCATGGACAAGTGAGTCAATGGTGTTTCTATAATTTTTCGGTGCGGATAGCTGTGCCAGGTATGTCTTGTCTAGCCGCATAGCTCTTTTCGTCTCCGAGGGATTATCCTGTTTCGCTTGCGGGGCTTTCTTGGTGAAGAGTGATGCAGGGTCTTCCAATGAGCTGACCGAGTCTGTATCCTCCCCATCCGAGCTGATCACGATCTCTTTGCCGCCTTTGACAATGCGTTGAGATGCGGGGAAGCTCTCGCTTAGAGATGAAAGACCCGCGGATTCGGTGCTTTGAAAACTTTGCTGGAGCGTGGAGGCATTGGTCGTATTGTCTTGCGCCGATAACCATAGTGCAGTATTCAGTTGGGCGCTTGGGTCGTTCGGAGCTTCTGGCGGGGTCGGGTCTAATGCGGAGGATGGCGGTGGTTCGGTGAGGGGAGAGGACGGGGAGGCAGAGGGCTCAGGGATTTTCTGCTCGGACGTGCGTTCTTGGTTGACCCGTGAAAACGAGGGGCGGTTAAAGAAGTCGGTGACGGGCCGCATGATGGGCGTGAGAACAAAAAATGCTTCATCCTGGTCGCGTCGCGTTGACGGGAGCGCGATATCACGTGATATAATATATGTATATGTATATGCCACTATGTACGGGACAAATGACATCTACGAATACATAGAGAGTCAAGCTTCTGGTCTTTTTGCAATTCAAAGTACAGTATGGGTGTAGTTTGCGAGAGCATATAAAGGGTGGATATCGGGATTGCCTCAAAAAGACGCCCAGAGTAATCAGGGGGTAACCCAATTGTATCTGGGCATCATTACGAGAAATGATGATAACCCACCTGAATCGCGTGGATCCAATTTAGGTTGAGAGACCAAGTGGGCAAAGCTACGTCCTGCTCCACCATGGTTCTTGGGCTGAGACTGTTGTATCATCTCGAGAGCTGCTTGATCGCCAGCTCTGTAGTTTCGAGAGTCTGCGACCACATCCCCAGTGAGACCATCTGAATGACTGAAGGAGTGCCAGCCCGAGTGTCTGGGAGGGATCATCCTGAACAGGGCCCGCTCAGGAGGTCCGGGTTGGAGAAGCCAAGAAGGGACCCCATCCTGAACCCGTGTCTTGGAAGTAAACAAAACAAAACCAAAAAAGAGAGATTCCAGGCAAGGACCAGAGGAAAAAAAAGGGGGAGGGGAAATTTTTCTTGGACACATTGGGGTTGAATCCTGTCGCATGGAGAAAAATCCCAAGGCTGGGGGGGAGAACGTGTCAATGTCTCCTTCTCCTCTACCTGGAGAGATGTACACACGTAGCATCAAGGATAAAGTCACGCTGACTAATTCACAGTGGACCGGACGCTGGATCTTGGGTTGTGCCGTGTCTGTTTCAGCTGGCGGATATTCCCATCAAACCCTTGACTCGGCTCAAGTCTGGGCTGAGAGGGAAAAGTGGCAGGTGTCCTCTTGCCATTGTTAGACCGAGTCAACGAGAAAAGGAACAAGAAAAAAAAAAAAAAAAAAAACGGGCGATTTGACGATCTCACAGTGTTAGGGCGGGGGGCTGTAATCAACCAGGCCCAATAGTCAAGAAGAAAAGAAAGACGAAGGGATCGAAGCACGAAGCACGGAGCACAAGTCCGGTACACTAGTCTATTATGCAGTGAGCACAGCTGTGTACCCCAGCCCATAGAAAAGGGGTTCTCAAAATAACAATCACAGTAGACAGTCAACTGTTATATTTTTTTTTTTTTTTTTTGAATGTCATAATGTCTTTCAGTTCAACCGTGCCTGAATCCCGAGTTCCGAATATCGCCCTCCGTCGCCACCGTCAGAAATTTAGTTGAACCAAAAGAGAAGTGAGGTTGGGAAAACGCTGTGTTTTGATTACATACCATGTATCCATAGTATTGTGTACCGGAAATACACCATGAATCTTTCTTCAGATATCAAAGTACCGAGGTGTATTATTTATAGATGCATATATATGTATAGCGGTACATATATTCACTTCTAAAAACAAGAGAACAAGCAAAACAGCAACCAAAATGTACATATATATATAGATATACACATATTGGCCAAAGATACACCTCGTAAAAAGCCAATGCAGCATGACGCGTAGCCAACTGCCAAGGCCACTCGGATGCCCGGGATGGAGGGAGGCATGTACCGGGACATTGGTCAGCGTCGCGGTAACTCTGGTACGCCTGGTACCGGTACAGGTGCAAGATCATCCTTATCCCATCTCCTGTCGCCCCTCGAAAAAAAAAGACCTTGTCATTAATTCCTCTTTTTGACACCTTTCCTCTGCTTCAGTCATCCCATGGCCCCTCGTGGGTGAATTTGTACCCCCCGTCTCTATCCCTTCACCTTCGACACTGTCAAGCCAGAGAATCCACCGCCCCTAACCCAACCGGGGTCGACAACCGTTTCACCCTCGAATCAACCTCCATATTCGCCAGGACGTCCATTGCGCGGAACTTTCGGTCTTCCTACTGACGTCCCTTTGCTCCGCCAAATGATATTGCGCTTTTTCACACCCAGAATCGAGTTTGCCGTATCGACTTGAACCCCCCGATCGCGCGACCGCGCTGTGGGATTCCGGCTTCTGTGACCGGATGCTCGTTCGTACCGTCAACCCAGGTTTTCGTCAAGTTTTATGCCCGACCGGGGCGCAGCAGTAGCCTAAATGGCTTCCGTGCATTTTCCTGGGGAGCAGAACAATAATGAGACTGGCAGTGATATCCGGGAGGTCCCTAGCAACATCTCCAAGCCGACGAAGCGACAACGATGGGCCACCACGCGAGCCGCTGGCCCCAGCGGCGTGCGGAAGCGTGTCTCCATCATTGACCGCTTCCACCGACGAACCGATGGGAGAGATGAGAAGCGGAAATCGAACATGGGTGGCACCGACAACGCGGCCAACAACGAGGAGGGAGACCAGTCGTCCGGACCCAACCGCACGGTGTATTTCAACATCCCTATCCCCGAATCCGAGCGAGATGAGGATGGCCACTTGCGAACCATCTATCCCCGGAACAAGATCCGAACCGCCAAGTACACCCCTTTGACATTCGTCCCCTTCAACATTTGGTACCAGTTTCACAACATCGCGAACATGTATTTCTTGTTTGTGATTATTCTCAACGTACGGTTTGCAATTCCGAAACGAGAAAATCGGATAGGTTTAGCTGACAGCTTTGTTTTTGGTCTAGTTCTTCCCCATCTTCGGTGCCAACAATCCCGGTCTAAACGCGGTTCCCCTGATTGTGATCATTGTCGTGACAGCCATCAAAGATGCGATCGAGGACTGGGGACGAACCGTGATGGACAACCAAGTAAACAACTCGCCTGTGTATCGACTGATTGAATGGAACAACGTCAACTCCACCGAAGACAACATCAGTCTTTGGCGTCGCTTCAAGAAGTCGTGTACACGGGGCACGCTTGCCACATACCACTGGATGCTGTCCACGTTCAACAAGAAGAAACAGCAAGAGGAACAGACCGAAACCGAACAGCGACGCGCCTCATTTTTGACCACGGCGACCCCCGGACGTCGATGTATTCGCACCGGGACTCCACAGCCCCAGAAGACGTCGCTATCCAGATGACCGATGTTCCATCGCCGCAGCCAGAGGCTCGTGAAGAATGGCCGATGGCAAGCAACCACGAGAACAAATATCTGTCCCCCAACACGGCTGCTCGCGAAAGCCTGGTGGAGCCCACCTCGGACCGGAAACTCGGCAGCGTCTTGGACACATCGAAACAAACCCCTGGCAAGGCTCGATTTAAACGCGATTCTTGGAAGAGCATTCAGGTTGGAGACTTCGTTCGACTGTATAATGAAGACCCCATTCCAGCCGATATCGTGATTCTCTCCACTTCAGACCAGGACGGAGCCTGCTATGTGGAAACAAAGGGTCTCGATGGAGAGACCAATCTTAAGGTCCGCCAAGCCCTTCACTGTGGTCGCCAAATCCGGCATGCCCGTGACTGCGAAAAGGCCGAGTTTTTGATCGAGAGTGAGGGACCGCATCCCAATCTTTACTCCTACAATGGCGCAATTCGTTGGGATCAACGCGACCCGCAATTCCCCGAGGCCCCCCGAAAGGAAATGGTGGAGCCCGTGACCATCAACAATATGTTACTTCGCGGTTGCTCATTGCGCAGTACGGAGTGGGTGCTGGGTGTGGTCGTTTTCACTGGTGGGGAGAGCAAAATCATGCTCAACTCAGGTGCGACGCCGGTTAAGCGCGCCCGAATGGCCAAGGACCTGAACTGGAACGTCATCTACAACTTCATCATCTTGTTTTTGATGTGCTTCGTTGTCGGTGTCATCAACGGGGTTGCATGGGCCGCGCCTAACAAATCCTTGGACTATTTCGACATCGAGTCCTTTGGAAAAACGCCTCCTGTCACTGGTATCGTAACTTTCTGGACTGCAGTCATCTTGTTCCAGAACTTGGTTCCCATTTCGCTGTACATCTCACTCGAAATTGTTCGGACCATCCAGGCGGTTTTCATACACAGCGACGATTTCATGTACTACGACAAGCTCGGGCTTTATTGCGTGCCCAAGTCATGGAATATCTCGGATGACGTTGGTCAGGTTGAGTACATCTTTTCCGACAAGACCGGTACCTTGACGCAAAACGTGATGGAGTTCAAGAAATGCACGATCAACGGCGTGTCGTACGGTGAAGCCTATACGGAGGCTCAGATCGGCATGCGGCGTCGCGAAGGAGCCAATGCTGATGAGGAGGCCGCTCAAGCTCGACAGCAAATCGCCGCCAATGGTCAAAAAATGCTGGGAATGCTACGCCGCATCCACGATAACCCTTACCTACGTGACGACCAGTTGACCTTCATTTCCCCGGATTACGTCGCCGATTTGGAAGGACGAGCGGGCGATCAACAGAAGCAGGCTGCGGAGCACTTCATGCTTGCTCTGGCACTGTGTCACACTGTCATCACTGAGCATACTCCCGGTGACCCCCCTCAGATTGAATTCAAAGCCCAGTCCCCCGATGAGGCCGCCCTGGTTAGCACTGCCCGAGATTGTGGGTTTACAGTCCTTGGTCGTGCTGGTGATGATCTTCTTTTGAATGTCATGGGTGAAGAACGCACATATACCGTTTTGAATACCCTGGAGTTTAACTCGTCGCGGAAGCGGATGAGTGCGATCATTCGGATGCCCGACGGCACCATCCGTCTTTTCTGCAAGGGTGCCGATAGCATCATCTACTCTCGCTTGGCTCGTGGAAAGCAGCAAGAGCTCAGACGGAAGACAGCGGAGCATTTGGAGGAGTTCGCCAGAGAAGGTCTGCGAACATTGTGTGTCGCTGATCGGCTGTTGAGCGAGGACGAATACCGAGCTTGGAGTAAAGAGCACGATATTGCGGCTGCCGCGATCACGGATCGTGAGGCGAAGCTTGAAACGGTCTCAAATGAAATTGAACAAAATCTCATGCTTATCGGTGGCACAGCTATCGAGGACCGACTGCAGGACGGTGTTCCCGACACGATCCAACTACTCGCAGATGCCGGTATCAAGCTGTGGGTGTTGACTGGCGACAAGGTTGAGACCGCGATCAACATTGGCTTCTCATGCAATCTTCTCAATAACGATATGGAGTTGATTGTGCTCAACATCCCAGAAACCCAGCACGAGCAAGCTAGTCGGGAGCTCGACAATCACCTTCAGACATTTGGGCTGACTGGCTCCGATGAGGAGCTCGACCTCGCTCGCCAGGATCATACCCCGCCCGAACCCACTCATGCGGTGATCGTCGATGGTGAAACACTCAAACTGATGCTTTCCGATGAGCTGAAGCAGAAATTCCTTTTGCTGTGCAAGCAGTGCAAGGCTGTTCTTTGCTGTCGTGTCAGTCCAGCACAAAAAGCCGCAGTTGTGAACATGGTGAAGAACGGTCTCAACATCATGGCTCTCTCAGTAGGTGATGGTGCAAATGATGTTGCTATGATTCAAGAAGCAGACGTTGGTGTCGGTATTGCAGGTGAGGAAGGAAGGCAAGCTGTGATGTCCTCGGATTATGCAATTGGCCAGTTCCGTTACCTTCAGCGCCTTCTGTTGGTGCACGGAAGATGGTCTTACCGTCGCCTGGGAGAGTGTACGGCCAACTTCTTCTACAAGGTATGTGGCATCGGTCGAGTATCATGTTTCCTGTTCTAACTCATGCTCTCAGAACCTGGTGTGGACTTTTGCGCTCTTCTGGTACTGCATCTACAACGATTTCGACGGTTCCTATCTGTTCGATTACACCTACATCGTGTTGGTCAACGTGGCCTTTACCTCGTTACCGGTTATCTTCATGGGTATTTTCGACCAGGATGTTGATGACAAGGTATCTCTTGCTGTACCTCAGCTCTACATGAGAGGCATCGAGCGCAAAGAGTGGTCACAACTCAAGTTTTGGTATGCAACCCTCATCTTGATGGTTGAGCTTGTCCTAACTCTCCCTCTAGGATGTACATGGGCGATGGTCTGTACCAGTCACTTATCTGCTACTTTATGCCGCATCTTCTGTATGCCCCGGCACGTTTCGTGCACTCAGAGGGACGGAATATCAACGACCGAGTCCGTATGGGTGTATTGGTTGGGTCTTGTGCTGTCATCGCCAGCAACACCTACATCATGATGAACACCTACCGATGGGACTGGTTTACCACCCTGATAAACGCCATTAGTTCTCTTCTGATTTTCCTCTGGACTGGTATTTATACGTCTTTCCTCAATGCCGGCCAGTTCTACAGAGCCGCCTCCGAAGTCTATGGAGCATTAAGCTTCTGGGTTGTGCTTCTTTTGACTGTCACCATATGCCTGCTTCCCCGATTCGCATACAACGCTGTCCAGAAAGTGTTCTTCCCGCTTGATGTCGATATCATCCGCGAGCAGGTGACTCAAGGAAAGTTCAAGTACCTGGATGCGTTTGAGGATTACGTGCCCCCTCAAGCCACTGCCAAAGCCACCACTATGAGTGATGAGTCGGCAACCTCCTCAGAGCTGGGCAAGCCCATTCAGCCCACGATGAAGCAGGACCCTGGGATCCCAGATGATGAACGGCCATTCTACCCGCCGTCCGTTGCCCCCACGGCGCATACTCATAACCCGCGAAGTCAGAATGGCAGCAATGGTACCAATTACACTGCAAGCCTGGACCACTATCCCCGTCCCCAGTCGGTGGACTATGTGCGACGGTCCCAGGAGCGGACCCGGCACTCCTTCGAGCGGGGCCGGCCAAGTTTTGAGCAATCCAATGATTTCACCTCCGCCGCCATGCTTTCCCGGGTGGAATCCTCTCAGACACAAGGCCCCCTTCAAGATCCCTTCCGGGCCCCTAATGAGCCTCCTGCACATATGATCTAAGGCTTCTTGCATCCTTGCATCGACGGAGCCTGACGATTTGTCATTGATGAAGACGTTTCTGTGTGACTTTGATCTGCTTCTTGTGATTTTCCACCACCATTCCTATTTTCATGAGCAATATGCCGCGGTGTTTATTCCCCTTGGTCTCAATTTTCTTTTCTGTTCACCCACCATTGACAGCCGTTATATTCCCTGATAGAAACCAGGCGTTTGGTATACTTGGAGACTTGGCGCATCATTCCCTGTTTTTTTGTCTTTGTTTTTCATTTGACACCTACCCCCTTCTCTTCTACACTTTACACCCCATAGGGCCTGTCCCTTGTCTGTTCTGTGGCTTGCTGTCTTATAGTGGCCTACGCGGCCTACCGTGTGTTTGTATAAAAGCGTCTCTATCTGCAAAAGTGCGAAACCCGCATTCCATGTTTTTTTGTGTTCCATCTGGGCTTATCTCATTGGAACATCTTTCTCGTTTTTGTGTCTTGTGTGGCCTTTTAGGGTCAGTGACGCCTGTGGGCATGACATTCATGTATTCTATTGCACGGCCTCGAAGAGAGGAAAGTACTTAATCTGGATAAACTACTGTGCGTAGACTGAATGATTGAATGTCTGATTGGAGTTGCAACTTGATTTATTCTATAGAAAAGCCATAGATGTATAGAAGATGTATAGAATCGACTAATGAGTACCTTCCCGCTTGGGTTAAAATGCAGCGCGTCCACGCGTTGGCCATCTCACCGCCTAGCTAATGTGGATGCTGCGTTATTGGGGGAATTTGTGATCTTCTTTCGGGTTTCAACCAGCCAGCTTTCATTTCTGCCTGAGCAGGCTGTTGTTTCTCGGCTCAGAGTCAGCTGGGTTGCTCTTCGTTTGGGATCTTTGCACAGTATTAGGGACCTTGATCCCAGAGGAGCCTGTGCAATATCCGATTTGTGGTATCTATGCTTCCCCCGGATGGTTGATCATCAGGACTTGCTCTTTCCTTGATCTTGTTTATCGCTCACTATTTTCGCGTTTCTCAAGGATTTATCACGAAGCGTACTCCCTTAGCACATGCTGCCAGCTGCCAGCTGCCACTCCGCTGTTCCATCCCTAAGATCATCCAGAAACATCGACAAAAAAAAAAAAAAAAAAAAAAAGATGTGCTAGTGACACAGCCCTCTTCACAAGATATGCATGGTGGAATTTAATGATTTGACTTCAAATATTTCTGCTAGATGAGATTGATCAGAATTCAGTCATGGAGTTTGTGGATGCAATTGGGTGAGTTGTCGGAGAACCCTAGAACTCTCCAGAGGCAGAGCGGTAAAAACTAACCGGGTGATGCTTGTTGCAGAGAGCTTAAGGCGCTCCCAGAGGGTACCCATCTGCTCTGCCCTCGACAGATGGACGATGACTATGGGCGCTATGACGACTTCGACGAAGTACACGAGTCGGGCAAGACGGTCCAAACCCTGGTGACAGAGGCAACTGCCCGGAAAGAGAAATTTCTCTCATGCATGCGCATTCTGGCCTATAACAAAGATGGCGTGGAGGATCTTCAGGACTGGGTCCTCGGCAGGCTGGATGATACTCTGGAGAAGTGTGATCTCTGCATTAAGCAGTATTACACGGGCAAAATCTGGCTCATGGATCAGCTCAAGGAGGAGAACTACCAGGAAGAGGACATTGAGGCATTTGCCCAGCGGATTGATGAGTGGGACATTAAGCGCATTACGCGCAACCTGACCACTGCCACAGAGCAGATGAAACAGGTTCCACCCCAGCAGATCGGGTTGGATGTCTTGGACCGAGCGGCCCTGCTGTCAATCTTTGAGACCCTGAGTTGCGAAGCTATGCTGCGTAATGAGGGTCTGCTGCAAGAATACTTTGATGAGCCTTTCAAGCTCATTCAGACCAAGCGGAGCCTGAAAGTTTCAGACTACATCCCGGCGGTCACTCGGTTCCTGTTCGATTCCAACCAGCTTCGAAGCTTTTGGGCCATCCACTCTTGGACGCGATATGCACGGCCCCCGACCACGTTGGAATTCGAGTGGACAATCAGGGATGGGCTGCTCAGTGCTCTGCGGGTCGCCTCTCCAGCAGCCACCACAGCTCGCAGTGATCCAGCGGCTGTGGCGAGGCATGCAGCTGATTGTGAGAAAATTGGACAAGGAGCAGATCACACATCAGCTCCGGGCGTTGGAAATCGATCCATGCCGTCTGTCCGTGGACCACCTTTCCATCCCCACCCCTGGTCTGCGGTTTCTCCTGAATACCATCCAGACTTTTCTTGAGAAGGCCCCAGTCGACTTTTGGGATGCTATGCAGACCATATCACCCCAGGCCATCATTGAGCACACGTTCTACAATCCCCAATTCAATAACTTTCTCATGCAAACCACTGATGGCGAGCCTTACGAGAAGTCAGCTTTGAAAGACATGTTGTCATGGATCAATCCATTTCTGACCTCGCTCAAGGGCGCTCATCAACCGTCTGCCTGCCGATTCTTGGCATTGCAGCTTCTGAATCGCTGTCAAGATCAGCAGTTCCCCAACCTGGCCCGGTACCATTGCTTCCATATTGGATTGACCAGCCTTCTCCAAACCCTTCGTCGCTTCACAGACCATGAAGGCTCACGAGGGTCAGTTGCCCGCGTTGTGCTGGCCGAAACGATGGGTGTCGTTAGTGATATCATCACCAATATCCTTGAGCCTCCTACATTTGCCATTGAGCAGGGCCGGCAGCGGGAGATCGTCTCGCTGTGCATGGATGTCGTCCGCAATACCTTGGCATTGGAATGCCAGTCCCTGAAGAGTGACTATGAGGTCATCCTGAAGCACAACACACTTTCGCACGGGGTGTCTACCTACTCTGCGCCGATCTGGGATGCTGTCATCAAACATCTCCATCCAGAGAACATCGAGCTGTCGACTGCGGCGTTGCTGGGAATTCTCCCTCTCGTAGGCCTGGAGAAGTTTTCGACCAAGGGAGAAGCAAATCAGGAGAAGACCCATTTTAACATGATCTACGGCCACCTCACCCATCTCTCCTGCCAGATCATTGAGCGTCTGGCAGACTTCAAGCCGAGTCACCTGGAGACTCTGTTTGCTAGTCAGGACACCAGTAGTGCTCTCATATCTGCCCTCTTCGCTGCCGACTTGAGCTCGTACCAGGCTGCTGTGGATCTGATCAAGAATTTCAGTGGGCAGTCTGCTCGACGAGACGCCATCTCCCACCTCCTACAGTCGTATTTCACGACCACTATGTATGGCCTCAGTTGGTCTTTCCGCCGAATCTCCAACATGAAGACCTTTGCCCCCGCCCCGAGAATGCTCCACACTGGCACGGATATCGTAGAGATTCTGTGTGATAGCCAAACTGGTATGCTGCGAACGCGCAACCTCGCCGATCGTCGGGAGGTCTTGTCGTTGCAGAAGCTGTGGGAGTATTTATGGCAGGCGCTCAGTACGATCTTTGATGAGACCGAAGCCTGGCATCTCCGCGGGAACGACAAGTCCGTAATGCTTGAGTTCTGTCGCGATACGATCCAGTTCGCTGATTTCCTCTTCGATCAGTATGGCGTGTTTCTGGGTGCTGTGGGCGATGCGGATCCTGGCCAGAAAGCTGCATCTGAAAACTTCCTGAAATCCCCCACAATTACCATGAGCGCGATGGTGAAGTGGCTACGGCTTAAGGATGAATATCTCGCCACGACACTAGTGGGCCTGGTGGCTAAGCTTTTGAGGAGGCTGGGAGGGCTCAATGTGACAACAGTGAAGCAAGACGCATTGAGCTTTATTGAGGGAGTCGCGGTGGATGGCACAATCAAGACGATTCTCACCCCACGCGAGAAGGCTGAGCTGGTGCGCTCGCTTGAGGCGTACTACAAAAAGCCCGTTGTCACAGCTTCCACAGCTGCTCTCAAGAAACAAAGCTCCATCACTTCGTTTGCCAAACCATCCGACGTTTCGAGTCCTTCCCATCCCCCCAGCGACGACGACTTCGATGACCTTCCTGACAACACCCTCCTCGAGTTGTCTCGCTCCGTGGAAATCAACAAAGAACGTGTCTCAGGTGAGGCCAAAAGCAAGGCAGAACATGCCGGCAAGATGCCTGCCACCTTCGCCACCTCCAAGGCGCGCCCTATGCCCAAGCTTATCCCCCCTCAACGTCCCAAGGATGACGCCCGCAGCGTTCTTTCCTTCCGCGAGAAACGTGAACGGGAGAAGGAGGCCAAGAAAAAGCGCGACCTGGCTGAGCTCGCTAGACTCAAAAAGAACGCCCCTGCCAGTGGAGTCGCGGAGCTGACCGCCGAGCAAGGCTCTGGCCTCAAAGGTATTGGTGTCAAGGGTAAAGACCATGCTGCCCCGGCGGAGAGTATGATGGTTTCGTCTGGGTCTGACTCTGAATCTGAGAGTGAAGATGAACTAGACAAGGAGTTATTTGGGGCCAAACCCAAGAAGCCCGAGGCCGTGGCAGCTTACGAACAAAGCAAGAAGCAGTCCATCCAGCAGCAACCTGTCAAGAAAGTCAAGCGGCACCGGACCGCAAAGGATATGCGAGCTCGTCTCACCCCGGATCTAGGCACCCTCCATCACGCCATGCTCTCGTGGGAGTTCTTCGCCAAGGGTGACCTTCCTCCCAACACCAGCCGCACCGACTACTCCTTGGTTTCCAATACCTTCCGCTCTCCGACCGATTACCAGAAGACCTTTGAGCCCCTGTTGATCCTCGAAGCCTGGCAAGGATTCCAGCAGGCCAAGGAAGACGGTGTTTTCCGCCCCTTCGAAGTGAAGATCATGTCCCGCTTGACCGTCGACGCATGGATTGAATTCAGTACCCAACCCGCGGGTCCCCCTCTCAAGGATAAGGACTTCATGCTCGGAGAAGGCGACCTCGTCTTGTTCTCTAGCTCGTCGAACCCCACGGGTGATCCGAATGCAGGCCATGTGCTCGCGCGAGTGTGCGCTGTCAACCGAAAAGCTGGCAAACAGGAAGTCGTCTACCGCATCAACCCCTCAAACAACAAGTTCCTCTCTTCCCTTAGCACGGGCGCGACCACTTGGGCAGCCAAGATTACCTCGATGACCCCCGTGGAACGCGAGTACGGCGCATTGATGGCTATGCATTTTTACGACTTGTGCGAGGAAGTCGCCCTGGCCAAACCGTCCCCCATCCTCAGTTACTCGGACACGCGGTTACAACCCATCATGGACAATTACAGTATCAACCGTGCTCAGGCCAAGGCCATCAAGTCTGCAATGGATAACGACGCATTCACTCTCATCCAAGGTCCCCCTGGTTCCGGAAAAACCAAGACAATTGTTGCTCTTGTGGGAAGTCTCCTGACCAATGTACTCGGCCGAACGTCGGTGAGCATCGGGTCATACAACAATGCTCAGCCTGCGAGGGGTTCGACCTCCAAAAAGCTTTTGCTGTGTGCACCCAGTAACGCCGCCGTCGATGAATTGGTCATGAGATTGAAGGAAGGTGTCAAAACTGTCTATGGCCGCCAGGAGACTGTCTCGGTTGTCCGCCTGGGAAGAAGTGAAGCCATCAACCCTAAGGTGTTGGACGTAACCCTGGACGAGATGGTTAACTCTCGCCTGAGCCAGAACCCCGTTAATGGCAACGGTGTCGACATGCAGAAGCTGTATGAAGAGCACAAAAAGACGGACAATGGGTTCAAAGAGGCTCGCACGCGTCTCGACGACTGCCGAGCAAAGGGACTGCCCGCGCCGGAAGAGCTCGAGCGCGAATTCGAATTGTTGAAGAAGAAGCGATCCCAGCTGAGTACGGACATTGACAAGGCTCGCGATCAGCTTCACACCTTAACTCGTAACGCCGAGCTGCACAAAAAGAGTATTCAGGAAGAAATTATCAACGGGGCGCACGTCATCTGCACCACACTCAGCGGTTCCGGTCATGACATCTTCCAGCACATGAATGTCGAGTTCGAAACCGTCATCATCGACGAGGCAGCGCAGTGCATTGAGCTCAGTGCTCTGATTCCACTCAAGTATGGCTGTTCGAAATGTGTCCTTGTTGGTGACCCCAAGCAGTTGCCTCCGACTGTTCTTTCGAAGATGGCGTCTCAGTACCAGTATGAACAGAGTTTGTTCGTTCGGATGCAAAAGAATCACCCCCAGGATGTGCATCTGCTGGATATCCAGTACCGTATGCATCCTGATATCAGTCGCTTCCCCAGCTTGACCTTTTACGATGCCAAGCTCCAGGATGGCCCTGACATGGCCAAGCTCCGTAATCGTCCTTGGCACCAGAGTGAATTGCTTAGTCCATATCGGTTCTTTGATGTCCAGGGCATGCACCAGAGTGCGACCAAGGGCCACTCCTTGATCAACTATGCGGAATTGCAAGTGGCGATGCAGCTGTACGATCGCTTGATCACGGATGTCAAGGAGTACGACTTCGCCGGCAAAATCGGTATCATCACGCCCTACAAAGGTCAGCTCAGAGAGATGAAGCTGCAGTTTGCATCCAGGTACGGCGAGGAAATCCTCAAGAAGGTCGATTTCAACACGACAGACGCCTTCCAGGGTCGGGAGAGTGAGGTCATCATTTTCTCTTGTGTCCGAGCCTCAAATAAAGGCATTGGTTTCTTGGCGGACATTCGACGTATGAACGTTGGTCTCACTCGTGCCAAATCGTCGCTGTGGGTTCTGGGGAACTCGCGGTCCCTGATGCAGGGTGAGTTTTGGAATTCTCTCATCCGCAACGCTCAGGAACGAAAGGTCTACACCGAGGGCAACATTGTGAAAATCCTGTCCCGGCCGCAATTCACCGGCTACAAAGAGGTTGAAATGGTGGATCTTGACGCATCCGAGGCTCCTGCGACACCGGCAGATGCTCCCTCCGTGCAGTCTATTTCTCGTCCCTCTTCCGCCTCCATCGGCCTCGACTCTCGTTCGGTGTCTGTGTCTGCCTCCGGACGCGGTACCCCTTCCATACCACCGCCCGACGGCCCTTCTGGAGGAGGCAACGGGTTGGATGTTACCAAAATGTGTGGAATTTGTGGCAGCTCTGAGCACTTCACCCACAACTGTGATGATGAGGAGGCCAAAGAAGCGGCTCGTGGAAAGTGCCATCGGTGCGGGCAGTCCGGTCACAGTCGGAGCACCTGCAAGACTGAACGGTGCAGCGATTGTGGGGAATATGGACACCTCTCTTCCAAATGCACGGCCCCGAAGGCCCTTTCAAATCGGCGGAAAGCATTCCTTTCTAATGAAGAGCGTGTTCACCGCGAGCAACAGAAGTCATATGCCGAACGCCAGCGCCAGCGCCAGCTAGGAGGACACGACCCCAAGGTGCCTGTGGTTCAGGCAACCACCCACACCCCATCGCCCAAGAACGACGAGAACACGGGCAGTAAACGGAAGCGAACCGATGCGGCTTCCGACGCACCCAAGGCGTCGCGTCCGCGCACCGGGCCCCCGTCGGCTGCGCCTCCCAACGCTTCGAAGGGCTCGCGAGTCGACGTCCCACCCGTAAGTCGTTTGACCCGACCTCTTGGTTCTCCCAAAGCTAACTTAATTACAGGGACTGATCAAGCCCTCTCGCGATGGCCCGGCGTACCCACCAGTGGAGAACACGCGCCGGTCGGATGGTGCGCCATCGGGACCCGGCGCAGCAGAGGTAAGTAGCATTGTTTTTGATACTGGCGTTATGACCCATTGCTCATGCATCTTTTCTTTCTCTCCTCTAGGCCCCTAAACCTCGTCCGCCCATGCCTCGCAAGAAGAAAGAAGTGGACCCATTCATCCGGCCGAAACCTCGGCGCAAGTGAGCGTCGCTAATCTTGGTCATATTTGTCTCTATTCCTTTCCACCACCGACAGCTCATCCCTTTGTTTCTAGTGTACCATTGTCTTTCACCTCATCTCTCGATGTATCTCATGTCGCATGCACAGTCCACATTTACGGAGTTGGGATTCGGGGGCGTGTCATAGACTGGACAAGCATTCACAGGCGTCAGCGAGGTTCGGTTTTGTTGTTTTATCTGCTTGGTTCCCTGTACATTGTACCATTCATGTTTTTGTTTTTGAGTGTGAACTAGTCCCGGGGAGGTGTCCCGGTGGCCCCAAGGCTCGGTCTATCGTAGCCATTGACCATGATGAATCGACCTCAATTGGGGGTCTGTTCCTTATCTGTTCTCCAGTAAAAAGATGCTGTGTGATCTTGTGGACCGATTGGCCAGATTGCCATTCCATGACAGGGGAAACAGCGGAGACGTATGTGCGCCGTGTCTTGCAGTGGTTCGGGGCGGATACCGAGTTCGTGAGATTATTTGCCTACCAACTCACCTGCAGAGGAAGTTCCGGGCGAGGGCCAATTTTGAGCCGGATGGTTCTCGACGCTCGGGATCTGCTTGTTACCGCGTCTGCATAGATTGTCCAGGGACCCAGGTGTATCGAGAGACCCTGGTCCCTGGGGCGATCCCAGAGATGCATCATGTTCGCCTGGTGTCCCTCTCATTCATCGACGAACTCTAGATAATGCAGACGCAGGCGTTTCAGGCACGCTCTCGGAGAATATGAGGTACCGTTGGATGAATTTCCTGGGATGTCGTCACGACGATCCGTCTCTGCAAGGGAGGTGGGTCGATGTGGGCGAGGATGCGACAGCCCACATTGCAAACTTCATCGGTTTGAACTCAGTGGAAATTGAATTGAAGGGAGAAGACCGTTCCCACTGGCCTGAATGGCGACCTGCAAATCTCGCACAAACCCAAGACTCGAGATTGTTGGGGGGGGGGGGAACCTGCATCTCATCGGGATCGACTGCCTCTACCCGCCTTGGGGATGCTCGATTCGATCTGCCAGCTGTGGGACCTGATACCTCACATCCGTGCGGAGTTTGACGTTCGAGGATCCCCCTTGCGACGCCCCTCTCCAGGTCAATCTCATCTCCAACCTTGGAAAGACAACCGGCACAATGGCCCGAACGGGGCTACACAATAGTCCACAGAGCAATTGTCCCGTCTCCCTGCAGCTGGATGAGACTACAATCGTTGGATCCTCGAAGGCGTTGTGTCATATTGGGCTCGGATCCTTCGAACTACTGAACGAACTACTGACGCTGCCGCAGGAATGGTCATCCCACCCCAGCCCAGGGCTCCACTGGGCCTTGCTTGGCCTGGCCTGGTGATCCGTTCCTTGGGGAGAAAAAAAAGGGTCGAGGATTTTAGCCTCGACCGGATCTGTGTCCGTCCTACTTCCTATCTGCAATCTGCATGATCGGCGTTCCCCCGCGCCTTCAAGTAAGGATACGACAGCTCATCTTTTTGGGCCTTGGAGTCTTTTAAATACTTGCCCTCCTTCTGCTGGCCCTTTGCGCGCAGGCTTTCCTTCTTTCTTTTTGGTCTGGATCCAGTCGCTCCCTCTAGACTCTGTACATAGTGGCACATTTTGTATATAGTGCCTTGGGTCTTGTGGCTTCTGCGACACCAACCATCGGTCTGATATATCACAGTCGCTCTCTACTCTCGTTCAACATTGCTCTACGTGAGCCGGTGAGCATATCTGATGTGCGAGAAATCACCTATGGCGTGTTGTTCTGACTGTGCCAGGAAACCACCCTTCTGGTTTTAATTGAGAAACCGTCCCAACGTCCACGTTCATGCAGATGCCCATGCCTCGTCGCATTGGAGAGCCAGCCAGCAACTGAGGCGCCATCTCCCTATGCATCAGTGGGACCCGCTGTGCGAACGTGACGTCGCTCCGAGTCCCATCGTCCCGACTTATCGGCGCGGTCCCTCTCCGTCCAAACGCAAGCAATCCAGCATGACCTCGCCTGCCGAGTCGATTCCAGCAGAATCCATCAGGCCTCGTGACGATAACGCCTCGAGGCCCCAAGCCCGCTCAGCGGGAATGGCAGAAAGGCCCACCAGAAACGAAAGTCTCGTCGATCTCGTGCGCTTCTTTCAGACGCAGGGTATGCCCACAACCCTGAACATGCCCCCAGACACAACCACCGCCACCTCCACTACTACTACGGCTCTCCCGCCTGCCGAATTAAAAGAACCAAAAGACATCAAGCCTCTCCACCGACGTCTGCTCCAATTCACCCAGCGTCAAAAGAAAGATGCGCCACCCAAACCCAAGGTGAGCGACCAACAGCGCCAGATTGAGGCATTGCAACGGGAAGGATATCTCCTGGGAACTCCACCCCCGAAGTCAAAGGGCAACCCTGGCGGATCTCTTTCGAAATCTAAGAAACAGGATGTAGAAAACATTGGACAACCTTGGCTGGAAAGCAAAGGCGAGGACTTCCAAAGGCCAGGAGATACCTCCAGACGCCGTCTGGCTTCCTTGGATCTCGGGGACTTTGGTTCGATGGTGGACGTCGCTGTCTCGCTCTCTTCCGACTACGATGACCCGGCACCACCGCCGTATCGGCCTGCTACACAAGCAACTGCATCTCAGGCCGACCAGGATGTCTCCTCTCGGTCCTCGATAGTCTCGAGCAAAGCTCAAGCCACGGCACCGCAAGCTGAACAGAGTCAACGGCCTACTAGCTCTGCCGACTCAAGCATCCGTATTGTTTCAGATTCAGGCACTGCACCACAAGCTACGGCTGATCCACCCGCAGTGGCAAGTGCTATCCAAACACCAAAGAAATCCGCCAATAGCGACCAGCAGAAAGACAAGGACAGCAATGGGCGGAGCGAGACCCCAAACCATTCTCCAAGCCAGAGCACCCCAAGCCCAGCACAGCCCGTTCTCAAGCTCTTCCCCGATGTGGCGCCGCCCCGTGTTTCCAGCAGAAATGCGTGGAGGCTCTCGTCAGTGCCTCGTTATCAGATTGCCCCGAGTATCGCATCGTCAAATGGGTCGGATGCTCGAGGCGAAACTTCTGAAACCCCTACCGAGTCTGCAGATGGGACACGCGATCCTTCTGGTGCCTCATCATCGGATTCTCAAAGCCACAGGAAAGAGCCACAATGCTCTGGCGCTCTTCTACCAACCGCGCCCTCCGTTGAGTCCAAGTCACCTGGGAAAGCACCACAAGAGGTCTCTGTGCGAGGCGATAGCAAACCCCGTCCACCGTCCCTGTCGCCGAGTACACTCAAAGCATTCCCCCTGCCCGCTCCCACAAAGCCTTTGCCTTGTCTGCCTGAGTCGGGGCGTGCTCCCAGTGCTCCTCCCGATGCCAACCCGCATGCTACCATTCGGAAGGTTCGCTCGGGACTTAGAGCATCGGTTCTTCCGTCTTCAGTTGTTTTCCCCGAGGAGCACAGTCACAAAGCCACTGTCAAGCATCCTCATGGGCTTGCGGTTCGTCCTGCAACCGCCTTGGGAAATGTGGAATCCGAGGAGCCGGTTGATGAAGACAGTAAAAAATCACCCACCAAATCATCAAACAACTCCAAGTTGGTTTCTCCGGGGCAGCACACTCCGACAAGGCGTGCTGCCAGCGTACGTGTGTCTCGCATGCAAGAATTGCCTGGAAGTCCCTCCGACAAATACAGAAAACCTTCTGACCAGGCTCCCTTGGTTGAATCTCCCGTCTTAGGACATGCGAGCCCCGTCAAGCCTTCTGGAAAGCGTGCTGTCCGTCAGGACCTCCATATCAACTCCCGTGTGGACAAGAAAGATCTACCTTTTGGTCTCCCATCGCCGCCTCCAACGGCGACTCTCCCGGACCCCCTCTTCAGGCACCCTCTGGACGCCTAGGTGGCCAGCGCGACTGCACCGCCCCCACGGGTTCAATGGTGCCATCTATCAGAAACATAGACTCATCCTTTGGCTCGGGGTCTTACCGGAGCTCGATTATCTCCCGCAGCAACAGCTCCCGCAGCAGCCTCCGCCATGAGAACATTCCCGAATCCTACCAACCCAGCCGCTCTGAGTCCCCACTTCCGTCCTCGGACGACGAAGGTTTCGGTCCTGGGATGGATTCGACCCGCCCTGGTCGCACCGTTGACACTCACCACCGTACTCGTATAGCCCGTCGAGCTCACGAGGCAGTCGAGGCACGCAAAAAACCTGGCCCGGATCGACTCCGCTTACCCCACCCTCCACGGCCTCTGACGCCTCAGAATCGCAGCAGCCAAAATCTCGAGAAGCCTTCGTCGCCTCAGTCGCTGTACTCCCAGTTTACATATCGCTCGCGGGACTCGCAGAGCAGCTACCGTCCGCACCTTAGCCAGAGCCAAGCTCCAAACTACCTGGAAGACCGGGTTGCGAATCTCGAGCGCCAAAACCAGATCCTGCAGGCGGCTCTGCTTGCCGCCCTCAATGCCGGGGCCAAACCCAACCTCGGTGACCTCCATCCCGACTCGGCTCTGTCACCGCAATTTCCATCGGCCGCCCCGCCAAACCACTACCCCGGTCGCTTTGGCCCACGCCCCGAAAGCTGGGTGAGTTCTTCCCGCAGCAGTGAGCACGGCGGTCTCGAAACCCCAAGCTCCTACCGCGAAGGTCGGGTCAATGCCCCGCAGCTGGACCACATGGTTGAGGACACCGAGTCGGGCTGGATGTCGGATAAATCGAGCCTCAGCGGAGCTCGATGTGTCCGACATGCTTAGCTACCAGCTACGATCATTCTTTCTTTCTCTTGTTCATTTGTGACACGACTTTATACCTTCTTTTCTTAGGATTTGTGACGATCTTCTCTTATTCTTCCTTTCACGTCTCGACGATACCATTTTGTTTTCTTTTCTGTTGTATATCCAATCCTTTCAATTCATCTTTGACTTTTACAATCAGGTTAAATATAGCACGTGATCTTTATAGTCGTGGCAATGTTTGGGTCATTAGATGGGCGAACAGGGGAACTTGACCTGAACTGTGTCGAAGAGTATTGTATTCTCTTATAATTCCAGGCGTGCGTGCTGGGTAAGATTGTAGATCGCATTTGGTGCATGAGTTAAGCTGAGGCCGAAGTCCGGCCCTGACCCTCTCTCATCTCACACCGCCAGCTCCTCCCACTCCCCGCGGAAACCTTTCAGAGAATGGCCAACCCAACGACAGTAAGTGTGGAATGCTCTCCAAAAGACATTATTCTGGTGCTGAAACAATTGTGTTCCTCTTCGACAGTGGGCGCAACAGGTCCCCCATCATGTCACGGCGCTCCTCTCCCACCTCACCTCCCGCCCGGGGGTGCAATCCACCCTGATCTTGTCCCGCAAGGACGGCTCGATTATCCAAAGCACAGGGCTGCTCGCACCGCCATCAGCCGAGGAAGCCAGAAGCTCTCGCGCTGCCCAAGCCTCCCCGTCCACTGTTTCTGACCCAAATCCACTCGCCTCCGCGTCCTCTTCCGACTCGTCCCCTGCCTCCCCCACGCCCGCCACACCAACACCCTCATATCAGCCCTCCCAAGCCGAGGCACTCGCAGCTCACATCTCGGCCTTTGTCTCGAGTGCCTCTGCCCTGGGTCTGTCCCTGTCGCGCCCGGCCGTCCAGTCCACTGGGGACGGCCAGGACCCCTCCGCTGGGTGGGACGCTGGCCATGAGAGTTATGGAAATGGAACTATCACGCCCCGCGAGGAGGATAGAGATGCTGACGTCGACTGCGACGAGGACGACGAGGTGAAGCTGCTCCGGATGCGCACGCGGAAACACGAGATTGTCATCGTGCCCGATCGGAAGTATTTGCTTTGCGTTGTGCATGATGCTACGCCGTCTAGTGCTGGGCCGGGTGCAGCGGCCACACGCTCCTCGCGGTGATATCTATGCCTGTATTTTATTCATCTTCACGTGGTTTTGTTTCTCTCGGGGACCTGTTCTTCTTATGTGGGCTTAGGGGGTTTGGTTTTCATACATATACCCGATGGAAGCAACATTTTTTTCGCACTGGATAGTTTTGATCGGTGTTTTTTTCCCTCCCCTTTTGCCATCGAGTGTATAAAGTATTGCGTGATGAGATTTGGGCGAAACCCACTTTCAAACATTTGGTGGACTTGGTAAGAGAGTCCTGTCTACTGGTTCAGGAGATTTATCTCCCCCTTGGGGTCCAGGACATGTCCCTGACACAAATGTAGTTCGAGGTGGTTTCATGGCAAGGCCGGAGAAAGTCCGATATCCACGATTCTACTCCACTTGTCTTGAGCTCTTTTAACCCCTCCTCGATGCACTGACAGTTGGGGTTTCAGCTCTTACATCTTCAAGATGGCTGCGTTCGATGTCGCCACAGCGCGCTCTCGCTTCCCTGCGTTGCAGCAGGAGCAGGTGTTCATGGACAATGCGGGTGAGTGGGAGTGTGTCTATTGCAGGTGAATCCATACTAATGAAAGTCCAACAGGAGGAAGCCAGGTCCTCGACACTGTGGTTGACTCGTAAGTAGTCCCTAGCTTCCTCACAAACAAGCACATTCTGACCAGGCTCTAGTATCCGCTCATACCTGCTGAGCACCAACGTCCAGTTGGGAGCCACGTACAAGATCTCTCAGGCCTCCACGGCGGCCTATACGGATGCCTACAAAATCGCCGCGAGCTTTATCAACGCCTCACCGGACGAGGTAATTTCCGTCGGGGCAGGGAGAACTCTGCTCAGACTAACATTCTTCGCCAGATCAGCATTGGAGTCTCAACCACTCAGCTCCTGCACAATCTCTCGACTGCACTTCGATTCCAGGCGGGCGATGAACTGATCCTCTCCAAGCTCAACCATGAAGCAAATACGGCCGCCTGGGTCCGCATCGCCGATCGTCTGGGCCTGACCGTCAAATGGTGGGCTGCCGCCGACCCCAAGAACCCGATCTGTGATCCAGCCGAGTTGAAAAGCCTTCTCTCCGACCGCACCAGGCTGGTGGCCTGTCCACATGCATCCAATATCACGGGGACCATCAGTCCGATCCGAGAGATTGCGCATGTCGTGCATACTTCTCCGCGGGTTAGTAATTCGGTATCTTAATGCCTTGGATGATGCTTGCTGATCTCCAGTGGACAGGCGCTGCTCTGCGTGGACGGGGTTGCCCTCGCGCCACATCGACCAGTCGATGTGCAAGCCCTAGGGGTCGATTTCTACGTAAGTTGCTGCGTGGTTGATGTGGTATTTGGTTTGCTCAACATTGCCAACCCTCTTTATTCCAGGCATTTTCGTGGTATAAGGTGTACGGCCCACACCTGGCCCAACTGTATGCGGCCTCGCGCATCCACGACCAAATCCAGTCGCTGGGCCACTTCTTCAAGCCCACAGACACGCTAGAATTGAAACTCAACCTAGCATCGGCCAACTACGAGCTCACGCAGAGTATCCCGCGCGTAGTGGAGTATTTCGGACCAGATCTCCGCAAAACGTGGGACCAGATGGCAACACATGAAGAGCGACTGCAGCAGATCTTGCTAGAGTTCCTGGCAAGTGATAACCGCATCACCGTGATCGGAGAGCCTTCAGCACACCAAGAGCGGCGCGTGCCTGTCATTAGCTTTGTCGTGCAGGGGGTTGGTAGCCAGCAGCTTGTTGAGGCAGTCGAGCGACGCTCAGCCTTTGGGTTCCGGAGCGGTCATATGTATAGTCATCGGCTGCTGGCAGACGTGTGTGGACTACAGGATGTGGAGGATGGAGTGGTGCGAGTGAGCTTCCTGCATTATAACACAGGTGAGTTCGAGTCCCTTTGGTTTCGAACATTGTAGATGGCGGTGCTAACGAGAGTATATAGAGGCGGAAGTGCAGGGGCTTGTAGAGGTGCTTCGGAAAGTACTCACTTCGCTGTAGATACCTTTTGATTCTCTCTCTCTCTCTCTCCTTCCAAGGCTAGTAGTATATCTTGGATTATCTTGGATTAGATATTTGACATTCTATATTTAGGCATGAAATACTCTGTCATATCTCTAATCTCGATCCTTGTTATCTGGCATGTTGAATGTATGTCATAGATAGATCCATTTAAGAAACCCCATCATTGAGGCTCAGCCAATCCCCGTGGGTCGAATAGCCGCTATGAGTCAGGGAGGAGTGCAACCTGCAATGATGCCTATAGTTACAGACTCGGGCATAGGTGATTCCCTAGGTGGATAGTTACTGAGTGTGATTTATACTAAAATATCATGTTTATGATTATTTTCTTGTCATCTCTTACAGTATTTGATCTATATATAAAAAAACAACATAGAAGCAGGCCAAGGCTCGGGAATCAATCGCCCGATAGCCACAAGAGAACGGTATAGTCAGAAGGTGACTCACAAACCGCATCCGGCCCCTCCATCACGAAGAAAGAAAGAAATAATTTATAAAAAATTGATAAAAAAAAAAGGGTAAAAAAGAGAAAATGATATCTAAATACTCATATTATTAGCTTTATTATTATTGTCTTTTTTGCCATCAAATCCCCAAGTAAAAAAAAGAACAGACAAGGTGGATCTGTTCAGCCCGAGTCTCTGCGCCCCAACTCTTCCCGCCACCCGACCTCTCTCTTCGCCACAGTGTGACTTGGCGCTCTCTCCCTCTCTCCCTCATCTCTTTCTCCCTTACGGTTCTTTCTTTTTCTTTTTCTTTTTCTTTTTTGCCCCCCTCTTAGTCACAGCCAAAAAGAAGAACTTGAGAGAGTCTGAGAGAGGAGGAGTCATCGGTGAGTCTCATAAATCTTCCCCTTATTTGCCTCTCTCTTCCTGACTCTTCCTTTTTTCATCCAGCCTCCATCGCCCCATCGCCTCTCTCTCGACCGCCTCTGCCTAGCCCGCAACGCCTGCCTTGAACAAGCAGCCACTCGTGGATCTGCCTGTCCATGGTTCGTTGGGTGCCTTGATATAACCTCCTATCACACACTCTTTTTCCAAAATGTACCCTATTGCCCCGTCCGATCCGATCGCTCACGTTGTTGCCACCGACCTCCGCATTGTCACCGCCGGCTCCGTCTGAATCCTTCAGAACTACTCAAGTCATCAGTGCCTGGTTGGATTTCAGCCTCAACATCTGGTGATCGGACCGTGATTCATTTTCCTACTGTCTTCTTTCCTTTCTGTTACTCCCTTTGTATTTTCTCCTTTCTCTTCTTTCACCCCCCACCATCGCATCCGGTGGTTCCGCCTCCCCCTCCCTCTTGAGTCAACGTCTGGTGTCAACCTGGCGCCTCGTATCCTCTAAAAAGGTCTGCCGTCGCCTACGTCGCGAAGACGGCTTCTGTCTCGGCTTTCGTTCCCGGTTCCCTGCTTAACGGTTTCTTGACACTACGGTTCTAAAATCGGACCATCTCCCATACTCATCCGGTCTCCGCGTGGTATCATTGAACAATGAACCCCTCCGCACCTCCGGATATGTCAGGGATGGACGTCTTGGGTTTGAACCTCTCAAACCCAGGCCCTTACTCGAAAGCGTCTCACGCTCACCCCTATGCCTCATCCATTTCTTCCTCCGCCTCATCCTCATCCTCGTCTGTCTTCTCCCTCGACGCTGCCTCGCAGAGCTCGATCTCGTCCGCTGTGACGAACCCCGTCGATGTGATTTGGGAGAACAACGGGGATGCTCAGGTCGGAAGGAATCAGAATGGGACATGCCCCCGTGCCTCGGTAAAATGTGCTGTCCCCAAGCTAGATGGCTCGGTGCCGCCCGAGCTGCGTCAGCATCCTCGGCGCACCAACAGTTTTGCGGCCAGTGGTGCCAGTGGTGCCAGCGCGCGCCCTCCGCCCTGTCTGCTCCGGCAGTCGGAGCGGAAGGTGAATTTTGTCGATAACTTGGTCGGTAAGTTTGGCAGGGTCTTTTCCATGGTCTTGTCCATCCAGCTAAATCTTGATTCTCTTCCCCAAAGACACTGCGTCGCAAATTGTTGAAGGCATTTGGCCCTTGTCTGCCGCTGCGTCCCGTAGCCATGCTGCGACCGGCTCAAAAGGTGTTTTGCCACTGCGCACCTTCATTCAGGAAACGCTCCGCCGCTCGCGAACGAGCTATAGCACTTTGCAGGTGGCTTTGTATTATTTGATCAAGATCAAACCGCATGTGCCCGTGTATGACTTCACGAAAGAGCAGCCGCGCGAACAGCCGGCTCCGCGGGAGATGCAGTGTGGCCGGCGGATGTTCTTGGCCTCGTTGATTCTGGCCTCCAAGTATTTGCAAGACCGCAACTACTCCGCTCGCGCCTGGAGCAAAATCTCCGGCCTCAACACCGTGGAGATCAACCACAATGAGATCCTGTTTCTGAAGGCGGTCGGCTGGCGGCTCCATATCTCCGAAGTGACTTTCCAACGCTGGACTGAGCTCGTGTTGAAGATGACCTCCGGTGCCGGTAGCTCTTCGGCGGGCAACGGTCAATGCTGGCGGACGGTCCTGCCTCGGCTGACTCCGGAATTGGATATTGCAGAGCCCGAGCCGACCACCCCAGTTTCGGCGATGAGTGGGATGGATCTGGGTCTGGCGGACTCGCCCTCGCCGCGTAGTGTGCCGAGCAGCGAGTCGGTCAGTTCCGCCTCGCGTGAACAGACCCCAACTTGTCCACGGAGTATCCCTCGGACGCTGGAGCCGACCCCCGCATGGAGAATGTCAGCCTGCCGATGCCGGCGATTCCGCGCCCGTCGATGCTCCCGACACCCCAGATGACCCCCCAGGCGCATGTGGCCGTCACTCCTGCAGCGAGTGCGGCTGGCGGCTGTGCCCGGCGTCCATCTATCGGGACGGCTCTGTCCCAGGCGCAGAACATGTGCATGGCGCGATCGACACTCGATCAGCGCCCGCCTCTTTCGTTCTGCACCCGGACTCAGTCGTACGATGGCTACCCGACCGTCGTTCGCCGGTCCTCTCTGGCCCGCTCGTCCTCGTCAGCGTCGTCTCCCGACTCCATGGTCTCAGACGTCTCGACTTTGTCATCGCGTTCATCGCGGTCCTCCTCGGTCTCCTCCAATGCCTCTGGTGCGGGCGGCTCTGCCGCGCCTCGCCTGGCCGTCAAGGCAACCTTGCGCTGCACCAGTAACTCCATCAAGGAGTGCCGCAAGCCCTTGGCGATTGGTTCTCCGATCGACGAGAGTGCTCTGGTGGACATGTATAGCTCCCCCGAAGCGTACACCGGCGCGATGGGCTCCTCTGCACCAGATCTGGCCCAGTTCTCGTTGGATCCCAACCTGAACGAAGCGGCCCAGAGCCTGTGCGAGCTGTCGGGCGCGACTCCGGAACGCCGCCAGTGCCGGAAGCGCGGTCGCACCGGATCCGACGATCTCTTGCTCCAAAACCACGTTCGCCACCTGTTTGATCTCGGTGCCTCGGGAGAACCTAATGTCCTCCCTGATGGACTTCCGCCAAGCTCGTTCCTGGTGCGGGAATCTGCCTCCATCTCTCCGGAGCGCGTGGGTGCAGTCTCCGGCCCAGCTGGCACGAAACGTGCTTGCTGCGGCAGCGAGGCTCGTAAGATCGCTCTTAACCCGAGTCTACGCGCAGATATCCTGAATTGAGGATTTTCTTTCCCTTCTACTTCCTTTTCTTTTCCTTTGTGAGGTTTAGAAAAAGTCTGTCGCTTTACCATGACATGGCGACCGAACCCGGCATGTTCTTGTTTGTATATACCCTGTCAGTTTGCGGGGCGTCTCGGTCGTCATGCTCATAGGTTTATTTCCTGTCGTGGAGTGTATGATGTACGATGTTGTCTACTTCCCCATCGTTCATCCTTTTCTTATTGTCTGATTCTGTTTGTTTACGAGGTTGCGTATGGAGTGTTGTGGGCATGGGACGGTTTGGTTTTCTCTCTCTGTTGATTTCTTGTCTATTTCCTGATCTATCTTATGTGGAGTGTAGCAGCGAGCGTCTCTGCGCACTTCTTTCTCTGACCTGTACCTGGTCTCTTGTTCCCCGGCGCTGACAGGTGTGACTTGGGATGGCGCCATTCGGGGAGCATCAGGAGATTCTTCGGCGTCCTGACGGGACCGGAAACGATACCCCAGGTAGCCAATTGTACAGACCTAAATCCGTGACTCGGGAAGTACAGGAATTTGTATCACGTCAGTAGTGGTGTCGGTGCCTAGTTACGAGCACGCGGTGAGTCACTGCGGGTGCTTGGCTTGGCATTTCTTGTCTTTGCAGTAGCCGTGCCTTGGTCCAACCACCATCCCACGTACCCTGGCCATCCAACACTAAGCACTTTATCTCGATGCATCTCGATAGTGCACAACTATGAGGCATATCTATATTTCTTTCTATCTGATATCTAATATACCACAATCAATAGCGAATAAAGTAGTTTTAAAGTGATCAGCATCGAAGATTTAACCAACTCGATCGAGTCTAGCGCCATCAGATAACGGCGGGGTGCGTCATCTGATTTGCTTCTTCGTCTTGACCCTTTCGTCCTTGGTGTTTTCCCTTCCCTTCCTTTTTTTTTTTCTTCTACATTTACCTTCATAGAATTCTCTCTTGTTCTCTCTCGACCATGCACACCCTATCCATCCTCACTGGGCTGCTCGCCCTGCTTCCTGGCCCGCTGGGGGTTACCGGCTCGGCTATTCCACTCGACAGTCTTCAGTCCTTGCTCGGTCCCTACCACTCCAGTCAAGACTCGGAATCATCCCCAGAAAATGCAGATGCGCTCAGCCGCCCATCCTGGTTCACATCCACCCTGATGGCACGACGCCTCCTGGCGCTCTCTCCCTCGGGGGTTGTTTCTACTGTATTCCCCGACCCACTCCCACCCTCCACACACGCCCCATCCTCTGTAGCCGGGCTCTCCATCGGTCTGCGGGAGTACGTCGCCGACTGCGATGGCGTGCTGCCCTCCGAGGTGTCGCCTGGGGACAGCGGCAACCCGACCATCCTCGCCCTCCGCGTGGCCACCACTTTTAGGAACATCGCCGCAGGATCAAACCTCAGCCTCGAGCTGGACTGGTGGGACCACCTCCACGAGGCTGCCCCCGTCTACCCCGGGCTGCCGCTGAGCGCCGCCGGCCTGCCCCGGGTGACGCTGTTCGGGTACCTGGAACCCCTTCCCTCCCCGCTTCCAGAGACAGCAGCGACCGCGCTGGAGAAGTGCTTCCTGGCATCACACCCAGACGCGAGGGTCTGGTTGCCCGGAGCGCTCGGGTCTCCGCATTCCAGTTTCTGGGCTAGTCTGGTGGTGACCCAGGCGTACTGGATTGGAGGCTTTGGTGATGTGCAGCTGATCGGCTGGATGAATGTTACCGAGTGGAAGGGGATCGGGCGCCATGCGAGTGAAGTTGGGGTGGGCGATGGACGGGGATGGGAGGATGTGCGGCTGCCGGGGGAGAAGCAGTGAAGATAACACGGGGGGGGAGGGTCTCGACGTTGCTTATCAGCGACAGGGATGCTTATCACACCAGCTTGATAACCCTCTTTTGCCGTTCACCTGCTTCTTTTTTTCTTTCTCTCTCTTTTCTCATGTGTCCAGATGTACATTCTGCAAATGCTGGGAATGCGACGTGATATCACCCCATGATCTTTCGTGGACTCGGTGCTTTTTCGCAGTATCAACATCCACCCTCTCATTCCACCTATCCGACATGCCTTTCTCCAGACCCCGGCTGCGGGTCTCACAGGCTCGCTCTTCTTTCGCCGATGGCAATGCCCGATGGACAAACCACGATTTAGACCCAATCCCCAAGAATCGGCGCAAATGGGGCGTAGCCAGCCTGATCGGTATCCCATACTTCCCGAGAACCCAGACTCCCGCTGGACCCTATCTGAGAACTGTAACTCATACCGCGCAGCATACTGGATCTCCGATGCCTTCAATGCCGCCACTTGGCAGTTCGCCAGCAGCATCATCGCCGTCGGCCTCACCTACCGCGAAGCCTTGGGCATCGTGGCCCTCTCCTTCTTTATCATGTCATTCGTCATCGCCGGCAACGGCGCTGTCGGCGCCATCTACCATGTGCCGTTCCCAGTGATCGCACGCGCCAGTTGGGGGTTCTGGGGCTCGTACCTTGCCATCGTCTCGCGCGTCGTCCTCGCCGTGTTCTGGTTCGCCATCCAGAACGTGAACGGCGGTAACGCCGTCCGCATCATGCTCGGCGCTATCTGGCCCAGTTTTCTGTCCCTTCAGAACGGCATCCCTGCATCGGAGGGTATCACCACTAACGGCATGGTCGGCTTTTTGATTTTCTGGCTCGTGCAGCTACCGTTTCTCTGTCTCCATCCGGACCGGCTGCGCTGGTTGTTCGTGGTCAAGTCCGTGCTTGTCCCAATTGCCTGGATCGCCATTCTGATATGGGCCTTTGTTGCCGAGAAGGGCGGCGGCGGCATCTTCGACCAACAGACTGCGTCCGTCTCGGGGTCTCGGTATAGCTGGCTGTTCTTGGCCAATATGACTTCGGTGCTGGGGAACTATGCCACTCTTAGCGTGAACCAGGTGGGTCTTGAGACAAGAACAGTGGCATTGATGCAGGAGGCTAACACCACCCCGGTTTAGTCGGACTTCTCGCGCTACTCGCGCATTAACCCCCGCTGGCAGCTTCTATACGTGCCAATGCTGCCCGTCGTGTTCACTTTTATCTCCTTCATCGGTATCGCCGCCTCGTCCGCTGGCCAGGCGCACTACCGCCTCGCATCGATCCCATGGGACCCCATGGAGTTGATCAGTCTCTGGCCCAACCGTGCCTGTCGCTTTTTTGGCGCGTTTTCTTTCGCACTGGCATCCCTGGGCGTCAACATCTCGGCCAATTCCATCTCCGCCGCCAACGACTTCACCGCGCTGGCACCCCAGTTCCTAAATATCCGCCGCGGCCAGCTCCTGTGCGCCGTGTTGTCGTGGTGCCTCGTCCCCTGGAAGATTCTCGCCTCAGCCGGCAATTTCCTTACCTTCATGTCCGCCTACGCCGTGTTCCTGGGCCCCATCGCTGCCATTATGTTGTTTGATTTCTGGTTCGTCCACCGCCGTCGGTATCACACACTTGCCCTGTATCAGCCTGCCAACCCCACCTACCGCTATGCATTCAGCGTGTGTGGTTTTTCTGTGTCCGGTGTGAACTGGCGCGCGGCGCTGGCATTTATCGTCGGTGTGGCGTCGAATCTCCCGGGCTTGATAAACGCCGTCAACCCGAATATCTCGGTTGGGGCCGGTATTCACCCGTACCAGTTCGGTTGGCTACTAGGCTTTGTGGCCACCGCTGGCGTGTACGTCGCGTTATCGTGGTGGGCTCCGGCGCATGAAGCGCGTGTCGACCGTGTAGTCCTGCCTGACGAAATCTACGAGAGAGCGGCCGTGGTGGAGGGTGTGGAAGCAGAGGATTCTGGTAAATTGCCAGAACAGCCCGCCCAGACCAAGTCTGCAGATGACATGTCGCCATCGGTAGAGAAAGCTGTATAGTGTTTCTAGGGCATATACGATTCTAGAGATTGGCCCTGGTCGGCGAACGATGGACAACACTTGAAAATGGCCATTCTGAATATATTGTAGCAAAATTTAGGCCATGAGCACCATTGGTATAATTGAACGATTGCGCGGCCGTGGTAGGTATATTGTGTATGATGTCTTGTGGTGGCCCAGCCCCAAGTCAATGTGTCTATTCCCATCGCAGCGAGGGATTCATCGCTGGGAGACGTGGTCTTCAAGCTGTCGCTGCGAAGCTAGTGAGTACCGGGTGACGGACCGATCATATTGCGGAGATCCAATCGGATGAAGATACCACCATTGAGATGTGCTGGTAGTTCTTTGTGTGTCATTTGGTGCCATCTGCGACCCGGCAAAGGGCCCGCGAATGGGATAGAGCCCAAGTATGGCGCGTGGGCCTGAGGGCTTCCAACATTTGATTCAATCATTTAAATTGAAAAGAGGAAGGGATGGAAAAGTTCCCCAGTGACTCACGGCCCCGGTCCGTAAGAGATGGCTTCTTTCAGCACCTTGGTCACCCCCGAAGACGCGCGACCCAACTCGCCGCCTTCTTCTCGCGCACTCTTCAATCCGCGCTCGACAGCTGGCAGAAACCGCGTCTCGAATACGCGGTACCGGTCCTCGCGGGTTTCGTACATCTCGCCCTCCTCGTCGCGAGGCTGCCCGAAGAGGTTCAGGTAGGCATAGGGGGCCGCAGACTCGGTAACCATGTGGTGAGCGGTCTGGCAGAGCGGGAAGGGCCACGACGCGGCACCGTCCTCCGTATCGGAGAGGTTCTCGGACTCATACAGGACCGGCTGCCCAACGCCCGCGTCCAGAAACAACGCCAGCGCAGCCAGCACCTTCACCATGGGCCTGCCCTGGCTGCCAGACTTACCAAATGAAGCCCGGTGCGACGACCACCGTGCTGACTCCTCCGTGTGCCAACCCAACACCGACAAAAAGCAGTTCAGCGTCTTGATCCACCCACCGGCACATGTCACCACCGACTCGCCGGCCGTCTCCACCATCCACGACAGAACCTCCACCGCCGACATGCGGATGTCCGCCGCGAGATGTGTCATACCCGCGCGTACGTATGGTAGCAGCTGCGCCACCTGGTCCTCCATCTCGGGCTCCGGCAGCGCGCGAAGCAACTTGAGGAGCTGCGTGCGCACCGTGTTGTTGGCGTCTAGGATCAGCGGGAGTAGCGATGGGAGCATCACGCCCACCGGCTGCGGAAGGGGTGAGTTCACAGGCCGCGATGCGATCGATGTGGTAAGGTGTGCCAGCGACTCGCGCCGCTGGCTGTCGGATTTGGCGGAGAGAAGCGACAGGTGGTGTGCGAATTGGCTGGTTGATGATGGCGCCGCGACATGGAGGGATTGTTGGTTGAGAGTAATTGCTGTATTTTCTTCAGCTCCAACTCCTCGCCCGAGTCATATAATTTAAAACCACCTACCCTTGGATCGGAAGCTGGTGTCGGTAAAGTTGTCCGGCTTGGCTTTGGTCTTGCCAACCCTGAGTTTGGGTTTCTGCGCGCAGTTAGCGAGGCTGTTAATTCCACTAAATTGTTGGGTGTGCCCACTTGGAAGTCCTTTTGCTTCTCCTTCTTGCGCTTGGCGCTGGACCCCATGTTGGCTGTGTTTGTCGAGGAAGACGATGCTTCGTTATTTTTCTTTTTGGTTTGTTATCGCACGTGACCTTATCCGTTGTTGCCTGGAATATAAGGCGACCATCAGACGAAGTATACAACTCAAACTTCAACAATGCCTTGGATTGAACTACCTAATTTAGTTGACAGGTTCCAGGGCTCTATATAAAGGCTTTATAGATGACCATACCTAGGTAACAAGGGGAGAAAAGAGATATAAGAAAGGGTATAAAAGCGAAATTCTTCCACTAGAGCAGCAGTTTGCGAAATGACCCAATGAAGAGAGAACCCCAACCCAGGCTCTATCCCATCTCGAGCCTTTTATTCCCCTTATTCAACTCACTTTCCATCCTCCCGGCATCAGATCCGTAAACACCCGGTCAGGATCATACCGCGCGCGAATCTTGCGCAGCCGCGCCAAGTTGTCCGGAGGAAACGTGCCGAACGAGTCTTGTGCCGGGTTGGCATCATTGAGATAAGTGTATTCAGGCAATTTAACGCCATCAGCAAGCAACTTCTGACGGATCTCGCCGTTGACCTTGGTGTAGAAGGCATCGATGTCCTCGTCGCGAACCGCCGCCAGCGCGGTGATGCTCTCTTCCACCCAGATGTACGGGGCCCCATCCGGATCGAGGTCCTGCGGGTCGCCGCCATTGACAGTTGACGCATGGATGTACTGCTCTGCCACCTGGGGGAAGGCCATCGCCGCAACCACCACTCCAATTGGTAGACTGGTCTTGGCGACCTCGACGAAGGTGTCGTGCACCGTGGCGATCGTCTCTTTCCGTGAGGCGTGAATGTTCAACACATAGAAGCGCTGCCGTGAGCCCTTTAGCAGGCCTACTGCCCCGTCCAGTTCCTGCGACCACTGGTTCATGGATCGGTAGCGGAAGGTGTTGGTCAGCGGGGTGAGTGTCGGCTTTTGGAAACTCTGCAGCGCTGCCGGGGTTGCATTGTTGCCATTGTAAAACAGAATCGCGCTGTAGCTGACGGTGCCCGTCTCCGGCAGATATTCGGCCATCGGGATGACCGCTGCCTTGGGGTCCTTGGTCCCGGCCGTGGCAAAGTCGTGCACGCTGCGAATGAACTGTTCACCGACACCGAAGCCGTAATTGGCCATACCGACAGTGACCTTTGGCACGCGCAGCGTCTTGAGCTCGAAGTCCGTGGCCAGTGCGAATGAGTTGCCGCCGCCACGTAGTGCCCAGAAGAGGTCGGCATGCTCGTTGTTTGGTTTTGCTGTCACCACCCGGCCATCGGCCAAGACACCCTGTGGTACCATAAGCATGGATCTATAAGAGATAGAAAGGAAACACATACCGTAAATCTGACGACATTGGCCGATGCCCACCCATACTCATTACTGAAGAAGGCCACACCTCCACCCAGAATATACCCCGGGACTCCCACGACACCAAGACGACCGCCGACCACGCTCAGGCCGTACGGCTCAAGGTACTTGTACACATCCGCCCAGCGATTACCGGGGCCCACATGCACCGTGGAGTGGTCGTCGGAGACCTTCAGCTGCGACAGACCAAAGCTGGACAGCAGCACTCCAGACGAGTTGATATTGGCCGCATTGGCAATTGGCATGTGTCCTCCGCCGCGGATAGCAAAGGGCGTGCTGGTATTCTTCAGCAGCAGCACCGCATCCGCCAAATGTCGGCTATCGGTGGGCTGGAAAACACAGGCAGGACCGAGCCAAGCACTTGATGTGTAGAAATCTTGGATTGTCAAAGCATTGGCCTTCTTGGGGAAGCAAATAGATATGCAATCTGAGAAGAGGACATACCAGTGTTGGCCTTAATATACCCTGGCGACAGAGGAAAGAAGGTCAGGTCAGGGTATGTCGCCTCTAGATGTTTGCAGGTGCTCGAAGCCGAGTCACGGCTTACGATGCGACCCAAAGCTGTGGGCAGTAATACCAGAAGCCAAGCAAGTTTCATCGTGCTAAACCCTTGGGTGTTAGGTTGTTCAGTGCCCCCCACCCAAGGGCCATGTCCAATGTTTATATAGTCGCAATGTCGCCCGCGTTCCTATGTTATGATCCCTCTGGTTCATGTGAATTCCGCGGTATAACCCATAGCAGCGGTGGACATCACCTAAGGCATATTGGCCGGTGAGAGTCGATCGCCGAATGCCAGGAACTGAAAAACGAAGGTGCCAATGTTGAGGCCGACGAGAGAAAGCGATCGGCGGGATCAGCGAGTCTCCATGCTCCTTCGAGCCCGGCCGGTATTCCACCATCCATCGTATTCTAATCGTATTCTTCGTGATCATCGACCTCGGTCTTCTCTGCTCTTCTCTCAGACTGGCTAGGGCTGTCTGGCAGAGTCGCAAGAATCCTGCCGAGTGGAATGCGCCTGCTGTTGCGTACCGGAGTGCCTGCCTGGGCCGACACCAACCAGTTTATTTTGACGAGATATCGACCAGAAAGCCGGTCATGGACACACTGTCTTGCCAGCTGGACGTACTGGCCCAATGAGACGGCCAATATTTACTCGCACCCGGTGCTTGCGGTGATGTTGGCGCTGGGCGCCGTGACAGTGCGGATCGACCTCCGTGGCTTCGACGGAGCCATCGTGGTGCTGCAGCTAGTCATGGCCATTCTGTGCCTGGTAATCTCGACATTATATCATACTGCGCTCAACCACTCGGCCTCGGTCGCCCATCGCTGACTGCAGTTCGATTACGGGGGGATTCTGGCGCTGATCCTGGGCAACTTCCTGAGTGGCTTGCACTTTGGTTTTTACTGCGACCCAGCCCTCAGGTCGCAGTATTGGTCGCTGGTAAGCGAGACAGTCGATGGCTGAATCAAGAACAGAAATTCTAATGGCATGCTCCCGTTTAGGTTCTCGCCTTGAGTGCCCCCTTCGGCCTGGTTCTCAGGCCATGGTTCCGGGCCACCGAATGGCGTACACTCCGCCTGGCCAGCTGCGTCGCCAACGGTCTGTCTGCTTTTGCACCCATCGGACACGCTTGGTATCTTTGGGGTCGTACGTACCTCATGCATATTGGGGTGTCGTACTATCTGTTGGAAGGGGCGCTGCTACTGGCGGGCTGCTACGTGTGGGAGGTGGGTGTCGTCGATTTTCCCGTGTGCTATAGTAAGTTGCTAACAGATAGCACTAGAGACGAGTACCTGAGCCTCTATTCCCAGGGCGGCTTGATATTTGGGGCCACTCGCACACCCCGTGGCATGTCTCTGTGGCCTTGTCGATCGCCGCACATGCCCGAGGTTTGTTGAGTGCACGGGACTACAACTACCGACATGCACTGTGTCGAATGGGATAGGTTCAACACCGAGGGAGGATTGCGGCGCAAAATGGTGGCTGACCAAAGCCAGGTATCAGTCCGTGCACCGCCTTGCATCCTACAATCCTAACATTCTAGCAAACTGCCAATGCGAAGAGTTGAAATAGGCTTGCTTCCTGGGTGGTCTGTGTAGCTACTCGATCTGACTGTCAAATCTGATCATATAACGCCAAATCACACACGATACTCAGGTTGATTCAACTGCTGCCTACAATCCAATGTCAGCAAGCTCCAACATATAAAAGAAAAAAAAAAAAATTCCCGACTCTCTACAACTTACCACGCGATCCCCCACCCAGCGCCTTGGCCACTGTCTCCTGCGCCGACTGCCACATCGACTTGCCCTTCTCCGCAGACTCTTTCGCGGATTCCCTGGGGCTGAATTCCCGGAACTGCCGCCGCATGCTTTCGGGGGTATCCGAGAGACGACGCGTGGTGGCCTTGTTGTCACCTACAAAGCGAAAAGGGACATGATTTAGTTCGAAGAAGTACCAGGAAAAGCATAAGCAACAGAAGGGAACGACCAAGCAGGGCTAGTGAAAAGTGGGATAGAACATCCCTGGGTCCATGTTCATGGTAATGGCACCATAACTGCTAGGATACGTACCCAGCTGGAAACGATTGGCAATCTTCTCGCGGGTGTTGCTGGCGGACTCCCGCCCACGGCCGGCTAGAGTGTCCGGGTTGCTCACATTGGTGTCGATGGGGCTGGACGCTTCTGGTTGAAGTGTGAGCAGGACCCGAGAATGATACCAGATCGATACTTACCGTCAGTGCTTGCGGTGTCACCCTGAACAAGATGATTAGCATTTCCCGAATGACCCAAGGCTAGGGGCAATCATACTGCCATGCCGGACATGCTGGGATTCAAAGTAGATCGATGGCTCGGAGAACTCGTTGGTACAAGTGTAATGGAACACCACGGGCGATGCTACAAGAAGAGAAAGAAAGAAAGTTGGGAGAAGAAGAAGGGACAATCCTTGCTTCGTCGACATGACGTGCCGCCATCGCCAGCGAATATCCGGAGACGAGCATGAAGGTGATGTCACTGGGATTCTCTCAGGGTGATGTCAACAGGAACAGAGTTCATAAAAATCGTAGTTAATTCGAGTCTAAAGAAGTCACGCAAGAATAGAGAAGCCTGCTCAGCAGCGAAGTTCAAGAGAAAAAGAAAACAAAAGACATAGATAAAAAGCAGAGAGATGCGCACTTCTGCCCGGCCCCGAGCTGTAACAACAAGACACAAAACAAAAAGAAACAAAACCCACAGCAGCATCAGGGACCAGGCAGACGCGATTGTATCAATCAAATCAAATCAAGTCATCAAGCACACGTAACAGATAAAAAAAAGGACCAGATGAAGAAAAAGAAAAGGCACATAACAAGACAAGGGAAACCATGCGCGACCACCGACGAAGGCATTAGTCGTGTATACATGAAATTATAGAGTGGTGGCCAGCCCTAAGTCACATTGCAAGGACGAAAACCAGACCGGAGGCGCGCCGGAGATGATTTACAGACTCATCGTCAGCCACTCCCATTCCTGGCTCGCACCTTGTCCACCAGCAATACTGTGGTTGGCCGGGTTGGCAGCGGCCGGGGGCATGGCGGGTGCCAGAGGCACCACCTTGGATCGGCCAGCTGGTGCACTCGCCTTGGGACTGTCGTCGGTGTCCGGATCGGACCCGATCGGCGCCTTTTCGATTCGGCGCTGGCGCTTCGGGGCCACCTGCACCCCGCTACGGGCGTGACTGACCCCGGCCACGGGGCCCGCCTTGGGTGGAGCGGCGGCAATCGGCACCACACCTGATTTCCCGACCAGGCTCGATCCAGACATCGCGGGTGGAGACTCGGACGCGTTGGCGCTGGCGCGCGCCAGGGACGCGGCCGAGGGGGGCTGCGGGGCAGAGTTCTTGCGGGAGGACTTCTTGGACGATCGAGAACTGCCGACAGCCAGGCTGTTGGCACTGCTGCGGTTGCGCTTTTTGATGACGTCGGTCTTGAGGGACAAGGGCCGCACAACACCGTGAAGCTTTAAGAAAAGCCCGCAGGCGTTGCACAGCGGTTGGCCCTCGGGGTTGCGTCGCCACAGGGGAGTGGTCTGGGTGAAGCAGTTGGTGCACGTAGTGGGACCCGCATTCGGGTCGCCGTTCTTGGACCCACCAGGGCTGGCGGGCCGGGACGGCACGGCACTGCTCAGACCAGACTCGGGCGGCGTGTTGGGAGAGGGGTGGCTCGTCGGGGGACCGCTGCTGGGACCGTTCAGACTCTGGCGGAGCAGTTGTGTCGCGTTGGGAGTTGACGTGATGCGAGCAATTTTCTGTTGACGGGGATCCTGCTCCCGGTTGCGTACCTCACTGACCGAGGCAGCGGAGCCGTGCCCACGACCCAAACTGTTGTTATGATGCCACTCTGGCGGGCCGTCCATCATGTCCGCCGATCCAATCGTGATATGCTTCCGGTGCTGAGCACCGAAGCCTGGCAGTGACTGGACTGACCCGGGGAATCCTCCCTCCCACTGCAGGCCGGCATGCATGTCACCACCTGATTCATCCATCGAAGAAAAGTCATTTGGCATCGCAATACCCCCGCGCTCAGTAAACGCGGCATCGTCGTCCTCGTTATCCGAGTCTCCCCCAAACGTGAACATGCTGCTGGCCGGTGCCGTTGTAGAAAACTCACCCGGGCCAAGTACTTGCGTCGGGTCGATGTGCTGCGGCGGTGGGACCGAAAATCCGGCCGAGTGCGCCGTGGAAGGCGGGCCCGTAACCGCATTGGGCGAATGAGACTCACCATTGCTCGTGTTGAACATATAGCGGGGCTGCAGTGATGCAGACAAGTTCGACGACCGTTGCTGGATGTAGTTTGGAATACGCCGCTGGGTCTGGGACTCGGCCGACGGGGCATCTGAGAAGAACATCGACTGCTCCCCTTCGTAAATCGGCTGTGGTGTCGACACAGCCGACTGGTACCCCGAGGGCGGGGGCGAGAAAAACTCGGTGGAGTTGAGCGACGAGGCCAGAGGCGTCTGAGCGTACAAGCCCGAGAAAGGGTTGCCCGTAGTCATAGGGGAATCCGAGGGTGAGAAGGTAAAATGCTGCTGGTAGGGCCCGGCCGAGTGAATAGCAGACTCGTCGCCCATTCCGTAGGTGTCCAGGCTAAACGGAAGACCAGAAGCCGAGTGGGGGTGCTGGTGTCGGCGCGGGCCACCCAGCGTGCCATTGCCTGACATCGCATAGGCGGTCGGCGGATGGTCCAATGAGTAATCAGGCAGCGCCGCTGAAATTTCGGAATGCTGCGCCAACATGGCGTTCGACACGGGTGGAACCTGGGGGGACGCCTCGGCAGGTCGCTTGCGAGTTGGCACGGCGAGGCCAGCAAAGAATTGACGCTCGTCGATGCTAGTCTTGCGGACCCGGCGCGGCACATACCCAAATTCGCTGTTCTTGCGCTGATCCTGGGGCGGATGAGGGGAACGATGCCGCGGCCGAGTCAAAAGTCGGGTGGTCCTTGCGCATTTTGATGGGGATTGAGGCCGTCGGAGTTGCTGTGAAGTGTCGCTCGGGGGATGGGTGGGAATGGTGATCCGCAGGAGAATCAAAGGGAACGATGAAGTCATCCAAGTTCATCGCGTCGGGAGTCGCATCCAGGTTCATGGTGTTCGACGGGTTCGATGTAGTGGACGAACCATGATCGGAGAGGTGCATCTGCGCGAACCCACTTGGGTTCGGACTCAATCGTGCAGCACTGTATAACAGTCAGTCCCCTCCTGTTCCCAATCGCCTCCTTGAGGGTCGGTGCCTACCGAGCCTGTTCCTCTCGTTCCTTGCGTTTCAAACTCATAGCCATCATGCGCCAGGTTAGGTTCTCCATGCGCTCCTGGTTGGGCAACTGGGCCTTTGTTCTGGTGTAAAGTCTCCAGATCTGCGCAGCCAGCGGATCCTTGCGCTGCATCTCATCGGGGCTCTCGCCCCGCAAGGCACCATTCTTCCACTCAGGAAAGACCGAGTCCTGGAGCACACCGTCGGGGACGTTGGATGAGTTGGACGGAGTGAACGGGGAGTCAAAGGAGAAGTCATCGGACATCACATGGGAGTCGGGGTCGAAGCCGAAAGCCATGGATGGAGGTGCGCGAGCTCCTCCATGTCCTCCATGATTCATCCCCTCCATGGTCTCCGATGGAGAAGGGTGAATGGAGGGGGAAGGAAGGGATGTAAAGATCAGAGAAAAGTGGAGGGGTTTGATGGCACGTGGATTGAATTGAGATTCACCCGTACCCGCCCCAAACGAGACCCTTGTTAATATTTGAAGGATGGAGAGGGAGCCAAGTGAAGCGATTGGCAGGATGCTGCAGCCAACGACCAGGGTCTGTCAGCCCATGAAAAAAAGAAGGCCCAGTTAGCCTTGAAAGTGTAACGAAAGGATGGTATGGAAAAAAAAGAGGGGACTCACGATCCGAGTCTCACCCTCTGGGAGTTTGCTGTGTGAGTCGTGGAGGGGGGGGCTAGACCCTCCAGACGCTCATGCCCCGAGAAGGTGAAATTGAGATAGAAAACCGCAAAATGGAGATGGAAAGGCGATGGAAGATGATCGAGAGAGGATCGAGAGAGCGAGGAAGAGAAAGAGAGAGAGGAGAGAAATGTGTGGGAAAGACGGAAGCGGAGGGGGATGTCACCCACGAAACGCAAAGCAATTCAACCACAGCAAAAAGCAGAAATCAAATCAAATTTAGCCGAATCAGATCAAATCGAAGAGAAAGAAAAGAACGAGTCTACGAGGTCCAAGAGAAAACAATGCGAATCATTTGAGAGAGAGAGAGAGAGAGAGAGAGAGAGAACGAGACGTCCAAGGCAAAAGACTCGACAGTGTATGTGTATTACCAGTACGGCAGTGTGACCGATTTACGGCGCTTCTCTCGACTCCCGCGATTCTCCCTCCAGCGCCACTCCCGTACGATCGAGATTGCTCAGAATGCCATTCTTTTCTTTTCTTTTTCTTTTGTTCCCTCAAATTAGCAAGGTTTGATCTAGAAGAGGCCACGTAAATTCGATGCATACCTAGCGTCTTGTTCTTCTTCCGCACGGCCCGGGGTTTCTTGGACGGTGCGATTCCTGCTTGCTATGGCCGAATGAGAAGGACGGAAGCCGTGAGAGCATCGGGCCGACTGGTTACAGGGACCGAGCGGGAATCGCCACTAATGTGCTTTGCCCGGTTTCGAGAGTCGAAAACGGTGTCTAGACTATTTCCCCCTAGGTACTTTTGTGTCATGAATGGTATCTTGATTTGTTTGGTTCTCCGAAGCTATGCTTCAGTAGTGCCCGATGCAGGTCCAACGATCATGCCGAGTGGAGACTGTTCGTTGGTGGAGTATTTCCCAGCTGTCGTGAGACCATATCCATTTGAGCTATTCTCCTCTAATCTAATATATTTGAATCCAAGTACAGAATAGGGGGCGTGGAGAAAAGAAATACGCACAGTTTGATTGGCGCGTAGATCGCATTGCATTGCTTTTCAACTAACACCTAGCACCGAAATCCTGGGCTTATTTTTTTTGTATGCAAGGACTAGCAGATGCAGAGTGGGGAGGGAATGATAGTCCAGTGCCCCGACGGATGGATCCCGAGAGAATAGATAAGGAACATTCTATGGGGTCTCTACCCAGAAATCGGAGCTGTCCGAGATATATCCAGGTACCGGTGAATGGTTGCGAAAATTACTGGAATATGGGGGTTCTCATGGATATAGTTGAAAAATTGAGGAAAAGATGATACAACATTCGAGATGGGCTCACCGAGAGGCTCAGAGAACGAGATCCCTAGATTACCCGATCTGGTATCAGTAGTGTAACACCGAGGTCGCCGTCACAACGTTTCTCAGTGCTTTTTTGGGAGGGAAAATCCTCCGCGGATCGCGGGGGCGCGCGGATTATATCCGGCTAATCTTCTGTGTCTCTTTCAGCCGTCAATAAGAATCGAGTCTTACGTCGCCGCGTGACTAGCGGATGCCAGCTCCGGTCTTTCTGGCGACAGGGATCCTCTTTGTCTCTCGCTGTGTGCCGTTGCCTGTCTTTTTTGTTCTTGCTCGCAGAAAAGGCCGATGCGCAGGTCAATCCCCCTCGAAGTGGAACACTGGGGGCGGATCCGGTAACAAAGGCACGCGAGACCCTATTCCTCAGATCGACTGGAAGACAACGTCATGGGCCTCTCACAGCGTCACCATCTCAAATATCGCGGGATTTTGGCCCCACGGCCCACTTAAAAAAAGTCGGGGCATCAAGATAAGGAGACAAAAAAAAGAGATAAGCTGATTAAGTCCGCGCAGTAGTCATTGGCCATGGTCATTGATAGGCACCGCCGATCGTGCTGGAAGTGGAGCCTGCTCCGTGTGGGCGAAGTGTACTCCGTTGGGTGTCCCTGAGAGAGTCATCTCGGGAGTACGTGAACCCCTTCCCCTGGCTCATGAGATTCATCTGCCCAGTTCCATTTCCATCTTCATGGATATGATCAATGACATAGACAATTGAGGTATTTCAATCAGGGGGAAACAGAATGCCGTGGGAGAGTTGGCGCGACTTGGGTCTTGGACTCCATCCCCCCACCCAGGCTGCTTTTCGGTGCGCCTTCTGCGGTTATTTGGAAATCATTGGATGCAGGTGTGTTTCTGAGGCAATTTATTGACAAGTTCCATATGTAATGGAAGGGGTGCCCGAGTGGATAAAAAAGAAACAAGTGGAAGGAAAGTGAAGGTGTGTGAGAGAGAAAGAGAGAAGGGGCAAGAAGAGGGAGAAGCCTCAGGCCATAGCCCCTAAAGATGGGGGCATCTTTTCTTTTCTCTCTTTTTCTTCTCTCGAGAATCAGCCTCGAGAGCTAAGATTAATCCCTCGGACCTTGAGAACTACGGCCTCCTATATATACCCCCTCCTCAAGCCACGAGTCCTTCCGAGCGTGTGGTTATCACCCAACTCCGTCTCGATAAGGCGTGACGCTACCCAACGCTGATAAAATAGGCCTGCATATCTCTTGAGATAAAGGATTCCCCTGTTATTTGCTCAAGTCGATGATTCGCACACCGCATCGTTTGCGACTCTGCTATCTCCAGGTTTTCAACCCCGGAGTAGATTATTCCTATGGCCCTGGAAATCCTTTTCAGCGCGAATGCGGCATCAGTGTACCTGAATATCCATACACATTGCCGCCGTATCCATTTTGAAAAGAAAAGGAAACACGAAAAAAACTACTTCAGAGAGTTCTGCATCTGATTTCTCGAAGTGATGACAGGTCTATTCCAGAGATATGCATATCAAGATAGCATGTAAAGGATTCAGGGAATGCAATCACCAGAGGAACGGACGCCATTCGCAGAACCAATCTCCTCGGAGAAAGCTGGCTTATCACAGCCTGTTGGCCCCAATAATCCAATAATGGCCCGATGCTTTTTTTTTTTTTTTTTTTTTTTGAAAGAATTTCCTATCGAGTCAGACAGATATCGCTGCTGACGGACAGCTGGCCCCCAGGGGTCCCTTGCAGGAATTGCATATCTCAGCGTCGATGAAAAGACTATCGGTGACAGAGGTAAAGATTGGCAATGGGATTGGGCTTTTGAAGTGTAGAAGAGTCTTGGTATACGCAAGGTGCTTCCAAACCAGTGCTGGCCCCTTAGCTCCTCTGAGATTGTGCAACTCCTACCCTATCTTGAGTCGAAATGCGGTATACACGCCATGCAATTGGTGGTTCTCGATATCTGATGAAGACCATCCCTAAATTGCAATCGAAGCAGTCGTCCAGGCTGGTATTCCAACACACGAAGAGATAGGACGTCAACAGTAAACAAGGGAGAAAAGAAAGAAAAGCAAGTCTATATGGATGCCCGAAAGTAAACCCTCCTAAACATGTCTGGGGTAAAAAAGAGATTCCAGTTCAATAGTAGAACCACCCACAGTATATGTATATATGGTATCAGGAGCCAAGCAATGAAGAAAGGCTAATATAAAGGACAGACCCCACCAGATCCAGCTCGCCCAATGAGAAAATGAAATTGGAAACAAAATAAGAATAATGGAATGATGCCACCCGAAAACCCTAGCGCCCGCTAATGACCAGCCGCAAAGCAGACCCGCCACGGTGTATGATGAGGCGAAAAAAGCACAAGTGGAAAAAGCCAGCAAATGTATATCTCACGGGGTATTAGAAATGAAACAAGCCGTTCTAGGAATGTGATGCACAACGTGACGAAATCCGAATCCAAAGAGCGTGAAAAGATCCAGGATGAGATTCAAGGTCGAAAGAAAGTGAATGAGAGGGTCATGACCCCGGTGAATGGCCTGGAGCGCCCGGATGGCCCATCGGGGGTGGGTTGGTAGGGAAGGCGGGTTGTTGGACGGCCTCGCCAGCATACATGGGATATGGCACCACGCCAATGCCAGACATGGCGCCCATGTCTTGCCACTGTGGAAAACCCATGGCGGCTTGGCCCGCATACGGGACTGGCCCGGCAGCCGTCTGCATGTCGGGACTCGGGTTCGGAGAGCTCTGCGCGCCGGCAGCGGTAGTGGTGGAAAAGGTCTGGGCAGGAGTCGTCATCCTCCGCTTCAGATCCGAATTTACCTGCGGGGGAAATTGGTTGGGGTAGGTGGAGGCCATATCGCCTTGTCCGGGGTAACTCATGGTCCTCAGCGGTGGTGGCACTTGCCAGACTGAACCGTCTGGCTGCATAGTATATGCTGGGGCACTCATGGACTGAGCCTGGCTTGCCATGGGGGAAGTTCCGGACATGGGGGAATTCGGGGGTAGCCCTGAAGGAATCGTCCCGGGATTCCATACATTGGGCGCCAAATTCATCATCTGGCTTTTGCCAGTCATCGTGGCGAGTATTTGGGGGTCTGATATCGTCGTGAATTCATCCCATGCCACCCCAGTATCCATTGACGGGGGCCCTGAGAAGTCATTTGGTGCCATGGGTCGGTCTGAAAGAAAGGAAACCAACACACCTCAGGTCAGTTATTCTATACTATGCTAGCGACACCACCAAAGCGCGACATACCTGGTACAAACCCCATCATCGGAGTGGAAACCATCGTTGTATTGTAAGTTGACATGTCGGTTGCTGACGTCGTGTTAAACGCCATGGGGTACGGGTAAAAGGCCTCATTAGGGTCAGGGACGAGGTTGGTCGGAGACGATGTAATAGAGGCCGTCGTCGATCGCTCGGTAGACGGTGTTTCAAGCCTTGAGCTGGGACGGGATTTCTTCTCCACAGGTGGTTGTTGGTCGACAGGGAAGAACTGGCATTCCTTGCGCAACCGGATGCAATTCTCACAGCGGCCCTGCGCATCGTCCGGCGCCACCAGACACCGAATCTTTCGTCGTCGACAATGCACTGCATCGAATGAGTATCACCGCACGACTCCACGGTGCGAAGGGATTGACTCACCACATGCGACAGAGGTTCGATGATACCCCAGCTTATTACGCTTCTTGTCATTATCCATGGCGGCTTGTGAACTTGATGTAGATGTCATCTCGTCGACAGCCGCAGGCATAGCTCCCACGAGCAAGATCCGATTATTGCGCCAGTCGAATGTGCATCAATGCTGCAATGAGGAACTTGAGGCGAACTGCCCTTGGTGTTTCACGACAAGATCCAGGGCTGTTGCAAAAGACGGAAGGAGGTCAGGCCATGCAGCCAGCAGACTAGAGAATCCAACGTGTCGATTGCAGATGAGGTTCTATTTTTTGCCGACTGTAATCCACCCGCGCCATACAACTTTCCAAGGATATTGCGCGTTTCAAGGGCCGACCCGTTGATGGATGTCTAGAGGCCAGGTTTGTCCAGGGTGGGGAGAGGGTGCGCAGCGATGAAGATCGGTAAAACAGATTGAGAATAGATTGGAGAAGGCGCCGGGATTCGTCGGGTTGTCGGGGGTTGCAGATTAATCAATAGTAATTAGGGTCATTAGGGTGCTGATGGACGGGGGTTCGACCGTTAGGGTTGTGATCCCAGATGCGATTAGTCAGGAAAAAAACAGAAACTAAAGGAGTGTAAGGAGTGAAATCAAGTGAAAGGAAGTAGAAAAAAGAAAAAAGAAACCAAGAGAATCATAGGGGAGAGAGAGTAAGAGGGAAGAGCAGATCGAGGATGTACTATAGTCCCGAGACAGAAGCTAATCGCGGGGTGAAACGCCCTGGTTATTTTCTTTCCTTTTCTTTTTCTTTTCTCTTATTTTGAATTTGATTATTTAATTTGAATTTTTGATTATTTTAGTTGGTTTTAGTGGGTTTTAGTGCCGGCTATGTTGGGAAGTGGAATTCGATTTATTATTTTATGAATATCTTACTACTGTTATTCCTTTTTAATTATTGATGGCCATGCTTGTCCATGTAAGCATAACCTTACAATAAGGCGACGAAGGCACTGTCATTTTAGGGGCAAGATTCCATGAGATTGAGGGGACATCTTCATACGAGTCAGGATCAATATTCCCCTGTTTCTTTTTTTAAGACTTGCAAATTTCCCAATGCGGTAAAGCAGCATCCCTGATTGCGTACGTTGGACCCGGTTCATGGCGAATGGGCAAAAGGAACCATGGTCGGGGGAGCCCTGACATAGTGGGGGTCTTGGAGAGAACCTGAGGACCTGTCAATTATGAATGAACTGGGGAATTCGAAGGGATTATTTCTCTCTGTAGAATAATGATAATGATAATGATAATAATAATAATAATAATAATAATAATAATAATAATAACAAGTACATCAGGGGATAGGGAGGTCTCTATCGACGGCCATTGAGTCAAAATATAGACCCAAGTATTATCTTGGCACAAATTATCGAAGATATAGATCTAAAGGTTGGGGATACTTCCACCACGCGTGGACTGAAGCGAACCGGGTGATTGGTGCTAAAAACAGATTCAGGGTCCACGGCTGATGCGTACCAGAAGGGGATCTTGCGGCTTTTTCTCTTTTCTTTTCTTTTTCCCTCTCGTAGCCCCTTTTTTATTTTCTTCAATTTCTTTAATTTTGAACTTTCTTTTGTTCTTGGCCATTGCCCGGGCGTAGCTTAATCCTTTCTGGAGTTGATGACATTCACATAAAACTATGATCCTAGAGAGACGGCACCTTACCTTTTGTGTGTTTTTTTCCCTTCGTTGTACACAAATAGAAATAAAAATAAAGGAAGAATAAAATATAATTATAAACCACTCACGCAAAATAAACTCTCAATCAGAGTCTAATTTATGGATCCATCACTTCACTGCTTATGGGTGAGGGGCAGGATAATCTTAATCACACTGTGTATTTCCATGCTTTGGACATTGGTTTTTGCCCCCTTTCCCATAGCCGTGGGGTATGATTTGAGAACCCAAAGGCTGACTCGAAGAATGCCTGTGTGGCTGTGAGAAAGAAACCAAAAAAATAAAATAAAATAACACCGACGGAGTGTACCGAGAACCCCCGATGACATAAGATAATGGTCGACCTGGAGGTAATGAACTAACGCCCAAGTAGGATATCAGTCCGATGGGCGTGAAGAAGCGTTGGCTTAGCACTGCGCCCCCAAGTGCCATTCTGTAACGAAGACTGCCCCCACTGTGTGGAGCCCTCACCGTCAAGGTTTAATTAAGGATCGTCTCAACGCCGTAGCGCGTTACAGATGGGGTCTTGGCGACCCAGCATTGCTTTTCCTTTCCCTTCTTCGAAGCCTCAAGCGAGCTTCCATCACTGGAGACGACTGGAGACGAACCAGATCCGAGTGGAGGTTGAGGGGCTCAGACACACTGAGGATCAGCGATGGAGTCGAATTATAACAGACATTTTGTACCAAAAAAATACCAAAAAAGGGGGGGGGGTGCTCCAAAATTCTCACTGGCCAGGTCCATGAGAAAAGACAAGAAAAAAAAAAACCGTGTCAGGACCGTCGCTCGAGCAGTGGACACGATCTTCAGGTGTAGTGTCACGCCAATGACCCCTTCCTACAACTTTCCTGTAAGGTTTTTCTAGGCGACTCGGCAGTTGCATACCTACGCTCGACCCTCTGCTAGTATGTTCTGGTCGAAGATCAGCCCCATGTGCGTTGGCACAGGTTGAAATGTCAAGCATGCGAGAGATCTGGCAGTATCTGGCAGTAGTGTCGTCTTCTGCACCAATAATGAAGCCCGGATGACAATGTGCAGTGCATAGATAAAGTGGAAGGGTGTAATGCTCGGCGTCGGACCATTGGGTCAAGCATCACCGTCCATGAGAGAAAAAAAAAACACCCCTTTGAAAGGGTCCAAGGCCGACTCAGATCTCGCTTCGGCTTTGATCTCAAGGGCCAAGACAGTATTCCCGGGGGAGCATTGGGAACACCCTCTAGGGCCGAGAAGGCGTCATCTCTGCGCCCGGGGAGTTTACGCCTCGGCGTCCTTCCGTGGCTGTCTGCTGACCGATCCGGGGCTAGTAGGCAGCCATGTTTTCCCTGCCAAAAATTCAAGTGCCGGGCTCCGCTCGGGCTAGGATTGCGTGCATACAGCTTGCGAGCGTATTCGCAATGCTGAAATCCTGGGCCCCGGGCATTCTGCCTCGCAATGCATCCTTTCGGGCCTCTGTACTCTTTGGGATGTACTGTGGTGCATCCCTAAAGACCAGATTCGGCTGAATTCGGGTAAAAAGGAGTAAAGGGGAGAGGACAAAAGAATCAAGGGACAAAGAAGGATGAAAAGATGAAAAGATGAAAAGATGAAAAGATGAAAAGAAGAGAAGAAGAGAGAGAATCAAAATCGCCATGTTCGTGCTTGGTGCTGTAGTGACTTTGGCCATTCTTCCAGTCCATGCTGGATGCCATCAAGAGATCTCCCTATCGGAGTATCCGATCTCAAGGCCAGTGGAACCCAATGCAGGGACTCCCACTGGCGAAAGCCCACTCCTCGACAGGGACCCGGTTGTTTCACCATTGTCGGGCCCTTGACCTGATGTGGATATGCTCGGTTGTCCATGGGTCTCCCTTTTGAACCTGCAACCTGCCTTACGCGTCCTCCAAGAATAAATTTCTCTCTTGGGTTGGTCTCTGGTGTCCATTCGCCCGCTCGCCCTATCACCTTGCCCAGTGCCTCCAGCTCTGATGTTCAGAGAGAGAGAGAAAAGGAAGGTGGTATTTGAGATTTTCGACCGGTCGGTAAGATTTCCGCTCTGACACGACTTTTCCCCGAAAAGAAAAACCCGCAAACCGATTTTTCCGGAAGAGATTCGAGAAAAAAAGCGGGGGGGGGGGGGGGGGGGGGGGGGATCGCTTGCGTGCTGGCAACACCCGAGGAGCATCCGAAATCTCTCCTTGTAGTGTGCGCATGTGGTGCTTCTTGCAAAAGGCTGAAAGGCCGAAATGCCGTGCCCGATGCAAACCTTGAACCAGCTACTAACAACCACAACTAACACCGTCGAGCACATTTAGCCGACAGACCCCGCCATATGACGATGGGTTGCGACCAGGTGATTCGATATGCATGGCCTCGCGTGTTGAATTGATGCTGTGCTTGTTAGTCGCTCACGCGGACCACCACCGGAACATCGATGGCCCTCGCTTCCCTGATACAACACGCAACACACGTCCGTCCGGATCGACTAATAATGGCATGACACCCGACCGAAGCACACCATGCTCGAGCAAATGTTTCCTTGGCTTGTCCTCCTCGCGCGTCGACGATATAAACCTCCTGGGCTCTCTCGAACTCGTCCCGAGAAGCCGACTTTGATTGCGGCGCTGGGGTATCCGGAAGGGAGGCCAGTGGGACGTGTCGATATTCATAAGACCGGTGTAATGGGTGACCTGGGAGACGTGTATATTTGGATGAGTCTGGAGTCGCTTGTGTGGGGTCGTCTTCCTGACGAAAGGAGCTGGACGCAAACCCCAGCGGAGGCCGACACTGTTGAGCAGAAATGAACCGCACGTTATACCTGAGGGGCATTGAAATCATTCGCGGGGATTCCATGGGATCTGTGCCCTTAAGGGAGAGTGAGACTGACACCTCACTGGTGACTGTGATACCTTGGCCGTGGGGTGGTCGGCTCCCATCCACGGCCAGGGACAGCGCCTCCAGGGTTACCGTGAATTTGTCTGGGGCAGCTTGATCTGTGGGAAGCGTAAATTCCTTCGCGGCGATGTCACCCACTCCCAATGGGGATGACTCCATGGCAAGCTTGCCTCCCTGTCTGATTCGAGGTTTGCTCGAGCTCGTCACCACCTCGCGGGTGACGACCTCGAACCATCCACCCTCAAAGCTCTTCAACGTAGTCGTATCGTGAGGAAGCAGCTTGCTCCCAATCCATCCCATACATGTTTTAGCTCCTTCAGAGCTGGACAAAACACGACCAACAATGCATGCTTTGCTCCACCAGCTCTGGCCTCTGTACACAAACCCGCCATAAAGACTGGCCATCGTTCCTAGCCGCTCCAATGCATCTGCGTCGTTCTCTAGAAGGGTCGCCATGAGAAGATGGCTAATGCCCTCCCCCGGGATCACAAACCCGGAAAGCCAACTGCGAGAAATCCAGCCAAGTGTTGTCTGTCTGTGCGGGTCACCGTCATCAGCACAAGAGCTGTGGAGTCGTACTCGTCGCCTAGACGAGCTCCGGGTGTACATTTCGGCCTTTGCTACTTGCATCGCAACCAAGTCTGGGGGGGTTTCTAAGCTCGCTCGGCCGTCAAACTCCAAGTCCGGGAGGACAGGGTTGTGGCTACTGCCCAGCTTTTGTTCCAAGGTAGCCTTGAGAGTATCGAGTCTGGGCCATCCAATGTTCTCTGCGAAGACGTACAGCCCCTCCAGTTGCTGTCGAACGTGCGAGGAGCTCAATTGACATTCCCAGGCGGATCGCAGGTCGACAACTGGAGCTGACGAGCCGCGGCGGGTGATAGCATCCAACAAGGAAAACCGGCGAGGCTTCTCGGGCAATTGATTGGTGGAAGGCTGCTGTGGAACGCCGTTTGAATTCTGCGGCGAGGCACAGGTGATGTCGAGACTGTCGAAGAAGCGACGCACAACGACCAGATCCCAGTTCACTTTTCCTGTTCGCAGCTTGTCAAAATGACGGAGCCCCTGCATCGTGATTTGGCCGCCATGCAAATCATGCAGCATATCTACGCGGACAAACGCGTCTAAACGAAGCAGGAGCTCCGCCGCCAGCAGCATTTGGATCAAAAACCATTTGCGCTCTAGACCCGCCTTCGCTGACGACTCTCGCGGTGCCCCTTCACCGCACGAACTGGGTTCGAGACAGTCTCCGTCCTCATGCGGCGGCGTCTCCCACAGGGCTTGGCCAGCCCGAAAACGCCACTCTGGCAGACTGAAATCAATCCATGCCCCTGGTGTGGCCAACACTATCGCCAACGTTTTGATCTGCGATTTGAGGCTTTGGGGGTGGCCCGGCATCACCTCGGAAGGCGGCGGACGAGGGTGAAGAAAGTTCGTGTGCAAAATGCAGTGCAGCTCATGTGGGCTCTCGATATCCAGAATTGTTTTCGTCGAGCCGTCGCGGAGCATGTCATGTCGGAATTCTCGCAGATGGTCTAGCCGTTTGACCAGGGTGCGAAGATTGATATCTCGCACTCCAATGCGCTTCCAGCCCGAAGGACCTTGACAGATGAGCCGATGTCGGTCGTGCACCGCTCCACTCTGACACTGAGTGTAGGGCTTGTTGAAGCTCTCCATCAATTCGAATGCTTCAGAGGCAGGGAGAGTCGAGACTCGTCGGAAGTTTGGGGGTTGTCTGGGCTCTTCGGGGCCGACATATCGAACAGCATCCGCAACCGACAGTTCCAAGAAATGCCGAAACCCGATCGTCCCCGGCTCCCTGCCATTGTTGGAAAGCATGTTTGGCACCTCGAACACTCCGATATCAAAGGTTGCCCTATTGCATGCACCTGTTCGAGTCCAGTCGTGCAATCGAATGGGCACCCCGCCCTTGACGGCCCAATCATCGGGGACCGGTAAGTGCGCGTGAAGGGTGCTCAGGGTAAATGATGCATGGGGCAATGGTTTGCGATCTCCCATGCGCTGGATGGATGGATTATGCTCGTCCCAGGGGAAGATCACTTGCGGATACCAGTGCCCATGTTTGCCTCGTTCGAGCAGGAAATGGGGCGCTCCTGATAGTATTGCCTTGATATCCTTCTTTGTTAGGGTTCCATTTGGCAGACTGGCTTTGGCATTCGCCAGAGTATTCTTCGGCGTGCCCGCCATATCCAGTCTGTATTCAAGCAGGTCTTGGATATTCCCCGGTTGCTTTGGCTCAGCATCACCTCCAGGCAGCGGCTCGGAGCTCTGGCGAGGGTCATGGCGACCGCCATCACTAGCCCTTCGTTGCCTCGATACCTTGCCAGGTTGCTGTCCCGGTGGTTTCGTGTATTCCTAGGCCTGTCAGGTGGAACTCTGGATTGGTATGGGTGGGATTGGTCGTACATGGTTTCTAGGAGATCTGGCTGGATCTGATGGCGGCAGGCTATCGCTGCGTCTTCGAAAGAAGCCACGGAATCCTCCTTGATCAGTTGACTCATCTCGAGGATTCGATGGCAGATGACGATGTGAAAGTGAGGGTCTTGCGATGCCGGGGTCAGGGTGGCCAGCGGCCGCATCTGACTGGGATCGACGACGACCAAATGTGAACAACATGGATGTTATGCGATCTGCTGATCCGATAGTTCATCACCATGTATCAGCTTAATTGGGGTATCGAGAATCAAGACCCTGGACCAGGATTAGATCTGCAATTGAGAGATCCGGTACTCGCGGGCCGAGCTCGGCACCTTCGGCTCGCGGCGGAACCCTGGGAGTGCACTGGTGGAGAGCTTGAGTGGTCTCGCCGAGTTTCGCCCGGTAGTGAATAAGCTCCAGGAGAATAGTTCAAATTACTAAAAGATGGCAAATGGGATGGATGCAAGATGCTAGCAGGGAGAGACGGAGGGATGAAGTTGGCCGCAGTCATGACGTCTCCAAAGGTTCTCCGACACTCTCGGGCTAGTTGGCACTGTTGATTACTCTACATTCGTCCAACTTTTGAACTTCAAAAATCATGTTCGAACTGGTCGCATATCAAACTCGATTGTGAAGATGACTCTACGGAAATCTCCCTGGGCTTGCATTTTATAATTACGCGTGCTGGTGGAAGAACTCCAGAACGGTCTTGTATCCGCGCTCGTACTCCTTGCGCACCTCCGCGTCCTCCAGATCCGACCGAGCAGCCATCCAGCCGTGGATCTGAGTGGAAAAGGTCTCAACGTGGTTGGGGACCTGCAGGTTCGTTTTGAACGCCTCGACATCCTGGGCCGGCTCGTCCTTAGAGGCAAGAGTCGCCAGCGGCACGTTCACGTTTTTGGCATCGTTGGGGTCGACCATAGCCGGGTGGCACTGTGCGGCGGCCTTGAAAAGCTTGTTCTCCGCGCCCACCGATAGCGTGGCGATCTTGCCGCCCCAGCAGAAGCCCAAGATCGACCAGGACTGGAAGCTGCCGCCGGACGCCAGCTTGTTGGCCTCGGCCACGATATTGGGGATCTTCGAGAGGGTGTTGGGGGGAGCAGCCTTGGACTGGAAGAAGTTGCCCAGTTTTTGCTTGTGCTCGTCCGTGGTGGGCGGGTACCACGAGATGTCGGCGGGGCTGCCCTCGAAGAAGTCGGGCATGAACACTCGGTATTTTTGGTCATTGGAAGTCGACAGGATGTCGGCACCCTGGATCGTCTGGTCAAAAAAGCCGAAGATGTCTGGAGTTCATGGTACGGTCTTGGTAAATGGTCTCGCGTCGTTTCGTGCGGGGGACTGGGTGCAGACTTACCGTAAATAACCAGGATCGCTTTCGAGGCCGACTCTGGACCTGTAACATCTGTAATCAGTTAGTTTATGTCGTGAAGTAAATGCTGCAGGTATGGCGGCACACATACAGGTCTTCAGGCCATTAATGGTCTTGTACTCTCCCTTGGCTTGGTAGCCCTTGGAGACCACGGGCGGGATCCTGAGTTCCCCATGAATGTTAGCAGAGATGATTGGGCCGACCGTCGGAGGCATGAGGGGTTGACGAACGAGCAACAGGCTTTGCTAACTCCAGACATGATGGAAGAGTAATGGATCGGACGAGCGGTGCAATGGTATGGTTTGGAAGCGGGGAAGGGTCTTCGTAGAGAAGTCAGAAATGGTCTGTATTGCATCAAGGAGACACCAAAAGGTAGAGAGGGATTGACGTACAAAATTTAACTTGAAAGGGGGGGGTTCGATGGTGAGAAGAAGGAGGTTGGGGAGAGCAAGAGACGAAGCGAGTCTGCCCCGCTAGTCGACGTCATCGGAGCGACAGTCGGCAATTTGCAGAGCGCAACTGCAACGCTGTGCGCGCGGGGATTTTCTTTGTCTTCGAACTAGGCAAGAGAAAAAAAAAACCAAGCTTGTATTATATTATAGAGTTCTGAATATCACAAAATATCCATGGAGATCGAGTCATCGATGGATGTCCCGATCAGGTAAATCCTCAGTTGTATATCTATATCAGGCCTGCGATATATCTGGGCGCAAACAAACATCGCCACAACCGAGGTATAGCGACACGATTCCCCCGGTATTCAGCTCGTTGTCACACAGGCCTTGTGCGACACACTTTATCTAACATCCTCATCCAAAGGTCGTTTCATGGGTTGATACAACCACCAATGTGATCGGGTTTAGCAGCAAATACGCTACCCAGGAAAACTTCCTGGGTATTGCGATTAGCGAAGATACATCCAAAACATATTGTATCACATTCCCATAAGATGCATGGATGGAAGAGTATTTGAAAATATAATTTCGAAATCTCTCGTCAGAAAGACCAAACATTCGGTCAATGTGAAACCAACTGTCTCATCCCTGAGACGGCTGCCTAGGCTAAGGAAATAGGCGATGGACAAGACAAATTGATTGAAAGATCAAAACAAGAACCGAAACAGAAAGAAAGAAAAATAAGATAAGTAATTAAGTAAGAAGGCAATTCACTTCTACTTGCAAATCTCCAGGGCGTGAAGAGAGCATACAAGACTTTCAGCCAGGGCTGAAATGGCCCGTGATGAAGTGCAGACATGAGCCTTCCCGAAGCCACAACCGAAGCCGACGATCGCGTGGTTCAGAAGTGGACCGCGCGCTGTCACATTTGAGAGGAGCCGCCTTGCATCGCAGAAAAAAAAAGCCCTCAGCAAATCGGCAGCGAACCATGATGGGGGGGGGGAGAGTTGGGGGCGCGATCCAGAAGCACTGTTCGAATGTCGATCGAGCAGGGAATTGGCGTGGGTAATTCGGCTGAGGCTGCCTATGATCGACACTGGCGTGGCGATCGTCGACGCTACGCGTGAAAAAAAGAAACGAAAAGCCCAAGAAATCCAGGTACGATATGGGATCTATCTCAAGAATCCAAGAATGTACATTCTTTGGCAGTACAGCCGTACAGGAGTGTACAGTATCGATTGTAAGCCGGGCTGCATTTCCCCCTCTAATGGGGGGGTAAAGACATGCGGTCTCGATGAGAATCCCATGCAGATAAATATGAATATGATCTGTTGCAATTCATCAGCTCTGTCAAAAAAGAAAAGAAAAGACGGCAGATCGGCTCTGCTATTGTCTCTTGATTTTACAAATGTCGGACAAGGATCGGCAGGGCCTCTGTTTGCCTTCCCTTTCTTTCTTTCTTCTTTTTCTCACCTAAAGCACCTGTCAACGACAAGCGAGGCCGTGGTCTGATTGGCCGATAAGCTGGAGACTCCAGGCTTTGTTCTTTTCTTTTCGAGGTCATGGCGCCACCCGGGCAGTGTGAGTGGTGGAATCGGGGCGAGACATCGCTTAGGGTTAGGGGGCACCATGGATGAGTTTGGGGGGACCCAATCCCCCGGGGAGTCTTGTGCAGGCTAGGATGACTAGGGTTAGTGTGAGTGGGATTAGTGTATTATTAGTGTTAGTCTGAGGACATGAGGATAGGATTGCGCAGATGACTCGGAGCGAATGACCTCGTCCGTGCGCGATGGGCCATTGGGCACGAGTCGGGTTCTCCTAATTCACTAAACCAACTAAACCGACTAAATCCACTAGTCCTGCTCGACTGTGCTGGAGAGTGCCTTGGCTCCCGGCTAATCCTACCATGCGAGAATTTCCCAGACGCAAGGAGTTTCTAAGACAGTGAGACCAAAGAAAGAAAAACAAAACAAAACAAAACAAAATATATATATGATATTATATTAAATATCATATATATATATTATATCTATAAAAAAGAAAATCACTAATACATTAATACATCTGGGTCCCCGATCGAGTGATACGATCTCCAGCGTTCGGAACAGACCCCGACTGTCAACCACGTTGTGATTAGCTTAACAGAGAGCCGAATTTGCGAAAACCTCGGGGCCCACTGTTTTTCTTTTTTTTCTTTTCTATTTTGTGGCCAGACCCAAGTCGACTGGGTTTCTTTATTTTCTTTATTATTGATATTATTGATATTAATTTAGTTCCATATATATTCTCGCGCTCTTATATCCTTTGCCTTTCCCCCCCAAGCGCCCCAACGCCACTTCTCATTTCCCTTCCCCACTCACCTCTCTCTCTCTCTCTCTCTTCCCTTCTTGCTCTCTCTCACCCTCTCTTATCACCTTCACCTTCACCTTCTTGGGATTCTATATTTCTCTTCAGAGGAAAATAACATCATGCAATTCTCCCGTTTTCGTCGACCGTGACTTTTCCCACTGGGTCTTAATCTCTTTGCCTCACATTTCTTCTCTGCCTCCCCTACAACTGATTTGATTTTCTGTTTCTGTTTCTTTGTCTTGTTTGATTACTTCTCGATATCCACAGTCACCGTCTTGATAAATTTCTCACCTGATTGCCCTCCCGATCGCAATCACTCCCGCGAGCGATCAATACTCGCCCCTCCTGGATCCTCCGAGCCCTTTGGGGCCCCTGTCTGGTGTTCAAGATTGGTCATTGGGTGGAGACGCTCTGGGATCTACGACCAACTTATCTTCGTCGCTCCACGACTCCCCTGATCTTTTTACCGTGGGGGCCCCACGAGAATCGGCCAACCTGGCTGCACTCGCTGTTCCGGCTCCCGGAATGGGCACGGCATTGGATGCTTTGGCATCTCAGCCGCTCAACACCCGTCGCCCTGCAGCTCCGACCTTGCCGAGCTTTGAGCTGCCCCCGCCGCCATTTACCTTGCCCGGCACCGCGCCCAAATACTCGCCGGCGAACCATCCCCCAGTGTCGCATCCCCCGGTCAACGTGAGCGTGGGGAACCTGCTCACGCCACCCGCCACCAACCAGCCCGGGGAGAGCGCCACCGCGTCTACCGGCGTGTCGGCCGATTTGCCCCCGGCGTATTGGTCTGGGACCTACGGGGGTGCCTCGACCCAGACCTGGGCATCCGGGGTCCATCCGGCCTATCCTGCGCGGAGTTCCTTCTCTCCCTCATCGGGCCTACCAAGTCGTGCCTCGGTGACGGCGCCGCCTGCGACGGACGGTCTGCCGCAACCCTTTGAGGCCCCTTTTTCTTCCTTCCCCGCAGGCTTGCCCGCTCCCTCGAATCTTCCCCCTCCGCTTCTCAGCCCGTCACCATGGCCTTGTACCCTGCGGGACCCGCCACCTCCCCCGCACCACTTCCGTCCAATGACCCTTATGCTCCCAAAGCGCAGCCGATGTATGGAGCGTCCTCACCCTTGGCCAGCCCATATCACGCCAGCTTTCCCTCGATCTATGGTCATGCACCCGCTGGCCCGGCGGGGCTGGGGATCCATCCGGGGCGAATGCCGGCTCACAGCCCGTCCGCGGGACAGCCGCCCCTGGCATTCTCCCGTCAGCCGTATCCATCGTACACCCTGCCTGCGATGAACGGTGCCGTGATGACCAATGTACACAGCCCCAACAGTCCCATGTCGGTCATGGGGGGGATTCAGCCAGGAATCCTGCCGGGTTTCCATAGTGGACATGTCGCCAGTACCCATCATTTGTATGGGGCTCATCCGCCCCATGGCCACCCAACCCCGGTGGCTGATCGTCCGTTTAAGTGCGATCAGTGCCCCCAGAGCTTCAACCGGAACCATGACTTGAAACGCCATAAGCGCATCCATTTGGCTGTGAAGCCATTCCCCTGCACCCACTGTGACAAGAGCTTCTCACGCAAGGATGCCCTCAAGGTATGTACAATCTATCCTGTGGCCTTGTGCAATCCGACTAACCCTGTTTTCCAGCGACATATTCTGGTCAAAGGCTGCGGGAAGGACGACCTCATGGGACATGCAATCAAGGGCGAAAGCCACAGTGAGGACGGCAGCCCGATTCAAAACGCACGTGTTTAAACGAGAGCAGGAAATGTCTCTGGGAGACCCGTGGCATTTTCATTTTGTTTCTCCTTTTCTTCTCTTTCTCTCTCTCTTCTCCCTTCCATCCCTCTAGAGGCCTGCGTGGGCTCTGAGTTTGGACGGAGACTGTATCTACAGAAGCTTTGGGCGACGGTGTTGGATGGGTTTCTTTTTCAATCTTTCTTTTTCTTCGGCGAAGGGTGTGACTTGGGCATATTGGGATGACTTGGTTTTCTTGGGGATGTTTGATTTCACTGTGCTACTCAGCCTCATGTGTGACGAGTGTATCTATGTTTCTGTGATTTAAGCGAAACACCCAAGACGGAATGTCTCACGGTGTGATCTATATATCTATATCTATATATATATAGCATGGATATGGAGAACTAGGATTTTCTATTATGAATCTATTCAATCAATTCAGACATCTATTCAGACACGCAAGAGGACAGCCGAGAAAAACAGCCCGGAAGGGTCTGTGAAATAGCAGTTGGTTGGGGACCCAAAATCCCTGGAAACCCCAAATCCTGCGTTTCTTTCTCTTCCCACGCTATATACACCGTGGCTCGATATTCTCTTGTGGCTTACGTTGATCTTCGCTGCAGAAGCCACAGCCATTCTCCACCGGGCCGATATTCCCACGTCCAGACTTGACCCACGCAGCTGGACCTACGGCATTCCGAGCGACGCCCAAAATCGAACCAGCATCGCTCGATTCAATCTCCAAGTATCAAATACTCTCAGCACCGAGGACCGGCTGAGCCTGGATGCACCCCAGGTGGATGTCATCAATGGATCGGTCTTTGACTGGTGGTACTTTGATGCGGTCTCGGATACCAACTCTCGCGAGTCGCTCGTCGTCACATTCTTCACCTCCTCTGCTGTCGCGTTTCCATTTCTGGATGCGACGGAGTCCTCGATTTTCATCGCCTATTTGTGGGCGTCGTTTACCAATGGCTCAACTTTTGCGGCCTTTGTCCCTGCGACCGTCGCCACTGTCTCTGGTAGACATGGTGCCCGCACCCCGAGTTCCGGGCAGTGGGCCTCGACCGGGTTCAGTTGGACAGCCCCCAAGGAGGACCTGTCCCAGTATGAGGTACGCATTGCGTCGGGGAAGATGCAGGTTGAGGGACGGTTTACATCGACAGCGGTAAGAGACAAAATGTATCGTCACCATCGAATGGTTTGTTGACGCTGTATTTGGATAACAGCATGTTCCACCCCAGCTGCCCTGTGGCATTCATCCAGGAAGAAACTCGCTGGAGGTTGCTCCCCATATTGGATGGGTGAACCTGATACCTGATGCCATGGGCGTCGTGATCATGACGATCCGGGGTTCATCGCTGCAGTTCCGGGGCCCGGCCTATCACGACAAAGTAAGTTGATCCTTGCCAAAACTTTCGGCATCCGATTCTCATCGCCGGTAGAACTGGTCGGACTGACCATTTATGGAATCCGTTCGGAGCTGGTACTGGGGCCACGGGCGCCTGGGGCCCTACTCTATCGTGTGGTTCAGCTACCTTGTCCTGGATGATCCCACTTCCACCACCTACATCAGTAGTTACGTGGCCAAGGATGGAAAAGTGCTCGTCTCCTCCTGCAAGCCTTCGCTTTTGACAGTCCGTCCAGTGGGTAAACCTTGGACTACGGGCGAGCGGTACCCGCCTCGCGTTGTAGATATGCCCGACAAGTTCCGGCTAGAGTTTGACCTGGGACAGGCCAATGAATGGCTGAGGATCAATGTTTCAATGGAGACACTTGTGGCAGGTGACAATGAGTATTACATGCGCTGGACAGGAGCTCTGACAGGAGAGATAGTCCGGCTGGAGAGTGAATCGTCTCAAGAGGCTGGTGCCGTCACGAGAGTCAGAGATCATGTGGGAGCAGGGTCTGCGACAAAGAATTTCTCTCTGGCCGGGGTCGCAGTTCTCGAGCCGTTTGCGATGGTGCCGTAAAGGGCATTGGGCCTACTGGCACTTCTCGTGCTGAGAGTCTCTGAGAATAAACATGTTCATATACAAATATTAACACTCTCATGTACAGGTACTTCTCAACCACCAGATCGAACGAGAACCAGGAGTTGTTTCTGGTCGCTTAGGAAACCAAAGAAATTACAGTAACGGGGTATTTCGTGAGGCGCGCGAAGTGAAGTAAACGGGTGTCATCAATCGCGTGATGAAACCATATCAAGGTTGAAGAGGCCTCTTACATGTGAGCCGGCTGCTTCGTTTTCCACTCGTCAACCAACCCCCGGTAATCCTCAACACCGTACGGGTGGAAGCACTGCGCCAAGAGGCCCTTCTTTCGCTCTGGCGACAGCCCCAGATCGCGTAGCATCAAGTCAATGTAGGGGATGGCGTCAAAGACAAAGTCCGGGTTACGCCGCCCAAACCCTGCCGGGTAGCGGTACCGCCCAAACTCGGAGTGTAGCGCGGTCTCCCAGGCGAGATCAAGTTGGCCGTTGTCGTCCATCTTGGCGTCCGAGGCTGTTCGCACAGCGGAAGGGCAATTCTCGACGGCGGTCGGGGTAAGCTGACCTCCGAGATAGGCTGCAATCCAGAGTGCTTGGGTTTGGGCAACCAGGGTGGTGTTGATGGTCATGGTGATGCCCATGAACGCCAGGGAGCGTTCGCGCAACAGGGACAGCGGCACCATGAACCGCGCCAGCCGGAATGGATGCGGTACGGCTGCCTCCGACTGGTTATTCAGTGGGCGAAACTGTGGGTTGGGGCGTGGTTGATCGCGCAGCCGAGGGAACCGACGGAGAATTTCCTCGTCGGCGGCTTTGACCAGCTTGTCATCCAGCGGGTCTGTGCTCCACGGGAGTCCCAGATCACGGTCAATGCCCTCCGGCAGGAACTGCAAGTTGGGAGTGGATCGCCAGCCTGTCGCGCAGATCAGCGCCGAGGTTGGGAGGGTTTCCCCCGTCGACAGGTGGACTGCGTGGCCCGAAAGACGGTCGATGTCTGCGACGTGGACTTTGACGGTGCCGTTCTTGATCAGATCAAAGAAATCGGTGGGATAGTTGAGGATGCTGAGCGACGAGGCGATCCAAAAGGGACTCACCCATGGCTTCAGCTTTTTCATCTCCGGGTGCTTGTCGTAGCCGTTCAGCTGAATGACATCGTCGGCCAGCACCGACCAGAACGAATCCACGATCTTGCGGCCCAGCCAGGTCCCATGCAGGAAGCTGCGCACTCGCGTGAACCCGTCGGCGTTGCCCCAAATGCATGGGCTGAACCAGGTCAAGAATCGAGTGGTGACCAGCTTCTCCAGCCATTTCTTCAACGGCGTCACATATGGCGGTGCCATCCAGCATGGTCCATGGCCCGACTCACGGATGACCCAGTCTACTTGCATCCCTGTTGTCGCACACGCGTACACTGCATCCCACGCCGACTTGGTCCCGCCAAATATCGTCGCACGCTGACCCGGCTCGAGAACTTCTGCCTCATGTTGCAGCAGGTCACGGCAGTGAAAAAGTGGCGTACCGAAATTCTCCTGGCCCTCGAAGGTGGGCAGGTATGGCTGGGAGGTGATTCCGGTGGCGACGATCATTTGCTTCGCCTCGATGTTGAACCTTTCATTATCGTGCAATACACTCAGTTGCCAGGTGCCATTGAGATTGTGTCGGGCGCTCTCGACGCGGTGGTTGAGTCGAATGCACCCGGCGAAGCCAAAGTGTCGAGTGTATGCCTCCATGTAGCGCTGGATGACTTCGCCGGGCATGTGTTGCCCTGGGTGGACTCCGAAAGTCGCCTCGTCCACGGGGAAGTCGCTGAACTCGTAGGTGCCCAGCATGTTGTTGGATTTGAGGCCCTTGTACAGCCGATCTTTGGCCCACACGCCCCCGACGGAGCTGCCAGCTTCCAGGAGCAGCACGCGTGTAGCTGGATTGACTTCATGGTAGGTCTTGACGGCGGCCAGCCCACTCCAGCCTGTTGAGAGTCATGGGTGGTTAGCCTCGTTGAAGTTATCAATATGCCTTCTCACCTACCTGCGCCAACCACCACCAGATCAACGCTCTCCATGGCGAATGACCGCTTGAGTGGTTATCTGGGACGGGAGAGAACCGAGCGCGACAGGGCTTAGGCGAAAAAAAAAAGAACAGAAAAAGAAAAAGAAAAGAAGAGAAGGTCTGTCCACGCGAGGCTAAACAAAGAAGTGAGGCGAAAAGAAAGAGCGTTGGGAGCTTTTAACCACAACCCCCATGGACGGTGGACTTGCACCGATTAGGGCTTGGTCTGGTGCATCCCAAACAAAGAGACCTTGTACGACGTCGGATCTCCACGACTGCACCAGGATCCCTGGCCCTTGGCATGCAACTGGACCAAAGTGGCTGGCACTAAGTTGTCTCCCATGCAGGCTTTTTTTCTTTTTTCCTTTTTTTGTTCGGAGAGAATATCGACCGGCATAGAAAAGGCATGCTAGCTGCGTGCTAACTTCACTCTGTTTGACATGGCGGCCCCATGCTAAAAAAGCGTCACAGCGTGTCTGGGCCCGAGTCGAAGACCCAGCGATCGTCAACCTTTGTGATCCTTTTCGGCTGTTAGGGACCATCTTGACGGCGCTAGGGATGAGTTAGCGTGGGAGAGATCCACTTGCCTTGCCTCGACCTGGGAGAAACCAGCATCAAACTTGTTCGAGAGATTTCTTTCTCTCTTTTTCCTTTCTTGGCTCTGTCCGCGAGGAGCGCAAAATCCATTCATGCCGAGTCGCAAAATCAAGCATCATGCAGCCCTCCAGATTCTAGTCACCACCACAATTGCGACTAACGAGCGCCTTCCTGCTCGCTCCCCCGCGCCTGTGGAGGGCTGCATTCTCCCACACAGAATACAAAAGATCCCGCGCTCGGGAGGAATAGCCGCGGCTTAGGTTTTCAACGGCGCGCGGGTCAAAAGGCAAAACCGGATGCCATCCCCGTTTGTTCCATTCTGACCCGCCCCGGACCTACTTGGGGATTCGCCTGTCAAGAACGGAGTGGAGAGTTTTTTCTTTTCTTTGGTTGCCCCTGGCTCTGAAACGTGGTTATTTCCCGGGAGTTGCTGTGTTCAAACCGCGTGAACAATAGGCTTGAGTTAGGGTTGTCCACACCGGCTCATATGGATCGACATGGGAGATAACACCTGGCTCGAAATAGAAATGTAATTTAATAAGAATAGAATCACGAGGGAAGAAAAAGAAGAAAGAAGGCTCCATATGGCCCTGACCAAGACCGACAATCGCGGGTCAGTCGGGAATTCTCTCGCATGTAGATTGATCAACAATGAAACCACGAAGAGAATCCCGTCTTTTCCAGTGGCTACACCGGCTATAGACAGGTCGAGGGCTTCCTGTGACTGGCTCTGCCCCCTTCTTGTCTGGCAATGAACAGGGGACACGGAGAAGAAACAGCCCGGAACTGGGCATTTGACCCAATCGACGGGCTTACCTCGCGTGTACCCGAGCGCAACAGGGAATGTGTGAGGTCGGACGGACTTTTTACCTTCTACCCGGACCTGTCAGACCCATCGCTGTATCACTTCAACGTCGATCGCATGCTCTAAGAGGCAACTCTCTTGTCGACTCAGGGGAGTAAAGTGGACCCTGGACTACCGCTCTTCTCCCAAGATCCTTTGCACTGGGAGGGGAACCACCAGCATTGTTGGTCTCGCCCTCAACGTTCTCTCTCCCCCGGGGAGGACCGAGTGTTGACTTGTCTGGATTGTCTGGATGTATCCCTCGGTCGGTGTCCACCCAACCGATACAGCCAGGGGGGTTTGGCCCGTCATGGTCCTTTTCTTCACGTGTGAGCATCTCCATTCTGGATGAGTCTTATTTAGTGGGAAGCACCATGGACCTCAGTGGCTTGGGGATCCATGATGGATTTTCTTTTTCTTTGTTGATAAATCGACCGGGGGTGCGGACTCGCCTCTCTCTGTTCGGCCTGGTTCAATTGACAAGGAATAAAGCCGAGGAGACAAAGTCACTGCCATTCATCACTTCTTCCTTCCCCCCGGGGCGTGATTGGGTTTTTTTTCTTTATCTGAGTTAACACCCGGACTCTAAAGCTTGTTCTTTTTCCTTTTTATGTTCACATCAAAGAAAAACAAAAAGCTTGGATACTTCAGAACCATGGGTGACTTCGTGACGGAGGCGTTCACCCTGCTGGCGGTGGCCATTGTCATCATTGGGTTGCGAACGACTGCGCGATGGATTATGGTGGGACCGAAGAATTTCCAGCCGGACGATTTTCTGATGCTACTGGCGTGTGTAAGTAGGCCATGAGCCGGGTGAGTTTCTTTTTGCTGACGGGCTCAGGTGGTATACGGGCTGGAAACCGGTGCCGCATACATGGTGGGCACTTGGTTCAAAGGTCTCGCCAACAACTCGATGACTGATGAACAGCGATTGATGCTTTCTCCCAGTTCTGGGGAGTATCACTTGCGTGTCGGCGGTTCCAAGGTCCAAGTGACGGGGTGGTCTTTGTATACATTGCTCTTGTGGCTGCTGAAGACCTGCATGGCCATTTTCTATTCTCGATTGACGTGAGAAGCTTCTTTGACCCTGACTAGCTTTACGCAAGACTGACACAGTACTATAGGGCAGGGTTGGCCAACATGCGAGTTCGAATCCACATCGCCTATGGTTTAATCGCCACGACTTACATTGCGACGGTCTGTTCCATCCTCTTTGGTTGCCATCCGATGCACAAGAATTGGCAGATCTACCCGGATCCAGGAAGTGTGTATTGAATTCCCTATATCAATCTATGAGCTTATATATCTGACCAGTAACATCTAGACTATTGTCAGCCCGCGGTGTCCAAGATTGATATCTACGTGACCGTGGTGCTCAATGTGGCGACCGATCTGTACCTCATCAGCATTCCAGCTCCAGTAAGTTTGACGTTTATGTTCACCTATGGAGCATTGCTAATGAGGTGGGGTACTAGATGTTATTCAAGGCTCGACTGCGCTGGCGGGAGAAGCTCGAGCTGCTCATCCTTTTCAGTGGTGGTTTGTTTGTCATGATGGCCGGTGTCCTGCGCTGTGTCTTGATCTTGACGGTGAGCCTCGGACGTCGGTAGTTGATTGGAAAGATTATGAATCTAACCTATCTTTAGGCGGGTGCCAATGGGGCCCAACAAGCCGGCAGCTGGGCCTGCCGTGAGACCTTTGTGGCCGTCGTCATTGGCAATGCCCCGATGATTTACCCATTGTTCCGGCGCGCGGCTCGCCGGGCCGGTTTATATCTCACCACGAAGGCCGGCTCCCAGAGCTATCCGGCATACCCGCTATCGGATAATGATACCAGCAATCACGGGTATCCGAAACGCAAGAAGTTCCGCCATCCCCTATCGATCCCAGCGGATACCCAATGGAACACCACAAGTGACGAACAAATGATTCTCCCTACTTCCCGGCAGCAGCCCCCAACTTGCACTGCAGGCGACGGAGACTGGGAGACTACCAGCCACGGCAGCCATGGCGGAGGTATCAAGGTGGTTCATGAAACCATTGTTCATAGTGCGGAAAAGGAGGCTCGATGATAGTAGTGGGGAACCCAAGCCAAAGGCAATGGGGTATAATATCCAGATCCAATGTTTTTCTTATGTCTTGAGTGCCCAAGGGGCCTGGTGCATTTGGTTGTGTAGTGTTATACCCTATCTCGACTCGGCTCATGTGTTCATTCCCTTTCTTTCAGGAGGGTTCGTTTCTTGTTTCCGGGATTGATCTCAGTATAGCGAAGGTATCTGGCTTGATGCTAAATGAATATTTTACGCGGTGTGTTGCTGAGTCTTTCTTTCTTTCTTTCTTACGTGCCTATATCGGATTTGAGACAAAAACCATCACTGATGAGAAGTAAAGACCAGAGACATTGTCCAGGGACTTGAAATTGACAACTTCACACTCGTTGAGAAAATACTGCAAAGGTGAGGGAGTGGTCTTGTTGATCTGCTCTCCACCGGGGAACATAACGGCGTGATCCATTTTTGCGAATGCTGGGCCAGGGCAATGATCGTCGGACTCATAGCAGAACATCTGCAGTACTAGGCCACTCAGCCCGGAGCGACAAAACCATCCAAGTCGCTGCCCCCCCCACAGCTCGATGCACCGGCACGCGGTTGGATATGGGGCTCGGAAGAGTATCATGGCCGCCTGCAGTCAACCTTTACAACTATCAGACCTGTCGCAAGCATGGCGCCCAGTTCATCCTCCTCCCGCACGACATCTGGGGAACAGATCATGTCAACTCTTCCACGGCGTGGCCCGGTGACAATGGAGACTGGTCTGACTATGAGTTTCTTGCACACCCTGATGGCTGACCTTAAATCCCACAATACTCTCGAAGGCCTTGTCTGAGATATCTGGAATGAGCCGGATGGAAAGACCTAATGGGCGCGCAGTCAACAGCGTGGATTGATCTGTATATCCATCTACACGCACAAGCTACTCCGGTAAGTTCCTTGCTCGTCATCGCATATGAAACAGAGAATAATTTACGACATACAGTGAAAACTCTGACTTCGATGGCGTTCAGATTTCGAGTCCATCCCTGGCTAATCGTCCTATGCCATCCACACCTGGTGGACCAACTGCCTAGGGCAAATCGCGGACAACAATACCATTCCTGAGCAATACGCCTACCACCTAGAGGGGGCCACCGCAAACTGAGATAATGATCTCCAAAACACCAACAAGACGCTTGCAGCACTTCTTAAGGCCCACGACCTACCCGCGCGCCAGATCAACATCAATGAATACGCCAACCCCGAGGAGCAAATCCCGTCTGGGGCAGCCTGGTGGATTTCACGTCTCGAACGCTATGATGCGCTTTGGCTGCGCGGGAACCGGCTCCGTGGATGGTCACTGCATGACCTTCTGGCCAACCTGCTGACCAAGAAAGCGAATCCTCACAACTACAATGCGACCGACTATGTCTCGGCGCCGGAGTTTCAGGTGTACAATTACTACAACCTCAACATGACCGGCAGTCGCGTCGAAACCTCTGGTGCTGGTGATCGCCTGTTTGATATCTATGCCACAGTTGACTCCAACAAGGTCCGCATGCTTGCAGGAGCTCACCTCTGTACGGGGCACTGGACGATCAGGGTGAACCATATGAATGCGCTCGGGTTCCCATCCGAAGGCTCAGTGAGCATCTAAACCTGGGCATTTCCTGGAATGTCTGTCTGGCAGGAGATTGATGCCCCGAGTGACCGAGGCGTGGCCTCGCCTAGATATCCGGACAATGCCTTGACTTTTCCTATTGATCAGAGCAACAACAGCATCGCGTGGGTGTTTGAACTTAGTCCTTAGTTCTTGACCTCGAGTGTACGGTGTGGCCAAATGAGATATTCCGTTGTGCATCAGGGCAGTAATGGAGATTGCAGAGTGAGACCTATTCATCGTTGCTTTGCAGCAGTAGAATCCCCAAACTCTTTGAAATTCCGATGATTCCGAGAGACCCACACCCCCTGCGCTTCAGAATTCCGTTCTCCTCCCACGAGGTTCACTGCGTGTCGCACTCGATATGAGAAATGCCGCGTCGAACCAAAGAATTCCTGGGTTGGGGGCCCCTGGCACTCACTCGTCAATCCAAGGCGAGGTTGGGAGTAATGAGAGTCAAGACCAAGATGGTTTCATCCAACGTCGGGCCAAACGAACCAGGCGAGGAAAATATACCTCCAAAGCTTGGTTGGTATCCCCTCCCAGTTCTCGCTTCTAAATATGCTGATTGAGGCCCTTCTTTTGATATTAGCGGCCAATGCAAGCGCCGGAAGATCAAGGTAGGAGACACTCCAAAGCACCAAGGCCAAAAAAAGGTCACAACTGACAAGGCCCTGTCTGTGGTAGTGCGATGGCAACGCTCCCTGTCGACCATGTGTAGGTGGAAACCGCAGTTGTGAGAGACAAGGCACGGACATGCGAGGGAAATGGCGGGCGATTGAGCGGAGGTGAGTGTGGAGAAGGTTGGAGTCGAGATGGTGAGAGTTGACGCCAGTGCCAGGCCTGCGACACAAGATCTCAGTTCTCGCCTGTGTCGCATCGAACATGAGCTGAGCCTCCTGCGGGCCCCAGAGATCCAGGGCTCTGAAAATGCTCCTCGCGATCATAACCAGAGCAATCCTCCACTCCAAGTCCCGACCTTCTCAGGAGAGACCTCTCTTTCTCACAACCTCACCGTAGTGGAAGGTCGGCTGGAGCAGATGGGAATGGGATATACAGGAGGAGGCTCCACTTCTCCGAATCACCACACGGGGTCTCGATTGACTCCGTCTCCAAATTTACGCGACCACCCGATGGAGCGCCGAGCGGGCAGCGTAATCCATAACTCCCTCGAAGCTCATGGTATCACACCAGATCGAGAACTGTGGGACAGACTTATATGCAATTTCCGCGATGAGGTGCATATCCTTGTTCCATTTTTGCATCTTCCCAGTCTACAGGAGGCTTATGCCGACGTGTGGGAACGCCTATCTCACTGTCGACACAACATCCAACCGGATGGCCTTCATTGTGTCCGAGTGGCCCACATCCTGCTGTGTCTTGCAAATGGTAGATGCGTGGAGTCATCACGATCAGATCGCGAAGATCGGCAATACTCTGCTGGTTGGAGATTTTACAGTGCCGCACGGGAGATCTTTGGAGACCTCCTTGACGGCTTCCACCAGTGCTCGAATCAGATACTCTCGATGCAGACGGTGGTTTTGATGGTAAGTACGGGAACAAAATCAGGACTCGACCAGGTCAGCCTAGCTAATCCAAGTGACCTGTGGATTCTAGGTCATTTATCTGTTCCGACTCGATGCACATGAATCTGCGGAAAAGCTCCTCGCTCTTACCATCTCGCATATACACCACCTGGGTCTCCAGAGACGTAGGGCGGTAGATAGCATGGCTCTCTTTGAGAGTGAAATGTCCCGACGTCTTTGGTGGTGTGTATACCTCTTGGACAGGCGATTGGCCATTGAGACCGGTCGGCCGTTTCTCATTCAGGATGTGAATGTCGATGTTGGCCTACCGCGAAACATGAGCGATGAAGAGCTCAGCAGATACCACAAACATTTGCCCGGGTCTGATGCTGGTGAAGACGCCACCGCATTCGGATCTACAACTGTTCCATATCTTGTTGCTATGGTCAACTATTCGCGAGTCATTGGGAAGGTCTGGGAGGCGTTGTACGGTGCTGCCACGTCCGACTCCACTCCCAGCCCACTCATTCATGAGTATTTGGAACTGTTGATCACGCAATCCCAGAAGGAAATGCAACCAGAGTTTACTTACGATCCTTGGCATGCCCGGACCCGTAAGACTGAAGGGTTGGCTTGGTGGCAGATCAAGCAGCAATTGATCATGCGGATTGTAAGTCCCCACGGCTATTTCGGGGTACCTCATATTGTATCTGCTGTTGCTAATCATTTCCCAGCGATGGTCATCCCTCTATCTTTTGATCCGAAAGCCAATGCTCCAGAGGGTATGGTGCAACCACCAGCCAGCTCCGGAGGTGATTGAGAACCAGGTGATTTGCATGCGTCTGGTCCAAAACATCCTTCGAGATTATAAAGACGTATCAGAAGAGCATCCCAAGTACACATTTCCTTTTTTGCACTATCTCGCCAACGCCTTGATCATTGCACTAGGGCTCATTATCAAGCAACCCTCATTCAAGGATACTTACCGTGATTCAACCTTAGAGGCAGCCAGATCGCTGAAGAGACACTGCCGCAGGACGTGGGTGTCGGGAAATATGGCCCGAGCTATCTGGAAGCTCAATGAAATGGCCAGTTTGGTTTTGGAGCCAAATAATGCACCACGAGAAAATACTGACGACGGCACATCTGGATTTTCGGCACCACGCTCGGTGTATACATCCTGCTCCCGCAGTGGCAATTCCGATTCACATCAGCCTGGAGATACTGAAGAAGAGCAGCAACTGTCAGTAGCCACACCAAGGCCAGTTGCTCATCTAAATGGAGAGGAAACCTCTGATAAAAGCCAATTCAACCCAAGATCATTCGGCACTCGAAAATCCAGTCACCAATCAGATCGACATGAGGGCCTAGTGACCACCGACTTTGATGCTGAAGCGAGAGCTCTGGTCTCCGACACGCCAGGAGGTTGCCACACAAGGAATATATTTCACCATAAAATGTCTTCCTGTGACAACAGTGGAGGTCCATCTCATGTTAGGCAGTTTGGCGGTGATCCTGCTGGTACAGATGGCGCCTATGGCATTCCTTTACGTGAAGCACAGATTGATCCATCACATACACCCACCGTGCGAGATCGTGGAGATCTCGCGCCTGACCCTAATGCCTGGGTGCCAGGTGAAATGATAGGTGAGGGCATGGAGTGGTTGCAGAATTTGTTCGCAAAGGGGTTGGGCACTGATCTTCCACCGGTGTGGGATTAATTGCATATGCCCAATAACTTCTCTTTGATGCAGAATCCTTGGTATCCCCTATAGCACAAGTTCGATCAGTTGGCAATTTCAGAATCATCAGGACTGAGCATTCTGAGTGTACTTGCTTCGGCTTTGGGTATGCAGAAGACCTGGATTTCGAGTGTTACATGGCTAAATTGATCTGAAACAATCAAAAGCAAGATAGATGATTAAATGTCAATATGCTGATCTATGTAAACAACTCCATGCGGTTGACTATTCCACACTGTTGGCCCTGATTCTGATGTGTCGCTAGTCTTCTTCGCAGTCATAAAAAAAAAAAGATCAAGATATCTCAAATACTCAGATTTCGGCCCCTTTTCTGATCATGGGGCTTTGCAGCCGGATTTTGTGTCCGTATTTATAGAAGATGAAGGGGATCGGAATGAGAATCACTTCCATAAGCGCCAACAACGTCCCTACCCAGTTCGCCCCTAGCTTGTGGTACATTCTGGACCCGGCAAGAGGAAGGACCCCGGCGAGACCGTAGCGCACAATGGAATTGCCAGCTAGAGCTGACGCGGCATACACTGTATAGCTCCCGGCCATGTAGTTGGTCGCGTAGATGAAAACCAACCCGTTTCCCAGCCCGAAGGGCAGACCCGCAAGAATGGGAGAGATCCAGTGTACTGATGGCTGAGCAGTCCATGCAAACCAGAATTCACCAATTGGGATAAGCACACTGCCTATACATACGGCGAACACGGCAGCCTCTGGGGGTGGTCGGCCGGTGGCCGGATCGCAAGGGTGAATGGCAATGATACCTCGAATCATTGGCTCCAGAGCGACGGCAATGGCGGTTCCAGTTCCTATACCACAATAGCTAAGCCCTGCAAGTCCTGGGGACCAGCCACGTTGCTCTTGGAAAACGATGGGGTAGGCCACAAAGCATAGAAAGAGCACTGCGTAGACGACTCCGACATATAAGTTCCAGAACACACTAAGTCATTATTCCCATCAGCTTTGCCCATAAAGGAAGGCTCAGTCAAGAGCAACTAAGAACTCACCAAATGGGCTCAGAGACTATCATGCGGACAGGTCGAGTCAAGTTGGTTTTTAATATCCGAAGTCCCGTCTCATCATGGTCGAAGCGGCACCACCATCGCCTGTCACCAGTCTGGGTCTGCTTGATTTTTGTTTTACGTCGAAGAAGAGCTGGTGCATAGGTTTCTTGGACCAGCACCATCAACAGAAATGAGACGCCGGTGCAGATCAAAACAACCCAATTGATCCAGCGCCAGCCCAGATACTGGTAGACAAAGCCGCCAATGATAGGCCCTTTAAATTGACAATTAGCACTAAATTCCCAAGTCTAGAAGATATGTCCATGGCATAAGTACCGAGAACAGGTCCGTTCATAGTTCCCAGACTCCAACAGCTCAAGGCCAGAGCGCGATATTGATCACCCGTCACATCGGTGACACTACCCGGTGCGCTGGCAATCATCGACCCGCCAAAAAAGCCCCCGAAGAGTCTACTGACGAGAATGGCTTCAATGTTTTGTGCCAGTGCCACAGGTAAGACCAGAAAACCAAATAAAAAGACAGAGATGAGATAGACCGGCCGGCGGCCGTAAATTTCCGACAATGAAGAAAGTATCACTGACCCCAACGCGAGGCCGAAGAGGTTGGTTGTCAGACCAAGAAGAACCACGGTGTTGGATGAGACCCTGAATTCCTGGCGCATGCCATCCACGCCCGACGTGTACATGGTTGTATAGATCACTCTACATGGTCCAGCAGTCAGATTTAGTAGGCAAATCGACAGGAGAAAAGCGGCGCAACATAATCAGACTTACACAATGGTAGTGGAGAAAGACATAGACGCGACAATGAAGCAGCGATACCATATAGACCATGTTCGAGGGTTCTGTGAATCGGTGGGCTCCCAGGTGACCTCGAACCGCGGGTCTCGAAAGGCACGAAAATGCAGGGATTCATCTTTTGCAAATTCCATTGAGGGGTCCATTGTAGTTATTTGAAGATAGAAAGATCAGCTTTCATTGTGACCGACTCAACTTCTATAAGAACTGGGATTTTGCGGGGTAAAACGGAATCTTAAGATTCCGAGACGCGAGACGCGGAACTAGCGGCTTGCTTCTGGCGTGGTTGCGTGAGTCTCGACCTAAAAGAAGATGTATATCGAATTATATACTGTGTACGATTGTGGAAGCAGCTGTCGCCTTGTGGGCGGTTGGCGATGCTGTTGAACAATCCATCCACGGCTTGTTGAAGATGTACCAAATGTCGACCGACTGAGGACCACCGAATTCCAACAAGAATCAATTTCTAGCCAAGGAATTATATCTTCTATGGTAGAAAATAAGTTACATCTGTGATGGAATGTGTGAAACATCCATATATGCTAGCCTGGCTGGCTCTTGAGCATGGCCGGTTGCGATGGAGATGAAAAATCGGCAAACACGCCTCCAACGCTATAAGGCATACTGGAAGAATGGGTTTTGCTTATCAGTGAGGTCGTCAAAAGCGATCTTGTCTCTCAGCATTTCATCCAGTTCGATTGTGCTGCGGAGTCGGTTTTCCCTCCAAAGCACCGCATACAAGACCGCGGCAGCGGCAATCGTGATACAATAGCTAAGGCTCGGTTAGATAGGTGAATAGAATAACATGCAGAAGATGAACACAAACCAGATGACTAGGCCCGTCCATAATTCAGGGTAATGTTGTGCTTTCGTGCCGCTGTTGATCAGCTGCGGTCCGATGATGTTTCCCACAGTGTATGCTACAAACACAGTAGCTGCCATGACGGTTTTCTTAGTAGCCCCGGCGACATTGCTGCCCCCCAAAGTAATGATGAGGCTGACCACCGGACCAAAGAAGCCAGTCAGCGCATAGCCCACTACAGGGGTAACCGGGTGATATCCCCAGTGGGACTTCCAGATCATCACACAGCCGGCAATAACCGGGAAGCAGCAGGCAATCAGCATGAGAATTCGTGTGTTTGGGATAAGGCTGGGTATATATCCACATAGTGGAATGAAAATCACACAGATGCCGCCCACAGGGAACTGAAACAAGATGGAGTCCAAGGCATCGTAGCCAAAGGTGGACACAATTAAAGGTCCGAAGCCTGAGATGGCCCCGTTGATGGTGTACCTGAACGAATAAGTATGTGCATTCACAGTCTCATAGGAAAGCTAGGCTTACGCTGCTGCCATCATAATGGCCACCAGATAGATTTTGATGTCCAGCAGAGATTCTTTGATCTGGTCCCATTTGATCTGCTGGCATCGAACACCAGTCTGCCCCTTCCGGAGCCGCTCCACAGCAACGACTCGTTCTTCCAGTGTCAAAAACCAGGCCGACACGGGGGAATTAGGCATGGTACAGCACCAAAGGCCAAATAGGAAAGTCAATGCACCAGCAAGGATGTAGATGTATTGCCACCTGGCGAGACTGCCAGAGGTGATTTGTGCAAACCCGTAGTTGAGTGCGCTGCCAATGATGGTGAACCAACCGGTGCCGGAGAACCACCATGCCTGGCGGAGTGCCTGTTCCTCTTGGGTATAGTAACTACTAACTATGGTCATGAAACCAGTCGGGATGACACTTTCGATGACCCCTACTCGTGGTTAGCAAAGTTTATTCTATAGAAATGGGTGTGACAAACCAAGAAAGAATCGCTGCACAAACAGTCCCTGCCACGATGTCACGCCAGCAGTTGCAGCACAGACTACAGCCCACACAAGAACCACCGGCCCAAGGACATGACGGACGTTGAATCTCTGTAGAATGAAAGTCATTGGATAGAGACCTGCGAGCATGCCGAAGTAAAAGATCGATGTTGCCCAGCTGAGTCGTGAAGTGTCGGATGATGGTGGAGATGTGGAATGGTCGACCACGAGCAACGACAAGTCGGTCGTCATGCCAAAAAGCGACGCACTCCCCAGGATTGCCTAATGAGTATGTCAGTGAGATGCCAATCAAGAACCCATTACTTGGTCGCACCTTGTCATAATAAACCATGCCGTAGCCTTAATAGAGATATAAATTAGCTTGAAGTTGTTCCCAAATGCCGAGTTTCCAACTGACCTATCAGCATTGCAGGCATAAAGTACCAATCAATCTTTCGCAATACTCTTTTTTCCACGGCAGGATCGATTTCTTGGGCCACCTCGCTGACCACCGCCAATGCGACATCTTTTTCGATAGGACCATGCGCGGGGTCATCGGCACCGGTAATGCCGTGAATCTGGATCATCTTTGTCCACCCGCAGTACTCTCTAGTTCTCAACTGGCACAATGATCATCTATGATGCAGGGAGACTTTCAGATCAGGCACGTTTGAGAAAAATTTGTTTGACTTCGCGACTTTCCTGATCGGGACAGCCGGTATCGCAGGGCTTACCGCCTTGCGGTGGCAGAATCTGCGATGATCGGAAGGCTTCACGACATCGAATCCATGAGTGATTACCTTGATATTCGGTGGATGATAAAAATGCTGTACATCTTGCAGTCCGATGGACCTGACTAGCAGGATCACAAAGAGATGTTCCCCAAACAATGCTGCGATTCCGAATCTATGGGAAGGGATTGTGCCGGCGTGTTTCAGCTGCAGGGCTACTTGGCTTAGAAGGGCCAGTAGTTCGGCTTCACCCCCAAAACGGGACCCATACAGGGCAGGGAATAGTCTTAGTGCTAACACGCCTGCCAAGGATATCATCGCCCATGTCGGCGCTAACATACAGCATAGGGGTTCCCCGATATCTCTCAAGTCGCGTACAGCTAGCTCGCAACAACTGACAGCAGATTCGAAGCAGTCCTTTTGAGTGGCAGTCAGATGTGGGCCATCAACACCGGGAAGCGCAGAGGATAGTGTCCAGGGCATTCCATGAAGATACACATAGTGAAAAAAAATATTCGATATTCGTTCTGATGGGGAAACGGGTGAGTCGATACACGGACGAGGCAGCCAAGTATCGCACCAGGGCTGGAGAGTAGTGTCAACCAATTCCCGCACCCAGTGAGACCCGTCCTGTGCAAGGAGTGCTTGGAATCGCAGCTGTTTCTGGAGGAACACCATTCGTTGTCGCAGGGTAAGAAAGGCACACGTATCCTTGTCCGTGGAATCTGCCAATGGGTGTAGCCACCAGTTTTCGATCTTCTGAATCAATACAGTTTCGGGGAAGCAATGGGTACGACCACGGGCTGCACTGCTGGCCCGCTCCCATAATAGGATCCTGAGCCACGTTCCTTCGCGATTGCGGGCAAGGCGCTGGCTGTATTCCCAGGCAGAGTCCGCATTCCCTCGTAGGCCGTTGGAGATAGTCTCATGGTTGAGGTGGTTCGAGCTTGGCTCCGTGTGCTGTCATTTCAAGGGCTAGAGATGTCCGTTCGGGACTGCCAAACTGCCAAGGGACAATAAAGGCAACGGTATCATCGAGAGACAAAATCCAAGGTTGACGGGGCCCTGCAAGAGTGAACAAAAGCCCCGGGAATGTGTTCAGCCGAGTTCGTGCGGAGAGAGAATCCACCCGGACATTTCTTCTAACCACCGGGGAGCCTCGCCATAACAATGAGTCCCTGGCATTGTCTACTTTCGAGTTATGATTCTATTCTGACTTGGGGCGGATTTCACTGGCGAGGGTCTCGGTGATCTGTTTGAGGGTATCTTTAGGCCTGGATTTCGAGGCTTCTTCTAGCGAGGTGAGACGGGCGTATAAATTGGTGAGAAGAAGTGATTTTCTAGATCGTGCCTCGCGGCAACAAGAATGATCGTTGTAGAACCGCACAAGACAAAGTCTTTGCGGGGTCTGGGAAGCATAAATCAGACAATCAAGCACAAAGAAATTGTATGAAATGGAGATTGCAATTAGAAAGACTAGTAGAATGGACAGAAAGAACGACATAGAGCTGACTACGGATGGATACTTGTGAATAGGCCCAAGCCAACGTCATCGTGGGATTCCGGCCCTTTGATCAAGTCGCCGGGGCGGGGGTGGAGTCATCCTGGGGTATTCGATTATCCATTACACCTTGATATATGCGCTCAAGCCAGCCCCCGAACCCCATGCTCGACTGGCAATTCAACCATGCCGATCTCCTGGCCCTCATCTGTGAAATATGAGTTTGGTATCGCGACTTTGTCTTAGGCCAACTGGAGAGAACATCGTCTCGCGCCACGCCTGGAAGCAGCCGCTCAAGCGGGCTACCAATGCATCGGCCTATTCGACGAGTGCTGGGCCGCATACCTAGAAGAGCATGGACTACCAGGAGGCCAGCTATGGGAAGCAACGGCGGAAAACCTGCAAGTGGCTCGAAAGTTGGGGGGTTTGGTAAAGTCCCTGGGCATGCGAATCGCTTGTACCCAGCCTCTTCGCAAAATCGAAGGCATCAAGGACCCGATCGAGCGTCGTCACGCTTTGGACCATGTGGCAAAGCGGTTCCCATTTATGCGAGCCTTTGACACTGACTTGGTCTTTATGTGTGCCAACATTCGCACCGACGACGGAGTGACGTCCGATCTCAAAACTGTTGCCAGGGATTTGGCAGAGCTTGGCGATTTGGCAGCGGCGTATGCCCCTGGCAGACGGCGGACCCATGCTAAAGATTGGCTATGAGAGCCTTTCCTGGGCCTCGCGGAATACATGGTCGGCATCTTGGGAGCCGGTGCGATTTGCCAACCGCCCAAATGTTGGGCTGATTCTCGACGCGTTCAACGTCCTCGCTGTCGGGTTTGCTGATCCTTACCATCCGGATGGACACGGGCGCATATATGGCACACTCGAGGAGTCGTTGGAGGTTCTGACGGGGTCCTTGGCATCCCTGGTGGCGACAGTCCCCGGCGACCACATCTTCTTTTTCCAATGTGGTGATGCTGAACTGGTAAATCCCGTCAGCCTTCTTCCGAGAGATCCAGATACACCGGCTCTGCTTCCATGGTCCCGCAGTCATCGTCTCTATCCCTTAGAACAATCTCGGGGAGGTTACATGCCGGTCGAACTGGTCACTGCCGCTGTGCTGGCCACTGGATATCAAGGACCAATATCGCTCGAGGTGTTCAATGTCTCCCTAAATCAACCTGGCGAGTGTGTACCTGCGGAGCATGCTATGCGAGGAATGAGGAGCCTAAGCAAGCTGGTAGAGACGACCAGAGTGCTGTCTCCGTTCTGGGAGAGACAAGTCGACACCCAGCATGCTATGGCCCAAGTGATTCGCCGACTACGGTTGACGAGCCACCGACTCTAGAAACTATCCCGAAACAGCATCTCAAGGTGACTTTTTCGGCGCCAGATAATTCGTCTGCATACTATTTGTCTCGGGGTTTGATCACCATTTGGTCATCCAGGCTCACGGGGTGTAGCCCTGGGAACAGATAAATGACCGGCAGTCGTGAGTTCGTTGCGAAATGGCCATAGAAATCTATCAGGACTTCGATCTCACAGGCAGCATTGACGAGATATACATGCGGAGGGAAGGTCTTTTTGGTAGACAACATTGCGATCACCGACGCCTTTCTCTATAAATAAGTTTCAGGAGTCGCCCAAGATTTCCTTGGAAATGGCCTCTGATCGCCTCAAATCGTCCACAACAGCGCCTTCGCGCTTCTCATCGCGCAGTCGAAACAGAACCTTGGGATTGATGGGTTGTGTGACGAGCCCATCCTGAAATCCAGTCTCGACGCTTATGTCGACACCCCCCGGCGGCGGCAAAATATCATAGGCCCAGAGTAGCTTGGATAACGTCAAAGAAATGGTCGTGTAAGCGAAAAGCTCGCCTGGACACTGTCGCCGACCCGAACCGAAGGCGTACAGAACTCTTCGGCTGGCGTCTTTTACATCAGGAACGTTTCGCATGCCAAACGGATTGTCGATAAATCTTTCCGGAATGAATTCGTCGGGTCGATCGTATTCCTCTTCGTTGCGGTGGATTGTCCAGGCATTCGCAATAAGCATAGTACCCTTTGGATAGACGTAGCCGCCCACGGATTCATCTCTTGTTAGAACGTGCGGAAAAGCACTCGGAGTGGTTGGGCGCCATCGAAGAATCTTCATGACACCTTGAGTTAGAACATGGTAGCTCTTTCAGGTGTATCTGAGGAGTGACTTACCTCCGAAATGCAGGCCCTCAGGTACGTCAATTGCCCGAGACTGTCGCTCGTCGGCGGTGTTCCATTGCCCACTCGATCGACTTCTTCTTGCGCCTTGGCAAGGATGTCCGGATACGCAGCAAAGGTGACCAGCAGGTTTTTGAGAGTCGCGGCAGTTGTGTCCACGGCAGCAGCCACCATTCCCTGCCCGGCGAAGCCCAGCTCCGTGGTGGAGAAATTCTTCTGTTTGGACTCTCCGTCGGCCTGGTCGAGCATAATCTTGGCCAGCAGGCTTTGAAACCTCACGGAACTGGGGTCCTCCTGGATCTGCTTAAACTGCTTCAGGCCACCACTGAGGAATTTGTTTGCGTCGCCGACAATCAGCTGTCGAACGAGTCGGGCGTGACTCTTCCAGGAACAGCAGAACTCGGGAACGTATTTGAGGATGGGGAAGATATCGACCGGCGGAGCGACTCCTGGAATAGCGAGTTTCAGAATTTCCTCTTGGGCGTGGAAGAAATCCTCCATATACTCAGGAGGCATGTCCTTCAGTCGCTCGCCAACAGTGATCACGAGGGGCACCGCGAAGGCCCAGTACTGAAGATGCTCCACGTAGTTCTTGTCACCCCCATGGAGGAGCTTGTGTGTCAAGCTACATGCCTCCGCCTCGAGAAGAGGTAAGACCCTTTTGACCCCTCCGCTGGCGAGAATGTACTGAAGGGCCTTGCGCCATCGTTTATAGTAGTCGTCATATTGCAAAATGGCAATCTGTTTCTCTTCTGGTCCGTAGGCAACGTGTTTGGAGATCACATAAGAGTCTGGTCTGTCCGAGCATGTTGCTCCACGTTTGTCGAACAGCTCATATACCAGAGCTGGGGTGTTGAGAATCACCAGATTTCCGGTGCCGGCCTTGATGCCCACCGCATCACCGTACTCTTTTGACCACTTGTGAAATTGAAGATACGGCTTATGCAGAGGCACATCCAGTAGATTCCCAAGACCCGGAATTATCGGGGGCCCTGGTGGGAATGCCTTGGGCCGGAGAGTTCCCCGAACCCATTGCGCGATTTTGAAGAGTAAAAAAACGGCGAAGCCCGCAATGAGCGTATACGTGATAGTCGGGGCCCTTTCGGTGTATGACATGGTTGTGAGACAAAATATGGAAAGTTGCGGCCCGGAGACAGCATACGTTCACCACATATATCATCCTTCACGCTTCCCGATCTTCTTTGCTTTGCTCGCCCCACCTCCATCCCCACGGCAGGTTCTTAGCGGAACACTTATCCACTTCACTTGGACCGTTCTGTGTGCTTGTAATGGAGAAGAACTTCTAGGACGACAGAGCTCCCAAGACTTTTCCATCGCAAAAATGAGCAAACCATATGGCCCGCTGCCGTTAGCGTGGTCCTAGTGTATACGTGTTTATCAAGATGTTTCTGTTGAATAGGTATCAAATACAAATCCCATGGTTGGTCCAAGCCATGGTATTATTCTGTGCATGGGGGGCCAATAGACTATATCCAATACACCGAGACAGTGTGTTGATAGTCGACTGAAGTATCGACATTCTCAATTTTGGGTGCTATTATGGCCCCACCCCCTCCCCGAACGCCTCTCTACTTGGGTTCCTCTTCCCTGGTCTTTGGAGGGACTGATCATCACATCTTGTTGGCGGTGATTTGCACCTGCTTGTTCTAGAATATACCTGCAAGCCTGATTCAATGTCTTATTTTTCCGTTCTACACAGTGGTAAGGAGAGCAACGCATATTTCAGAGTCGAATTGAGACAATGCCCCACGTTTTCATCTGATTTCGCCCCCCTGTGATGATCATTCATCCCCCGGAAATTCCGGCATCCTCGGCCCAATTGCCTCGATTGGAATGAATCATTTCGATTTGGCCGAGAACTGAATTGCAGAGGCATCTGTACGGCAATGAGAGGAAAGAAGTACGCAGTGAGAGGCAGGGGATGGGGCATTCTGAGTGTAATGGTTGACGACGTAGGTCGTAGTGGTCGATGTTCCTTTGAAAATAGAACACAGAGTGAGGGGGGGTGTGGGTGCTAATGTTTCATTAATTCCATTAAAAATCCCTGAGATCTTCAATTCCACCTTCTTTCCAACTCCATCAGAAATCCGCCGACCCTCTTGATCAAACAAGTATGACGGCCATGTGAGTGAGAGAAATGCCCACACTTCGACACAAGGTTATGGCTGACCTGAATGGAGAGATAAATTCTTTGAGATCGCCAACGCCAAAGGCCGTATCGACGAAGCGGCCGTCGCGGAGATCTATGATCAATTAGACGCGATTCCCTCGGAAGGACTCGTTGGCAGCTGGAAGGGGACCAGCTTGGATACTGGTCATCCTGCACACGAGCGTCTGCTCGAAGTCAGCTGGGCCGGAAAGGACTTCCACTCCATCGATGATGTTGATCCGGTCATAATCTACGACGACAGTGGGAAGCGCGTGGTCTCCGAAGAGTTTGGAAAAGCCAGGGTGAGCCCAGCAGTCATCCATTCAAGGGGGAGACATGCTGAGACCAATTTGCAGATCCGCCAGGTAATCTTTCGCGATGTTGCGACCGCGTCGATGGTCTACGACAAACTAGCAATCATCGACTCATTCCGACGCGTCACCGATGACATTGTGTTGGGCGCCATGGACAGCCGGGACTTGAATGTTCACGGCACATATTATTTCTATCTTACGCGGAACCGGGATTAAGTGACTGTATCGAGGTCAGTCTAGAAGGATTTCGCTGAACAGTAAATAAAATATGAATTGATTTTCCTAAAAAGACATCCACACTGCCTCGTTCAACGTAAAGAAATTATAGCTCGGACTTTGTCACTTTGACCCGTAAGTTCGACTCCAGGAAAACACCGTAGCTCAGGGTCTCGTCGCTCGGGTGCCAGGGACTCACTGCCTGGAAGTCGAAGTTGCGCAAAAGCTAGGATTCTGGTCAGTAACGCCAATCGACAACCACAAGAAAGGATAACGCGTACCTCGAATGTGATTTTGTACAGCTCCATGAACGCAATATGCTTTCCCAGACATTGGTTCTGCCCATGGCCAAAGGCCAGTTCAAGGCTTCGTTTCATTTCGTTGCGCTCATTTTCCTCCAAATCCGTAAATCGTTCAGGCCGGAAGACGTCGACGTCATTCCCGAAAAGTGAGGTTGAGCATAGGAGCGATGATGTGTTCATGCAAATATTAGTTCCACCTGGAATGAACTTTCCATCGTACTCGATCCCAGCTGCCGGCACCACTTTAGGGAAAAGGCCCAAGATCGGCGGCCGCATGCGGATACCCTCATAAACAACGGCCTGCCGAATAGAAAATCGAGTCAGCTGAGCTCGGGAAGGTGTAAGACAAAGAATGGGCGAGGGCATATACCTGAAGGTATGAGAGCCCCTTGACCTGTTCGGAACTAATGGGGCTGGCAACGGAGCCACTGTTGAGGGTTTCTCGGATCTCGGCCTTGACCTTCATGTATGCACGAGGACAGCTGATTGTGTGAACGAGAACAGAGCGTATCGCAGCTGCGGTGCTCTCGGAGCCTGCAATGATTGTAAAGAGCCCCTCAGCCTCGCACTCGGCTTGGGTCAATCCATGGCTAATGAAAGACTCCTGGATTGGGTGTTAGACAAGGCCAGCACATACATGAAACCGGGATGTTGGAGGTCTCTTACCATCATGTCGCCCTTTTTGCTATCCTGCAAGGAGGCAAATCTTTGCTGAACGTGATGCCGAGAGACTCTATCCACATCAGTCAGTGTTATGCATGATCGCAGGCTTGAATGCCACCGAGTGTCTTGACGCACCCCATCAAAGCTCCAAATCCATGTTTGTCCGTAGCACGTGGACCAAACAGCTTTAAAAATGGCCTTGAGAAAATAAATCTGCGAATCCACGGCACATCTGCCGAAAGGGACATCTGCGGCCATAGATCGTGAACTTCTTGCAGGAAGCCGTGGAGGTCTTTTTCTTCGAGATAGCCAAATTCCTGCCCAAATGCCAACTTTGTAATCACGTCCATCGTGAAGTAGCTGGTGATTTGACCGATATCTAAGAGAGGTGCCTTGTCGCCTAGAACGGCATACTTCTGTCGCAGTAGATCTGTAAGGCGAGTGATCTGGCGATCAACCCCATGCTCAAGGGCAGAGGCCGTATCACGACCCGCATATCCTGCAAAGAGACGTGCGCGTGCCTGCTTGTGACCGTGGTTGTCCAGAACGGTGAACAGGTTGTCATAGTACGGGTTAAAGCGGCCGGTCAGATACCACTCGCCGCGCGTGAAGGTGCTGCGCACCGAGGACATGCCCCGGATAATGTCTGGGTCATCGGTCATGATCTCGTTGGGGCCAATGCGCACCAATGGGCCATATTTTCGATGAAGCTCGCGGTGCGCCCAATATTGTTTGCCACCATAGGTTGTCCGGCCAAGCCAGACGTACGAGAAGTGAGCCAACCAGCTGGGCACGGGAAACTTGCGAAGTCGATACCAGGAGAGAGCCGAGGTGATCACATACAATGCGACCAAGGCAAATACTGCCAAGGTGGTACAATGGTAGAGGTCCATGGCGAGTTGAACTGGTTTTGAAGTGCCCAGCAAGAGCGAGGGTGCCTTCAGCGCAGAAATCAGGGTCGATGGCATATCAAAAGAGTCAATGAGTGAGGGGGTTTAGTCTGTCATGTTTTTGTTTTGGCTTCTTGGAGAGAGGACGTTTCCCCAACTTGATCCTACGGCATAGACCTTTTCTTAGCCCCATGGGTCCATTTTCCCAGTGAAGACACTGGGTGGTTCTGCCTTGACAAAATTCCTGCCTATGAGGGAAGTTTGTTTACGCGGCATCAGTCTCAAAAACGGTGACCACGTTGATTCAAGAAATCATCTTTTTGAGTTCCAGGAAAGAGGCCGAATGGAGTGATCAACACGACGATCACTTTCGGTACGCCTCTTGGAATGATGGTGTTCTTAATTTGAGCCAGGGCGTCAGCCGGTACTTTGATTTGGAATCAAATACTCGAATGGAGCTTGCTCCTTCCAACTATGTATGGATCTATTGCAAGGGCATCGGATACAATCCGAGCTAGGCAATTGCCATGCCATTCAACATCGGCAAATTTGACTGTAAGACCACTTGGATTACAGTGTTTTAGCAATCATTCCGCTATCCCTAGTAGATAGAAATATCAACAGTCCAGTAGTAAGTTGACATTCACCAGATGACCGTGCAATTGAATGATAAGCCAAGTATGACAGATATAGTAGGACTTCACCGAAGCATTCTCGTGTATACATCATGGCAGGATAGTCAGAAACGTATTGTAATTCGTAACGCAGTGGAGACTCTTGGCGGGCTTGGAAGGAGGCGCGAAGCACCGACATAGGTGGGGGCTGCTCCACAAAATGACCTCTACAATAATCATGCTAGACATGCATACTTGTTTCTTCGGCAATACACCTCGCACGCATTTCCGCTCGGCTAATCCTCCGATCCAACCTGCGATAGGACTCGATCGTCGATGGGATTTCAATCGACAAGTTCAGCCCCCACACGAAGTCTTCCAATATTCAGATCATCCAAACCGAGCTAAAAAATGGGCTTGAGTGGACTGGATCCCGGCCCATTCGACCAGATGACCAGGAAGTCGGGGTGAGAGATGGTGAACTGATTGGAATCGACATCCCCATAAATTTAAAGTGACCCGGCTGTTTGGATTCGAGCTGCTGATAGACGCACGGTTAACGGGACGGCCACTGGTCCCTTTCAGAAGTATATAACACGCACCAGCGGCCAGGAATCACCCTGATTATCCGTTTGCTACACGAAAGCAATCTAAAGCAACAATGGCGATCAAAAACAAATGGTACTATCCCACTGATATTGCCCATGACCTTGACGAGCTTGACTTGCCCTCCGAGGTCAAGGAGGAAATCCTGGCGTGTGCTTGGGAATATTCGCGGTCTGTGATTCCCCAGTACACCAATTGGGATCGCTACGTCGCATTCATGCGCATCATCATTATTGGCATCATCGCCGAGTTCCGCGGTGCCATGGTGGACGTGGCTGCTGGCCCCGAGGTGCTGGGCTACGACCTCGATGGCGTCCTGGACGACCTTTTCCACGGCACTCCCGGCCATCAAGATATGGCTCGCGAGTATAAAACCTTCCTCTTGGTCACATCTGACAAGGCTAGCCACAGGCGGCACGACAGCGAATTATTCCGTCGATACGTCAATGCCCTCGTCGGCTCACCACAACAATGGTTCCGCATGCGTGACTGCGACGCACTGGCTCGCTTCACAATTGCTTCGGCCCTGGCATGCAACGACCTTCTCGATACATGGTATACGGACGAGCAGTATGACATCCTCTGCGAGATTGGAGACACCATGTACGACGCCGTGGCCTATTTCAAGCACCGGTCCGAGGGGGAGACCAACAACACATTTGCCTACATGCCAGACAACCAGCGCGTCGACGCTTTCCATCTTGCTCGACAGGTTCTCTGGGCCCTGGATGTGGCGATGGCGGGCACACCGGGACACACCGCAGTCACCAACTTTCTACGCAGCTTTGGTGGCCCGATCCATATGATGATGCGACGCTATCGATTTGTGGAAGAGCAACTCACCATTGGCAAACCCGAAGATACGACTGTCATTGACCAGACCCGACGCAACTTTAAACTCTGGAACCGCGTCGATAGCAACGGGGTGGTGTCACTCGATACCAGACGTTATGGCATGTCTATTGACCGGAGTGACGAGCTCATGTTTAAGGGCTTGGCCGACTACCTTGAAAATGCCGACAATAGACATTGTGCCAAGTGTGTCTACCGCGATACTTATGGCGCGCAGGGTGCCCAGTGCTTCGGGGGTGTACAGCTATGTGGTCAATGTCGAAGCAAATGGGGGCACTTCCTCGACACTCTCCCTGAGCGTACTAAGCAGGCGTTTCCAGATCTTGATTTGGTGATTTGATTGGAATCATATTTCTCGAATTTTGTCATGTTATATACACTGAAGCAGAATGGACAATCTTGATGATAACCGAGGCTGGCTGTCGACATATTTGGTACATTGTATGCCCGCGACAGGCAGGCCCATAAGGAGACGCGGCTTGTCACGATGAAATCGCCGAATACCGACTCCAGCCTCTTATAACAGGCCCGTACCAATACAAAACATACGGCACAGGCAGTAACGCGGTCAAAATAAGCCCCAAAATCGTCAATGTCCATGGGATGCCCACGTTGTCATAAAAGATGCGGGCGATCACCCTCATCACTCCGGCGGCCACAAACCGGAACATATGAATACTGGCGAGTGCGCTGGCCGCGTGGAATTCGAATGCGTCAGCGACATATTGGAATGAGGATACAAAAATACAAAAGACGCCAACGCCAAAGAGCACCGAGGCACCAAGTGGGCACCAGAATGAGATCGAAGGGCGAGCCGTCCAGCCCATCCAGAACAGTGAGATAGGAATCGCGGGCGCTCCAAACATGGCCATATATAAGCTCACTTCGGGATCGGGACGCGGTTTGCCCCGAGCATGAGCCCGGCGAATGTCTTTGCGAAGGAATTTGAGGGCCAGCGGCACAAAGAGATTGCCTAATAGAACGCCAACGGCGACTCCTAGCAGCGCCATACCGACTTGACCTTCGTTGAATTTGTAGATGCCCTGGTAGATAAAAACATAACCGGAAATCCAAGTGTAGAGAACGATGAAAAGAGCGGACAGGTAGACCGTAAATACCATAATGATAGGTTCTGTGGCGAAGAAAATTAAGGGTCGATATAACGCATGACCGAGGCGACGAAAGAACGGTATTTTCTTGACTTCCAAGGGTGCCCGGTATCGATTATCCCCTGTGAGGCGGCGAAGTTGCTTTGCCTTCCAACGGAGGAGTAAGGGGCTATATGTTTCCGGCAGGAATAACACGACAAGACCTAAAACCAGACCGGCAAGAATGATGGTAATCCAATCGACCCAGCGCCAATTGATCACTGGCTGCTGGTTAATAAATGAACCGGGTGTCGGTGCCACGAGAGGGCCCATGAATGCCAGAGTCGAATACAAGGAAAAGGCATATATACGCTCAATTCGTGACCAAAGATCAACGAGGGAGCCTGCGGCGGCAACTACCGGAGTCGACCCACAGAAACCAGCTAAGAAACGACAGGCGATCCGCTGGCCCACGTTTTTAGCAAGTCCGGTTCCCATAGTGAAGAGCATGAACAAGAACAACGACGGAATATACACAGCATTCCGTCCAATGACTTCGGAGATGGGCGCCATTAGTAGCCCGCCGATTCCAATACCGATCAGATACACGCCTCCGTGGGGTTTTAGTTGCGAGACACTGCATCAATGCCAGAGAATGGAACGTACCTGTTGGCACCGACTCAAGTTCATAGCTCGTGCGAAAGACGGCCCTTGCGGAGGCGTTGACCGTTGAATCAATGGTAGTCGCCCAGAGCATGGTCAGTGCAATCAGAGAGACGATTATGGTATATCCCAGACGCAAAAAGAAAGGCCAATTGTGCGGATCCACTGGATCATAGTCACCCTCATACGTGACGACAATGAACTTATCTTTTTGTGCCAAATCGTCGGTGGCACCGTCTGCCACACCATCTGCCGGTCTTTCTACCCCCGTGAGCATCATATTCGTGGTGCCCCCGAGAGTCTCCTGCGTGTTGAGGGTCTGGGGATCGGGTTGGATTTCCGGGTCATAATCCGCACGTTCGACATCCCCGTCTCGTTCCATGTGTTGTCGGGTGGAGTGACGCGGGAGAAAAGCTGGCCCGCTCATCGGGGTGAGGTTGCCGTGCTCTTTTCTGCGTCTCGCCCCTTCATCTTCTTCACCCTCAATCCAGTCGGACTGTATTCTTCCATCGCGATAGGAATAACGTCGCTCACTGGTCCAAACATTCTCGGGCCGTTCGTCTTTGACGACAATTTGTTTCTCCAGTTGTTTATAGATCCGGCGGTATTGCAAGTAGGACTGCATGGTGTATGTTTTAATGGCGAGAGTTTCAGCAAGATTGAAATAGCACTCTCACCGTGATCTTGAAATCGTCGAACGGTGGAAATCTCGGTGGGATCTGGTGCTGGGAAGGCTATACTCCCTATAAATGCCTCGATGGAGGCAAATCATACGAAGGCGTGCATTGCATCACTCGGCCTTCCTCCCCGCCAATAGTGAAACACACCAGGACGATCAGGAGAAGGGCTACCATGCAGTCGTTGGATTCTGTCACCAACATTCAAAGATGGTCAGTGTGAGAAGCTGCAATGAGATTGCCCAGAGCTCGTCTCGGGACATATTGTGGCGACGTATTGTGGTGATGTGTACTCGTGGACCTAGAAAGGTGTACCTAGGGAATGCGCCGATAACAATGCGACCTTTGGCAGAGATAATTCGACAACGATGGAGGTGAAAACGAGACTGCTCACAGCTTCATGGGATGAGTAGATGACTCGGGGGATTCCGATCACCTCATGCCACTTAATCAGCTGGAGACCCCTCGGATGCCCCGCATAACACTATTTATTTTCCTTCTCATTCCAACCGTCTCTCTGCTCTCATCCAATTCACCGCAGCAATGACCACTCTCAAGCCTGGCGACACATTCCCCAGCGACGTTGTTTTCCAGTGAGGACTACCTCGACACCCTAGATTTAGAGCATTGCTGACGGTCGGACACAGGTATATCCCCTGGTCGGAGGATAGTGGGGATATTACGTCGTGCGGCATCCCCATCAACTACAAAGCCTCCGAGGAGTGGGCCAACAAGAAGGTTGTTCTCTTCTCGGTGCCAGGTGAGTTGTCCTGTTGGCTTTTGTCTTTGCACTCGAAATTCTAATGTGCATATCCAACGTGACTAGGGGCCTTCACCCCCACATGTTCGGTCAACCATGTCCCCGGCTATATCAAGAACCTCCCTAATCTGCGGGAGAAAGGAGTGGATATCGTGGCGGTGCTCGCCTTCAATGATCCCTTTGTGATGAGCGCCTGGGGCAAGGCAAATAAGGTGCAAGGAAACGACATTGTGAGCAACGATCCTGGATTTTAATTGATCAATACTCATGATCTCGCGCAGTTGTTCCTGTCCGATCCCGATGCCAAATTCTCCAAGGGCATTGGCTGGGCCGACGAAGCCTCTGGACGCACCGGCCGGTATGCTGTGATCATCGACCATGGCAAGGTCAGCTATGCCCAGATTGAAACGGAGAAAGGTGCCGTGAAGGTATGCCTGAAACACCCCATACCCTGGATTCGAGGGGCCCTATTGATCTCTATACAGAAATCGAGTGCCGATGCCGTCCTTGCGTCGTTGTGAATCTCCCCGCGGTAGAAGAAAAGCTCGTGCTTTGGCAGTGGCCGCGAGAGAAGCATGACTCACTCGTGATGAAACTCAATACACAAAGAACATCTTTGTCCAAGTGGCATTCATCGGCTAATAAATACCACTTGAATATTTGAGGCTTCACATCCCACGTAATTGTCAATTGTATATCCCATGGAAGTATCGTGCGGGAGGTGATTCTATCGAGATTGATGCATGCGCTTTGGTCAAACGGGCAGAAAAGAGTTCAACGCAATCTACACAAAATGCAAGAATTCAGTGGTATCGTGTGGCCAAATCAATCAAAGCGCAAGAGTGGAGGGGATAAAAAGCGACGGCAAATTAGAGGGGCGGGCCCTGTGCTAGTGCCCGGTCATGAACATGCAAATCAATACCAGCATCGATGCAGCCCAAGTGTAGGGGCTCGGCAGCCTGGAGGATCTTTTCCTTGACAGTGCCTTCCAAAGCGGTTGACGGGAGGACGTCAGTATGACCAGAGTCCTCGGAAGGGGCGTTCTGGAATCCGCCCTCAATATCTATCTGCTGCAGTCGCGGCGCGCGAGTACGTCGGTTCTTAATCACTGCCTGGAGCTGCCTCACTAACATAGGCACATGTCGCTCCTCACAACCCTCGATATAAATAGCCTCCAGGGATGATGGTAGGCAGTCAATGAGAGGCGTGGTGGGCTCGTTGGAATATCGAATGTCGAGCAGGTTGGGCAACCGGATGCGAACCTCGCGCAGAACAGTGAAGTCTACCAGTGACCCAAACCACTCATCGTGGGTTTGGTTCAAACCCAGAGCCGTGAACGGGTAGTGGCTACCATGGTGATCCAGCCATAGGGTTTGGAGACTCGCTTTGCTTGGGGCCAGCGAGCGATACAGTGCTGATGGTTGGTACCCATGGGAGCAAACATGGGAGTCAGAATGTTGATACTTGAAGGATTTCAAGTCTGCACACGAAGCAACCAGTACCTCCATTCCGTAGTTCGCATTGCTCGCGCGGAGATCGATTTCGGTGATCGAGGACAACCCCATCGGTGATCGTCCTGTCCGGGGTTGGCTTTCGGGGCCAATGTCTAAACTAGGGTCTATTACCGAGTCGGCCGTTATCGTACGAACTGATGGCAATTGAAAGAATGGAAGAAGGAGCGAGGCAGACGACCGAGGCTCTTCGCCTGTGGGATTGCGGTGATCCGGTAGATCAAAGTCGTCTCGGCGGTTCAGAGTAACCTCTCGAAGGCAACGGAACGGCGGGTAGGTATCGAATGGTCGTTCGCCAGAAATGGCTTGTTGCATGATCCGGTTCAGGTAGGGCGTATCAGTACCATATACGAGATGGAGCTGTCTTAGCTGGTTCAACAAAGGCAGCAAAAGAGCAATCCAAGCATCTCCCAAGCCTTTGGCAAGGTCCCGGGCCCAATCTCTTTTTTCCTTGTTGGAATATGATACAATATCCAGCCATTCATGTAGAGCAGCAGAACATTGAAGTTCAACTTTTTCGTCATTGGATATCCTCTTCGATCGCCAGCCGATCAGGTCCAGTTTCTGGACGACCCGGGCAAGTTGCCGTCGTTTACGAACGGCAAGAAGAAATGATTTGGCATCATTCCAGTTCTTGAGGGGTACCGTGCGATAGAGCAAGGGTAGGAAGAGATCGTGAAAATGATGAGAGACAAAAAGGAGGTTCCAGCGGTCCATCTGCTGATCTATCTGTTCTCCTACCAAGAGGAGTACGTCATTTGGGAGTGACCGCATTCCGATATGAACCACCAACGTGCCAGTGAAGGCACACTCCTGGGGAGAAGCTCAATGGCTCATGCGAGAAAGGAAAGGACCCGGCGACCAGCAGAAAATAAGTACCCTTTGAGGGCGGCCGTCGACAAGCAAAGGAAAAAGGAAAAAGGAAAAAAGAAAAAGAAAAAAAAAAAGGAGAAGGGGGAAAAAGTCAAGAGGTGATAAGATTTCTACCAGCCGGGCAGCGCTACTCCGAAACGCTTTCTGGAAGACCATACCCACGCCAGCTGATCTGATGGCAGGCATTGGCCGATATTCGTCACCGACGGACTATGTGGGCTGTCAGTCCGAAGTCCTGAGAGGACTGTGAATGATTTCCCGCTCCACTCTGTGCTCACCACGGTTGCCGGTCCCACCGGACGAAAAAGACAGGGAAATATTTACAAAGGACTCAGCAGCATCTTGGAGTTGTCTCGGTAAGGGCGGATTGGGATAATCCCCTTGACCTCGGGATTATCAAAGACGTAAGCCGAGAGCAGAGCCAACCGCAACATAAAAATTAAGCTTATTCTTCCTGCGTTGGAACTCGGGCCGCTTCTCGGGCGCAACCATTGACTGATACTGTGCTGATATCTGGGACTTTGTTTTTATTGTGTTTTTTTTTTTTTTTTGGTTGACGAAACAATCCCCTTGTTTATTTCAAGCAACATAGGGGGGGGGGGATTTTGTGTCTGCAGAATTTGTGACATCGGGAGCCACTCGGGTTGTGTCAGTGGCGATCGAATGCCGTCGCCCGCAATTGCCCGAGACATTACAAAGGCAACTTTCATCGTGAAGAAATCCCGGGTAAAATAACGGTGGTATATGATTAAATGGGTATATCTATTGGAAAGGGGTGATTGGCCGAATGGAAAGGGAGACCATCGATTGCCGAGATTAGATCTTTTGGTGACTGCTGTAATCGTCAATGGTTCACTGGGAGGGGCGTTCTGGTGTTCAACTATCGTGGGTTCCTCTATGGACTGATGGCGACGAGGACGGGGCTGATCTGGACAATGTAGTGGACAATGTAGTGGTGTGAGAAGTGGCGGTAGGAGGTGGTGTGGACTCAGAGGGCGAAGGGGAGGAAGAAGATGAGAGCGCCAGTGTCGGAGCATGTTCAGAAGATTTGGTGACACCGTGGGAAGATTCAGACGATGGCTTCTTCTTTGGCTTGGATGGATCAGGCCTGCCGGGCCCAGAGCCAAACCCGGTGCACATTGAGGGCAAGGGCATCGTGACCGACTGGCACGGCAGTTAGCAGCTACACCCGCCCAGGGAGAGCGTTTGGTCCATACCGCGATCGCTTGGCTGAGGATCGGTTCTTCCTCGTTGCCGGCCGTTGATGCCTCGACATTGAGATTGACCCCCAGGGAGGGTGCAATTTTCACGCCGAAACGGTGTTTCTTCGGGTCCTCCGGACAGGCGCCAGCGGATGCTGTCTATGATCAGCAAGGGACACGCATGTACAGCATCCTGAGTGACTTACATGCCGCCACGTTGAACTTTGCCCCGGCGAATGGCTCTAAGTTGACGCCGACCTCGAATCCCTGACCTGTGTCATGGGTCAGTGAGTGCCAAAAGTGGCCGGTCATCGTGAAGGGTTTCTCGCACCGAGCGCCTCCAACGCCAACTCCACGGTAGCCTTTGCATTGAGCTGAACCCCAGCACTAATCGAGGCATCTACCGTGACAGGCTTTTGCGACACCGTGGGCTTCCATCCACTGGCGGAGACATCGGGGGAAGTTAAATCAATCGCCAGCTTGGCTGCGTCCTGAAGACCAATAGATACCCCAGTGGAAACGCCGGCGGTGCCGACAACCGGGCCAAGTTCATACCCCCAGCTAAATACCACTTCGGGGCCGAGATCCAGGACGCCACCGGGGATGGAAATGCCGTCGATGGGGATCCGTCCCAGCTCCCGCTCGTCGGACTTTTTATCTGTGAAGTTGGCGCTCAACCCCAAGCGAGGGTTGAAGTTGGCTGAGACTCCCCGTGGGCTCAGGCTCATCGATACTCCTTTGGGGATGAGTAGTTCTGTTTTCAATTGGAATTCAAAGTCGAACTCGCCCTTCGTTCCGCAGTCCTCGCAATCATAGGTGAACTCAACATCCCCAACCGACACAGACTTGCTGCTCAGAGGCAGCGGGTGGTTGAAATCCAGGGAGAAGGACGGACTGGCATCACGCTTGGCCAACGACGGATGTCCACCGACCAGAAGCTCATAGGTGTGGGCGACGGTTTTCCAGTCCGAAGCCTTGCCTGTCACCGTCACGGTATTCTTTGTATCGCTGAACAGCACATTGGAAACAATAAAGGGGAGCCGGTGCTTGTTCCAACCGCAATGACCGTGCCCAGCAACCAAAACGAAAGTGCGATCATCGGCGTCGTTGACCCATTTCCAGATGCGTTGGCCATACTGGTAGGATCTCTCGTTCTTGAAGTTCAAGGTCATGCTATTTTTGGTGCATTGCGAAGACTCCAGTAGTGGTTGGAACTTCTCCATTGCTATGATACTCTCGGCTTCACCCGGCATGTGAAGGGTTAAGTTGCCTAATGCAGAGCGACCCTTTTCCGACCCTGCAGGATGTAGATTTTAGTATCCTGCCCCAAAGCCATCGCATAGCGATTGAAACGTACCACCCCAAAAAAAAGACTCGACGCTGAGAAGATCCAGACCAGAAAAGTCATCGTCTCGCACAAGATTGCGTCCATGATCAGCTACAGGCGAGCCCATCGGTTGGAGCTCTAAGGAACGGCCAGTCTCGACCCAGAGCGTGAGAGTGAACGCGAAGAGCAGCCATGAAATGCGCCCAGTGATCATTTTTGGTTGTTGACAGTAAGAAGCCACCGCGAAGTGTTTGGTGAGGGTAAAATGCTTGCAGAGCTTTCCTCTGCGCGTGGTTGGCCTTAAACATATTCTCCATTTCCATATACTTTCTGCCAAGCTGAGACGGGATGCTTAGCCTCGATTGATTCTGAGCGATCAGGGCCCGTCGCGACATGACAGACAGGCCCTTGACATGACGGGGTGAAAATAGCACAACCTGACGGTGGCTTGGCTCGTATTTTTTCCACATCGAAGAAGCTGAGTGGATCGAAGAGGACCAACAACCGACGGCGGTTCATGATGAGGCTGAGCGAAATGGGAAGTTTCGTATTCTGCTTGCTCATCCTAATTTCGCGGCCCCAAGAGGTTGACCCAGCTCCCTTTTGGCCCCCAGCTATTTTGGTGTCATCCCGCGTGGGGCCCTTGGTCCCTTGCTGACAGTCGTCTGCCGATCATCTCGTGTGCCTTTTCCAGTGCCATTGCGCGAGTTTGGCAAAGAGAAGTGAAATGGCGGATGGATGACATGGAAGAAACAAAAAGCCCATTACTTTGCTCGGCCAATGGACTCTGTCAACTCTTATCCATGGATATGTCGAACGGTTGGGTGCTTCCTGGTGATGCCAGTGCCATGCAAATTCCGAGTATTTGTATGAGACTGCCCACCAACCATCCATGATGTCGAAAAGTATTACGAAACACTTGCGACACTGCCCGCCACCATGGCAGACTGGACATCTGGGTACTAAAGGAGGAGGGCAGACACCATCACGATAATCTCCCAGACATCTCCCAGACCTTCAGCCAGTCCGCTACCCAGGAAGGCGAAACGAAACCCCTTGGTCAAGCTCCATGAGGCGTTGTGGGCAAGCAGCGCCACGACTTCTGTGCCATCACTCGCGAACTCTCGTTCTCGCTCTGTTCGACACCCGCCGGCACTATGGAGAGGCCCCGACAGTCGGGCTAATTTCCAACCAGGGGTATTGCCCGCCAGGTCTTTGATCTCATTGCCATGACTTTTGCGCCACTCGAAGCACTCACGCGCGTCCTTTCCCGCCCGGGCCACCTCGAACGTAAGCCTCAGGGATATCTGACCGGACGGAGCCGCCGGAATCATCTGCGTCACGGTCTCCGTTGGATTGGGAGCGCCAGGGCGTGGTGGGAGGGTGATAGTGACGGGTTTGGTTTGGCCCCATTTATCGCCTCGGACAGTTGCCATGATCGGATGTTTGTTCGTTGGGCCGTCGTAGAGCACGGGGGACGGCCTGTTGCTCAGGATGGCGGAATGGGTGGACACCGGGTAGAGCTTTTCATCGGCGGTCGGCCCCAGGTGCAACGTGGAGGACAATTTCCAATCAAAGTACCCATTCAAGGCTGGCGGAAATTTGGCCTTGTGAAGGGTGTTAGTGCCGATCGGCCGAGAATATGCAGGCGCTGCATCGTGGGGAGCCGGGTCTGAGCTGTCATATTCCGAGTAGGGAGGAGGAGCTGGCTCCCAGGCAACATTGTCGGGTGGTCCTTCTTTGGATTTCATGGCGGGTGGGATGGTAAAAGAGGAAGTAATTGGAAGATTTCTAAGAGTCTTGATCAACCCCCCCACAAGACCGGAGATATATCCCGCCCAGGCCCGTGCAATATATTCTCTCCATACCTGGTCCATGCCGAGTTGGTACAATGTCGAGGGTCTTGTTGCGTATAGCTCACAATTCACGAGGAGGTTGTTTTCATGGGCGAGATGAATCAGGTCGAAGCTTTCTTGGTCGCTGAGGGGCTTTCACACTGCCCGCGCCATGGCCCGACACCCCAAGCCTGTCACACTTGGCTAGCCAGTTTGTCGGGTCGATAAAGAAGTTGGGAACCCTCGCTCCGGTCGGCAAAATGCGTGATGGCTTGCAGGTAAAAGCCATATTTCCCACATCATTATCACTTTCGTTCCATTGTCTATTTGTTGCATTTGTTCGCTGGGCTGATGGTGGATCGCTGGATTATGCTTGATGAGCATCAGCACGAGCAATGGCGGGAGGCATTGGAACCAAGATTGTGGACTTGACCGTTGATTTGACGCACCTTTTGCGAACTGGTTGAACCAAGATCTATCAATGGGGACATCCATTCGCTGGAAGAACCGGGGATTTTCGAGTTGAGCTGAGGGGGTATGTGCCATCCATGGATGGAGATGATCCATGTCTTTGAGCACTGAAGAGGGTCTGAGTCCCGTGCACGGGGTCGTGAGGGGCTACCATGGATGATTCCCTCGATGGATGTCCAATGTCGAGGAAGAAGGAAAGGGTCAGGTGAAGGCCATTGGAGCGATGAAACCATGTGGCGTTGACAGCCGACCCTCGAAGTTGCATGCGCTACGGATGCGCCGAGCGCCACCTGACGCTGATTGGATCTGGCGGAAATACCGAAAGAAGTATATTAAATATTAAATATTAAATATTAAAGAAAGAACAAAGAATTCAATATGATGGTATGCCTGTTTTGAGAAATCTGGGGAACCCGCATCTCCGCAATTGTGGAGCTGTCGTTTGTATACTTTTCTCTCTTCCCTCTTCCCTCCTCTCTCTTCCTTCTCTTCCTTCTCTTCCTCCTCCTCTCACACCCCCTCCGTTTCCTTCATCCTTCACTCCTTCACTTCCCCAATTTTGCATCTCCAACCAACAACAAGTCCACCATGGGCTACACCATCGGAAACATCTACGTGATCACCACGGTGGCCGTCATCGGCGGTGCACTGTTTGGTTTTGACATTGCCTCCATGTCTGCCATGTAAGCTTCCACGGTGTCGAGTTGTTTGGTTGGTTCAGTCCTCTGACATCGCTAACTTCTCATAGTCTCGGAACCCAGCAATACAAGTGCTTCTTCAACCAGGGTGGCATCAAAGATGGCAAGTGTGCCGGTCCGACCTCTGCCAACCAAGGCGGTATCTCGGCCTCAATGCCCGGTGGCTCTTTTGTCGGGGCTCTCATCTCCGGAATCCTCACAGACTGGCTGGGTCGCAAGCGCTCAATCCAGGTGGGCTCTTTGATCTGGTGTATTGGCAGTGCCATTGTCTGCGCCAGCTTCAGCATCGCCCAGCTCGTTGTGGGTCGGTTCATCAACGGTGTCTCCGTGGGCATCCTGAGTGCCCAAGTTCCCGTCTACGTTGCCGAGCTGGCCCAGCCCAGTAAGCGTGGCCAGGTCGTCGGTGCCCAGCAGTGGGCCATCACCTGGGGCATCCTGATTATGTTCTACGTATCCTATGGCAGCAGTTTTCTGGAGGGACCGGCCGCCTGGCGTCTCCCGTGGGGTCTGCAGATGGTCCCGGCCGCCTTGCTCTTTTTCATGGTTTTCCTGCTGCCGGAAAGTCCCCGCTGGCTGGCCAAGCATGATCGTTGGGAGGAGGCTCATGAAGTGCTGGCTCTCGTCCACGCCAAGGGGGATCGCAACGCCCCCTTTGTGTTGACTGAGCTGCAGGAGATTCGCGAGATGGTCGATTTCGAACGCCAGAATGCCGACGCCTCGTACCTGGATCTCTTCAAACCCCGCATGATCTACCGGACCCACATCGGCATGTTCACGCAGATCTGGTCCCAGCTCACCGGGATGAATGTGATGATGCTCTACATCACCTATGTCTTCGGCATGGCTGGTCTCAGTGGGAATGCGAACCTGGTGGCCTCGTCGATCCAGTATGTCATCAACGTCTTCATGACCGTTTTTGCCCTGATTTTCATCGACCGGTGGGGCCGTCGCACTCCGCTGTTGATCGGCTCAACTTTGATGATGACCTTCATGTTCGCCAACGCCGGCATCATGAAGTCTTACGGCAAACCCGCGCCCCCGGGCGGCCTGCATAACACCCCCGAGCAGTCGTGGGATCTTGGGGGTGCGCCGGCGGCTGCCAAGGGGGTGATTGCCTGCACCTATCTCTTTGTGGCCAGTTACGCGCCCACCTGGGGCCCCGTCAGCTGGATCTACCCGCCGGAACTCTACCCGCTGCGTCTGCGTGGAAAGGCCGTGGCCTTGGCGACCTCTTCCAACTGGATTTTCAACTTCGCCCTGTCATACTTTGTGCCGCCGGCTTTTGAGAACATCAAATGGAAGACCTATCTGGTCTTTGGGTGCTTCTGCTTCGCCATGACTGTTCACGTCTTTTTCCTTTTCCCGGAGACCGCTGGGAAGACCCTGGAGGATGTCGAAACCATGTTCGCTACGCCCGGTCTCAAGCCCTGGAAGACCACTGTCCAGTTCCAGCATGTACGCAAGTTGGAGCAGGGGGCGATTCAGTCCGAGAAGATCGCAGACCTGCAGGCGGAAGCAGGCACTGCGCATGCACCTTCCTCGCGAGAGAAGGAGACTGCAGCAGTCACTCAGGTTGAGTAGTAGATCGGTCTCCCATGGCGCCCGACAGTTTCTTCCATGACCCCTTTTGGTGGTTCGTGCTCTCGTGCTTTGTCGGGCCTTGCTTTCTGCGCATGCTGTTGCGGTCGATTCCATTTGACTTGTTCGGCTTTTCAAAGCCACTCTTTCACTCGGCAATGGGATTGGATTTGAATCGGTTTAGCAATTTAATCATACCTTAGTCTTTGAACGACAGCGGGGATTTCCCCCTTTGATTATCTCGTCTCCTCTGCCTACTGTAAGATCAACGTTTACGGTGGACCACCCTCGGTGGGAATTCGAGTGGAATGGAGTGGTGCATCGCAACCCTTCCCACATGTATAGGGAGGGCATGGGTCAGGCGATCTCGGTGTTCTAGAATTTGACTTTTGACTACCATAAGGCGACCTCGGGACACTATCTCCAGGGCTAAGTAAGATACTGAATACCTAGATACCTTGTCGACGAATCATATCTTGGCATTTGCCCATGTTTTGAGAATTCACAGTATCTATGGTTGACAAAATACAATGCAACCCTTTCCCCGCACGGTTCATTTCTACCGAAGTATCCGTAGTCTATATCCCAGGGCGAGTATAAAGAATCGCCTCTCACCCCCGACCGGTCGGTGTTGGACCGTTATCCCGAGGCATTATAATGATCAAGTTTGCACCATGTACCACATGGTCTCTTATTGCATCTTGGCTCTCACTGCCCTTGCAGCAGCCTCTCCAACGGTCTACCTGATCCGACATGGCGAAAAGCCCGATGACGGAGGCGATGGCCTGAGTGCCCAAGGCATTCAGCGTGCACAATGTCTTCGATCAGTTTTTGGCAACCACTCGGACTATCATATTGGGTATATCATGGCACAAACTCCCAAAGATAGTACGTCACAAGTCTATAAATGTTCCTGTTCCCCTTCCATGGATTCTGATGGTGAGTGGAGCTGTGAAGATGGCAAAAGAGCCCGTCCATATGACACCGTGAAACCCCTTGCCCATGATCTCGACATCACTATCGATACTTCTTGTGACCGAGACGATCCTAAATGTGTCCAAAAGGTCGTCAAGAAATACAAAGGCAACGGAAACATTTTGATTTGCTGGGAGCATGATGCGTTGACAGATATCGTGAAGAAGCTCGGAGCAAAAGATGCTCCATCCTATCCAGACAACCGGTCAGTCACTAGCGATAGTTGCGATTGATACCTCATCCTCGAGTTCGGTGCTCACTGAATTGGCAGTTTTGATGTGATTTGGATTGATCCATCGCCCTATTCCAAGATCGCGGCGACAACCAGCGAGAAATGTCCCGGCTTGGACCATTAGAAGCGGGGCGCAATGCAACTCTATATCTGAACACGCACTCAAACCTCCTACGTACGCTACAATGAAACGTTCCCTTGGATTTTCATGGCCCAACCAGCCTTTTTCCACAAGCCATGCGGCCTATACAGGATAGGCCTCGGTATTTCCAAACACGGATCAATATACCTTGTTTATTTTTATTTTTATTTTTCTTTCGATTGATATATGCGTCGCCTTTTATCGATTCTCTTACTCGCAACTCAGTTGTTTCACAAGTGGGGAGGACGTCTAGTACTGGCTAGCGAACAGTGCAAATGCTCTCTCTATGCTGCCCATAGCAGCCATACTGCCCCGCCAACTGCCAATGCCATTGTAAGGACCCCGAAAATCCAAGCACCCGCCTTATCGCCTGTGGTGATACGGCGAGAACTGATATCCTTGGAGCTATTGCCATCAGTGTCAATAGCCTCCTCCTTCCCACCGGGATTGGTATCAATATTCTTCGGTCCTTTGACGTCACCCATCAGCATTAGTCTGCCCGTAATACCTCCCAAGGCGGCCATTTGAACCTCCATTCCTTTCATTCCGTCCCAGTGGTCTTCGTACCACCGCATCCCACAAAGATCGTCGGACTCCCCGGAGCAAATCTTTGCTATTGCTTCAAGCGACCCTTGCAATTTAGGAAGGATCCGGTCATGCGTTGAAGGAACGAGAATCGCCGTGCTAGCAAGCCACATCGATAAGTACCCTTTAAAGCAGAGCTCATTACGGTTGCAGTGATTAACGGGTTCGCAATTGACGTCCGAGACTATATTCCCGCCATATTTCTTGGGATAAAAGGTTTTGAATGTGGTGTCCAGGAGCCCATTCACTCGCTTCAACCAGATATCGTCGCCTTTGGTCTGTTTGCACCAAGATTAGACTCGGCATGATTGTAGATGGTAGATTGGAGGGGTTCGAGGAATAGAAAGACAAACATGCTTATACATAAACGCAGCCCCTAGGATATATGATCCATAGTTGTATGACCACTGCGTGCGATCTCCACCCTTGCAGCCATCGGCGGTGTTGGTCGAGTCGCAAACATACCAGGTATGGTTGTTCACCAGCGGACTATCTTGGGACCAATCCCAGATTTTGTTGGCCCAGTCCGCATAGGTCTCGTTCTTGGTAAATAAACCGAGTCGTGCTGCCAGGGCAAAAAAGCCGCCATTCGAGATGGAATTCTTCAGGTTGAAGCCGTTTTTGATCTGCCAGATTTGCCATCGCGAGCCACCACCACATTCTCCATCCCAGCGGTCTGCCATCATGTTGAACACGGCTCGTGCAAGCGAAGTCCATGAGGGTTTACCCTTGACCTCTTTGAATCCTGTTTCAGAGGCAGTAATAGTCGCCAGACCCCAGAACATTTGGTCATCGTTTCCCTACACGAAAGGGAGATAAATAACAAATTAGTTCTGCTGGGGACGTAGTATAGACCGGGGACGTCAACACTCACGATGTCCTTACTGTAATTGCTATCGAAATAATTATAATCGTCGCCGGCTTGGAACATGAGGTCGTGTGACACCACGTCGTCATATGTGTCGACATTGGAGGCGGACGCAAATTGGATCCATGTCATAAACATAGAAGCCGCGACATACCACGTCTCGTCGAGCTTGCCGGGAATGCCTGTGACCGACACGTTCTGGTGATAGAATTTCATCATGGGAGCCGCGACATCCTTTCCTGCTTTGATGACCGAGTCTAACCATATCACCATCAGCAAGTCTGTTTCTTTCTCTGGGGGTTCTTCAATTGAGCTACCTCGGTCATCCACTTTAATATCCAGCGCGTGCGCTGCTGAAGGCACATTCAAAAGCAGCAGGGCGATCCCGCAAAGCTGTGCCCATGACGGACCGATCATAGTGTGGGAGGGTTGTTCTCTCGATCTGTCACTCTAGAGAGGGTTAGAGGTTCAAGGTCTCGGATCGCAATAGGGCCAAATTGAGCCAGAAGAAAAGAGAGAGAGAGAGAGAGAGAGAGAAAATTGTATCATAAAGGAAAACCAGCACCCTGCAAACCAGCTCAGCGGGCTGTGTCGCAGATGCGAACCGTTTTGTGGGGAACCGATGTCATCCGCTACAAATCATGATCTCCCCTGAATCAGGGTCGATGACCAAGGCGACGATCCCGAACGAATCACACAAAATAACCCATCATCTCAACCTCTTTTGTCCACACAATACGCCCGCCAAGCTGGTGGGGCGCCCAGCCCGGATGGAGCCCTGCCAAGACCGCTTGCCGGGGCCGCTTACGACGATCTCCCTGGGTTGTGGTATCGTGATTTCATGACTTTATATCCAATGCCTCATGTGGAAGTGGACGTCATATCTAAACACTCCTGTGAATAAGAAGCAGATGATGTGACTTAAGATCAATGGTAAGGCCATATTCAATGTGCCTAGAACCAGACGAAGACATCGGAACGGAGATAAAAAGAGATCAAAAAAAGAAGGGAGGGGCGCTGCCCCCTTTGATATTCCAGACTTCGGGGTTATCCTTGGTCTAAATATTTAAAGTAGAGCCAGCCCTCGCATGGATTTCACTACCGTCGTTCCTTTTCATACATCAGAAGCTATACATTCAACTTATGCCCTTCCTCGGCCAGCCATTGCCAACGTTCACGTGTTAATATCCTCTCACTTTGCCTTTGATTATGAAGGTCGTCGAGCTTCTCCTCATTTGCTCCATGGCTGCCATCGCCAACGCTGCAGTTCTAACAGAAAGAGACTGCACCGCTCGTAGGTCAACTACTAACCTCTACGTCTTATGGAACGCTCATAATTCATAGATCACAAACCTTGCGATACCTCGGAAGAGTGCTGTGGGAAGATGTATTGCGACTCTCTCGTTCGTGATCGTGATGAGTCTGAGCCGATTTGCCTTAATCCCTAGGGGCAGGTTTCGCTCAAGTTGACAATATGGGGGGTTATGTATACTTGGTTGGAGCAGGGATATGTTTAGTCGTGACTAAATGATTTTTGTTTGACTGGGGTAGCTATTCCAAAGCTCCAAAGCAGTAGTTAGAACATCTAAGGGCAGTGATTGGAAACAGGACAGATTTTCCTATGTGATCTGCTAACCTTCGCTTCGCTCAGGAAACTTTGAAAGATGTGGGTAGAGAATAAAATTTAGATTGAAAAATGTTTATTAACTATATTCTATCCTATTTAAGAGGTCCTATTCTTTAGTAAATATATAGATAGCTATTTTACTACGCCTACTATTGTTTTGTTACTTTTTTATCTCTATTTTCTGATACTTTTTCTAGTCCTTTCTGATCTATTCTTATAACTATCTCTTCTCTCTCTTTTTCTTTTCTTTCTTTTGTACCGTGTATTGAAGGTCGAGGAGTCACGTAGGGGCAGCGAAGTCGAATCCTCCCAGATTTCCTGTGACCCACTTCACATATTATATTATTAAATTTCATCTATCAAGGTGGATACTTCTAGTATCTTCAAAATAATTATAAGCTTTTATTTTGAGATTCGATCCAGTTTATCTAAAGGTCTATATATCTAGCCACTATTATGCCACTTGTTTAGTAATGACAAAATTAGCGCAAATAAGACATCAGCACAACCTGACGTACTAAGATAGCATATATATTGCAACGGGGTTCTGCCCGAAGGCTGTCTAACAAAGCAAACGCATCAATATAGTTAGAAGGATTCCGGTAAAGCCTCACGCAGTCGGGCAGGAACAGTTGAATTATATAACAGAAATATCATACATTGAGTGGAGAGACTATGCTAAAGCTATAAAAATAAGTAGATGCAGGCCAAAGCCCGCGATGTTCAGCCTGGAAAACAAGGTAGACAGGGACGGAAAAGTCATTGATCTGATATTGGCGAATCCCCCACTACACTACCTGGTATCGATCTTCCAAAAAAACCGCGTTTTGCTCTATAGGACTACTGTGTGGTTGATTCTGCCGCCGAATCGGCGTGAGGGCCGACAAACGAGTATGAACTAGACTCAATTCTATCTAGTGACCCCACATAGGCAAATTAATCATGGCTTATGTTTTTACCCTTTATGGAATGATCCTGCAACCGGGCAAAGCGTCAGCTTACTAGAGGATACGGCAGGACATAGGAGCGAGAGGCCAAAAGGGCCGATAAAGTTTTAATATAGCTTCCTTTGGGATGCGAGAATATTTTACAGGAACTAAAGAATCCTAATAGACACAGAATAAAAACCCCTACAACAACCAGAGTTAATCCTCCTTTTCTTATCACTCCCCTTTTACAATCCCCAAGACCCAAATATGCGCCTGTTTCATTCTGGTCTGATAATATGGGCGTTTTGGTCCTTTCTCATTTCTCAAATCGCCTCTATTCCAATCTCTGAAGACCTCCAGGCGCTCCAGTTTAACAACAAAAAGACGCTTGCCCCGCGAAATCTTGCCATCGATGGCTCCCCAGTTTCACTCCAGAGTCGTGCCGATATTAAACCCCCTCAGGCTCAATGTTATCAAAGAGGGGAAAAATATGCCACGAGCGCGAGCCTTGCTAAATATTACATCATTGGTGCTGAAGGAGACAGAGCATCGGTGCGACTCCAGAACATAAAAGGCAAGGGAGCTCAAGGCTCGGTTTATGAAGGGATTCTCACCTACTATAACACACCAGAGAATGTGAAGTTGGTAGGCGAGCAAGATATTGGAAAGCGGCTACCAGTGGCGATCAAGATATCAAAGGGGGTGGAGGAGTGGACCAGGCCCTTCTTCAAAACAGAGTCAACAGTGAATGGGTCATGAAGATTCGAGAAATCTTCTGGTTACCGGAATCCCAAGAATCGGTCCAAATCATGGAAAGAGGCACCCATGACATGTACAAGGCCTTGCAGGACAAAGGCCCTTATTTTACCGCCCCGGCAGTCATATACGGTGTTGGGCGGGCAATGGGAGCCGCTCATGCCATAAACATAACCTATCGAGATATGAAGCCCGAAAATGTGCTTTTCCTACAAAGTGGGGCCTTTTACTTGATTGATTGGGATTATGCTACTTTGGCACCTGGGGGCGTTTGCAAATCTGTTGCTGGGACACCAGGCTATATAGGTCCGGGTAAGTTTATATCCCTAATTCTCCAACGTTCTTGAACGTTCGACATATAACGAGTATTTGCAAGTTGAATACTAATATTGTGTGATGTCTAGAGGCGATAAACGGAGAATCATATGATGCTTTCAAGAATGATCTCTGGGGGCTGGCCAAAGTTTGGTTGGAAGCTTCTCTATGGGACAAAATGGGAAACCAACATTTCAATGACGATGTTTATCACTATCTGGTTAGGCGCCAAGGAGGCAGGACAGGGACACCTGGCATGACATATCAGGATGTCACGAGATTCTTGGATGATAACTTCGGGACCCGATTATCAGATAAGGAGATATGGTTAATGGCGCGCGGGCTTTGTATGCAAGATGACCGCTTTACTATGGATCAATGGCTGGATCATCTCCGTCGCGCCTATAGTATAAGGCCGGTGTGACGAGAGCAATATAAGTACTGAATGTGTGGTCTCTCGACTAAGGGTGAGATACAAGAATCGTATTACATTAGCAGGAATGCCTATATATTTCTTTTTATATATCTAAGGGAATGCTGTCGGTATCAGTCAGAAAACACTGCCAAAAAATATCTAAGTGTCTGGATATACCGGTTTAGGCCTAGTAGGGAATGCTGTCGGTATCGGTCAGGAAACGCTGCCAAATTTCGTCCGAGCGTCCGGGGGTGCTGGTCGGTCTTAGCGGGTATTAGCTATTTCGGTAGATAGATCTAGGTATCGGGCGGGTGATTAAGCCTGACTGATACCGTGGCAGGACACGTAAAGGTATCGGGTAGGTAATTAGCTCTATCTAATATTATTATAGGGTAGAGGGAGGGGATCGCTTTTAATAGATTATCTAAAAAGGGTCGAATATAAAGATTTTTAGATAGTAATATTAATTATCTAGAACTCTCTCTATATTAAATCTTAGTAGTATCGCTATAATAGATAAAATAAAAGATAGAAAATTATAAACTTATAATTTTAATAAAGGATATTAAAAAATAAGAAAGAACGATTTCTCTCTCTCTTTTTTTTTCCTTTTAATTTTTTAATCCCTATAGCTATAATCCCTATATTAAATTAATTATATAGAAAAGACTATATAATAAATAGTAAAATAATAGAAATAGAAAAAATAAGATAGATAAAAAGAGATAACTATATTATTTAGATAATATTAAATATTAATTAATTATTATTAAAAAAAGGATTAGAAGGCCTATAATCGCGTCTATAATAATATAAGTATTATAAATACTATTATTAGTATTATTAGTCTTATTTTAGCCTTTACCTTAAAACTAGCAGGGAATGCCGTCGGTATCGGTCGGAAAACGCCGCTAGATTTCGTCCGAGCGTCCGGGGGTGCCGGTCGGTCTTAGCGGGTATCAGCTGTTTCGGCAGGTGGATCCGGGTATCGGGCGGGTGATTAGGCCCGACCGATACCGTGGCGGGGCGCGCGAGGGTATCGGGCGGGTGATTAGATCCGCCCGATACCGTTGTGGGGCAGAGGGAGGGGATCGCTCCTAATAGGCTATCCAAAGGGGGTCGAACACGAAGATTTTCAGATAGTAATATTGATTATCTAGAACTCTCTCTATATCGAATCTTAGCAGTATCGCTATAATAAATAGGGTAAGAGATAGAAAATCGCGAACTCGCGATTTTGATAGGGGATACCAAGAAATAAAGAAGAACGATTTCCCTCCCTCTCTCCCCTCCCTTTCGACTTTTCTACCCCTACGGCCGTAGTCCCTAAACTAAATCAACCGCGCAGAAAAGACTATATAATAAGTAGCAAAGT